GGATGGCCAGGGCGCGAACCAGCGCGAAGATGTCGGGCGGGTACAGGTTGAGGCCGAGGTCGATGGGAGGCGACTGCGTCACGGCGCGGCCCTGGGCGTTGAAGTTGAGCGGCGTGTCGATGCTGGCGACAAAGATGCCGTGCGAGGTGACGTTGGAGCGAATGCGCGTGATGGTGAGCGGCGCAGTGAAGGGGTTGTTGAGGAAGACGGTGGAGCTGGCGATGTTGTTGGTGATGCCGGTCGAGTCGAGCACGGTGAGGTTGGCCGAGCGCACCAGCGAGGTCTTGAGACCGGGCAGCGTCGCCTTGAGGCGGATCTGCGAGAGCGCCGGCAGCAGCGACGAGACGGCGGTCGAGCCATCGAAACCGTTGATGCCGAGCTCGGTGTCGAGACCGGCGATGAAGCGGTTGAGCGTGTCGAGACCCCTGGGGTCGGCGTTGGGGTTGAAGACCGAGGTGGCGTTGACGTCGTTCCTGCCGGTCATGAGGTTGAGGCCGGGGATGGTGACGGTGCCGAGCACGACCTGGTTGACCAGCTGGAAGTTGCTGTCGCCGATGGTGAGGTTGAGGTTGGACGGGTTGACGAGCGTGGTGCCGACGCTGAGCAGGATGCCGTCGTTGGTGCCGCCCGTCACGTCGACGCTGGTGATGAGCGTCGGGTAGGCATTGAGACCCTGCAGACCGAGCAGACCACTGTCGACGTCAAAGATGATGCCGTCGAGCAGGACGCGACCGAGGGGAGTGTCGGTGATGGCCTTGGCCTGACCCTGCAGGCGGATGGCCGTACCGTTGCTGAGGGTGAGGTAGGTCTGGAAGTTCTCCAACTCCTTGCGTGCAGCTGCGGTGTTGTTGGCGAGCGTGAGCTCCGAAGGCGGCAAGGTGAGGTTGAGCGTACCCGCGGTCTGGCCGGCACTGACAATGGAGAGCTCGGTGGTGGTGTTGGAGTAAGCCGAGTTGATGGTGGCGACCTGGGCGCCGTCGAAGAGGATGGTGAAGGTGTTGGCGGTGTTGACGATGGAGAGCGAGAAACCGAAGGGCAGACCGAGCACGGCCGAGAGGGCGCTCGAGAAGGCGGTAGGGTTGTAGGCGGTCTCGGGCGTGTAGACGAGCGCGAGGGAGCCGATGCTGATGCTCTTGATGGGGTTGATGGGCTCGGGCGCCTTGAGCGGCACGGCGAGCTCGAGGGCGCTGATACCGGAGCTGAGCCAGCCGATGTTGTCGCCGTTGGCCTGGCGGACCGAGACACCACGAGCCTGGGTGGGGAGGGTCTGGCCGTTGATGTAGCCGGTGAAGAGCTTGCCAAGCAGGTCGAGTTCGGTAGCATTGTCGTTGTGCGGGACGAGGCGACCGTTGAGGGTGATGACGTTGCGACCGGTGGTGACGTTGAGGTTGGTGGTGCTGGCGGGGCCGAGGTACATGCCCTGGTAGTAGAGGCCGAGGTCGAGCGTGCCGAGCTGGACACCGAAGGGCGACGGGTTGACGAGCGAGGTGGTGACCGAGAGCGAGACGCCGCCGGCAGGGTCGTTGCCGGGCAGCTGGAAGTCCAAGATCTGCACATCCTCAAAGTTGTTGAAGCCCTTGATGATGATGTGCTTGTTGAAGACGAGGTTCTTGTAGGTGGGGAGGAAGGAGAAGGCCTCTGCGTGGACGCTGGAGCAGTTGAGCTTCCAGGTGAACTCGGGCTGCGAGATGAGGAACTTTGCAAACTCGCCAAAGCCCTCGACGTCGTTGATCTCAAAGTTGGTGGCCTGCTTGATGCGGGCGTGGCCGGCGGCGGCACCGATGTAGTCGAGACGGAACTGGCCGAGGTTGATCTCGGTGAGCGTTTCGGGCGAGGCGACCTGGCCGGGCTGGGGCGGGAGGACCCAGTAGACCTGGACGGGCTCGCGGAAGTAGAGATGAGCGGGGAAGATGCCGACCTTCTTGGTCTGACCCTGGAGGGTGAGCGGGAAGGAGGTGTTGCCGGGATTGGTGATGTTGGATTGCTCTACGTGGAGCACGGCTGTGTGGAGCGCATGGTTGGCGACGGCATAGAGGACGGGGAGCAGGGTGATGGCCAGGGTGACGAGGAGGACACCGGGTGCCACAAAGAGACAGCAGTAGCCGAGCTTCCTGGAGAAGTACTTTTTCTCGTAGGGGGTGCCACGAGCGCGGACGAAACCGATGGGCTGGCCGGGCTGGTAGTAGCCTGCGCCTTGGGGGGTGTCGGAGTCGACGCTCTGGGCAGCGGAGCGCCGACGGAGGTTTTCGCGGGAGCCGTAGCCGTCGTCCGCCATGGTGAGGATGGGGGACTCAGCGCCCGAGCTCGAGGAACGGAGGCGGAGCTGGGCCTGTGCGAAGGGGGCGGGGGTGGATGGCGAGGTCTATATGGATGGACTCGGGCAGCCGGGTGGTGTCGAAAGAGAGCGTGCGAGGCGAGGCGTTGATGCAGTCCGTTGGCGGAGACTTGCTGATGGAACCACGAACCGGTGTCGAAGTCGAGGTTGAGTGGCGGTTGGTGTCGGCGACGTCGGATGGTGGAGAATAGGGACCGGAAGGGGTGCCGACGACGGCGAAAGGGTGTGTTGGTGATGGTGAGAGGAGGTGAAGAGCGGATGGGAGTGATGGCGACGGCGACGGCGACGACGGCGTCCAGGAGAGGCGAGCAAGAGTTCGCCCGTCCAGAGAGCGAAGGCGGCGGCGGCGGCAAGGGGGCGATCTGGGGTGCAGACGGGGCGGACGGGCAGCAGTAGAGGGTGGGCCAAGGCAGGGCCAGGGCAGCGCGGGGCAGGGCAGCGCGGGGCAGGGCAGCGCGGAAGGAGAGCAGCTCAGGGCAGGGCAGGGCCAGGTGAGATCCATATTGGGCAGGACGATGAGCAGGCCGCGGCTAAGCGAGACGAGAGAGGGCCTGGTCGAGACACGCACGCATCGGGCGAAGGCGAACAGAGCACGAAGCGAGGAGGGGGCGACAGCCGCAACCGGATGGATCCTCTGTGACACTTGTGGTCGCGGAGCGACGCGCGGGTCGGCTCTAGGCAGCGAAGATCCCTCCATGCATGCAAGAGGTGTCGCGGGGCAAACCTGTGGTTGGCTGGGGGTTTGCGGCTACGCCTGGCGATGTCGAACTCTGCCCGCAGCTGCCCAGCCGCCGCCCAAGCGCACTGCAGCGCCATGCAGCCCGATGGTTTTCTCAGAACGAAAAAGAAAACAAACCGGAAAAAAGGCCCGGATGTCGCCGTGCCAGTGCCTGCCTGTGCGTCCAAAAAGGGACGAGAAAAAATAGAAAAAGCGTGAGTCTCAGCTGAGCAGCTGAGCGGCTGGGCGGCGCAAGCAAGCAGCGGGGCGGCGAGCGGAGGGGCGGAGCGGGAAAAACTCGCTTGGAGGGGGGTTGGATCATCAGAAGCCATAAATTACAGTCGAAGGGAAGAGGGGGCTCGAACGCAACGCTGTGCAGCTTTGGTGTGCGTGAGCGCTGCCGTCTGATTGGCAGGAGCGGCGGGGTCAAGTGCGCAAACCGGCGCGGCGGTCGGACGAGCGGGTGAGGCGGCGGCTCAAGCAAGCATCTTTTCTCGACTTCCGCTTGCAGACAAATCCAACCCAAGCGAGGCTCGAGCCCCACACATGCACACACACGCACACACTAGCTACCTTCAGGAAGAGGCTCGAACACCTCGTTTCTTTTCTCTCGATCGCAGCCGGCTTATTTGTTCGATTGGCTTTGAGTGGTTTTGTCATCTCCTTGGTGAGGCATCGATATGACGAGCGCGAGCGCGGGCGGTACTTGAGAGGCAGCCGGGAAAGGGCGGCTGCGGATGGGTTGAAAATCGTATCGATTCGAACGCCGCCATCGCAGCCAGCCAAGCCAGAGGGCTCGAGTGCCTCGAGTAGAATCTGATTTATTGTCCGAACAAAAAAAGGCCAAATGCGTGTGTGGCGTGCAGCAAAGAAAAAGAAAAAAAAAAAAGCGTCTGAATTCGGCCGCACTGTTCCTTCGCAGCCTGCCGACTTTGAAATGGCACCATGTGTCAACATACGACGTGTGCCTGTTTGCAATGTTGCTCCTCGAGCAGGTTCAAGAAGAGAACAGGGTTGCAGCTTTCGCTCGAGCGGGGTAAGCACTGCCGGGCGGTTGGCCACGTCGAACTGCTAGCGACAAGTGTGAAAGACGATTGACGGCCAGTGCGGGGCAACTGCGTTGGACGGTGAGCCGATCGGAGTGCCAGCCAACGCCTCTGCAAGGCGGCTCAAGCGAGGGCGACCAGAAAAGAAAAAAATCCGCGTCGGCGCAGAGCAAAGGCCCGCTAGGAGGATCGACGCTACATGTCTCTCTCTCCCTTCTCACTAGGCCTCGAACCAGCAAGTCGACTCTTTTTTGCCTCGAAAAGGTTTCAGGAACCGCAACCCTGCCAAAGACCCCACTGGCACTTGAGAGCCCATTGGGCATCAAGCTCTTGGCAGCAGAGGCTGGACAAGCATGGGTCGCCGTTGCCGCATTGCACGCCTCGCTTAAATGCCACGGCGCGCCCTCGCACAAAGTGCAAACTTTCCTGGGAACTTCCCTCATCCAACCCTCCTCCCTTTGCATTGCAAGTCCTAGAATTCCCCCCCCCCCCTCCCCGGCTGTACTGTAGCTCTACACTCGTGACTGGTCGTGCCAGTAGTTTCACACTCCCAACGAGATCCAACTTAAGACTCGGTTCAAACAGCAACGAGGCCTGTTGTACAGCCAGGCGGTGACGCTAGCTACTGTACGTTGGCCATTTGACTTGGCGGAGTCCAAATTGGGCTTGCATACCCCGCGCCTCTTTCACGTCCCACTTTCTCCCCCACAACCCAACCGCAATCCCCGCCAGCCCAGCGCTCTAACAGTTTCAAACTTGGCCCTTCCTTGCGCTCCTTCCACACACACACACTCTCTCTCTCAGACACGTGGAGGTTGAACCCTCACACAAAGAAAGCGAACGATAGATAGCAAAGACAAAGCGAAAAGGATTCCAATGAGCAAGCGAAACGACCCACCTTCTAGTCGCGCTTTCCAAGCATAAAGACGCCCTTGACGGGCAGATTGCGCAGCTGGAGAGCGCCGAGGCCCGAGTTCCAGATCTTGGCACGGCTGGACCCCTCGATGCCCACCAACGCACCCTGGCCCGTGACGAGCTTCCATGTAAAGGAGCGGAAGATGCCTCCACGCCCAGGCAGCACCGTGAAGGGCACGTCGGTGAGCCTGGCACGGAGCAGCTTTCGCTCGCCCTTGGGGTCGGTAGGATCGACATACGTCTCGGCAGGTGCAAAGTCGTATGGCCTCACGCGTCCAAACGCCCTTTCGGGCAGAGGATCCGGTAGAGGCGGTGCCGGCTCCGGCTCCGGCTTGGGCTCCTCATCGTGCTCCTCCACCCCGACAAACGCAAGCCGCTTGAGACTCTCCAACGCCCCACCCACCATGGTCCAGCTGCTCGCCACCGCCGCCTCGAGACTCTGCAGCATGCTAGGCGGCTTGCCGTCAAACACGAGGATGTCCGGCCACAGATGCGTGATCTGCACATCGATGCTGCTCATCTGACCCGGCATGCTGATCTCGCCCATCACCGTACCGCTGCACAAAAGCTTGTCGTGCTCAAACGGATGCGGCGTGATCTTGAGGTCGTTGATCGTGACGTTCTTGATGAGCTCCGTCACCTTGCTGCCGGGGAACGAGATGGGCACGTCCACCAACCGCAGCGCCGACTCCATCCACTCGGGCAGCTCCGATCCGTCGCCAGGCATCGTCTCGGTCTCGTTGCTGCTCGCCGAGCCCGCAGGCACGGGCACGTGGAAGGGAGATCCGCCGCGCACGTACACCGTGTTGGCCTCGCCGCGCAGGAAGCGGCTCAGGAAATTGCTCAGCGCCAGTTGCTGCGGCGAATCGCCCGCTGCCTTGCCGTCGAGCTGCGTGTCAGCCGAGGCATAGGCAGACTTCAGAGGCTGCGCACCTGCGCCGAGTGCGAGCTGCTCGGACGGCAGACGGGTCTCGAGTGCATCCTGAGGAGGCGGCACCACGCGACCCAGCAGCTCGAGCTCGACGATCTTCTGGCCGCTCAGTCGGAACGGCTCGGTCGCCACCGCTGCCATCAGCACCGACGCATCGGGCTCGGGCTGGTCCCCCTCAGCGTCCTCGGCACCCAGCTTGCCGCCCTTGGGCTGCTTGGGCTTCTTGGGCTGCTTGGCAGGTGTGCTGGCATCGACGGGCAGGAAGATACCGAACGGCAAGCTGTAGCGCACGTTGCCCTGGAGCATCTTGCCGAGCGGATTCTTGGCCATCGCCTTGGCCTTGATGCCCAGCGCACGCACGAGCATCGAGCCGACACCGCCGCGGCTGTATTTGGGCTCGTCGTCCTTGCCGATCTCAAAGAACTCGTATCCGTCGACCTTGAGCAGATCGTCAATGTCGGTGTCGTTGTCGAGCTTGGGCACCTTTTCGAGCACGGGGCTGCGGATGTGGTGCTGCGCAATGTCGATGCGGCGGGGCACGTCGAAGAAGCCCGCCTTGCGGCCGTGGACGATGCCGTGGATCTCGGACTTGGCGAGGCCGCGCACGCGCAGGCCGGCGATCTTGACGTCGAGCTGCGCGATGCCCTTGTTGATGGCGTGCTGCGCGTACGCCATGATGTACGGCGCAGGCACGACGGGCTTGAGCAGCACGGTGAGGTTGAGCGGGCTCATGTTGTGCTGTGCTGCGGGCGTGCTGTGGTTGCCGAGGATGGGCGGGCGCAGCGAGTCTTGGTCGGCGTCGCCGTGCTCGATTTTGCGATTGAGCGGAGGCAGAGGCAGAACGAGCGGGTCGAGGTGGAAGGCGAGCATGTCTTGAGGATCTTGCACGGGCGATGATGCGAGGACGGCGGGGGGCAGCACGGACTGATCCCACGCGGCTCCAATCTCGGAGAGGCGCACCTCGCCAACATCGACCTGGACGCCGGCGACCTTGCCCATGGCCCACTCGACGAGCTTTCGCTCCTTGTTCTTCCACCAGCCCTGCTTGCCGCGTTCTCCGAGCCAGAGGTCGAGCGCATGGTCGGGGTCGAGGCCGAGACGCGCATCGACGCGGACGAGGATGCCTTGGTCCGAGATGTTGAGCAGCTGCACGCGGTCGGGACCCTTGAGCAAGAGCGACTCGTCCAGGATGCGGCTCTGCGCTTCGGGCGAAGGTGTCTTGAGCGTGCCGAGGTAGAGGTGCGCCACAGCGACGCCGATGAGCACGATCAGAGTGAAGAGCAGTGCCAAGATGGCGTAGACGGTGCCGACGAGATAAGGGTGTTCGTGCCTCCAGGCGGCAAACGAAGCGGCAGAGGAGGTGTGGATGGATCTCGAGTTGCGCTGCGAAGCCGAGACGGCAGCGCTGCGCCTCTGCTTGCGACGGCGGGCGATGCGTGCGGCGTGCGCCTTGTCGCCGCCCCACAGCTTGGACACCTTGAGCCAGGCGCGATCGAGCGGACCAGCAGCCGCGATTGCACTGGACTTGCGGGCGGATGAGCTCAGCAGCGAACTACGCTCGTGGTCGCCATGACCGGGAAGCATTCCGGTCTCGAGCTCCTCATCATCTACGTCGGCATCAAGACCCTCTGCCTCTGCGTCGCTGTCCGGATAGATGGGTTTCCTGCCGTGGCGAAGCGGCTGCTGCGTCGCCGAGGCGCGTCTCTCGAGAGGCGGCGCAGGCGGACGCGTTGTGCCATCAGGTGCCGAGCTTTCTGTGTTGCTGGGCGGTGGTGCCACATCTTGCGGCTGCGCTTTGGCCTGCGCAGGGTCCGTCGCCTCTTGGGTCATGGTGGGGCGGAGATGCCTCGTACACCGATTATGTGCGGTCCCTGAAGCGTAGACCTGGTTCTCGCTGCGTAGAGATTGGACTGCTGCTGTGTTTGTTCGAGATGACAGAGAGTTGATGATGGCGGTGAGTGGGGCCGGTGGGGATGGGATCGTGTGGAGAGAGGGATGGAGTGGGATTCAGGGTGCGATTTCGAGCCAGACCCTCGATTGCTTGGGATGGCCTTTGCCACGCTGCTGCTGCAGTGCCTCCTCGTCTCCGCACATCTGACGACGAGCCTGCATGCAGCTGCTCAGCCGGGCTCTCGGCGCCAAATCGAGGCTTCAGACCAGTCAAATTTCATTTTGTTCAGGGCCGCCAGTCGGGATGGGGCGCAGAGGGGTCTCGCTTCTGCAGATCGATGCGGCCATGCGGAGAAATCGGGCCGCCCTCCAATCGGGCCTTTTTGGCCGACGTCAAAAAGCTATAAAAGCTTCAGAGAGTCGCTCGGAAAACGCCGATACAAAGCCGAGTGTCGATGGGGAATTTCGCCGAGCTGCCAGTCGAGGTCCCTTTATCTTATGGTTCCGCCGGTCCTGAGGTTGTCGATGGTGGGTCAGGGCGCATACAGGCGTGCGTGTGGGACTTTTAATCACGACGACGATGAGGGTGCATGTTGATATCTCGGCATTGCAGGTCGAGGTGGTGACGAGGTGGTGACGAGATGAGCTTCGGATTTCGCGGTGGCCGAGGTCGTCGTGACTCGATAGGCGAGGTCATGAACCACTCCTCCCTACTTTATCTGCCTCCATCATCCGGACCACGTTCTTGAGCTCCAGCCGGGAGAAGCTCGCAGTTGACGCTGGCGATCCAACTGGCAACGCATTCCAATGCTCGCCGTGCCTACGCCCTCTACATCGCGGTTCCAGCGTTCGTTGTACGACGTGGACCGCACCAAGCCCTCTCCGTTCGCATGGAGGTCGGACGCGCAACCGCGCCGCTGGGTGCGCAGGATGGGTCTGATCGAGTCGTTCTTCAACACCATGGCTACGCTGCACGAGGGACGCACCGACATCTTCTACCGCATTCCTCTCAGCTGTCCCGCTCAGGCGTACGAACATCTCGCGCGACGCCTGCCGCTTGTGTGGGCGATCCTTTGCCGTCGCCACCCGCTGCTGGGCGCTCACGTCGAGACGCTCACACCGGGGGGCACTCGCATCGATGCGAAGCAAGCTGCAGCTACTCGCCACACGGGCGAAGCCGCCGACGACGGCTCGATCTCGTTTGAGCCGCATTTCGTCTTTGATGCCATTGGCTCGGCCTCGGATCTGCTCGAAACCGCGTCCAAGCGAGTCGCCTTTCTGCCGCCATCTTGGTCCGAAGATCCAGAGCTGCAAGCTTCTGAATCAGGCTCGACCGCGACTCGAAGTGACCGGGTGGTCAGCTGGCTCGACCGCTACGTATGGAATGGCAAGCGCCGCTTCCTCGAGCAAAACACTCCCTTTGGACTCGCCAAGCTTATCCTGCTCCCACCAGCTGCAACAGACACTGCAGGGGACACGGTCAGCTTTGACCTGGTCCTGTGCTCCGCACACTGCATCTCGGACGGGCTTAGCATCTCGGACCTCGCCGGCGAACTTGTGCGTCTCCTCGCGTGCTCTGAGCTTCCGACGCAGCTCCCCGAGCTCGAGCACCGCACCGAGTCGTCGGTAGGGGTCCCAGGTCTCAGCACGGCGAGATACGCTCAAATTAGCCCTCAGATGAAGCACGCCGTTCGAACTGGCCTGCTACGTGAGCAACACCGGGACAGCGGCCTCAGCGATGACGGGACTATCCACGACGCCGAGTGGATGGCGCTGCTGCCTGCTCCCATCGAAGCGGCGTATCCGGAGCTGCTCCCACCATCAGCCTCCACGGCGGGCGCAGCAGGATCGAATGCCGAGCGGTCAAGGCTAGCACGCGCGCGATGGTTCTGGACAATCCGCCGGGTCGTCGTCCAGATCCGCGCTGCCAAGGCGGAGAGCGCGGTGCTGTCGGACTTTAAAGCGAACCGCACGGACAAGTCGGTCGAGGAGCCATGGTGGGGTGCACAGACAAGGTGGTCGGCAGTGCGCCTGTCTGCAGAGGACACCTCGGCTTTGACGCGAGTGGCTAAGCGCAAGGGCGTCCGAGTCGGATCGCTGCTGTACTCGGTCGCTGCTTGTGCACTCAACACGCTCGAGATCACGCATACGCAGCCAGGGAGCCGCAGCGAGGAGCCCACGTCGACGGTGATGGGCTTTCCCTTTTCGATCCGAAGGTTCCTCGCGCCTGCTGCGGCTGACACGCAAGATCCTTTGCTGGTAGAATCAAGCTTCAGCGTCAAACTCAGCTTTAACGGCATCGGTCTGCCACCTGCCTCGGTCTTCTCGCTCAACACATGGCCCAGCGAAGCATCCGAGTTGTTGTCGTTGAGCGGGTTTGAATGCGCGCAGCTCTGGCAGACGGCGCGTCAGGTGCAGCGGCAGTTCAATGCCATCTTCCACGAGCCACGCTTCATGCACGCCGACGGCTTCCTGACGGCGCTGGAGCGCGAGATGCGCTTCCGCAAGAACGGCGTCAAGGACGTCTTCCAGGTGTTCAAGGACGATGGGCCCGCCGGCGCCGACGAGCGCACGCCCGGTCTGGCCAAGAAGAACATGCAGGGCCCCGGCTCGTCGCTCAACTTTAGCATGGTCGGTCTGCTGGACACTGCGCTGCCTTCGCGGTTGGAGCTGATTCTGCCAGCAGCTGACGCCGCACAAGCATGCCAGGCGGTGCTCGAGGTGCGAGACGATCTTCTATTTGGTGTGCGCACAAGAGCCGGCGAGGCGTTCGGCACATCGTTCACCTTCCGCGGGCAGCTGAGCCTCGAGCTCGGCCACGACACGGTCGTGTGGGATACGGCCAAGGTGCTCGACTATCTCGGTCTCATGAAGACCATCTTGGAGGCGCTGGTGGCGGCTGAGGAGGCAGGAGGGAAGGAAGGCAAGCTGAAAAAATAGATTGAAATGTCGATATATTGAAAGTGTAACACCTTGAAGTTGAAAATTGGGTCTGAGCTGATCGGTCTGTGCGGATGTGCTTCACGTGAAGGCGGCTGCGCTTCTGGCAGAGCGTCGTGTGGAGCTGACGACGGCTTCTGTCGCTCAGGCCAGAAAGTGGCACTCGCTCTCTCTCTCTCTCGAGAAACACACTGACGCGGCCACGCAGCTTCTCCACCATCCCTTTCGCATCGCTATCCCATCGCCTCCCCCGACTCGCACGCTTTTCCTGCACTTCACACCCACATCGCTTTTGCCAGCTCTTCTGCCAGACACACCGCTGCTCGCCATGTCGCTCTTTGGCACGTTTCCCGGCTCGTCGCGCGGGCCAGCACACGCCGCTGCGCCCAAGGACCACGTCGTCGGTCATCAATTCTCGCCCTACGACTCGAACGGTGGCAGCATTGCGGCCGTATGCGGGAGCGACTTTTGCGTGATTGCATCCGACACTCGTCAGAGCACGGGGTACAACATCCAGACGCGCTACAAGCCCAAGGTGTTCCGACTGAACGACAAGGCGACGCTGGCGACCAACGGGTTCGCGGCGGATGCGGAGGCGCTCGTGTCGCGCATCCGTCAGCAGCTCGAGATGTACCGTCATGCACACGGCCGTTCCATGCCGCTGCACTCGATCGCACGCATGATCTCCACCATGCTCTACGGCAAGCGCTTCTTCCCCTACTACGTCTACAACATCCTCGGCGGGCTCGACGAACAGGGCAAGGGCGCAGTGTACTCGTTCGACCCCGTCGGAAGCTACGAGCGCGAGTTCTGCCGTGCTGCAGGTGCTGCCCAGTCGCTCATCCAGCCGTTCTTTGACAACCAGATCATGTTTAGGAACCAGTCCGACACGCCGGAACGCAAGGTTCCTACTCCGGGACAGATGACCCTCCCCGAGGTGCTCAAGATCGTCATCGACTCGTTCACTTCCGCCACTGAACGTCACATCGAGGTGGGCGATGGTCTCGAGGTGTTTGTTGTTCGCACGCCTGCCGCCGCAGCGTCCGCAGAGGGCGACCAGGCCCAGGCTGCGACGGGCGCAGCGGCCGTCGATCTCAACACGCTCCCCTCCGACGCGCCCTTCAGCGTGGCAGAAGCCGTGGGCGGCGAAGACGAGCAGCAGCCCGGCGCCGTCATGGTCATCAGGAGAGAACTCAAGAAGGACTAGGGAGCTGCGTCTTTCCGATCGTCCCGTGTATTTTGCCATTCAAGATTTGCCCTCGTGTCGTGTTCGAGTGTAGGTGTGTGCTGGAATTGCATGGTGCGTGAAAATTAAGGGCTGTGAGCGTCGGCGTCGACGTCGGGAAGGCTGGATTGAACGACAAAGGCGTCGGGCACGCCGGGGAGAGGTTGGATGAGACCATGGCCGAGCCAGAAGTTGAGGGCGGCGGCAGCGTCGGCTTCGCGCTGCAGGTTGAGTTGGTCCATCACGTCGGACTGGGTGACGACTTTGGGGGCCTCGGTGCGCTCTGCCGCCTGTGCGCGCGAGATGACCTCGAGCACGGCTGCCTGGATGAGCGAGCACTCGACCGCGATGGATTGGCCCGAATCCAACTCGACCTCCAACTCCACCGAGCCCAGATGGTTGAGCCAGTGCAGTTTGCGCATGGCCTTGGTCTGGCTGAACGTCTTGCCGTACTCCTCCTGCGCATGGCCGAATAGCGGCGGCAGGGTAAAGTCGCCCACGCCCGCCGCTCCGGGCTGAATGGTCGGTTCCGGCCAAAATTGACGCGACACAATCAGCGGATGCAGCCGCGACACCATGCCTTCCACCCCAACCGCAGCGGTAGGAGCCTGGCTGCGACGGCGGTGGTGGATCTCGCTGTCGATGCGACGCGACTCGGTGACGTCGCCGAGCATGACGTCGCACTTGCCCATGTTCTTGTCGCCAAAGCGCTTCTTGAGGATCATGTTGTTGCGATACTCGTCCATGGCCTTGTACGCCTTGACGTGCACCAGCTGGTCGGCCATGCTCTTCTCGAGCGCCGCAATGAAGCCCGTACGGTCGTCAAAGATGCTCGTCAACATCGAGAGGATGTCCTTGGACGTCGACATGCGGTATCCGCTACCCGCCTCCACCGGCTTGGGCACCCAGTCGGGATCGTCCCAGTCCTCATCCGACGACGCATCGCTATCCGACACCTCGACCTGCACCACCCTGCGCCTCGCCACGCCGCGCTTGACTTTGCGTCGCTTCGGCTGCACTGCCGATGCGGGCTGTGTGGTCTGGAGCGACCTTCGTGCTCGACGCCTGCGTTTGGTGCCGTCGTGCTCCTGCTCCTCGTCATCCGCGCGTTCCAGCTCGTCCTTGAGCAGCGTAAAGTCCGGATCGTCGCCGAGCATCGACGCGACGATGACGCGCACCGTATCCTTGCGCGCACGCAGGTAGCGGCGCAGCGGCGACACGACGCGCGAGAGCACGACGCCCGTCGCATCCATCTCGCGCAGCGCGCGCACGAGGTGCACGTACATCTGGATGATGTCGCGCGTATGCGCGCCCGGATGCAGCAGCCGCATCTGCAGCGCCTCGCCCAGCCTGCGTGCCACACCCAGCCGCTGGTCCGCCGTCTGCAGGCTCAGCCGTAGATCCTGCAGCGCCGCCGCCGACTCCGGATACACGGCCACCAGGTCGAACAGCTGGTTGGCACGCGTCGCGCACAGCGCCTCGTCCAGCTGCACGTCGAGGCGAGACAGCCACGTCGCGCTCTCCGCTCCGTCCGAGTCTTGCATCGCGTCCGAAGAAGGTGTGTCCGGTGCGAGGCAGTGTTGGCGGATGGCCTGGACGCGCGGCTTGGCATGCTCGTCCAGCCACTGCTGAAGTACCGGCCGCGCTGCCGACTCGAGCTGCAGCACCTGATCGTGCGCACCCGGATCCACCGCATCCACCACCGCCTGCACCTTGCGGCCAATCTCGCGCTGCACCACCCGACCCAGCAGCGTCAGCACGGTACTCGACACGCCAGCCAGTTGAACATGTGCGACAAAGCACGACGAGAGGTCGACATGCGTCGGCTCTGCCACCAGCTGCTCGAGGAGCACCTGCAACGCTTCCACTGCTGCAGCGTCAATGAAGGGCCGCAGTCGGTCCTGCAGCGAGCGGAGCAGTTGGTTTCGGTGCTCGTGCAGGCCGTCGAAGATGGCTGCGGGGCTGTAGGGCGATAGCCAGACGCGGAACCATGTGGAGATGGCTGCGAGCTTTGCGGGCAGATGGGGAGCTAGTTTGGACTGCGTTTGACCGGAATCGTCGATAATGACGAGGCCACGGTCTGCAGCTACCGCATCAAAGGCACGCAGGCAACGCTGCGTGTAGTTGGAAGAGAGCGCTTCGAGGACGGGGCTCGGTGTGGAGAGGTGCGACTTGGAGCTGGATGGCTGTGCAGAGTGGTGATCAAGAAGCGCCTGAAGAGCGCTGTTGGCGTGGGAGTCGAGACGGAATGCGCCAGAGTCCGAGTCGAAGAAGCGGCACTGAGACGGAGCGCACGGCTCGAGGTGCGCGGTGAGCACCAGGTAGGCGTCTGCCGAGGTCGCGAGTGATGCAGGTGCCTGGGCTGCATCGGTGCGTCCGACGAGCAGTCCATGCACGGCTTGTTTCCATGCGCCGGCGAGCGACATGGTGATGAAGGCGAGTGGTGATGATGGGAGGTGGCAGGCCGTTGGCACAGGTGTTGATCAGTCCGAGACCAACACCGAAGCGCGGCGCGGTGGAGGAGAAGGCGCGCGACTCATCGGCGCCCCGATCTAGTGATGGATCGGACCGATCTGGGGAGGGTCGAGAATTTCGAGCGGCGCTGCCTTCTCCACCTTCCGAAGTGAAATCTTGAACCCCTCATCCTGCCAGCCATCCATCGTTCATCAGCATCAGCATAAGCAACAGCATACTCGAAGTGACTCTCACACGCCTGCAGCAATGGTAAGTGCAGCGCCATGCGATCGGCCTCGTCTGCTGTCTCTACCTCGTGCTGATCGGCTTTGCTTTTGGTCCCCGCCGCCAGTCGCGCGTGGAGCTCCTCAACGCCGGAGGATTCCGCGTGGACGGAAGGAAGCAGTACGAGCTGCGCTCCATCGCCATCCAGCTGGGAGGATCCGAGGACACGACTGCCGATGGCTCTGCGCAGATCACGCACGGTCTCACCACGGTTTCGGCCACCGTATTCGGTCCGCGCGAGGCACGCACCGGCGGCAACATGCAGCACGACCGGGCGTCGCTCAACGTCGAGGTGGCGTTGGCGCCGTGGGGGTCGATGGAGCGGCGGCGGCGCAACCGTGGCGATCGGCGGCTGGTCGAGTTCGCCAGTGCGATCAAGTCGACGTTCGAGCCGGTGGTGCATACGCATCTGTATCCGCGCTCGCAGATCGATATTTTCGTGCACGTGCATCAGCAGGACGGCGGCGTGCTGCCCGCCGCGATCAATGCGGCCACGCTGGCGCTGCTCGATGCGGGGATTGCCATGCACGACTTTGTCGCCGCCGTGTCGTGTGGCATCCACTCGACCGCCGCGCTGCTCGATTTGTCCAATGCCGAAGAGTCCGATCTGCCAAATGTCACCGTCGCCGTACTGCCGCGCACGAAACAGGTCACGCTCGCATCGCTCGAGACAAGACTGCACGTCGAACGGTTCCAGCAGATCTTTAACTTGGCTATCGACGCCGCACAGGTGCTCCACAACGAGATGCAGCTCGCCGTGCGCGACCGCACAAAGACGCTCGTCCAGGCCATGACGGGCAAGCACGTCGACGCCGCCCCACTCGCCGACTCAGACTCGGACCACGACGACGCCATGATGCTCTAGCCCCCACCCTCACCGCCTCACTTTCCGTCTTGTACTTGTACCGTAACCTCAGACATCTTGCACCCTGCACGCCTTGCAGACCAACACACCGTCCGACTGACAAAAGATTCCAGATGCATTGGCGATTCCATTCATAAACAAGTGACACAAGGAAGATGCAGCATTGCTCGCTTTGCCTAGAGCTTGGGCTTTGCGCTCGCCGCCTTTTGCTCGGCATGTCGCTTGCGAGCAGCCTCCTTGACGATGGCCTTGTCGACCTTTCCATTGGCGTTGCGCTCGAGCGGTTCGTCGCGGATCCAGATGAAATCCGGCACCTCGTGCTTGGGCAGCAGCTTCCTAGCCACCTTGAGCACGTCCTCCTCCGTGGGGCGGTTTTGCTTCTGGAACTCGGCGCGCGGCACACACACGATGCCGACGGTCTCGCCAAAGCGGTCGTCCGGAATAGGTACCGCCGCACAATCGATGATGCGACGCTCCGAATAGATGGCCGTCTCCACCTCGGTGCCGCTGATGTTCTCGCCGCCGCGGATAATAATGTGCTTGGAGCGGTCCATGACGTAGATGAAGCCGTCGTCCTCCTTGCGTCCCAGATCGCCGGTGCGGAAGTACCCATCGCGCGTAAACGCCTCTTCAGTCGCCTTCTTCTTGCCCCAATACCCGAGCGCCGTGTTGGGGCCACGGATCCAGATCTCGCCCACCTTGCCGTTGGCCACCTGGACGAGCGTGTCCGGATCGACGATGCGGATGTCGATGGTGGGTGGTGCACGACCTGCCGAGGTGGGGCGTAGACGGTAGTCGTCACTAGCCAATGCGGAAGCGGCGCCGTTGACCTCGGTGGATCCGTATCCCTGACCTACGAGCATGGCGGGTTTCTTGGCACGTGCCTCTTCGGGGATCTCCTTGGCACTCGACGAGCCACCGTGCGAGATGGCCTCGAGCGAAGGCAGCGCATGTTTGCTCAGCACCAGCTCGCGCACCATGAATCCGATGCCCACGGCGATCTGCACCTTGTGCTCCTGGATCATGCGTGCCGCAGCATCCACGTCGTACTTTGGCATGAGGCAGATCTTGGTGCCACGCGCGGTGCTGGGGACCAGGCCGGACTGGATGCCCGTCGAGTGGAAGAGCGGGATGAGCAGGATGCTCGAAGCCTGTTCGTCGTCGGGCTGCGGCACGGGCGGTGCGAGTCCGCGACGCACGTATGCGCTCGCCACGCCGTAGCCGGCATTGGGACCGGCCGAGAGGAACTGTCGGTGCGTCGCAGCCACACCCTTGGGCTTGCCCGTGGTGCCGGACGTGTAGAGCACGCTCGCCATGTCCTCGGGCAGGATCTCGATCTTGGGGATCGCATCGGCGCGCTGTGCCACGTCGGCGTACTGGCGGTCGAGCTCGTGCGCATCGTACACTTTGTCACCCGCCTTACCGCCCGTCCACTCGCGCTGGTTCTCCGGCACGATGCCCGACACCGCACGCGGGAAGACAGCCACGCCCGAAAGACCAGAGTGCGCACCGGGGACGCAGTCAAAGTCGTCGACGCAGTCCGGACCCGCGGGGCCAAAGAGCTTCTTGATGAGGTCCGTGTCGCTGTCGCGCATGCGGCGGAAACGCTCTACATCGAACAGCGCCGCCTTGCACCCTACGTCGCGGATGCAGTCGTACATGGCCTGTCCGGGCAGGAAGGCATTGACCAACGCCGGCACACCGCCGAGCAGATGGACCGCGTAGAAGCCGATGACGAACTCGACGTGGTTGCGCCCGACGATGGCCACGCGGTCGCCCTTTTGCACGCCGAGCTGGCGCGAGAGCCACGTCGCGACGAGCTGCGCGCGCTTGTGCACAGCGGCATACGTGTGCGACTCACCCTCGGCGACGATGAACGGTCTCGATGCATACGTCTGTTCACAAGCCAAAAGTCAGCTCGATGATCAGATTTCGCTGAAAGCGGATTGATTAGAATGTGCTTACCGAGGCAGAAAAGAGCCACAGATCGCGCACCGAGTTGGGGAGCAGCTTCCACACGGTGGTGAGGCGACCGTTGACGAGGCGCACCTCGGTCTCGAGTGCCGAGCCGGGCTGGGTGAGCAGCTGGTCGACCTTTTCGAGCGGCACGAGCGCGTCCTTGTCGCCCGTAAAGTCTTGCGTGATGGAGCGCTTGGCGGGTGGCGCGCTCGAGCTCATTGTTGCGACAGCTTCCAGGAGAGAGACGTTGAGTTGGAAGAAACGTGCGAAGAGAGGGACAGGAGAATGTGGTCAAGATGATGGGATTGCTTCCACTCAGGAGTTGCAGCTTTGGGGACTGGCAACGAGTGCGGGGGGAGGGGGAGGGGATGTGGTGGTCGGGCCAGGTCAGTGCGGGGTTAGCGAGGAACGGGCGGCTAGGCACCAAGCCGTAAGTGCGCTCGGCATCTGTGTGGCTAGGTTGAGCCGAGCAGGCGCTCTCGCCAATACGAGGCTTCGGCGAGGGGGAAAGCGAGGGGGAAGGGGAGGAGAGCGGTTAGACGGCGGAGCGGATTACCGGTAGACCGGCCAGCCTCAAGCGGGTGGAGGCTTGCCGCTGTTCCGGAAGCACGACTCCGACGCCGACGCTGCGAAGCTGCCTTGCCGGCCTGGCTCACTGACAGCAGAGGCTGATGGGCTGTGGTGTTTGTGCTTTGCCCCCCAAAACCCGCGCTGCGCCCGGTCAATTCATAGACGCGCGCCCTCCAAAAAAGTGCGGGGAACCTTGGCCGCCCATTTGCAACTGCCATCGGCCGAGCCCATCCGAAGCCGACAATCGACGTCTGTCTGTTAAGACTTGCACCTTCCCTTCCCCTCCGGCGCTACATTTTGGCCCTCTCTTTCTTCACGCGAGCTGCTTTCCACCAGCTTTGAGTGCGAGACTGCATTAGACGCGAGCGAATAGAAACACAGAAGGGAAGGGAAAGTCCCATAGCTAAAAGGGAGTGTGTGTGTGGGGAGCCAAGAAAATGAGCGTTGGTGGTGGTGCGTGGTCTGGGTATCGACTGATGTTCGGGGCTGGAAAGGGGGGGGGGGGGGGATTCGGATCTCTAGAATCACTCTGCTTTCGCCGAGTATGATCAGGATCGACGAGTTTCCTCCTCCTCCACGGCGTGTGGGAGTTCAGAGGGCGATGGTCTCGCTATCCTTGATAACGGCGCCGTTTCCGCAGAGGCCGATCATGTTGCCGTTGGCGTCCTTGACGCAGGCGTCCTGCTTGTTGCCCATGAGCATGGGAAGGTCGATTTCGGGCAGCTGCATCGACCCGAGCAGCGGCAACAGATCCGTAGGCGCCGGAGCAGCCGGCAACTTGAGGATCGATGTCACGCCACCGATCACCGACGTCACCTCCTGCATGATGGGTGTGGGGTTCGGGAGCGCCTGCGCAAGGATTGAGAGCGGGTTGATCACGCCCGTCGTCGCGAACGTCGGCACGGGGATCGTCGAAGTCTTGGTGCATTCCTTGCCGCTCTCCGTCGTCACATACTCGACAGCCACAGGTGTAGCGGTGGCAGCGACCGAGATGATCGAGCTAGCGGCGCTTTGGATCTCGGCGAGGTTCTTCATGAGCATGGCGGGGAACGATCCAAGCGCGTTCAGCGCAAGCTTTCCCACCACGTCCGCCTCCATCTGTGCATCCGGGGTGGGTGCGGCAACTACGATGTCGGGTGAAAGACCCGCGACGATCATGGGTGCCGTGGGCGTAGGGATCATGGTGGGAATGAGCTGCGTAACGCCGTCAATGACTTGGGTGATCATGCTCTCGATCTGTCCCGCGATGGGTGGCAGCGTAGGCGTTGGTGGCAGTCCCAGGTCCAGTGCAGGCAATGTAGGCTGTGCATCCAGCGACAGAGCCATCATCCTATAAGCATCCCAAGCGTCAGTAAAGGTTCTGCATCGTGCGGAGTGGAGCTGGATGCTTACAGTCGCTTCTCCATGTCGACGGGCACAGCGGATGTGGTGGAGATGGCAAGCATCGCCACCAATGCCGTCGCCGTACTAGCGAAGAGTGTCGACTTCATCTCTGCAGTGTGTATGGTGCGTGGGTGTCAATATCAACGACCCCTTTTTGTTGGCGGTGTATACGTGCGGGTAGAAGGTGGTATCGTAGGAGGAGCGAGCGGAAAGGAGAGGTATCTAAGACCAATGCGCGGCTTCGTACCTGGCAGTGTTGACCTTTTTATTGAAGCTGCAACGGCATCAAGAGCGGGCCTTACTTGTGGCTTGGCTGTCTTTACCACGTTGGGAAAGTAGGCGTCCGTATGCTGCGCTCCCGTGTGCATGCTTTTGCGCGGACGATGCGGTTGGCTGGCTTGTTTGTTGGCGTCCCAGACAGGCAGCAGCCGACGGATCGCCCGTGTCGTAGATGCTGTAGCGGTCGCCGGAAGCGATCCGGAACGCAGCGGCCGCCAGCATAAAGGCGAGCTACATCCACCGTCCGTGCCCATCCTGCGTGTCTGCTCACAGCTTTTCGCCACGCGTGTCCTTGCGGTTATGGAGAGAGGAGGATTAGAATAGAGGCCAGCACAACGTACGACGCATGTCAATCGGAGGCCATCTCGGACGCCGGACGCAGATGCATGCTGCAGCCTGCGACCACCGCCCCAGCTGTGGGCTACAGTAGGTCCGCATTTGCGCAGGCAGGCCGAGGTGAGCATCGACCACAACACGACAAAGTGGCAGAAAGTGACATGCGACATTCCTCGAATATTCACCGCCCCACAGCCTGCAGGCACGCGCATCGTCCCCGCGCCACCCATCCAACGCCCCATCGGCTACCCAATCGGGGCAGCCTCTCCAACTTCCTGCGACTGCACACGTTTATGAACCGAACCGACTCAAGGCTTGACATCTGCGGCCATAGAACCTTGAAAGCACCGCATCCCGTCCGATCTGCGAAGTTAAGCAAGGTATCGCCTAGTCAGTACTGCGGTGGGGGACCACGCGGGAATCCTAGGTGCTGCAGTTATTTTTTTCTTGTTTTTTTCGAGCCCCTTTTTTTTTCGCTGTTCTATTTTCACCTTTCTCGTCTCGTTGAAGTTGACTTGAAGTTGATCGCATGCTCTAGCTCAACCACGTATTCGCTATCTGACGCGGAAAGCCACACGGATGCATCCAAGCTCAGTCAGGCCCTTCATGGCTCCGACAGAACAACCTTTCGATCAGCAAAAGGAAGCACCAAACGTTGAGCGCAAATGGCGGCGGAAGTGAAGCAAAAAAAGGGAAGGGGGCCAACCCGGAATCGAACCGGGGACCTCTGTCAACTTAGTGCGACCTCCCGAAGGAGGCAATGCCCTAAGACAGCATAATAAGCCACTATACGATTGGCCCGCTTCATGTTTTCCGCTTCACTTATTGTATACGACCACCCTTGGGAAATCAGTGTCAGACGATCGGCTCTACGACACCGACTTGCAAAGCAGATCCACCTCGGAAGGATGGAAGGGACGGGGCAGCACCAGGAGGCAGTACGGACGAGCCGGGTGCAGGAGGGCGAGGCCGGACGGCGAGATGGCCGATTGGAAGATAGCCGAGCGATAAGGCAAAGCAGCGTCTGCTAAGCGAGGGGCGTATTAATTTTCTTTTTTTGCCAGGATCGGACGAGGTTAGACGAGGCCAAGAAGAGTGTGCACGATGAGGACGACAAGTCTGGTCGCCTCGTCCACGATGCAATGGGAGCTGTACGGACGATGTCCGCCGCAAACAACGCACTGCAGAGGGGCATGCTGTGGTTGCATTTCCGACGACACGATTTCATCACTCGTGCACACGGCTGCACGGCCGAAAGAGGCGTTGACAGCGGGCATCGGAAGTGTGGTCTCAACTGCCACATGTGTCATTGTGGGATGCACAGAGCGAGTCGGACCGACTATTGTCTGTGTGCGTGATGCAGAGCATTGCTCGATCGCGCGGTCGGAGGTAGGTGGCGCATTGGGAGATCTACGTTCATGCCTTTATGGACTCGACTAATCAGCCGAAGTGATCCCTCCCGGTCGGGGATAGCTCCCGTCGGATGAGCACCGACCCCGCCTTGGAGGGGGATGCCTCATCTTCCGACGTGTTTGCAGAGTCCACCGGTCTCACCACGTCAAAAGCGCCTTGGATAGCTCCGAGACACAGCCGCGTGGGAGAAAGTGATTCCAGGGTGGCCATCTCTAGCACACTGCTCGGCAAACTCATGCGCCAAAAAAAAAAGAAAAAAAAAAGACACGACGCTTTGTAGGTCTCGCTTAGGCGAGTGCATGCGGTGCGCCCATGCAACTTTCACACACCTACACGAGGTGTTGCAGCACTTGCGGATGCCAAGATGAAGCTAACCATGCGCGCGCATTCTCTTCCTTCGGCCTTGGCATCCATGCTGGCCGTAGCTACCGTAGTCGCCGGCGAAAGGACGTGGTGGCAGTGTTGGCGGGGGAAATTCGGGGGGAGAGCCCGGCAAGTCGGTGGATGAAAATCACCGAGCACGCTAAGGCGGACCGACTGTCTCGGTTAGGAGGCATCTCCTTTTGCGAGGCCTTGTCTGTGCGCACGAAGGGTCTGGCACACGGCTGCATCAGACACAGCGGAGTAAGGGCATCATGCATGGTTGTCGGAAAACAAGGCTTGATTTGGCAGTCGATTCGTTCTTCTGTGCGCGCCGCTGCCGATTTGACGTGGAAGCTGGTTGGGAGCCCCTAAGTGATGCGGTGCGGAGCGTTCCGGCGCATCTGCGACATCGGGTGTGTGCATCCGACCCCAAAGCCCCACGAGACGCACGGTATCAGCTGTCGGAGCAGGGCAAGCATCATCGACCGTCGAGCCCCAGCAAGTCGGCACGAATGAAAAGCGCCGTGCCGTGTGGGATGCATAAATGAAAATGTCAGCCACCACCGCCGGCTGGTGGCAAGGTCAAAGGAGGGTGCCGCCGAAAAACAGGCTATTGATGGTGCCACACGACGCTAGTGCAGCCTTGAACGCCGAGCTACGACCGAATGCCGTGCCCATTTACAGTGGCACTTGGCGGCGGTACCGGAGAAGCGGGCCGACCAAAGTCATGCCGCCAGCTCATGAAGCCGCCAAAAAGCATGCTAGGCAAGCCTCCCACAAACAAAGCGATGCGGTGGTTGCAGCTTATCGTACGATGGCCGGCGCGCGCCAGATTCATGTCGACACCGAGTGAGCTCCGGCCCAAGTGGGGCCGAGAGGGGTTCGGCAGGACTTGTGACACTTTTGGACAAGCGAGCGGAGGATCTTGCATTGCTCCGTCCGTTACAAGCGGCATTGCCAGCTTCGGATCGGAGGAGCCACGGCCGCAGAGGCGTTGAGCAAAGACACCATGGTCGAGGCAGTCGACACGGCTGCTGGGGGAGGGGGTCGATAGAAGCGAGCTGCAGCCTCGTGCACCGTCACACTGTCGGCTCGCCAGCTGAGATTGAAATTAAAATCCTGCCTGAGGGAGGAAAAAAAAAAAGAGGAAAAGTCGCACGCTAAGTTGACTGTTCGTTCGGCTGACGATGCGAGGGTGGTCGGTCGTGCTTCGATGCTAGCCAAGGTTGGGGTGCAGCAAGAGTTGCATGCGTTGTCCACTTTGCCGTCCAGTGCAACAGCGCAAAGCCGAGGCTGCCCGACAAGGCGCACGGAAATGAGCGTGTTGTACGACAGCGACACGGAGAGACAAAGAGAAAGGAGTTGGGACCGTTGACAGCGCTCCTCTCACGACGACCGAAGATTAAGAACAGGAAAAAGAAGAAAAAGAGAAAAAAAAAAGGCGTCGGAATTTTAATCCTCGACGGCTTTCTTTTTGGGCTCTTCTTTGGCTTTGGCAGCGCACTCTCATGCACCGAACACTGCGTGTCCCACAGCGTCGGCGGGTCGCACAGGCGCGTGGTGCTTGTCGCTGTCGGTTTCAGCGCGCCCTGCGCCTAATCGTGGATGGCGCGTGTTGGCAAGAGTCCCCTTTAATTCCAGCGCTGCTTCTCTGAGCGCTTTGAGGCCATTGGCTCTCCCACACAATCCAATCTCGCGCTCTCGTCCTCTTCGCTCGCTCGCTCGGTCGGTCGGTCAGCTGCGCTTTGCATCGAAGCCGCATCGCATCGCTTCGCATAGCCCACCATCGATTCCAGCCGTTGCTCACCCATCCGCRCCTCGCTGTCCTCTCCCCGGCAACCCCCGCTTTCATTCTGTCACCACCACCATCACTACCACCACACCTAACGTCGCCATACACACCTTGCCACCTTTTCGTCACCACACCCACATTCATTTCGACAAGCCGCTCTGCTATATATCATACACTGCTCCATCTCCGACCGTCCAAGCTCGCTTCGTCCTATCCCACGCAAAGCCTCTCGATATACGTCGCTGCCGGCGATGCGCTTCTGGCATCCGCGCTGTGCACGCACCTAAACTCAAACCGACACCTCCATCCACCTAGACACCGCAACGCTGCGCCATCATGCATCCGTCCATCGCAAACCTCTCGTCGCGCTTGCACCTGTGTGCTGGAGACGTGCCGCCTCCGCTCGTCGGTGCCTCGGCCACGCTGGTAGAGCACGCTCACCATGGCGCCCCGTCCACCGCCCACGTCTACCTCTTTGGCGGCCGTCTCGTGAGCAGCCGTCGCATGGTCAACTCGCTCTACCGCCTTGACCTCGACCACATGAAGTGGTCCAAGCTCACGCCCACCACCAAACCTCTCTCGTCGGACTCTGGCTCCTCGGCTCAATCCTTGCCCGCACATCCGCAGCCACGCTACTTCCACTCGGCCGATCTGTGGAACGACAAGATCATCTTCTTTGGCGGCATGGGCTACTCCCAGCGGCCCAGCCAAGATGCCAACGCCGCCAATGCCGCCGCCACGCCTGCAGACGAGCTCTGCGTGCTCGACGAGCTGCTCGCCTTCGACCTCACCACCCAGCAGTGGGACTACTCCTTTGACGTCGTCTCGCGCCACTTTGACGTACAGCCCTCGGAATCGTCCACCGACTCGCTCCGCCCGGCGCCGCGCTACGCCCACCTCTCGTCGCTCTCGGGCGACACGCTCTCCATTGTCGGCGGCCAGAACCTCGCGAACCAGTACGTCGAGTCGATCAACCTCTTCAGCCTCTCGCGCAATCAGTGGATCGGCGCACAGCGCTTCCGCAAGCAGTGCGGCAGCTACCGATCGCTCGCCGTAGGCGCAAAGTCGCTCTACAAGAACGGCGAAAAGGCAAAGTGCTATCCGCGCGCAAAGGATCCGCTCGAGGCCGCAGACGCCAACGGCGCGCAACAACCTTCCGCCTCGCCGTCCACATCGAGCGCTCCAGCACCATCCAACGCCAACGCTTCGCCGTCAAAGCCGGCCCAGGTAGAGCAGAATCCGCTCCCCATGAGCTACACCCCGGCCGCCGCCGAGCCGCTGCCCGTCTACCTCTACTCGAACTACAATTTCACCGACGTGCGCAGAGAGCTCGAGGTGCTTACGCTTCGAGCCGATGCCGACGCCAGTCCTGCTTCCAACGATGCCGACAAGGCGCAGCAGAAGCGCTCGCGCAGCGCCTCGAATGCCTCTCAGGACTCGGCGCTGGATGTCGACGGCCCACTCACCCCGTCGCAGGCTTCTGCGCCCGCCTCCTCGGGCCCATTTGTGTCCATGCAGGACCGCTCCAACCACATGGGCGGCGTCACGCTGCCGCCCGGCTTGCGATTCCCTACGGGTGCACTGCTGGGTCCGTACCTGCTCATCTCGGGCACCTATCTCGCCAACGCCACGCAGAGCTTCTCGATCTGGGCGCTGCATCTGCCCACCATGGTGTGGTCGCGCATCGAGTCCGGCTCCGCGCTCTCGACGGGCAGCTGGAATCGCGCGCTGCTTTGGCCCGCCAAGAATCGCCTCGTCGTTGTCGGGCACAAGGAGCGCGACCTGGTGAGTGACTACAACCACCGTCAGACCAACTGGGACCATGTGGTGGTGCTCGAGCTCGAGGCGTGGGGCATCTACCAGCCGCCCGCCTCGCCGCTCTCGGAAGCGGCGGTGCAGCTGGGCCTGGACAAGCTCGCTGCATCGGCACCCTCGGCCATGGCATCCGCCCACGCGCTGGCGCGCAGCGGCGGTGGTGCGCTCGGCAGGCCGAATGCAACCGACGCCACGTCTCCCACCGCGCCGGATGCTGGTGCTGCGACGCCGGAAGACGGTGTGGAGCATGCTGTCGAGCAAGGGCTCGAGGCGCTCAGCCTGGGCGGGCGCGGCGACTTTGAGATTGTCTGCTCGGACGGATTGCGCATCGGATGCGACCGTGCGCTGCTCGAGGCGCGCTGGGCGTGGTTCCGCACCAAGATGGACGAGTTCCGCCGCAAGGCGCGCCGCACGCTGCGCATCGCCTACCCGGCCACCAACGATCAGTTTGGCCTGGGCATCATCCCGGAAGACATTGCCGACTTTCTCGCCGAGGAAGACGATGAGGACGACGAAGCGATCGACCCGCTCGTTGCGCCGTCCGGCAACAAGGATGCGGCCAAGCATCGCGTCAAGGATCCTCGCTTCCAGCCGCGCCATCTGCAGATCTCGGAGCCGTCGCCGGTGGTGCTGGCGCTGCTGCAGTACATCTATACGCTGCGCATCGGCACGGCGCTTCAGAGGCACCCGGCGGTGGTGTGTGCGCTCATGGTGCTGGCGAGGACGTACGGGATGGAGGAGCTGGCGGTCTGGGCGAGCCATGCTGCTCATGTTGCGCTTGCCGACGATCTCAACCCCAAGACGTCGGGCTCGGCGCGGGGGACCGATGCGCTCTCGCCGTCGTCGTCCATGACGCATGCCATGGACGCAGGTGAGAGCGGCGGACTGGAGCTCTTTAGGCCGGCGGAGTCGCTGGGGCTGCATCCCGAGGAGCGACATCGGCTGGCGGTGTGCCTGTACGAGGCGGCGTCGCTGTGCGGGTGCGAGGGGCTGCAGATCCGCGCGCTGCGCGTCGTCATGGCCATCGCGCGCTGGCTGCAGAAGCACGGCGCGGCTCCCAACGGCGGAGGCGGCGGAGCTGCACTCGACAAGCAGCAGGGACGGGGCGAAGGCGCATCGCGCGATCGATCCGGCTCGTCGTCGCACCACGCCAGCGGTAGCAACGGCGCTGGCGCCACCCAGCTGTCGTCGGGCACATTGCGTGGCGCGAGCAGCTCCAACTATCGCAACGCCATGGTAGGGGGTGGTTTGAGTGCGGGCGCATCGCCCATGCTGCAGATGCCGTCGCCGGTGCCGTCGATGTCCATGTCGCGCGCCGGGTCGGACACGGCGAGCTCGCACGGCCCACTCACGCCCAACTCGGTGTACCAGAGCTTCCTGGACCGACGCGGCGATTCGTTCTCGTCGTCGACGGATGCGGCGCCGGCGTACGGCAGCGCACTGGCGTATCTTAACGAGGTCGAGTCGCTCGATGACCACGAGGGGCCAGACCATCGTAAGCTTACTTCGGCGCAGGAGTTTAGCAGCACCAGGCTGGACAAGATCGCCGAGACGGCGACGGGGGTGTTGCCAGAGGTGTCGACGACCATGGTGGCGCCGCACGAGGCGGGTGCGACGGAGGCGAGTGCTAGTGGCGGATCGACGCGCAAGCGGTTCAGCCTGTTTGGGCGTGGCATGGTGGCGAGCAGCACGCCGCAGGTGGCCGAGCCGGTGGCGGAGGAGGTGGCGCGATGCGAGAGTTCGGTGGGCGATGCGATGCAGCCCGGGACGACGCTGCTGGACCGACGCGCGAGTTCGAGCCAGACGTCGTCGCCGCTGCTGGCGAGTGACGACTGGTCGAGCCGATTCCGGCTTCCGCGCCATTCGATGAGTTCGCGCGATGCGACCGCCACAACGAGCGCTGCATCGTCTGGGCTCAATTCGCCTGCGCTGACGATGGACCCTAAGCGTCGGCATTTGCAGACGTCGGCGGCTTCGTCGCCGGCAAGCGAGCAGTTTCCAGTCAACTCGTACGGCCCACGCTCGGAGCAGGACCAAGCTTCGCGGTCGGCGTCGCAGCACAGTCTCTCGACGGAGGCGAGCGCGACGACGAGTGGATTGGAACGCAGCGGCTCGAGTGCTAGCGTGCATGCGGCGGTGACGGGGACGCCGTTGGTGGGGATTGAGATGGCGCAGGATGTGAGCCATCTGTCTGGCAAGGCGATCGCCAAGCTGCAGCGAGAGGAGCGCAAGCGGGTGGAGCGCGAGGAGAAGCAGCGCAAGAAGGCGGAAAAGGCCGAGTACAAGCGTCTGGCTGCCGAGGCGGTGTTTGGACCCAAGGGCAGTGCGGGCCCGTCGCCGGCGCTGTCGAGCAGCGACTTTGCCATGTATACGGCTGGAACGGCGGGCGAGGCGGAGCGTTCGGATTCGCATAGCGGCACGAGCACCGCCAGCCCCCGCACGGGCAGCAGTTTGAGGACGGCGTATAGTCCACGCTCGCCTGCTACCACCGCGCCCGCCAAGCGTGGAGAGTGGTCGGTCACCACGGCGAATACGGCGAGTCCGTGGTTCAGCGCTCCGCCGCCCATGATGAGCGCACCTGGTCTCAAGGGTATGCCGAGGGGAAACAGGAGCGCTAGCTCGCTCAGCGGTCGCAGCTCCGCCAAGACGAGGCTCACGTCGTAGGCGGTAGACCAATCGAAAGCCCGATCTGTAGAGGTGGGAAGCGTGTGAGATTCTAGCGTGGTCGAGTGGGGTGGGGAGTTGGGAACGCGGGGTGGCGAGGTGAGGCGGCATGTGGGCTTTGCATTGCCGCAGGGGGAGGGAAAGGCAAAGTGAGACATGCAATTGCACGATGAGAGGAAGGGCACGTTCGTGAGGACGCGTGGGGACAGCGGCGCCGAGGGAACGTGGCATTGAGCCGGTTTAAGCGACTGCTGCACGCCATGGGCATGTGCTCCCTGTGCCCGGAGATATGGGAGCCGCCGAGTCCCGCTGTGCCCTATGCAGTGGTACAGACATTGTATGCAGATCTCCAGCCGCTCCATCCGCTTGCTCCCTGGATGAGGCTCAACGGCGGGGTGGGGACGGCATCTATCTTGATGATTTTTTCGGGAGAGTGTTAGGTTGAATGGGCAAATCGCGCTTTGGCCTAGCTCAGCAGCACAGCCGCTCGAGACCCAGGCAGTTGGCCAGCAGTCGCCGCTCTCGTCGCTATCTCTCCGGCACACCTCCACCATCTCTTTTCCCCCCACACACCTTTTCCCGCGCCATCTCCAGCTCCATCACCCGCGCTGCCTCACCATCCATCATGGCTTGCCAATAACACGCGTCGTTGCACGTCCACACCCCTCCAGCAGCAGCACCATAACGCAGCACCATGTCGCACGCAGATCCAGGCGAACACGCAATGCCCGCAATGCCCGCAAATGGCACACCGCCATCGCCGCATTCAGCACAGTCGATCGCAGCGTCGGCGCCAACGCCAACTGCCTCGCTCCACGTCTCCCTGCCGCCCAACTTTCCACAGCCTGTCCAGACTTCCTTCTCACCGCCCGCAAGTAGAGTCGTCTCGGGAGCGACCATCGTCAACTCGTACACTAGCCCGTCCATCGCTCAGGTGCTCTCGCCACCGCTCCCGCCCCAGCTACCCCCCACCGCCACCTCTCCACACGCCTCGACATCCTCGCACCATGCGCATTCACCCACCAAGCCGACGGCTGCCTCCTCATCCTCATCCTCATCCTCTTCCGCTTCCGCTGTCGCTGCCGCCCTCGCACGCACGCCTTTCTCGCCTCCAGAGACCTACACCTTCGCACGCCCACCCACCAAGCGCGACAGCCCCGGCACCAAGAGCGCAAAGAGCACCCCCGGCCGCTCCCTCAACCCTCACCATGACGACATCCTCAGCCGCGAGTTCGCAGACGCCGCGCGAAACGACTTTGAGCTCAGCCTGCCACCAGCCATGCTCAGCTCCGGCCGCAAGGCGAGTGTCAGCCTCCACCTCTTCAAGGAGACCTCCAACAAGCCCTCTCACGCCGCCGCACTCGCCACCAGCCGCGACCGTCCTGTCATCGACGAGTCCCCCGCCGAATCCTCGGCGACAGCAACGACGACGAGCCTACGCAAGCAGCCCACTCGCGCTGCCACCATGCTCCCACCATCACACCGAACTGCCAAGCCGCCATCGTCACACCGCACCGATGTCCGCCGCGAGTCGTCCGCCACCTCGTCATCCGCGCTGCTCTCGCCGAGAGAAGTCTGCTCGTCTGCGCTACGTCCCGCCACGCCTTCGCTGCTTTTGGCCCAGGGCGACACCACCGCCAGCAGCTACTTTGGTCCCGCGCATCCCGAAGCCGGTCCCAGCTCAAGCGCTCCGGCGCTCGCCACCACTCTGCCCGCCACGAGCCAGCCCACGCGCCGCCCACGTCGCTCACAGACGCTCGCATCGCCCGAAATGGTCGGCACCGCATTCGACGCACACCTCCTGCCAGACGTCTCGTCGCTCGAACCACTCGATACACGCCCCATCCCCATCACCCGCTCCAAGCCCAACCAGCTTCGGCCCGCGTCTCCCGTCAAACTTGCTGCTGCCAAGTCGGTCGCAGCCGCGTCTGCCGAGTCCGACACCGCCGTCGATCCGAGCGCGGCCATCGCTTCGTTGGGCGCCTCCAATTTGCAGCGCCACTCGTCCGTGCCCGAGACCGACTGGGCGGGCCACGCGTGGCCCGGAACTCTCTCCATGACGCGCAGACGCAGCCTCAACCACCTCACACACAGCTCGTCTGACTATGAGGAGGATGGCGACGATGACGACGCGCTCGACGAAGACCTCGACGCGCCCGACGCCTATCTCGACTTTACCAGCTCCGACGACGAGCCCAAGTCGGACTATCCGCACGCCGCGGCCGACGACGACGAGCTCCAGATGAGCGGCTCCGAATGGGAAGCCGACAGGGCATCGGCAGAACCTGCGTACGGTATTCCCGCCTCTTCCGCGCACCACGACCCGCCAGCGGTGGTCCAGCTGCAGCCGTACCACAACCAGGTGGGCGGCCACAACTCCATCTTTCAGTTCTCCAAGCGCGCCGTGTGCAAGCCGCTGGTCGGCAGGGAGAACGAGTTCTACGAGGCCGTCGAGCGCGAACATCCCATCCTGCTCGCCTTTATCCCGCAGTACCTCGGCGTGCTCAACGTCACCTACCGACACGTCGACGAGCAGCAGCACGCGCAAGACGTCCAGCAACCTCCACCTGACCAGGCTGTCGGTGCGTCCGATCCGGCACCGCTGCAGGGCTCGACTGCGCCCGCGGTGGCTACGGATGCAGCGGCGCGCACCGAGATCGTCGATGCAAGCGCCGAGCTGCCCGAGCGCGCTCGGAGCGACTCGCGCGGCGCACGCACGCGCCGCAAGGTGTTCGAGGGCCAGGAGGAGTGGGGCAAGGAGATCCCCGAAGTCTCGCTCGACCTCAACCGGCATATCGTGCCCGAGTGGATGTTGCGCAGGTGTAGGCTCGCTCCCTCCGTCGTCGCTGGCGCAGAGGCGCTGCGTGGGCGCGCGTCGGGCAGTGCGAGTCGGTCGCATAGCCAGGAATCGGGCGCGCGCCTCGGCATGCCCGTGCCGCAAGTGCAGGTGCGCACGGGCGATGGTGCCGACGCGGCGCCATGCTCGCCGATGGCGTCGTACGAGCGTGCGGCACGCTACCGCTCCTCGCGGCCCACCTCGTCGTCGTCGCAGGCAGAGCGCAAGGAGTTCAGCTCGAGCCCGCTCACGCCCGCCGTGTCGCCGGATGCCTCGCCGCGCTCCACGCGGTCCATGGGCCACGCCGCCGACTGGGGCGGACGCGCCACCCAGCCCGACTCGGAGCGGCTGCACTCGTCGAGCTACGGCCATGCGGCTGCCGGCCTGGGTCCGCTGTCGCGCTCGCGCAGTCCGGCACGCAGCGCACTCAGCATGACGAGCCGCACGCCGTCGCACGCCTCGCACGCGTCGCAGCCAGCCGTGGGGCTCGGGTACGGCGCACAGGCGCTCAACGGCATCCATGGGCGCGGCATCACCACGGTGAACCGCAAGCTGCAGGAGCAGGTGCTGCGCGAGGTGTTTAGCAGCCCCATGCTCAAGGACGGCCTCGAGCCGCGCTACGGTTCGAGCGCCAAGCGGAATGCGCGCAAGAACCGACGCCGCCTCGCGAGGGCGTGGGAGGAGAGCGAGGAGGGCGAACGACTGCGCGCCACGCGCAATCTCGGCAATACGCCCAGGGAGACGCTCACGGCGCCGAGTGTGCTGCGCAGCGACGTGCGCACCCCCGACCCTGTGAGTAGCGGCAGGATGAGCGTCGCCAGCGAGTTTACGCCCACGGCTGCATCGTCGCCCATCCACTACAGGGGGCAGGCTAGGCATCCGTCCACGCCGCCGCGCACGCCGCCGTTGGGCGCGACTAGCTTGACCGCCTCGTCGCCGGCGTCGTCTAGGCTGCCGACCGCGGTTGAGAGGGAGTCGCCCAGTGCGGCGCTCAAGAGTGCTGCGCGGTCGGACGTGTTGAAGCAGCACCCAAGACGCGTGCTCAGCGACGTCTCGCTTGCCCTCAAGCCCGAACGCTCCCCACAGACGGCCAGCGGTTTAGCGAATGACACCACGCTCGATACGGAGCGCCCCGCAGCGGAGCTCGACGCGCTCGATGGCGAGGTGGAGAAGCTATCGCTGGCCGAAGATGTGCCGTTGGTGTCGGAGCCCGTGGAAATGGGCGAGGCGGGCGCAGCGGGGCAGACGCGGCAGGAGCAGTTTTTGCTCATGGAGGATCTTACGGGTCGGCTGAAGTCGCCGTGCGTGCTGGACCTCAAGATGGGCACGCGCCAGTACGGACTGGATGCGACGGATGCCAAGAAAAAGAGCCAGACGAAAAAGTGCGACAAGACGACGTCGCGCTCGCACGGCGTGCGCATCTGCGGCATGCAGGTGTACGACTGCGTCCGCTCCGCCTTTATCTTTCAAGACAAGTACTACGGGCGTAAAGTTCTGCCCTCGGAGTTTGCGGGGGCGTTGGCGCGGTTCTTCTTTGATGGCGAGCGCGTGCTGATGCATCATGTGCCGCTGATCCTGCAGAAGATCTACCACCTGGCGCGCATCGTATGGCGCCTGCGCGGATATCGCTTCTACGCCAGCAGCCTGCTGTTTATTTACGATGGGGACTGCGATACGCAGCGACGGCTGGAGGAGGAATTCGATGTGCGCTGCAGACAGGGTTGTGGAGGCACCGTGGCACCGAGCCAGATGATCGTCGGCTCCAACGTGCCTGTCGATGTAGACGAGGCGGCGAGTTACAGTATCGGTTCGAGCCCGTTGTTGGGTCCGATGGGTGCGGGGCATTCGACAACAGGGTCGGAAGTTGCGAGGAGGAGACGTAGGAAGGGCGAGATCAATATCCGCATCATCGACTTTGCCCACTGCACTACGGGGCACGACTACGATTTCGAGCCGCACGTCGGCAGTGCAACAGGCCTGCCCAAGGCGCGCTTCCCTCCCAAGCTCACCGACGGCCCCGATAGCGGGTATCTGTTTGGGCTCCAGAATCTCGCACGCAGCTTCGAGGAGATCTGGCAGACGGAGCGCGAGCGCCGCCGAGAGGTGCGCGCTACGCTCAGGCAGAATGGCAACGAGGCCGACGAGGACGAGCACGGACGGTATGTAGGCGATCTCGGCGAGTTGAAGGTGGCGGGCGCCGAGGTGTTTGGTGAGATCTTTGGAGACGGCCCGCACGGGCTCCACGGATATGTGTCTACATAGGGCGTGCTTGTCCACTCGCTCGAATGGCAGTGCTCAACCATCGATACCGACGCGCCGACTGTGTATCGAACGTGAAGCGAGAGGGCTGCCCGATGACGCCATGAGCAGATCGCGAGCGGTACGATCTAACAAGCGCCAACATTGGCCACGGCTCGATCCCGAGCGGTAATCTGGGTCCGGCACAGCGTTCGAAGCTCGAATCGAGGCTTGGTGTGAGGTCGAGGCGGGGCAGCGTGAGCCAGGATCAGGCTCTGGAAGCTTGAGCGGAGTGATGATGTCGAGAGCCGGTTGTGGGTGTTGATGTTGCGGATGCGGTAACTTGGTGGAGAAAAAAAAAATACAGCCGAGGGTTGGTGTGTGTCCACGTGCGGAGGAGGGCTTGTGCGACCTGCGCGCATCGTTCACGACCATCATCCGCTTTCGCGCCCATCCACAATGTGCGCATAGATCTACGCTGGACCCATCATGCGCAGCTGTACATCCGCGCTCGCCTTATGGGCGGCTGTGCTCGCCCACGCGCTTGTCGTCTCGGCCAGCCAGATCGTGTTCTCGGCGCCGACCAACACCTCGATCGGCGTGGAACGCAAACCGTTCGGCCGCTTCTTGCACGTTACCGACCTGCATCCGGATCCGCACTACAAGCACGCCTCTGCCGTCCATTCCGCATGCCACCATACGAAACCAAAAAAGCACAAGGCAGACGGCAAGCAGCGTGCAGGATGGTTTGGGACCGCCCTGACCGACTGCGATTCACCCCCGCGTCTCGTAGCGTCCTCACTCCAGTGGGCGGCAAAGAACCTCGTGGGCAAAGATGGCGGGATCGACTTTATCATCTGGACGGGAGATTCGGCTCGTCACGACAACGATGACAAACTGCCGCGCTCGAGCAGGGAGATCTTTGAGCTGAACCGGTGGACGCTGGATCAACTCGAACGCGCGTTCCCGGGAGTACCGCTGGTCCCAAGTGTGGGCAACAACGACATTTTCCCGCACAACATTTTGTTCCCGGGCCCCAATGCGGTGACGAAGGAGTATGTGCAGATCTGGCAAGACCATGTGCCGGAGTACGAGTTCCACACCTTTGAACAGGGCGGCTACTATGTCAAGGAACTTTTACCGAATCGGCTCGCGGCAATGAGTCTCAATACGCTGTATTTCTACGACAACAACAAGGCCGTCGATGGATGTGTGCGCACAAAGGGCAAGCACAACGTCGATCCCGGAACCGCCCAACTCGACTGGCTAGAGGTGCAGCTGGATCTGTTCAGGCAGAGGGGGATGCAGGTGCATTTGTTGGGTCACGTTCCGCCGACGGCGGGCAACTACTTTGCACGTTGCTACAAGCGGTATACGGATATCGTGCTGCGGTTCCAGGATACCATCGTGGCACAGCATTTCGGACACATGAACACCGACGCGTTCTTCATCCAGGAGGACCAGGACGCCGCGTATGCTGCACAACACCCCAGCGTGCGCGTCAAGCAGGAAGGCTTGCCGGGCGATTTGAAACAGGACTACTCGACGCTACCGGGCAAAGGACGTACGGACGAGGATCTGTACTCGGTGTTCTTCATCGCGCCCAGCATCATTCCGACCTACTATCCGAGCATCCGGCTCTGGACGTACAACACCACCGAAGGCGCGCGCTACACCGCCTCCACCACCACCACCACACAAGACGACGGCATAGACGAGGTAGACGAAGAAGACGACGATGTAGATCTAGATGAAGAGGACGAGGCGATTGTGGACGTGCGGTCGAGACACCACCATCGGCCGGTGCCGCCCAAGAAACGCCGGGGCAAGAAGGGCAAGAAGCGGCGACGGGCGCGACATGCTTCGGCGGCGTCGCCATCGCGCACCAACACCTACCTCAGCCTGCTGGGCTACAGCCAGTGGGTGATGGACATTGATGCGCAGAACGACGCCATCGAACGCATCCTCAAGCAGCACGGCGACGACGAAAAGCGCCGCAAGCACGCCGAGGCGGTGGATGTAGACTACCGGCTCGAGTACGCCACCTACCCGGCCTCGGTTTTGTGGGCCGACTTCGCCCCTTCGTCCGGGTATACAGGACCGGCGGCGGTGCCCAAGGCGTTGCTCCAAAAAGAGCTGGCGCGCGCGGGGGTGGAGGAGCCGTGGAGCAAGGGCAAGCTGGCGAAGCCGCTGCGGCACATGAGCGAGTATGCGCTCGAGAGCGTGAGTGTGCGCACCATGATGGACCTGGCGCGTCGATTGATGGTCGACAAGAAGCTCTGGCGGCGGTTTGTACGACGCATCTATTCCGAAAGCGGCTACGTGCCGTGATCTGCAATGTTCATCGGGTACTCCAGTCGGCGTGAGAGCGCAGTCGTGCAGCGTGGTTCCACAGCGCCAAGTCAAACGTGTGGTCGAGCGGCTTGCACACCAGCGCCTCGAGCACAAAGAACCGGTTCGGCAGGCGGATGTCCGTGTGGAGAGGGAAGACGGTCGCGGCCACTTGCGGGTCGGTGTGAGGGATGCGTGCGGGTGCAGTGGCAAAGGCGAGGTCGATGGGTGTCGAGCGCTGAACGAGGGTTCCGAGCACCATGAGTGGGGTCTTGAGTGGTGGCGAGGGCACGGCGCAGAGGGAGAGGTCTACGAGTACAGAGCTGGGCGGTTGGTTGGTGCGGGGATGCAGGTCCGAGAGGATGAGCAGTGTGCTGCTGGCGAGAGCGGTCACTGTACCTGCCACACGCAGCTTGCGACCCGCGAAGAGCGAAGGCTGCACATCGTTGATGGGCACCAGCTGCGCCGCTTCCACCCGCGACATGAGTGCATCGTGGTTGGTGGTTGGTGGTTGGTGGTTGGTGGTCAAGTTGGCCACGCGTCGTGGAAAAGAGTGTTGGTCTTTTCTTCTCGCCCCACCGCGCGCGTCTTCATCTCCACCACCAACCATGGCGTCCGACTCTTTACGGCAGCGTCACCCACCTACCCGATCGGCGAGCAATGGCTCTTCCACAAAGCGCAGCGTGGCTCGCGCGGTGGTGGCGACCTCGGCGTCGGAATGGCTCGCGATCCTCGCGCTCATCTTTGGCGGATGCTGCTCCAACGCCTACACGCTCGAACTCGCCACGCGCCAACTACCTTCGTCGGGCACGCTGATCACGTTTGCCCAGTTCCTGATCACAACCCTATCAGCGCTACCGCACTTCATCCAGCGCAGCCCACGTGCGCCGTGGATGGAGCTCAAACCTCGCGTCGTGCCACTGTACAGGTGGGGGGTGCAGGTGGCGCTGTACCTCTCGAGCAGCCTGCTCAACAACACCGCGTTTGCGTACAACGTGCCGATGTCGGTGCACATCGTCTTCCGCTCCGGCGGGCTGGTGATCAACATGGTGCTGGGCTATGCCGTGCAGAAGACGCGCTACTCGCTCGCCCAGGTCGCCAGCGTGCTCCTCGTCACCGCCGGCGTCGTAGCCAGCACCTTCTCCTCCCAATCTGGCCCAACCACAACCAACGGCGAAAGAGGCGAGGTGGGCGAGTATGCAACGGGCGTGGCGCTGTTGTTTGCCGCACTCGTGATCACGGGCTTGATGGGGTTGTGGCAGGAGCGCACGTTCCGGCTGTACGGCAACCAGAACTGGCGCGAGAGCATGTTCTACTCGCACCTCCTCTCGCTGCCGCTCTTTGGACTGCGTTCGCGCGCGCTGGCGAGCGACATTGCAGCTGCCAACAACACCACGCGCTGGTACTTTGCCTTGCACCATCCCCACTCCACAACGAGGGGTGACTGGGCTGCACTTGTCAGACCGCCCACGCTGGACTCTACCCCCGCGCGCGTGTTTGCACTGGACCACCTCATCCCCGCCATCCCCGCTGGGTGGGGGAAGGGCGTATGGGTGCCGAGTTTCTGGCCGCCGCTCGTGCTCAACGTCGCCACGCAGCTGCTGTGCATCAATGGCGTCAACCGCCTGACGGCGCAGGTGAGCTCGCTCTCGGTCACGCTGGTGCTGGTGGTGCGCAAGGCTCTTAGCCTGCTCATCTCGGTGCTGCTCGTCCAGCGCTCCACCGGCACGCCGGCGCTGTGGACGGGCGCCGCCGCTGTTTTAGCGGGGACCATCGCATACTCGCTCTCCAAACCTCCCGGCAGCGCCAAAAAAACACTGTAGAACAATTGCAATTAGAGCTTCAGCCTCGACCACGGCGCACTAGCAGCCCGAACATCAGCGCGGTACACGCACTCAGCGAGAACCTTGCAGCACAGGAGAAAGCAGTATCAGTCTCTGTAAAGAAAGCCGAGAGAAGGCAGGGGGAGAGAGGACTTACCAGGTGGCGGCGTAGACGGCGTGTTGGTTGCGCAGCTCGATGGTGGCTGCGCGGCCGACGGGGATGCCCTGTGCGATGCGCGTGGCTGCCTCGCCCACGTTGCCATCTGCATTGCACCAAGTCCAAACGAGTGTCAGCAGCATTCCATCTTGCACACGCTCAAGCTGTGAGGACTTACCAAAGACCTGCTCGAGGTAGACGGGAAGCACACGGTCCGTTTGCGCTCCCAGCATGTTCTTGACGCTCTCGGCCACACCGGCGCTGGGCGTGTAGCTATCCTGCGCATCGAGCTCGAGCGGTTTTACACCCTTGACGTCCGATGCCCACTGTGCCATCTGCTTGGCGTCCACGTGGAACCAACTTCCCTTGTCCGGCACATTATCCGGGGTGAACAGATTCGCGGGATAGATCCTGGGCAGCAATGCCACGAACTCCTCCTCTCCCCCTTGCATCGCTTCATCCCTAAGCCTCCTGTTCGCTCCTGTGCCTTGGATCTGTTTCTCGGCGACGAACCCACGGTTGATGAGGATCATCCCACCGCCCTCGGCGCGTCTAAAGGGTACGACGACGTGATACCCCATGGTGCCATCGCGCACCCGCGGACCGACGAACATGGTGCGTGCATGGTCAAAGCTCCCTTGCACCTGCACCAGCCGGAAATCGAACTCGGGCAGCACGTCGATGTTGACATTGCGCGGCAGCCGCAGCGGTTCGCGCGAAAGCTTATCCTCCAGCTCCTCGATCAGCGACACCTTCCACTTGAGCCGCTTCAGCTGCCAGTAGCCCAAGGCCGCCGTGAAGATCGGGATGAAGCCCAGCACGAGTGTCGTCGGTGAGCGGTACCATTTGCGGTGCGATTTGGCCGACTGCGATTGCGAGTAGCCCTCGGGTGCGTCCGGCGCCTCGTACTCCTGCTGCGGGCGAGGAGTGGTGCGGAAGCCGCGTATCGGTGTGCAGCGCGCAATGGGCGCGGGAAAAGCGAAAGATGGACGGTGCGAGAACAGCGGCTGCAACGCCGGAGTGAGAGGTCGAGCAAGTGCGTGCGATGTACCTGCCCGTGTACCTAGTACCGAGCTAGCAGAGCAAAGCGCGCTCCGCAGCTGAGGTGTCGCTCTCATGGTCGGCGATGCAATTCACGATGGTGGTCGGTCACAGTTGAGAAGATCGTGTTCATCCTACACGCGGCAGGGTGTGGAGGTCTTTGCTCGGAAAAATTAGCGTAAGGCACGGCCGTGCAGAGAAAGAGTGAGAGGCTCTCGCCCACGTGATGCCATCCATGAATCGGGCAGATCGGACTTCCTCGATCGCCGATGCAAACCTCCCCCCGCTTGCCCCGGTCATCTCGCCTCTAAAAAGTCTCGTTGCTCCTTATCAATGGCAATGGCTTAGCCACAGTGAGAATGGGAATGACATGCTGCGCGGTGCATGCTGCATGCTGGAGGGGTGTCAGGTGCGGTGCGCTGCCAATGTCGCTGGTGCGGATGCAAGCAAGCGAGGCGCGCGTGGCATTCCGGAGCGCTGCAGATTTCAGGAGGCGCAGAGCCCTGTGCAAATTGACAGGCAGAGCGCAGCGCAGCGCAGCGCGGGCGGTATTGGACGCATCTCGCTGGCGCGCCGAGGCCGCAGCTGAGGCATCGCGTCCATTGCGAGGGGTCGACACTCATTCCAGAGCGTACATGGCTGCTGCCTCTCGAGCCGAATGCTCGCGCGCCTTCCGATCAGCACTGGACAGGGCGAGCAGCGGAGGTAGACGCTGCTCACATTTCTCAGCCACAGCTCTGGGGGGTCTATTGTTCGCCCAGAAGGTTCCGACCAAACGCTGGCTTCGATGGGAGGCAGGCAGGCGAGATGCCATGCCGCCCGCCCGTATGTCATGCACATCTGGACCGTCGGCGCGTGCGATCGCTCGAGCGGCTAGACAGCTGCTGGTGCACGCTTGGTGCACGCCTTGTGTTGGTTCTGCTTTGCTCAGAGCGGCTCGTAGCTGCCCCTGATTCATAGTCGCGACGCCACATCGAGTCGAGAGCCTGCTTGACGGCTCTAAACACACGACGGCCCACGGCGGCCAATCTCTTCTCCTCCCTTCCACCATCTCCTACCTCGACCGCTCCGTCTGTTTATATTACCCCTACCCCTCCTTCCCCCTTTGTCGCGGCCTCGCGTCTTTCCCCACCCACACTCTTTTCGATCGTCTCGTTCCAGCAGCTCTACGATGAAGCTCTCGTCATCCTTCGCCGCGCTGTCCGCCGCCGTGGTGGTGGCGCTGTGCATCGGTCAGGCGCACGCCGAAACCGTGAATGCGCCTTTGGGCCTGTCGCAGGTCAACGACGAGGGCGTGCCCATCACGCCGCTCACCTACCTCAACCTCGAGCCGTCTAGCAAGGAGCTCTCGGACGCCGCCAAGAAGGTGACCACACCCCCGCCTCTGCCCAAGCACCCCAAGCGTCTGCTCAACCCGGCGGACGAGCTCAAGCCGTACGTCGGCCAGCTCAGCAGCCCGGGCATCAAGGTGCGCGCCGAGCTCGGACACAGCCTCATCCCCTCGCTGCCCATCCTGGGCAACCTCGACAACGAGGGCGACCACCGCACCGACGTCCCCGCGACGCCCAACAAGCGTCTCGTGGCTCCGCTCGAGGTGCTCAAGCCCGGTGAGGGCACGGAGTACCTGCCCGAAAACCACCAGAAGCTGGGCCAGCGCACCGTACATCCGCTCAACCGCCGTGCCGACTCGCCCGTCGACCTGAGCTTCTTCGGCAAGAACCTCGACGAGCTTGCGCCCAAGCTGCCCGCGGGTAAGCGCGCCTCCGACACGGGGCTCAACCTGCTCGGCGCCGACGTGCCGCTCGACAAGCTGCCCCTGCCCGGCCTCAAGCGCCAGGCAGACGTAAAGCCGCTCGACCTCGGCCTCAAGACGGGCAACGCGCAGGACGCGGATGCAGCCAAGTCGCTCCTGGGCGGTCTGCTGCCCATCAAGCGTCTTCTTAGCAACGACAACCCGCTCGCGCCTGGTGCTGCCGCCAGCGAAGAAGACGATGGCAGCTCGGGCCTCAGCGTGCTCGGTAACAATGTGCCGCTCAACAAGCTCGCGGTCCCCGGCATGAGGCGCCAGGCCGATGTGAAGCCGCTTGACCTTGGCCTCAAGACGGGTAACGCGCAGGATGCGGATGCTGCCAAGTCGTTGCTCGGCGGTCTGCTGCCCATCAGGCGCGATGGCGACGTCAAGCCGGTTGACCTGGGTCTCAAGACGGGCAACGCGCAGGATGCTGAGCGCGCCAACGACTTCCTCGGTAGCCTGCTGGGTGGCAAGCGCGACACGATCACGCCCGACAACCTCAACCTCGACAGCGTCAAGCCGATTGTCAACCAGGGCGCGGGCACTGTGATGCCGATTGTGCTGAACCAGGTCAAGAGCAAAGCGAGTCCGGCAGTGCAGGGTATCAAGGCGGCCAATGGACTGTGCAGTGCGTTTGGATGCCAGAACGCTGTACAGGGTGCCGTGGGTGGGGTGACCAAGGAGCTGCCCCTGCCCAAGGTGCGTGCGCTGGGAGACAAGGACATGTTCGAACACGGCCTGCTCGGTGGAAACGGCGAGATCAACGGGATCCCTGTGCGTCGGGGTGATCCGGTCACCGACACCATCCTTGGCGCGAGCGACGAGGCTCGTGATGCGATCCTGGGTGTCAAGGACCAGGCGGACGATGCGGCCGGTGCATTTGTCAAGAACATGTACTCCAAACACGGCGAGGTCCAGACCAAACGCGATCTCACCCTCCCCGGATACGCCCTCCTTCCCGGCACAGGCCCTATGGCCAAGGAGGGTGCCCAGGAACTTATCGACTTCCTCGACCTCCCCGTTCCCGGTCTCAAGAGGATGGACAAGCTCAGGCGCAAGGAGTAGAGTCCTTTTTGCTACACTGTCCTGCCGATATTTTGATGCACTCTGCCGCCGCTTGTGCGAGCATTCGAGTCGCCAAACCCGCCTCAATACACCATCTCGATTTCCTGAACCATACCCCTTGAATCCGCCTCTTGTAAAACTGAGCGCTTGGCCGCTCCCCACCCACCCACACACACATTCTTTTGGACTCGTTAGGCTCGCTCGAAAATTCTCCAGTCGCTCTCATTTTCTGCCTCGTTGTCCAATTGGCCTGGGAGGCTGCCTGGGATGCCGCCTGGAAGTGTGAGCCTATCGGATGGCGCCAAGTCGAGTCGGCCCGCAACCGAATGCGCGTGCCAGACTCGGGCACCGAGGCGAGGGTGCGGTGCGCAGCTAAGCGGCTCCGTCAGTGTTCGGCTCGGCCGCATCCCCATTCCGCCTCTGCTCGTCACCACCACAGATCCGGCAGGGTCGAGTGTGGCGCGAGGGTCCGAGATGTGGCGTTGCAAGTCGCCAAGTGTGATTCTGTGAAAATGGTTCAAGGCATCAGCCAGCTTGTGCATATGCGCGTAAAAAAAACTACGCCGGTCGGAGCGATCAAGTTGTGGAATTGGCCACCGACACCGGACGAGGACGTGCCAGTAAAATTGGACTGCGCGCTTTTTCAGGCTCAGCTGGGTTTCGTACCGTACCGCCAAGCCCAACGCCCTTTGAATTGCGATGCGCATAGAACAGAGTGAAAGCATCACATGTGCCGTGCCGTGCTGTGATGGGAGCATAACTCTGCAATAAGCTTCACACTGCAAAGCTAGATCTTCGCACAGGCGAATCGCTGAAATGTGTTGGTCTTCTTGCTCGCGACTTGCCATCGATTTCGCTTGGTTTTTTTGGCCTTCCGGCGTTGAAAAATGCGCTTTGTTTGGACACGCGCTCGAATTGCTCGCTTGGGCGGCTCGCGGCTCGCGGCTTCGCCACAGCTTGGGCTGCTTGCTGCGCACGACCCGATTTTCCCACGTTTTCTTCTTCATTTCTTCCTTTTTCATTTGGGCCCAATTTTGCCACTCGGGCCGCGACGGTCTCGAGTCCGGTGTTGCGGCTGCGCCATCCGTCCGTCCGTCCGTCCGTCCGTCAGTCCGTCCGTGCGAAAGGCGTGTTGGTGTGGCGCGCCATCGCACTCCTTCTGCACCACCACACTCCCTCGACAGGGCCCTCTCGGCACCCTTGTTCTTCTTCCTCGCTCTTCCTAGACCTGGTGGGAAGTAGGCTCGAAGTCGACGCGCCTTTGCAACCGGTGCTTCCTCCTCTTCCACCTGCTCTCCAATCCCTCATCCTCACCCCACGCATTTCCTCTTTTCTCTTCCTTCTCCTCATCCTCATCATCCACCCTTCTGGCGCCATCCCAGCAAACAATCCTTTGCCCCCCACCATATCAGACGAGCTCGTCAGCTCACCACATCCGCTCGACACTGCCTACAGCTTTTTTGGCCTCCTACATCATCCACGTCGGTCGATTGCAATCTCTTTCCTTCCTTCATTCATACACCCAGGAAGAAGACCATCGCATCTTCTCGACCATCCGCGCCCCACACCCATCGGCGTAGGCTTCCGCATCACGTTGCATTGACCAAGGTAAGTCTGCATTCCATCTCGAAACACTGCTCCATACACACTTGCATCGCCTCGTCTGCTCCGACACCCCAGAGCTCCATAGGTTGGAGCGACCGCATACACATGGTCGCAAGTCCAAACTGGCAGAGCTTGCCACGCCGACGCGACCGCATCCAACCTGCAGCGAGGTCGGCTCGAGCCGATGCCAAATCTCGATCCGTTGCGATGCGATGCGTTGCGATGCGATGCGGAGAGATTGCGGGCGGGCCAAGCAGAGTCTGGGTTTCACACTCAGACGCGATCGACGATTTCTTCGCATCGTCCCCCCGATCTCCTCGTTGTTTTCACGATTTTTTTGGCTGCTCGGCTTCGGCGGTATCGGTCGCGTAGATTTGGCCGCCGCTGCGCAATGGTGTCATCAGGCCCTTGGTCGAGACCAGCCGAATCGCTCGTCGGTGCCTGGCTGCTGCTGTCGCCGTACAAGCTTCTCTTACCTTCGGGAAGCGGCCCGACCCAGCATGCCGAATCCTCCACACGGTCTTGTGCGTTGTCGATTGCCTTTGCAGCTTCGCAGCTGCAATACCCACCGTCGCCGACGCTGCCGAGCCTCGATCGGTAGCTTGTGCCGATCTTCTCGCCGGTTTCATCCAAAGATCGAGCAGCCACATCATCCCACCGCCGCTCGCTCGCCTGCAGTGTTGCCAAGCAGCATGCCATGGCTTGTTTGGGCACATCGGCATTGCAATTCGGCTGCTCCAATCGGCCTTCGAATTGGCCAGCACAAATGAGCTCTAAATTGCCACTTCGGCTCCCACTCGCCCTCACGTGCATGCGTATCGCGCTGCAAGCGCTCGCGCAAATGCCGGCGAATGCTCCCCGCCACACTCGCCCTCCCATGCTCCGCCGACGTCTATCCGACACGTCCTGGCCCGCGGGCCTCGATCGTGCTCATCCACACCGGATGCCACGCTCCTGGTCGCCGTCGATCCGGTCGCATCAACTTCGGCTGCCTGCCTTCTAGATTTGGCAGACTCGTACCAAAGTCGTATCTGTCTCCACATCTTGGCTCTTTCTTCTGTCAGAAGCGCTCGTCCGCCCTCCCTTGCCACACTGGTGTATCGGCGTGCTCGTCGGCCACCCCTCCACTGCCTGCTTGCCAAAGATTCCGTTCCCGCCTTTGTCCTTTTCCCTCTCCTCGCCGCCGTGCAGTTCGATGCAAGCGCATGAAACTAACGCCTTCCCTTCTTCCTCTTCCCAACGCCACCTTCGACCGACATCCCCTCTTTACCGCCGCACCCCCCACCAATATCGCCAACCCCTTCGACATCCATCGCATCGTCTCTCCGCCGCTACCTACGGCTTCCTCACCGCCATACCGCCCACAGAAGGCTAGATTTTATCTGCCGCCGCCTCACATTTGTCACCGGCCCAAAGGCACTCCTCATCGGCTCCTGAGAGCTTCTCAGCAGCTCTTCCCTTGCATGTTTTTACCAACCATTCCTTCCACTCGCTGTTGAAGGTCGTCGAGCCGCACGGCTTCACCTCACCATTCGTAGCGTGACCAGCCAGCCACATATTCCCCGTGGACCACTTGGCCAATAGCCGCGCAGCCTTTAGCATCTCTTCGCTTACCTCGACGCGCCGCATTCCCGCTCCAGCATGGGCCCGAGCCAAATCAATCCTCCCAAACCATCCCGCGCCGCTACTGCGCGCAAACCCACAGCTGGCGATCCACCGGATCGCCGCAACCAAAGCCCCGCCTCCAACGACAGGGCCCATCACCAGCCACCTCGGCTCGTAGCTAGTCCTCCACCGGCGCCATACTCGAACTTTCCGCCAGGCTACGTGCATCTCCCACACACCATGACCGGTCCACCCCACCCTCCGTCGGGACAGGCCTCTGGTCCTGCATACCCAGCGTACGGCGCACAGGGAAGCGCCGACACATACGCTTACGCTGGTGCACCTTACTCTTCCGGAGCTCATCCCGTCGAGCCGCGCCACTTTGCTCGCCCACCCAGTCGCACGCAATCGCAAAGCTCGGGATCCGGCTCCGGCGCCTCGCCCCACCACGAAGTCGTACCGGGGCCTCACTACGCTCCGCACTATTCGCCCTCGTACTCGACCGTGAGTCCGAACCCCTCTGCCGGCCATTCGGGACGCACCAGGTGGGCATGGGTCCCCATCGAGGTTCCGCACACTCATCTTCCCGATGATGCCCACATGCAGTACCCCCCGTACCACGGCAACTACTACCCAACCTCGACCGGTTCGGCGGCTTCAAGCACATCCTCATCCCACCAGCCCTACCCGCCGGCGTTCGGCGAAGGCTCAGGACCGATGGCAGCCTCCTACGGAGTGCAAGTCCCGCCAAACTATCCAACATCCTATCCCTATCCTGTGCATCCGAACCACTACGCCTCTGCCCACCAGCACTCCTCGCACCACCATGCAGTGACGCCCGGCCGAGGATCGTGGTCCGGCTTGACTCAGCACGGATCCCAACATCCAGGCGCCAACCGCGAGGGCCTCTCACCCAGCGGCGGTGGTGGCAGTCGTCGACAGACTGGTCCGCCGTCCCGCTCTGTACATGGCGCACGCCGGCCCAACTCGAACTCCTCCGGCAACCAATCTTCCTCGCCCATGCGAGGTCCTGCCGGTCTGCCTCGACGTCCCAGCTCGACCGTGGCGCCCGAGGCAGAGGATGTGGCCGCAGAGAGCGACGTGTCGCCCCAGGCACTCGGCGTGGCAGCAGTCCCGCTTCAATCGGATACAGCTGACACGAATGTGTCGCCGTCGGCCACTGGGACGGACGTCGATGTTGAAGGAGAGCTCGATGTCGCGGGCACCGATCGCGTGCCGGGCAGGGGTCTCCGACCGCACTACCATCCACAGCAAGGGCCGCGTTCCGACTTTGTTCTCTGGTGCGGCAACGTGCCGCAGGATGCAACCGTAGAAGAGCTTTGGGAGGTGTTTTCGCGCCTCACCCCCAACGAGTACGAGCGATGGCTCGCCTCGTCCGAGGGCAAAGAGCATCGCAGTGCGGCAGACGAGGAAGACACCGACATCGACGGACACGGCGTCCTGTCCATCTTCATCATTTCGCGCAGCAATTGCGCCTTTGTCAACTATGCCAGCACCGCGCATCTCGATCGAGCCGTCCGGTACTTTCACGGCAAGCAGGTACGCCCCCACGACGCGCGCTGTCCCAAGCTCGTCTGCCGCGTGCGTAAGAAGGACGACGAGGCGCAGGCAGGCGTGGCCGGTCAACGAGGACGCGGCATCCATGTCGCTTGGCTCAAGCAGAAACGCGAACTTGAGCGAGCGCAGGCCTCGCCCAACGCTCCAACGGCCGACCCGTCTGCGCACGCGCCACCGACGGTGCCATCATCAGAGCCGCTCTCGCCACTCTCGCCGCTCTCGCCACCCGGAAGAGACTCGGCTCCTGTGGCTGCAGGACTCACCTCGGCAGGCTCGTACAGCTCGAGCGGATCCGCGTCATACACCTCGACCAACTCTTCGCTCTTCCGACACCCCGCCTTCCGTCATCGCTTCTTCATCCTCAAGAGCCTGCGCGCCGACGACCTGGAACGCTCAATCGAGACTGGCTATTGGGCCACACAACCGCACAACGAAGCGGTGCTGGACCAGGCGTACCGTAACAGCGAGACTGTCTATCTCGTCTTTGGTGTCAACCAGACGGGTCAGTTCTACGGCTACGCCAAGATGGCCGGGCCCATCCACACGCACACGGCCGATGCCACGAGCAAGGAAGAGCAGCAGCGCCGAATCAGCCTCTCTTCGGTGCGCTCCGCCGCCTCGGCGAGTGCGCAGGCTGCGACCGTTTCCGAGTCGGTTGGCGATGTGTCGGGCGAGTCGGGTGTCACGTCGGCCTCGGATCCGAGCTCCAAACGGCCGCATCCCGTGTTGGACAAACACGACATCCAAGTGGCAAGGGGCCTGTTTGGCAATCTTTCGATCGACGGCGCTGGCGAAGCGTTGCAGGCTATACCCATGACGTCGCCGCTCCCCATCACGCCGCTGCTGGAGGAGGCTGGCGCGCGCACCGCCACGATGCCGCAACGCAGCGATACCATCACGCCTCGCACCTCTGCGTTTGCCCAGTCGAGCACCTGGCCATACTCGTCCAGCCGGGTCGGCAGCGACGGCGCAGATTCGGCGGAACGTCTCAAGCTCACGACGACGCTTTCGGCGGAAGCGCCCGCCATGACCGCCGAACCGGACGAGTACGGCGTGCGACGCATCGACATGGAGACCGAGTCGACGCAGACGACGTCGAGCCAGAGCGACCAGCCTTCGTTAGGCCCGAGCGATTCTGCGTCGTGGTCGTCGGCCGATCCACGCATGGCCGAGCAGATCGCGCTGCGCGCCGTGATCCACAACCTGCGCCTGGACGAGATGGAGTCGCGCGGCAAGGCGGAGCGGCTCGAGAGCCAGCTGCGCCACGGCAGCAACGAGACGGAAGCTACCGTGACGGCCGCCGGAAGCGAGCGAGGCGCGCCGGAGAGCAACGAACGCACGCCACCGCGACAATCGTCGTCCGACTCGTGGGGCAAGCCATTCCGCGTGGAGTGGATCTGTACGGACCCGCTGCCGTTCCAGCGCGTCAAGAAGCTGCGCAACCCGTGGCGCGACAACAGGCAGGTCAAGGTGTCGCGAGACGGCACCGAGCTGGAGCCAGGCGTCGGCCGTCAGCTGTTGGAAGAGTGGAACCGGCTGCCGCCAGCGTCGTCTCTGGCCGTGGTATCGGACCGCGCCGCATCGAGCTCGCACACGCCGGCTGCAGGTGCTTCTGCCGCTGCCGTAGCGAGCGATGAGGAGGAGTGAATGGCTCGTTCCTTCCCACCTAAAACAGGCTACGGCGACCATCCCGGCAATGTCGCCGGCAGCCGTTGAAGCAAGCGCCTCCTGGAGGACGAGGCCTTGTCTTCTCCACCCACATCCACGGCGGCGAATCCTCGTGGTTGCATTGCTGTCGTCCCGACCCGTTCTCCCGCTTTTCTGCATTTTTCCTTAGTGTATCATACGGTCAAGATACTCGCATACCGTTGGACGCCCAAAGGCATGCTGCTCGACGCTTTTCGTTGCGCAGCCAACACACACAGTCTTGCTTTCTATATACGTCGTTGCATCCTTGTTGTTGTCAGCATCCTTACCCCTTTCACACTGTGTTTTCTTTTTTTGTAGCGCTTATTCATACATGTAGGCGCAGCTTTCCCCCCCCCCCTCCTTTTTTGTATCCTGGATCCGATCGATACCATCCTTGTACTCTTATACACCGCTTCTGGAGCACACACCGCATCGCATTTGGGTTATCTCTCTCTCACTCTCTATCTCTCTCACTCTCTATCTCTCTCACTCTCTATCTCTCTCACTCCTGTCGGGGTTTCTACCTTCTTCAGCCTCTGGTCTTTTCAATTGTCATCATCATATACTCGCTGAAAACTCGGTGGTTTGTGCTCTGTGAGTGTGCTCTGTGGTTGTTGGGTGCTAGGCGTCGGTGCGACACTTTGGTGAGACAGTCGTACATCACATAAATGTGCATATCTACGCTACCGCAGCTTCGGCGAACATGACTAGGGAATATGGTCTAGTGGTATGACGTCGCTTCCGCATACCTTAGGACCGCAATGTTCGTGGTTCGGAAAAGCGAAGGTCCGGGGTTCGATCCCCTGTGTTTCCATTCCTGATTCTTTTTTGGCTTTTTTTTTTTCAATTGCTGAATGTGAGTTTTTTTTTCCCGATTTACCGTTCAATTTGGGCTGTGTTTCGTTTGGCGTTCATCCTCGGAATCCTGCTGGCAATGCAGCTCAAGAGGTACTGTTCGGCGCACGAGAGCCTGGATGAGCACTGTGAGGAGCCTGTTCTGATCATGTTCGAGGAGCCAACGAGGGACGAAAGGTGCCTCGGGCCGAGCGAGGAGAGCGGACGAGCATTGCAATGGAGATCGGACAGATCGGATCCCGATTACGATTACCGGGCCGTTCCGTTCGGCGAGCGCCGAGAACGAACGGGAGGAAATGCCGAGATTTGACTTTTTGGACCGCGGCGTGGCGGAGAACTACCAACCACCTTCTACACCAACCCCACCAACTTTCAGTGCACACCTCGACCGACCGATCGATTCACCCGAACGACACGGCAAGGTTGCGTCGCTCGGACAGACGCGAGTCGAACATCTTTCTACACCATACTCGTCTCGATCTGGCGCTCGGTGCGCCTGCTTGCATCGTGCACACCGTCTGCCATCTACGCACGGCAACTACACACATCGCTACATCCTCGCGCCGTACTTGTCAAGATGCCCGAAGCCGTGTGCACGCCCGCACCATCGACAACCGACGTGGGGCCGGTGGTGGTGCCTGATCTCGAGTCGTTCCCGCCGACTGGCGTGCCGAAGCACACCAAGCTGGGTTCGTGGGAGTTTTACCGCTCCATCGGCTCGCCCAAGCGCGTGGTGGCGCCCATGGTGGACCAGTCGGAGCTTGCATGGCGTGTGCTGAGCCGTCGCTACGGCGCCGACCTCGTCTACACGCCCATGATCAATGCCAAGCTGTTTGTGGACGAAAACAGCAAGAAGAAAAAAGTAAAGTACCAGGAAGTCAACTTCAACCGCGAGTTCGGCGAAGAAGGTGCTTCGTCCATCTCGTCTCTCCTCTCCGAAGAGGGAGCATCGAGCGATACGGATCGGCCATTGTTCGTGCAGTTTTGTTCGAACGATCCAGCGACGCTGCTCAAGGCGGCCGAGGTGGTGCAGGACCGATGCGACGCCGTGGACCTTAACCTCGGCTGTCCACAGCACATCGCACGACGCGGCCACTACGGTTCGTACCTCATGGAGGACTGGCAGCTCATCTTTGCGCTCATCAATATCCTCCATCTCAATCTGCGCATTCCGGTCACCGCCAAGATGCGCGTGTACGAGACGGTGGACAAGACGGTTGCGTACGCTAGGATGCTCGAACGCGCCGGTGCGCAGATCATCACGGTGCACGGCAGAACACGAAGCATGAAGGGCCACCACACCGGTTTAGCTGACTGGGCCAAGATCCGCGCAGTTAAAGAGGCGGTGGGTGTACCGGTGTTTGCCAACGGTAATGTGCTGTACCCGCAGGACTGGCAGGACGCACTGGAGCAGACTCGTGCGGATGGCGTGATGAGTGCCGAGGGTAATCTGTACAACCCGGCGGTGTTTATGTCCTCGCTGCCCACGGAGCCGAGTGCGATGTTTCCCAACGCACCGCAGTTGCCGTTCCCTTCGCTGGCGCGAATGGCACACGAGTATCTCGACATTGTGACGCAGCTGCGCACGCCGACGTCGAGCAGCGCGATCAAGGCGCACCTTTTCCATCTCTGTCGTCCCGGCCTCGAGGTGCACCGCGACCTTCGCGAGTCCCTGGGCAAATCTCGCTACGATCACACAGCCACGGGCGAAGCGCGCATCGCAACCTACCGCGCCTTTGTCACCGAGCTCGAACGCCGTCTCAACCTGGACCGGGCTGAAGACAAGTGGAACGCACCCCAGGATCCACCGTTGCCGGGGTCGGTATCGTTCTTGACGCCGCCCGATGCGAGCAACCCGGACGTCCATCGACCGGCGTTCATCCCGCATTGGCTGGCACAGCCGTACTTCCGCCCACCGCTCGTGACCGATGAGCAACAGGACGATGACGCCAAAAAGGCGCGCAGGGAGAGGGTCGCTGAAACCGCACAGGGCAAGGTCAAGGCCGAAGCGAAGACGGCGAGGCAGAGGAGCGAGAGTGCAGAGCCTGCGCAGGGCGACGAGAAGCGTCCGCGCACCACGCTGCCCCACGACACAGCACCACCCCAGCCCATGCCAGCACTGTAGCCCGAATCCGACACACACACACACCACTGGAAATGCAAAGCGACATTTGCATTGGGATCGATCCGTGTATGCATGCTGATTGTTCGAGTCAAGATTAGAGATGCCTAAGGGGGGGGGGCGGAGGGGGTATAACTTTAGGGCCAGTCTTGGAGGTTGAGACCGTGCTTGGTGCACTGTTGCTCGCACCAGTCCCAGGCGGTTTGTGCAACGCTTGGATCCTTGGCGAGGTCGCTCTCCTCGCCCACGGCTGCCCAGGGGACCAAGTACCTGCCGTGGATGAGCTCGCTGTTTGCGGCGGTAGCTGCCCAGAGCTGCGTAACTGCGCCGAGGGTGGCGGGTACAAGGAACCAGTTCTTGAGCCTCGTGAGGAGCGAATTCGTGGATCCCAGCTGCGATTTCACGCCACCCGGGTGGGCCGAGGCGACGGTGATGCCCCAGTTGTGTGCGTCCGAAGCGGCGGCGAGGGTTTTGGCGGTGAGGATGTTGCCGAGCTTACTTCGGCCGTAGAGGTGGACATAACCCAGCCCTGCGCGATCGGGGTTGTCCAGACCGGCGGGGGTGAGGTGCGAGGGTTTGTTGATCCAGCGATGCGTATCGGACGACGTAAGCACCACGCGTGTTTCGCCCGTAACGGCGCTATTTCGCAACCTGGCTGATGCTTGCAAGGCGGGCAATAAGAGTCGAAGCAGCGCATGGTGGCCTAGCACGTTGGTGCCCCACATGATCTCGTACCCGTCGACCGTCTTTCCGCTCTCCATCACACCGGCATTGCACAACACCACATCCACCCTCTCTTCCTTGCTCAGGAACTCGTCAACGGCTCGTTGGACGCTATCCAAACTGCCCAGGTCGCACTGCACAGGTGTCATCCTCCCCACCTCTGCCCCGTACCGAGCATGCCCCACAGCCAACCCCGCCAACTCTCGCCTGCACTCGGCCGCAATCGTACTCGCCGTAGCACGGAGCTTATCCAGATTGCGACCAAACATGTATACGTGTGCCGAGGATAGCACCAGCTGTCGCAGTGTCTCGTACCCGATCCCCGACGACGGTCCCGTGATGATGACGATGCGGTCCTGTAGAAGCGGCATCGTGGATGGATCCCAGTGCTTGCAGCTGCGCGACGGCGGAGAGTGCCGAAGCATGTCGAGCGCGATACTCGTATACGACGCCATGCTCGCGAAACCCAAGGTGGTCAAACCGCCAGTGGACCTTGGGTCGATTGATGAATCACGGTGCGGAGAGTGTGGTGCAAAGATGATAGGCAGGATTCGCTCAGACCCTTTTGAAACACGCACCGCACCGCGCCCATCAGCCCATTTTGGCGAGAGGAGCAAGCAGAGGCATTTCGAGTGTTGTTTCTAAAAAATCCAAGAGCCACAGCCGTGTGTGTGGCGGGGTGGAGGATTCCATGGCGATCCGGCGTTTGAAAACCCCGCTCCTGCCCCTGCCTTGCATCGCCGTCGTACGATTTCACACGCCCCCCCACCCTCACCCACACAACTCTAACACCCTCACACCTTTTTCGCACGTCCATCTCGGTGAATTGCTTTAGAAGCGCTGCGTGCCTTCGAACCGCCGAAAGATGTCCTCGCTGGCAGCAGACATCTCCGTGGCCATACGATGCACCTCGGTCCCCGGGCGGTTGTACAGCAGACTGTTGGCGAACATGAGGTTGAGCGCCTTGCGCAGCTGTTTGGGCGTCCCAATCGAACCCTCCTTGATGCGCGCCTTGATCGTCTTGATGTCGAGCGGCTGCTTGATGAGCGTATAGTAGTCCGGTGCATCTTGCTCCTTGATGGGTGCGTGGAAGAGGTTGCCGTGCGTGTGGTTCGACACCTCCGTCAGCAGCATACTCAGCACCTGGGCCTGCTTGCGTTTGGCCGCCTTGCTGCGCTCGCTCATCGCCGAGGGGGGTGTCGATGTGCGCGAGGGTTCGCTCTTGACTGCTGCTGTGCGAGAGGCGCTAGCGCGGGAATCCGCAGTGCGAGTGTCGGATTCGGCCAACTTGGCAGCACTGCGTCTGCGACTAGAGGGGACGGATTGCACTTGGTCCTCGGCCTCGTCTTCGTCCGATGACGTTCCCGCCGTGCCATCCTCCATCGCTGCATCACCCTCCGCAACCTTGGTCTCGACAGCTTCACCAGCTTTGCTGGAATGGTCGGCGCTCGGCTGGGTGGACGCAGCTTCGCTCTCGACGCCAATCGCAGCCGCCGCCTCGTCCTCGCTGTCCATCTCGCCGTCGGACGACGCCACGACCGCATCCGCCGTCCGTGCCTTCTTCACCGGCGAGCCGCCATCCGTCGGCGCTACTGCAGCTGGCTCGCGCTTGTCCGCCTTTGTCTCCTCTGCCGCTGCAGATGCCTCGTCGTCGCCGCTGCGCTTTCGTTTGTTCGACACTGCGTCGGCGACTGCCCCGGCCGACTCGACGCGCGCTTCGGCTGTCTTTCCCTCCACGGCCGCTGTCGGCGCGGCAGGAGCTGCATCGCTCTGCACAGCCGGTGCCGGCTCCTTCTCCTTGACCACCACGTCTGCCGCAGGCGCAGCCGGCGCGACGTCTTTCGTGGGCACCTCCTTCGCCGCTGCTGGTGGCGCCGCGGCGGGTGCAGATTCGCCGGCCTCGGACGAGGCGGCACCGCTCTGCTCGGCTGTGCTGCTGCCTTCGGCCTGCGCCGCCAGCTCGAGATTCGTCGAGGTCTCGACCACCTTTTCCGCCGCCTGCTCCACCTGTGCCTCGAGCGCCTTGCTCGCCGCCTTCTCGTCCTGCAGCGCCTGCACTGCCGCGTGCGTGGCTGCCGACGCCACCGCCTGCTCTGCCTCGGCCGTCGTCATCCCCGATGCAGCCGCACCATCCGATGGCGCAGCAACAGCAGCGCTGTCACCGACTGCTGAGCTTGGCGCTGGTGCCGCTGGTGCCGCCGTCGCTGCCTCCACTGCTGCCGCTGCTGCTGTTGCTGGGGTGCCTGTTGAGGTCGAGGCTACTGCTTCTGACACCGCGGCCTTGTTCGCCGAGATGGGCGGCGGAAGTGTGATCGAAGGTGTACTGGGCAACGCCGGCGTGGGTCCTGGTATCAATTTGGTCGGCGAGCTCGGTTCGAGCGCGCTCGGCTTGGCCTCCTGCTTCTTGGATGCACTGTTGGGTGCCGAGCCCACTTCAGACCGCGGCGAGCCCTTGGACAGCTCGCCCGGCTGGGTTGCCGAGCTCTCTGCGCGTGTGCGGCCCTTCTTGGCGCTCTTTGGCGTGGTGGATGCATTGGATCCGGGCGTGGTAGGTGCGGCTACGGATGGCGCCGCGCTTGCCGGTGTGGACGGCGGCAGCGGTGGTCCGTTGGCGAGGTTCTCCATCTCGATGCGCAGCTCCATCTCGAGCCTTGCATCCGCCTTGCCCGACTTGATGTCGTCGATCTCCTTGACGAGGCTCTTGAACTGCTCCTCCTTTTCGCGGATCTGCTCCTTGAGCTCTTCCATGCGCTCGGCGTACAGCAGCTGTGCGAGCGCGAGCTGCGAGCGCCGGTCGGTGCGCGGCTGCAGCCCGCGCGGCTCCTTGGGCTTGGGCGTGCTGGGGGTCGTGGGTGTGGGTGGTTCGGGTGCCGCCTCTTCCTTGCTGAGCACGAGGCCGCGCTGACGCATGAGCGCGGTCCATGCGCGCTCGCACTCGCGCGTGCCAAAGATGCGGCCGAGCGTGAGGCCGGCATGCGCGGCCTGCTCGAGACGCGACTGTTGGCGGATGAGCGGATGCGCGAGCAGCAGCGACGACACGCGGCCCCAGTCGGGCGGCGACGTGCCCACCTCGTGCACCGCCTGTGCGAGCAGCAGCTTGTCGCGCAACGACAGCTTGGCCAGCGCCGACGGCTGCAGTGCGTGTGGCGATGGGATCGTCGGATTCATGCTGGATGATCTTTGCAGAGGATGCAGATCCACACTCCGTCGGGGGCCCCACTGATGGATGGATGTGTGGATTGCCGAGCGAGGTGGTGGATGATGGGCAAGCAACGAATGCTCGAGCGGCTCCATCGGATTCTGGAATTCACCCAAATGGACCGAGCAACCGACGCGCTGCATCTGCGCCCGATTTTTAAAGATCATCCCGATGCACAAACTGGGTCGCGTGGATTAGCGCCAGTCTCCGGGAAGGCGGACAGGCGAGAAGGAAATGCAGAGCAGAGCGCAGGTCTTCCGACAGCCGACCGAGACAATCGCCGCCGCTTCGCTGCCAAAGAGCCCAGGCCAAGCCCAGGCCAGGCCATGCGAGGCGAGCACGGCTGGGCTCGGCGGTGCCTGTTGCAGAGCCAACCTTAGCGCGGGCGACTCTTGCTTCCCGTTCACCTCGTCATTCTCCCACCCATCCATGACGGAGCCCATCAACAAGGCAGCAGCCTCGGGCTCGGCGTCGGCAGCCGGGCCGTCCGCCGAGGTCTACGAGCAAAAGGACGAGGCGTACTTTGGCTACTACTCGATGCTCTCGCACCAGGCGCAGATGCTGCAGGACACGGTGCGCACCGCAGCGTACCAGCGAGCCATCTTCAACAACGCGCGCGACTTTCAGGACAAGGTGGTGATGGACGTCGGAGCGGGCAATGGCATCCTCAGCTTCTTCTCGGCGCAAGCGGGTGCCAAGAAGGTGTATGCCATCGAGGCGTCCAACATGGTCGAGTGTCTGCGTCACGTCGTCAATGCATCCGACCGCAACTCCAGCTCCAAAGCGGCGGCGGGATCGAGCGAGGCGGAAGAGGTGCGCAACGAGGCCGAGATCCTCGAGCTCATGGGTGCATCGGATGCCAGTGCAACGCCAGCAACGGGAGGCCTATTTGGTACCACCAATCCGGCCGAATCGCGCAATGCGTGGTTGCAGGGGAGACTGGTGCCTGTTCACAGCAAGGTGGAAGATGTGACGTCCGAGCATCTGCACGGCCACACGCAGGTGGATACGATCGTGAGCGAGTGTCTGGGCGTGCTGCTCGTGCACGAGCGCATGTGCGAGTCGTTCCTCGACGCGCGCGACCGATTCCTCGCCCCCGGCGGCTCCGTCTTTCCTTCGGCAGGCACCATCTGCCTGGCGCCGTTCGAGGACAAGCAGCTGTGGAACGACACGGCCAACAAGGCCAAGTGGTGGCTCAACAACAACTTTTACGGCGTCGACGTTTCGCCGTTCGCCAAGCTGGCGTTCGAGGAAAACTTCTCCAGCCCGGTTGTGGGGGTGTTTGCACCCCAGTGCCTGCTGAGTGTGTCGAGCGACTATGTGATCGACTTTGCCACCATCACCAAGCAGCATCTGCAGGAATTCACCGTGCCCGTCGAATGGACGTTTGCACACGCCGCCATCGTCCACGGTCTAGGTGGCTGGTTCGATCTCCACTTCAACTCGCAATCCGCCCCGAACGAGGACGCCACCATGAACGATGCCAGCACCACCGGCGGCGCAATGTCGGTCGAAGCTGCGCTGGATACGCTCAAGGCTGCATCGGGTACGGCGATGGATGCGGTTCTCAACACGCTCCCCACCGTCGATACTGCCAACACCGCCAACTTTATGACCACCAGCCCGTATGCAGACGCAACGCACTGGCAACAGGTAAGGTTCCTGCTGCAGGAACCCCTCGCCGTCAACCGCGGCCAGAAGCTCGGCGGAAGCGTACACTGCAAAGTCAACGATCAGAGGTCCTACACCATGACTGCACAGTTGAGGCTGCAGAATCCAGATGGCACTGCCTCCGATAGCAGCATCACCACCCGGAAAGCCGTGTGGAGACTAGACAGACAGACGTACTCGTGGTGAATACCGCCCAGTACGCATTGCTGATGCAGAGATGCAGAATAGAATGTCGCTTATACTTGGCATGCGCGAGGTTGTGTGTGGTGTGGGCTGTTTCAGCTGATAGCAGTGTGGGGTATGTGTCATGGCGGCGGTGATGATCGTCGAGAAAGCCTGCGCGCCCTGAGTCGGCGATGAATGTGCTGACCTTGGCCTCCCTTACGGTGATCTTGGATCATGCCGCACTTTGGTTTCGAGGGCACTTGTTGCTGCGAGTTGCTGCGCAGTTGTGAGTTGCTTGCTGATGCGTGTGCTTGGACGTTGGTGCAAGACGGCTATGGCCTGGCGTATCTGCTGAGTACGATGATGACGCCGATGAGGAACACGAGCGCATGGAACGCCGGATGATTGACTGGACACGCCATCGCCACGAACCACCTTCGAGAGCGCAACAGCACAGAGGTATAGCCACAAGCTCCAAGGTGGAAGTCAAGAGGCAAAGCTCAGTCCCGCTCCCGCCGTGGAAAAAGGCGCCGAATTCTCACCAAAAAAGGGTCCGCAAAGGGTCCGCCCGCAGCGAGGCGATCCAAGTGGAGGCTTCACCGCCGAGAACGCCAAATCTTCATCCAACTCGCTCCGGACCCCTCAATTCATTCCGCTCACAACACTCGCACACACATAGCCAGCTCCAAGTGAATGTAGGTATCAACTATTTCGATCAAGCACACAGGGTCGTTGGCGATTGGGAAGATGCAGTCGGGAAACTTGTCGGCGGTCGGAAGGTCGGTTCGGATCGTATCGTGTCGTGTCGGTAGCGGGAAAGATCTCGGGACATGAGAGGCGCGGGCACGGCCATCAATCATGTGCCATCGGCGCTGCCCAGAGCAGCTCGCACGAAGGGGCCAGCAGGGGGGTATCTGCGCGCGCAAAGTCCAAAGAGGGGCCGCCACGCTGCGGGGTTGAATGCGTGGTCCATCGTCGAGCAGCACCGGGCGCGAGCAAAAGACGAACTAGTACAGAGCTTCGTCCTGCTCGAGTGCAGTCCAGGTGGCTTCGGCCGATCCGTCCGCGGCGAGCTCCATAAGCTTGGGGATCGATGCACACGGGTTCGAGCCGTACGGCTGCTCGTCGAGGTTGGTGGGCACCCAGCCGTACTGCAGACCGGTCTTGTACGACCAGTCTGGGTTGTTGTCGTTGCGCCACGACCACATGATCCATCCACCGCCCTGCTCGAAGATGTACTGCTGCGTGCGGAAGTTGCGCGCCATGAACGCCATGTACTTGACCGAGTAGGGATACGCGGGACCCGCCGGGAACTTGACGGGTCCAACGGGCAGATCGCGGTCCTGTGCACGGTCGCCGTTGGGACCGTTGATGCCCCACTCGCCGGCGATGGAGGGATAGTACTTCTGCGACTGCTGGAAGCTGCCGACGAGGTTGCAAGCCTCCTGCAGACGCTGCGTGTCCGTCGCCTGGTGCTCCCAGTCGCTGTACACAAAGTACGGGTGCGTGTCGAGCAGCACACGGTGGCGCGCGCGGCCCGTCCAGAAGTTTTGCCAGTACTGCAGACCCTGGAAGGCATCGTGGATGGCGAGCAGCATGTTCGAGTACTTGTTCCAGCCGTCCGGCTTGGCCACCTTGTTGCGCGCCCACGGATAGTACTTGTTGAGCAGCTCCTGCACCTTGGGCACCACATTGCCCTTGGGCTCGTTCACAGCCTGGATCGCCGTCACCACACCCGCATAGTCGGGCTGCGTGAACTCGGTGACGAGGCGGTTGAAGGCGTACTGCGTCTGCGTGTAGTAGCTCGGGTTGTTGGCCCAGTTGATGGGGCCGGAGCGGCCCGAGTTGTCAAAGCCGTTCTGCGAGCCAGGCACGCTGTGCAGGTCGATCCACACCTTGAGGCCGTACTTCTTGGCGAGCTGCACGCCCTCCTTGAGCTTGGCGAAGCGGTTGAGCGTGAGGTAGGGCGCGTTGGGGCCGACGGCCTCCCTGAACATAAAGTAGGGCACGGGGATGCGCACGTGGTTGAGGCCGGCGGCGGCGATCTGCTTCCAGTCGTCCTCGGTCATCCACTCGTCAAAGTGCTTCTGCAGCACGTACGACGCCCAGCCCTTGTCCGAGTACAGACCGGCGGTCCACTCGTCGATGATGGGGTTCGGGTAGGGTGCGTTGATGGCGTGGTCGTTGAGCGCCTGCATGAGCGAGCTGTCCATCCACGCCTCGAAGAGGAGCCAGTTGCCGAGGTTGACGCCGCGCACCTTCTTGTTGCGGTAGTCGAAACCCGAGTCCTGCGGCAGGTTGGGCAGCGCGGCGGTGGTGTCCATCATGCGGTCGTTGCGGCTGGCCTCGGAGAGCTCGGCCTCCTCGCCCCACGACATGGGCTCCGACACGTTGAAGTTGAAGGAGAAGTCGGGTGCGGTGGCGGCCTGCTTGTGGCTGTTGACCGAGAAGGAGAAGCCGAGCGACTTGGCGGCGCTCTTGACTGCACTGGCGGCCTTGTAGCTGCCGAGCATGTTGGTGGCCCTGTCGAGGCGGTCGATGGCGGATTCGAGACGGTTCTGCACGTTGTTCCAGAACTGGCTGGTGGACTCGGGCTGGGCGTGGGCGGGAATGTAGTGGATCTCGTCGAGGTACGACTCTTCGAGCGCCTCGTTGGAGCTGAGGCGCATGCGGCGAGCGCCAGCGACGGAACGCGGGTCCTTCATGGCCGGCATGCGGGGGTTGACCGTATTCCTAGCGGCGTAGGGCGAGACGCCCTTGTAGTTGCGAATGGCGGGCAGCGCCTCGGTGTTGTCTGCCATCAAGGCGAGCGCAATGGCTGCGAGGCCAAACGAAGTGATCTTCATCTCGGCGCCTGTGACGCTGCTGAGGAGCGAGGATGTGGTGTAGTGTGCTGAGAAGGATGCTGATCCAGATCAGCGCTGAGCGATCACCGACGTCGACGTTGCCAGCTGAGAGTGTTGGATGGTCGCAGTGGCCTGAGTGGTGGTGCTGCGAGCGCCGTGGAAAGGTGAGAAGAGATTGTGTATGGAGGGAGAAAGGGGAGGAGGGGTGTTAGGGAGTGGTAGTGGAGAGAGAGAGAGGATGGGTACTGCGGCGAAGAGCTGCAATGGATGAGGAAGGAGCGGAGAAAGATGTAAAACAGAGCGAGGGTCTTTATAGGAAAGGGACGAGGTGTAGAATGTACAGCGACCCAAAGGAAGGGGAGAAGGGCCCACAGGTACAGCGAAGAAGGTCAAGCGTAGCAGGACAGGACAGGCACACGGAAGCTTAGGCGGAGTTGGAGCGGAGCGCAATGGAAGACAGCTGCAGTCCGGCTGGTCGCCGGGGCTGAGTGAGATGGGCGAGGCTATCGAAGGGGGAAGGGACGAGGGGACCGATGCTGTCATTTTGCCGAGCCAAGGCTTGTGACAGCCGGAGCTCGGCAGGAAAGGAGACGCACGAAGCGAGACGAAGAGAGCGCTGAAAGGGCGCTTAGCAGCAGAGCAGAGCGAGCGCCACCATGCTCGACGGCTGCTCGACTCAGGGGCGCGCGGACGAGGTAAGGAGAAGTGAGACCAAGCTCTACAAGATTTGGTGCCAAGTGGCGGCTGTGTATGTGTGTGCGTGTCGGACTGCGAAAGGCAGCTTCCAACAAGCGCCGGAGAGAGGGCGCGATGCATGGTGCCGTCTAGCCGGCCGAAGCTCAAGATTCCAGGGCGGCTTGGGATCGTGACGAGGTAGAGTGGGCAGTGTTTGGCTTGGCAGAGTCTACAAAGCGTCGAGTGAATGCGAAGCTCGCATGGACCCTACGTTGGAGCAACACCCACCGTACGCCGCCGAGCCACTTGGCAGCAAGCGCCGCGCGAGCCTATCCAACAAGGTTGCAGTTCGCGCTGCTTTGCCCTTTTGCAGGCCGCCCGTCCTCGATCGAGGTGGTGCGACGACCGGCTCGAGCTTGTGGTGCAATTCGTGCCTGTCGAGCCGCAGCGTGCCTTGGAATCGGTCAGCATCCGAACACCACTCGAGCCAGGGTGCATGCATTGCGTGAGGACAGCGTGGGGACGGCGTGGGCAGCTGCGCTCGGACTGTGTGAGAATATGCCGATGCTCGCTTGCCTTTGCACTGCCGGCACATCCGACTGATGCAAGCGGACAGCGACTCGGCCGCACAAGGAGGTGCTGAGGTGCATCGGCGCTTCCGCAGGGCGAAGCGAGAAAAAGGCGAGTGGATAGTCAGGGAACCTTGACGTGCAGCTGTCGCGGCTCTCGCTCAGGCCCATCCGCATACACCTCCTGGTCGCCGAATCGCCGTCACCCTTCTCCGATCCCATTGTGGATCGGATCGCAATCAGCGAATTGGCTCTTGGCGATGCACTCTCTCCTCTCTCTCTCGTCCACGCTCAGTTGGCACGCTCGATTGTGAGCGGGTCGAATCGGTTCCAACCCGACCGTGCCAAAAAGGGCAAGGGTGAGTGTGCCTGCGGCCCGAGTGTTGGTCTCGCCTAACGCCTGACAGACGCCGGCAATTTTCCATTATTGTCTCGCCTCCGCTTTGCCTGCAGGTTGACGATCCGAACAGAAATGCACACGCGCGTTGGCGGCTGGTTTAGGCAAGAAAGGCAGCCAGAGCTGAGCTGAGCTGAACTCGGCCCGTCGTCTCCTTCCTTTTTCGGCAGGCGAGCGGCTCGTAAGCTCGGTCGCTCGTCCTTGCACCTTGGCCTGCTTGCTTGCCTCGCTCGCTTTATTCTATCCGACGGACGTGTGCCGAGACGCCCGGGCGCAAGCCATGCTTCCAAGTGACTTGACTTGCTCTCGCATCGACATCGGCGCCGCACCTCGGCAGCGAGAAGGCGACAGCTTTCCTGAACCTGGCCTAGACGCGCGCGGAGGCCACAGCCTTTCTAGCACAGCGATAACTTTAGAAGCGGGCAGGGGGGCAATCTGGTTGATCCACGCTCTACCTTTTTTTTTACTGCTTCCATGGCGCCGTCACTCTTGCCGCCAGCCTATAATACAGGACTGTACAGCAAAGCAGGAGAGTGCATAGATTTCACGCTCCGCCGCAAATTTACGCGTGCTTGCCTTTGCTCCTTCCACCCGCCTCTACCTCCCGTCCTCTTGATGGAGCCAAGCTCCGATTGACGTCGGTGTCAGTGTGGGCTAGATGTTGTGTCGTCTGTAATGCGGAGGTGGAACGCAGGGCGGTTATTCATCGTCCTTGGCAGCATGCTTTCCGGCTCCATTTACGAGTACACTGGCTTATACCGTCTCAGCCCGATCGCACATATTTGCGAACGGGGCCCAAACGCTGCTCCGACCTGGCTTGGCTTCCCGCCGGGCTCGGATCGCCGTAGCGTGCATTGAAGAAGTCGGCCAATTCCAAAGCCCAGCTTTCATGCCGCCAAGCCCCTGTCTTGGCCGTGGCGATTCGCTCCATCCACTCCAGCATGACCGCGCTTAGCTTTCCTCCAATCTTGCTGCCCCTGACTCGCGCAGATTCAAAGTACTCCAACACTTGGCCTGGCTTGGCGTCGGGCCTCATTGTGCTGCCAATACGCCACCTTCTTGATCGCCGGACGCACTGACATCGCCTCTCGAGTCGATTCACACGCTTCGCACTCGGACCGATCCGACGCATCTTCCAGAGCGAACTGTGCCCTGATTAGCAACCAGTCTCTCCATCATCAAGGTTATCATCTTTGTTGAGGATGAGCAGGTCGCAACAGACTCAGCCTTGGTCTGTTACCCCGCCTTCGGTGCGCACACCGCAACCGAGCCTGAGCTAGCTCTGCTCCTCCTTGCGTCTCTTTAGATCGTCCGGACGAGTTGCCCCATCAACACGTGATGCGAGATGCTCAGGCTTGAGAGCTAGGCTGTCGTTGCACTGCTACCATCAGACACGCCACCGCACGCTTACTCGTGCGCCATTGGAGGCAACCAGTATGGACGCCTTGAGCTAATGCACCCCGCACACTGCTAGTGCAACCGATGCATCGCCTAACTTATTCAGGTGTCACCAAAAAGCGGACAGCGACACACAGATCCTCATGCTGTAGCTCCTCGAGCGTGAGCAAAGCACGGACGCCGCTCAAGCCTCCTGCTCCTAGCTCGCACGCTAAAACCCCTACCGAAAGCTAGACCCTCCTCGCTTCGCGCCCAAGCCCCTCTCCGGAATGCAACGCGAGCTTCCGTTCCGCTCTGCTCGGTCCTTCGGTGCATCGCGGCCGCTCGGATCGCTCGGGACCTTGCATCGAAGCATGGGCCTCCTGCCGACCGCATTCGTGATTGTCTCTGCATCCAAGCTTCTCAGCCTTGAGAACATCTCCGAGGGCGATGCGAATCTTTGAATTTGTTACACCACTAAAGTAACATTTACAACAGCTTAATTTCGGATCGGGCACGATCAACAAGATCGCCGCGCTGACGCTCGATGGCACCCTCAGCATTCCGGCCTCGGAACCGGCGCCGCCGCAACACGGGCCACAGAGAAGCCCCAGGGCAGCACAGCCCCTGCGTGCCTCCACACGCCGCTCCTCGCAGCTCAGTCGACACCGTCTCGACTTTGATCTTCCATCATCCATCCGGCTTGCTCGAGCGCGCTCACACTGCGAACTACTCTGTGGCCAGGCGTCTATCCCGAAACAGGCTTATCCGACCGACACCCTCGCCGCGCGCGCGCTCTCCGTCACATCCTAGTTGCGCCCCTCAGCGTTCTGCTGACGCTCCGCCAAGATGAACGCCGAGCTGCTTTCGTCCATCCAAAAGGGCAAAGGTCTCAAGAGTGAGTAGCTTCATACCTCTACCGTTCAAAAGCGTCTGCTGATCCGTCGATTGCCTCTGCTTCTTGATGTTCGCCCATCCAACAGAGGCGGTGACCAATGACCGCTCGGCCCCGCAGATCGATGCTGCCAAAAGCAGTGGAGGCGGTGGAGGAGGTGGCGGAGGCGGTGGTTCAGCCATCTCTTCCGGTGGCGGTCCAACTCTCGGTGGCCCCCCAGGCCTAGGCGGTCTCTTTGCAGGTGGCATGCCCAAGCTCAAACCCAGCGGCGGTCCTGGCTCGACCATCAATACGAGTCTGGGCAAGCCTCCGTCGCGACCGGGCGCAAGTGCACCTTCTGCACCACCCGCCGCTCCTCCTGCGCCTCCATCGTCCCGTCCTGCCCCATCATCGGCACCACCTCCACCGCCGCCTCCTCCGGCCGGTGGTCGTCCCGCTCCGCCTCGTGGACCACCGCCTCCGCCGAGTGCTGCAGCCCCATCGCTCCCATCCAGAGGCGTGCCACCTCCGCCCAGCCGCCCGTCGCCAGCCGCAGCACCGTCGTCGGCTCCACCGCCGCCGCCTCCTCCGCCTCCGTCCGCGCCAGCATCTGCAGCTCCTCCGCCGCCAAGACGGCCTGGCGGAGCAGCTCCACCGCCGCCCCCACCGCCGCCGGGTAGGCCACAGAGCAGCGCACCGTCCGCGCCATCGCCGCCGCCGCCGCCTGGGCGCCCAAGCGCGGCTGCACCGCCGCCGCCGTCGAGACCCAGCCCGGCTGCGGCTGCGGCGCCAGCAACGCCGACCCGGCCAGCCGGTGTGCCGCCTCCGCCGCCACCTCCTCCTGCCGCAGGTGGCTCGAGTGCGCCGCCGTCGCGGATCGTTCCCGTGCCTCCGCGCGCGCCTGCGTCGCCCGCACCGTCTTCGCCCGCACCCATACCGCCGCGTCGGTCAGCAGCGCCGCCGCCTCCCCCACCTCCCGCTGGCGGCCACTCGCGCACCAGTTCGGCGGCGCCGTCTGCGCCCCCGCCGCCTCCTCCGCCTGGACGTGCGCCCGCGTCGCCGGCATCTGCACCGCCCGCGCCTCCGGGTCGTGCACCTCCTCCGAGCCGCGTGCCGCCGCCGCCTAGCGCTGCGCCGCCTGTACGTGCGCCGCCTCCGCCCGTCGCTGCCCCGCCCGTGCGCACGGCCAGCTCGACACTCGCGCGGCCCAACGGTCCGTCGCCCGCCGCAGCGATCAGCAGGGTGCTGTCGCCCCCACTCACGTCCGGGTCGCTCAGCTTTTCGCCCAGCACCAACTTTCCGCCGCCGCGCGCGTTCAATGCCTCGGCCGCATCGCAGCACCGCTATCCCAGCGGCGCATCCAAAGGCACCACATTCGACTTTGCGTCGATCGCCTAGTCGCCATGCCACGCCGGGGTGTCAATTCCATTGGTTTCTGAGATTTCATCGCGTGGGCTGGGTGAAGTGAAGGTGAAGGGTCTACAGTGGCTTATTTGGGGAGGGTGAAGGGCGGAGGAACGGGCAGCGGACGGAAAGCGGCCTGGGGCTTTTCCGGATGTACTACGAGCGCGGGGTTTTTATCGTGGCTGAAGCGGGTCGGGGAGGCTAGGGCTACGGTGGACTTGCGTTCGAGAGGTTTGTTGGGTCGCACCTGGGTTCGGGAACGGTGTGCGTCGGGATGGCGATGACGATACCCTCCTACTCGCTCGGTGGTACTCAGGATGAGTGGTTTGACGCTACGAGCTCGTGCGAGCGACTTGGATCGTTCCGGGAATGCGCCTGGTAATCCTGCCTCCAGATCGGACCCGGACCCACTTCCACCAAAAGTGCCGTTTGCAGACGCCGACGATGCAGCCGAGCGCGAGAGACTCGCCTCGGCAGGTAATCGTCGACTATGCCCCGACGAGCTCGAGACGTTGCTCTGCTTCTCCAGATCCTGCAACTTGGCCGTGAGTGTCGACAATTCCAGCTTGGGTGGTGCCTTGCGTGTGACGGGCTTGGAGGTATCGCGAGGAGGAGGAGGTCGTGCACTGGTTCGCTCCACCACCCTAGCTGTACCATACTCCGGTTGGGGTTGGAGTTGGGGTTGGGGTTGGGGTTGGATGGACCATTCTGCACCGCCCTTGGTGAGCGTAGGTCGGGCGAGGTCGACCTGTCGAACAGCGCCCTTGTCGCGTGCATCGAACGAATACGCCCCCATAGGCTTGGGGGAGGTGGTGATCGCCTTGAACCTATCCGTGAGTCTCTGGCTCAGACTGCGCGACGGTTTATCGCCCAGCATCGTATCATACGCAGCCCTGGCGGTGCTGCCATCCGCATCGGGACCGCCATCGTTCAAATGACGCGGTTGGACGTTTCCAAACAATCCCTCCTGGCTCAGATCGGAGCGCGAGCGCTTCTCGCGAAGGATGCGGTCGCGGTACGAATCGGCCAGATGCGGCGGGACCGCAAACACCTCATCGCCCACCTCGATCAGTACGCTTCCATCAGCCGTCCTCCTCGCAAAGCTACCGAGCTTCTTGCGCGTCATAGCGCGACGCAGCGAACGCGCTGCACCCACTTCGGGGTTCGAGGTGAACTTGTCGCCGGTTTTGCCCGGTTTGTCCGAGTACTCGTCGAATCCGTACGACTGCTTGAGCTTGTCGCGGCGTAGCTGGTCGTGTGCTACCGCGCGCGCAATGGCGATCAACAGCATGAGCGCCAGCAATCCCGCCGCCGCGATGCCCGCCACGACGAGCGGGAAGAATTTGTGCTTGGGCGAGAGCAACGACGGCGGAGGCGCGTCATCGTCCTTCTGAGCAGACATCGTAGGTCGCGCCGAACCCGTCGACGACACGCTCGACGACGGAGACGAGGCGCTGGGGCTGGGCGTGGAAAATGAAAATGCCGGTGCGGTGGGAACGCTCGATGTGGCCGGGGTGGAGCTGACCGACCGATCCGCGCTGGGAGTCGCGGCTGAGGAGGCAGCCGAAGACGCGGGGGAGGCACTAGCAGAGTCCGTAGCACTCGCCTGGGTGGCCGACCTACTCGGCGATGCAGCAAGCACCGATGCCGAACCTCCCCCAAACAGTCCAGCTAGCGATCCCAACCCCTGCTCCTCCTCATCTCCGGCAGGCTGGAGCACCATTGGACTGGCGCTGTTCTGCCTCTTGACGTTCCTCGGCAGCGGATGCACGCTCCACTGCAATCCATCTCCCCTGTAACCGGGCATCCACTTGCTCGCCAAACTGTGCACCATCTGGTCGAACAGATCCCTCGATCCAGCCACCTCCCTTGTCGCCTCGGCGCTGCATCCCGAGGCGAGAACCGCTACAGCCAGCACGGCGAGACCCGCTTGTGTCTTCATTCTTTGACAAGAACCTGCTTGTCGTTACTTTCTTGAGGGGTGGTTTTAAAGAACGCAACGTTGCATCGAGCAACGAAAAAAAAAGACAGTCCAGCTGGGAAGCAGTGGCGATGAAGAAACAAACGAAGAAAGGAAGAAAGGTAGCCGGTACCTAGCTCCTGTGATGATCCCGAAAGAAAAACGTTGATGAGATGGAGGAACAGAAGCAACCTTGACCCCCCTCGCTCGGATGGAAAGAATGGACAATCGGATACCACACGTGCAGGAAAGAGTGTAGAGTCTGATTCAGCAAGCATCATCAAGCTAGGCAACGCAGTGCTCTAGGCTGGGGCCTACGACGGTGCTCAAACCCGTTGGGGGGTGTGCCAAGAGTGCGAGAGCGTGGCGCTAAATGACATATCGCGTCCAATCGTCGTAGCTGCCGGTCAAAAACAATAAAAAAAGAAAAAGAAAAAGAAAAATCTCGAGCTTGCTCACCCTGCACAAACCAAGCGGTTCACCAGCTGTGCGTTTGCAACCACACTTGCGCCGCCATGGTCGAGACAGATGCCCAAGCGCACAGTGATGCGGCGAACCAAGTGAAACCTCTAGCGAGAGCGACGACTGGAAAGCGATGCCTGCGTTCGCGCTTTTTATGATCATTCGGCCACACCAGCCTCACCGGCCATTTCGACCATTTCGACCGTTTCAACCATTTCGACCATTTCGACCATGGCTGTGGGCGCTCCTGAACGTGTCGGTTGTGCGAGGTGATCAAGCTCGATGCTTCTGGCCATTGCCAAGCCCATCTTTGTGTTGGCAGCACGTACGACACATAGCTAGTGACCATCTTTTGTTTGGAATGCAGAGCAGAATGGATACAAGTACAATGGTGGAGTGCGGGCGGGTGTGATGCTTTTGCTTTTGGGTTGGACCAAGTGACAATGAAGAGTGTGCGAGAAAGAGAGAGAGAGGCATAAACAATCATTCGAGGCAGAACGACAAACGCGACGCTGTTGGAGCAAGTCGAGCGTTTGGCATGGTGCGGTGCGCAGGCTTAGAAGAACGACCTTCCAAACGCGCCTGCTTCCGAGTTGGACGGCTTGGGGCTCACTTCGAGCACCGAGTAGTGGATCAGGTTGAGTGCCTTGACCGCCAACTTTTCGTGCAGCACACACGAGATGTTGATCTCGCTCGCGCCCTGGCTGATCATCTCGATGTTCACATTGCCCTCGGCAAGCACGGTGAACATGCGACCCGCAACGCCCACCATGTTGCGCATATGCTTACCCACCAGACTGAGAATAGCCATGTCGCGCAGTACACTTACGGTGCCCACCTTCTGCAGGTCCGCCTTGACCTTGTCGAGCGTACGCGGACGCAAGCCGGCAGCCATGGCCATCGACACATGCACCTCGGACGTCGAAATCAGATCCACCACCACACCGTACTTGTCGAGCGTACCAAAGATCTTGGCAAAGAATCCGTGGCTGACCGTCTTGCGGTTCGAGTGCACGTTGAGCACCAGCACGTTGTCCTTGATCGTCACCGCCGTAGGCAGCTTCCTCTCGCCCATCACGGGCCTCGCCGCATCCGTCTTGGCCGACGTACCCCACGCCGAAAAGTTGGACTTGCTAGCCGAGGGCGTCATGGGCGGACGCGGCTGGTCTACGTGTCCGTCGACGAGCTTGTCTTCGGCGCCATCGTGACCCTCGGGGACGTCGGGAAAGATGACGGTGCCCATACCGGTGGGGTTCTCGACGTTTTTGATGCGGATGGGGATGGCCTTCTTGATGGCCTGCTCCATGGTGAAGGGGTGGATGACTTCCGAGCCGTAGTAGGTGAGCTCTGCGGCTTCCTCGGGGGTGATGGCGGGGATGAGGCGGGCGGTGGGCACCTTGCGCGGGTCGGCGGTGAAGACGCCATCGACCTCCTTCCAGATCTGGAGCTCCTTGGCCTTGACGCCAACGGCACAGAGAGCGGCGCACAGGTCGGTGTAGCCGCGGCCGATCTGGGAGAGGAGCGAGCCGGGGACGTTGCCAAAGTAGCCGGTGACGACGGGCACGCCCGTGCATGCTCGCAAGCGGTCGCCGAGCGCGTCGCTGAGCTGGTCATAGAAGGCCTGGTCGAGCGTGAATTCGCCGCCGACGTCCTGGATAGCGTGTGCGGAGAAGGAGGGGTCGACGATGCTCTCGAGCGTCACCAGCTCTGCCTCTACGCCGGCATCGCGCAGGGCGCCGACGGCGATGCGGCACGATAGGCGCTCTCCGACGCCGATGATGATGTCCTTGGACTTGGGCGAGATCTCCTCGATGATCTTTGCGGCGAGGAGAAAGTCGCGCAGACGCTCGCAATCGTCGACGATGTCGGCCTCGATCTGTTCGAGCAGCTGCTTATTCCTGGTGACTGCCTTGCGCGCAGAGGCGATGTGGTCGGAGAGGATGCGGTCGACGGTGGCGTTGAAGCCAGAGGCGGTCTCGCCGTCCGAGTCGGAGCCGGCGTCGTTGGTTGGGTGCGCGGCCTTGCCGTTGAGCTTGAGCTGTTCGAGCTTGGAGTCGAGAACGTTGCTGCTGAGGGCTTCGACGCGGCCGAGTGGGGTTCCTCTGGAGCTGGACTTGCGCGAAAAGGCGGAACCTGGGCGATGAACGGGAGTCTGTGCGCCGTTGGCGTTGGAGGCGAGCGAGGCGACCGAGTTGGTGAGGGATGCAGAGGGGGTATGTGCCTCGTCTAGCGCCTCGCCGGCGGCCTGAAGGAGGAGGTTTGTGGTGCCGAGCGCCTTGGTCTGACCGGAGCGCGCCGAGCAGACGATGGCTACCTTGTTGCCTGCCAGATAGGAGGGCACGATTTGCTGTGCGATGGTATCGAGGAATTTGCCGACGCTGGTGCCGCCGTACTTTTGGATGATCCACTCGGTGGAGGGATCATCGGGTGGCCCGCGGAGATGCGTGGTAGGCGGCATGTTGGCGAATGGTGTGGTGGAGGAGAGAGGGGCGAAATTAGGAAGAGAGAGCGCGCAAGAGGGTGACGTTGGTGGGGGAGATGGCAAAGATGAGTGGGTGGGCTGAAGATGGTGCCATCGGTGACTCGTTGGTGCATGGCCTCCGCCCGCCGCTGCTGCCGAAGCCAAGACAAGACAAGAGATCTGAGAAGATCCGACCAATCAAGAAGTGCCCAAAAGGGTCGAATTTTTATCAGCAGCGGGTCAACGCGCCCCCGCTGACCCCAGATATCTCCGTTCGCCATCTCCCGATCTGAATGCGGCCGCCGAGATGTTTGCCTGCAATGCCCTAACACATTGGAGATGTCGTTCGGCTCGCCCCGGGATCCCCGCTCGGCTTTTCGGGAATCCTCGGCTCATCATGGCGAGGCTTTGCCGGACCGGAAGCTTTTGAGTTGGGTCACCACCGGGCAAGGCTTTGTCTGGGGCCCCTTGCGTTGCCGCGTGAAATGATAAGCTCGAGGCTCAAAGCATGCGCTTGAGTCCCGAGTGTGCCGACGCTTTTCACACCCCACCTCTTACCGAGCTATCATACAGTCTGATATGAAGCGATTGAGGCTATGGCGCCATGGAGAAGTCGCACAGCTATGTCACCGTGCTTTGATGGCACCCTCCCACGGCCACGCCTGTGTGGGGCTGCAACGGCCCGTCGGGATTCCGAACGCAACCACCAGCGCGATGAGGAGATGAGGTGTGGAAGGCATTGTGGAGTGCAGCTTGGCGGCAACTTGGTACGGTGGAGGGGCTGCAACCAAAGGACGCCGGCGAGATGAAGCGTCAAAGGCAAGCCGGATGCAAAGCGAAGAGGCTGACATGAGCGAGCAAGCAAGAAGGCCGAGTGGTGCAGCAATTGTTGCAGCAGCGCGGTTGCGTATGCGGATGAAGCTCGCCTGCATGGCCGGAGAAATGCAAGAAAAGGACGCCGCATCATTTCGGCTTGTCGACGCATCTTCATGTGGGCAAGTCGCCGGAGCGCGACGAGGGGCTGCGCTGCGAAAAGCTCAACGTTCGGCGAGATTGCTCTAGGCGACAGGGGCAACGCGTGGGAAAGGCCCAGCTTGGATGACAGCGCGGAACGTGGTGAGCATTGTCGGATCGGCGCCGATCGTCGCGGTTGGCAAGGGGCGGGTGAGATTGCGACGCGTGCGGCGTCCTTGCGCATCGGCGTGGCAGCGCCCAAAATCATGCGCGGTGCAGCTTACTCTTTGGGATGGCATTCCAGCACCGGCCGTGTTGAGATGGCCATCGCTGCAGCTTGCATCGAATGCAGGGTGCGTGCGGGATGAGAGAGAGAGAGAGAGCGGCAAGCGAGCATGACCCTTGGCGCGCATGCATCACAACCGGGGCTGCCAGTCCGCTGCCGAGAAAGAAACTCAAAAGCACGCAGCGCAAAGCCCAAAAAAAGAACCCACACCGCCACGCCATGCCACGTCGGCAGGCCCGAGTGGGATGGGAGCGTGCGCTCCATCGAGCCGGCAGCCGCCTCGGCAAGATTGGACAAGCAATCGGCGTCATCTGCCGTGCACCTTGCACCTGGCCTCTCGCACCTGGCACCTAGGATCGATGGTCGTCATGCTCTGCAGCGTTGCTACGGCACATGCCGCCGTCGAGATCGCCGCTTCATCACGCATGAACGCCAGCGCCGTTCGACATGAAATTGACCGTATCCTTGATCGTACTGTGCGTAGATGCTCAGGCCTCGTCGGCTTGCATCGTGCGATTTGCGTGGCGAGTGGGCTCGTGTGTCAGTCCCCACCACTCTAGTTGACGCTGATGTTCGTGCGAATGTTCCTAGGGCAAGGTGGGCGGGGAGGGGAGGGGCGAGTGTTGGCGTGGGGAGCGAGGTGCACCCGAGACCACGCCCGACGCCCAGCTGCTGCTGCTGCTGCTGCTGCCGCTGCCGCTTGACAGAATCCCACACGTTCCCGCTTTCGGATTTTCTTGCCGGACCAAAGGATTCAGGCAGGCGTCTTCTTTTTTTTGGGGAAAAGGCGAGCGAGCCAGCGCGGAAGCACTCCGGTCCGCGCATCGCTAGAAAGCCGTACTGCTCTCGCAAGGCCGAAATTCCTCCGTCTGCCTTGGCTCAGCTCGACCGACGATTTGACCATCCGACCGACCGACGGACTGACCGACGGATGGGAGCACAGCACAGCACAGCAGCAACGCATTCAGTCGCGCACCGCTCCGACTACCCTTTGTCGCCGCTCCCCCGCCTTGGCTCGGCTCTTGGCCTTCTTGGCCGCCGCGTTTTTGACAGCAGCGTAGCGGCGCGTACACAGGAGTCAGTCGCCGAAGCTGCAGCCGCACTCAGCAGCACCCTGCACGCAATTCGCCTACGCTATCGCCTCTCTCCCGCCGCCCGCACACTTTGCCGGAGGAGCGCAAATCTGACGCGATTCGTGTCCGCCTATCCACATCCTCATTCCATCTCCATCCTATCCCCATCCCCATCCACACACCACCAGCTTCTTCTTCATCATCACCACCAACACCTCGCGTGTCTTCCACCACCAGCGCTGACCTCAACCCATCCGCCTCTTCTAGACTCATCACCAACGCCGCCTCGCCGTGCTTTCGTCTTGCCTGTCCACCCATACACCGACGTCGCGCTGCCCTACCCCTCGCTCGTTCCTGTGGCCCACCACACCTACGCCCTGCACATGCCGTCTCCGTCTACCTAGCAACGCCGCCTAATCTCCAACACATGCACTTCCGCTTCTCCTGAGCCACTCCAGGCCGCCGGCACTCCCGGCCCACTCACATCGCCATGCCTCTAGCTCAGCCGCACGGAGGCGCGCGTCCGCCAGGCGCCGCCGCCGCCGCCCAGAAGCCAAAGAACGGCTCCAACCACACCAAAGAGCCGCCAAAGCCCAACTCCAAGGCTGCTCGTATTGCAGCGCAAAACAACCAACCGGACGACGACGACGACGATGACGAAGAGACCACCACAGACGACAGCAGCGATGAGGAGGCCGCCTTCGAGATGGACGGTCAGGAGCTCTGGACACAGACCTTCTGCGCCACCTGCGACTGCCTCATCGAGCCAGGCGAAGGCATCGCAAAGGCATCCTCAAAACCGGACACCTCGGCCTCTCCCGCCTTGCACTCCACCCTCAAAAGCCGTTCCGCCAATTCCACCGCACGCGGCTCCAACGCCTCCGAACACGCCGCACAGGTTGCCGACTCCAACAAGCCAGCCAACGGCCCCAAGGACGCTCTCAAAAGGACCCATTCCGCCGGTCGTCTGCATGCCAAAGCCGGAGGCGCTCCCCTCGGCCCTCACAAGCGCACCGGCAGCGCAGGCAGCCGCCTGCATGCCCTCAGCGAACTCCGTCCCACCACAAAACTGCACGACGACAAGGGCAAAGCCAAGAGCGCTTCTCGCGATGCCTCCACATCAAGCACCCGCAAGAGTCCCGCCACCTCTCGCCCAGGCTCGGCCGCCAGCAACCGCTCCCACTCCAACAGCAGCGGCCCTTCCTCCTTCAAGTCCAACGAGGCCAACGCAGGTGTCTCCCACGCAAACCCGCCAGACGCCCAGTCCCGCCCCAAAAAGCGCGGCTTCCTCGGCGGTCTCGGCCTCACCCCGGCCGCCCTCAAGCAGCAGGAGGCCGAGCTCGCCGCCAAGCGCAAGGCCCCCACCCCGCTCTACTGCTCCGAGCGATGCAGACTCATCGACGAGCGCCGCTCCTCCGGCCTCGGCGAGCTCGCAAAGTACCTCTCCCAGCCCCTCATGCCTCCATCCACCGCAGTATGGGCTCCGCCTCCGCCTCCTTCCTGGACGCGCTCCGCCAGCGTCTCGTCCGCGCCTCTCGCCATGGTCGCCAACACGCCAGAGAGCGAGTGTCTCTGCCCCGACTGCATGGACAAGTACGCAGATGCCAGCAGCGCCAGCGGAGCAGCAATCCCCAGTGGCGCCAGCGACACCGCCACCGAAAGCTCCAGCGGCTACGTCTACGGTCGCGGCGCCGCTCAGAAGCCGCGCACCGCCAGCGGTCGTCTCATCACCCCGCTCGGTTTGCACGCACCAGGCGCAGGCGCCGAGGGCTACTTTCCTCAATTCGCGCCCAACTACGCTCCGGCCGCCGCAGCGCTCAACAGCCCCAGGATGCGAGCCGTCGACGCTGTTCAGTCCGCCGAAGCAGCTAGGATCGGCTCGGTGCTCCCGAGAACATCCTCAGCCGCAAGCGCCGGTCGTGCCAGCGCCTCCGGCACCGATGGCAGTGTCATGAGCTCCGAGAGCGCCGGCAGTCTCTGGGAGCCACGCCTCAAACCGCGCTCCAACTCGGGCGTCAGGACCTCCAATGCAGCCAAGGCCATAGCGCAGGACGTCACTTCCAGCGGTACCGCCTCTGGCATCTCCACCAACACCGCCACGCCCGCCATCACACCGAGGCACTCGATGATGGTCGCCTCCTCCTCCTCCCTCGCCTCGCCCTCTTCCTTCAACACCGCTAGGGCCACCCACCGCCTCTCGGTTCCTGGCTTCGCACCAACACACGAAGTCGACGAGGACACGCTTCACTCCTCGGAGGCTGCGCATCCGCACCGACCTTCGTCCAGTGCAAAGAGGTCGTCACTGCTCATGGCAACTAGCCCGCTCAAGCTCTTGGACAAGCGCAGCGAACATCACGCACCGCCCTCGGTCAATGTCTTTAGCGACAGCGTCGGCAGCCCCGTCACCAGAGGCTCGCTGCTTTCTCGAAGCCTTGCCAGCGAACACACTCTCATGGGCGCCAGCAGCATCACCCTCACCAATCAATCCTCGGCGCCCATGTCGGCTTCTCAAAGCGCTCGTGCGTTCGGCGACTTTGGTCACGCTCACCAGCAAGCGCCTGCGTCCGAGGCTTCCGACAGGTGGCCGCACGAGACGTCTCAGAGCTTCTCGGACTCCAATGCTTTCCGCTCAAGCTCCCTCTCTGCAGATGTGGACGACGATCTGAGCCATGCGGTCGGCAGTCTCAAGTTGGCACAGTCTCGCGCTTCGGGTCCAGCGCCGTCCGCCGGAGGCAGAGGAGCGGACTCGCGCAGACTCTCTCTGTTTGGCGTGGCGGGAGCGCCTGCCCGACGCAACTCGAACGCCGTCTCCATCGCCAGTTCCGCCTCGGGCTCCACCTCCAGCGGCTGGCTCCGCTCTCTCTCCTCGGCTTGGCTCAACTGGCGCTCCACCGCCTCGCCCGCTCCCATGCAAGCCGACTCGGACGTCTTCCACTCCACCGACGACAGCGAAGAGTGGCCCTCACGTGGATCAGGTCAGGCATCGCGACGCGAGAGCAACGCATCGCGCAGCAGCAGCCATCACAAGCTGCCTTATGCTCAGAAGCGTGCCTCTTCTCTCCGCGACGTCAGCCTGGCCTCGTCTCTGGGCCAGACCAGCACGCTCCACCCGGCTCAAATGTCGCGCAAGCCCTCGGAAGACCGTAGTGCCGGCATCACTCCGACGCAGAGTCTCGTGGCTAAGCCCACCATTCGACGCGGTCATGTGCCAGCCTACGTTCGCGAGATCGGCCAGGGTGGCATCCCTGGCGACTCATCCTCCGATGCCAAGTCGGATTCGACGGCGGCAGCCGACGAGCGAGCACAGCGTCCCATGCGTCCCCGTGTCGACAGTCTCACTCAGATTACTGATGCCAATGCGCAGAACGCGCAGAGGAAGGTCAATAAGCGAAGGAGTCGCGACATTTCGGTGCTGCCGCCGCTGCTCGCTCCCATCAGTCGCTCGGGCAGCAGCACCAACCTCTACGCCCAGATGCCCAGGAGTGCTCGCGCGTACTCGACCGGCCGTGCTTGGACCGCTGCCAACACTCCGCAGATGTACGTAGGCAGCGCCGGCTCCTCGCATCAGCAAGCGGCAGGCGCAGGCGCTCACATGCAGCCGCCGGTCTCGCCGACGCTGATGCGCAGCCCGTACAACAGCAGCTTCGCCTTGACCCAGGACGCGCAGCGTGCCGCCTTGTCGCCTTCTCGGCCCAACAGCGCGGCCGGATACCATTCGCTCCCCTACACCGCAGGCACTTCGCCGCGCGCAAAGGGTCTTGGCTGGGGAGCCATGACCTCGATTGCATCGCCTCCGGCTTCCACAGACTCGGGCGCATTCCCGCATTCGACGGGCCATCGCCAGAGCATCAGCTACGGCCATGCTGCCGCCCTCGCCAACCGACAGCTCGTCAGTCAGGCTCGAGGGCACCATCTAAACCATAATGTCCAGCATGCCCATCACGCTCATGCTCACGCCCACCACCATCACGCCCACCAGCACCAGCACCACCAACATCATCACCATCCTCATCACCATCCTCACCACGCTCATCACGGACATGCTGGTCATATCCAGCACAGCTCCTCGGTCTCCAACATCTCGGATGCGGTTGGCAGGGGCAATGAACGTGCGGCTGTCGGTCATCTCATGACGCTCGGAGCTCCGCCCAACGGCATCGGCCAACAGGGCGGCGGCGGCATTTCGGGTCGCCATGCGACCATGCCATCCGCGCTGCAGCGCACTCCGACGCCAAGTGTGCCCGAGGACGGCGGCGAAATGTCTTCGCAGGCTCTCACCTCGGGCGACTTTATCAGCCGACCCGACTCGGCGTTGGCGGGGCAGCATGGGCGTCGCCACCACCGCACGTCGCTCATGCCGCCGCCTCGATCTCGCTCGTCAATGGGGATGCACACGCAGCGCATCCAGCCGCTCACTTCGACCGACGCCGCTGCTCTGCCCGCCGTGGCGGATACTGCTGACGTGGTGCAGCACCACGAGGAGCCGCCGCGCACGTGGAGCTACGACCAGCTGTCGGGTCTCAAGACCTATCCGATCCTGCAGCTGCCGGACCGCGAGACGCACGATGTCTACGACGCCGCGTGGGGTCTCGATGCGGGCGGCCTCGCCAAGCATCTGGGCCAAGTCCCTGCCGACGTCCAGCACGGCGCCCGCCCGGCGCACAACGAGCGACGCACGTCGACAGACCAGGGCTCGGTGCAGATGGGCTTCCAACCGCACCGCAAGAAGCTCTTCTACTTTGACGCCTAATTCTCTCTCTCTCTCTTTCTCCATTCTTCTCATGACTCTGCTTCTCTGCACGCAACCGCATTTCTTCTCTCTCTCTCGCGTGCTCTCGCGCTCTCATCTTACTGTCAAGGGTTCTATTCAGCCAAAGTTTTCTTGTTCACGGGGATCAATTCATCCGCTCTTCGCAACCGTACTGCGCTCTGCCTGGTGTTGAAGCTCTTGTGCAAGTTGCGGCTTGAGTGGCCAGCGTATGAGAAGTCTATCGAAACTGCGGTCTTGATTTTGCGATGGGTTTGCGCTACGACGGCTGAAAGAGTTGACTTGGGAGGGTGCCGCTTGCAGTACCGGCAGGCTGTACGTGAGCTCAAGGCCAAGAGCTGCGACACCTCGGAACAGGCTGAGATGTATAGACCTTACCGCAGAGGCTGATGGACAGGACGCATGGTGCGTGGCCGACTTCTGAAACTGAAGCCTACTTGTGGACTTGTGGCGATGGTGACGAGGCTGACAGGCCAACGGTAGAGCTTCGACATGGCCCATGGGCAAACGGACCGAGTTGGTCAGACCGTATTGCCAAGGCTGGCGAGGGTAGAGTAAGTTATCGGACGTCGACGTCGAGAAGCTGGCCAACTCACTCGGGTTTCGATAATAGTGCCGTGGATGAGGGCTGGAACTGATCAACGTGCTCGTCGTCGAGCAGCACGTTGCACCGACCAGACTCTCCGTCGAGTCGACCAAGGCCGTAGCCGAGCCGGGCGCTGGTCAGAACGAACGCGCTCGTGCGCCTGCGAAACCCGCACCGCGCGTCTAGTCCCGAGTCTTGGGCGACGCAGAGGCCAGCACGACAGTCACGAACCAGCTCAAGCCGATCCATCTTGATGCTTGCCACTCGCGTCACACATACAGAACGCGCTTTGTGGAAGTCATCGCTCATCCACTCTTTTCGAACAAGAGATTTCACGCCTGGATACCAGACGATGGTGTAGATGTGCATTTGCATTGCAAAGTGTGCGACTAGGACATGCCAAATACCCTCGCTTCCGCCACCACCGGCCCACCCAATTTGAGCACGACCGCCTCGCTGCCACCCTCTCGCCAGTGCTGCACGACGCTGTGCGAGAGGTAGGGCCGAACCTCGGCATCACGCGTGGCGATGGTAATGTGCGGATGCCAATCGACATGCAGCGCCGCAAACTCGTCGGCCAGCTCGCGCGGCGGCGTGATCCGATCAATCGGAAACGTCAGCAGTGTATCCCTCTCGTACAGCACTGTCGATAACTCCACCTCAAACGTCCCCCCACCGCCCGTGCTCGCCGTGCTGGTGCGGCTGGCGTTGGAGAGCAGCCGCGTGTAAAAGTCCCACTTTGCATCGCTTGCGTTCTTGTCCTCCCCCTCCGCCGCGCGGTTGGTTCCATGCACCAACGTCACATGCGGCCTTGCATTCACCCTCCCCGCACCCCTTACACTTGCATAAAACTGCGCCGCTTCATCCTGCCTCCCCGCGAAGAGCGAGTCGAGCGTAGCCCGCACATCCAGCTCGACCGCCAGGCCAAAGTACCTCACGCCCGCCTCGTCCTTCTTGTCGGCGCGCGACTTTTTCGTCACCTTCCAGTCCACCGCCTTGGCCAGCGCAGCCTCCACGCGCGCATCGCTAGGCACGCTCCATCCCAACACGGGTGCCATGGCCTTGATGATGGCCATCAAATTGTCCTTGGCGGATGCGCGCACGGAGAGCTGTACGACGTGGTCAAAGCTGGCATCGCCATAACCCTGTGAGCCTTCGCCTTTGCCGTGTGCGCTGTGGAACGGTTCGAGCGCCTCGAGGAAGCGCCAGAGGATCTGTTCGTGCGACCGCATGCCCGCCACCGCCCCCTCGGCCGTATCCGCCACAAGCGTCTGGTGGTTGTCTCCCCTCGCCTCGATGCGCGCCGCACACAGCCGGTGTAGCGTATTCAGCGGCACGGAATCCAAATCCCACACCAACGCAACCGTCCTCACCCTGCCCACATCCACCTTGACCTTGCCCTTCTTCGCCTGCGGCACTGCTGGTGGGGTGGAGAGTTGGTGGGCGAGCTCGATCATGTCGTCGCGATGCTGCTGGAGATGGTTGTTCTTGTCGGCAAACACGACGTGCTGCTCGCCCGCATGCGCGCGGATGTCGCGCTCCACCGCGCCGAGGAATCCCTTTTTCGCTTTAAACTCGTCCGACTGCACATGCGACACGCCGTACAGCTCGTGCAGCGCCACGGCCAGCACCGTCTTGCCGCACCCAGGCACCGCGACGGGCGCCAGCACGGTCTTGCTAAACGCGCGCGTGTCCGGCTGCTTCTCCACCGGCGCAACGGCGGGGACAGGGGCGGCGCTGGCAAGGTGCGCGAGGAACGCGTTGCGCATGGCAATGATGCCCTTGTTCTGCGTCAGCCCGGCGAACAACGAAGGTTGCGCCGCGATCGACTTGGACGCGTTGCCATACAGCCGGTCGTAGCACCACTCGATGAACGCGAGCGTTTCGGGACGGCGCGCACGCGGCTGTGGTGGCGACGGCGGCAGGATGCCGGCTGCCTGCGCGGCTGCTCGTGCCGTGGCGGCTTCTTTGGCGTCCTGCTTGGCCAGACGCTTCTTCTCGCGTTTCAGCGCGGCTTTGGACGGTCCCTCGCCCTCTTCCTTACTCGCCTGCTCCGCTGGCTCTTCCGCCTTGGTTTCGGGATCTTTCACCTTGTCAGGCTCGGCAGATGGTGTGGAGTCGCTGGCCGGCTGTTGAGTGGCGGTGACCTTGGCCTGCCACTCTTCCTTCTCCTTGAGCATCTTACGCGCCAGCTCGCGCCAGTCGCGGTACATGAGGTAAGGTTCGTCGAACTTGACCTTGTAGAACCACGCCTGCCCTGGTGCGTACGGCGGGCTCACGGCTTTGTTCTCTGGGTCGGCCTTGATGGTCTCGAGCTGGTGGGTGGCGGGCATGTGGGTGCGGATGACAAAGCCCTCGATGGGTTCTCCCTCCCATGCACCCGTCTGTTCGATCTCGGCGGTGACGCGCTGGACCTCTTGCAGCGACGGCAGCTCGATCCATCGTGTGCGGATGAAGCCCCACGCCTCTGCGAATGCGTCGACGTCCGGCATGGGCCGCGTGGCAAACCTGACGGCGTTGGCATTGAGGCCGTGCAGATGGAGGCCGGAGCGCGCACGGTCGTATGCGAGCACGTGCTCCTCGAAGTCGTCGTCGCACAGCTCAAAGGCGGCGGTTTCGTTGCGGCGCCACAGCTCTGCCGCGAGCTGCGACTCGGTGCGGCCGACGGAGGCGAGGTGCTTGAGCAGCCACTCGCGCCCTTTCTGCGCATGCGTCACCTCGGCGCCTGCAAGGCCACCGAGCGAGTGCTTGGAGGTAACTACGATCTGACTGGGGGAGAGCGCAGCGACAAAGATGATGCATCCGTTCTCCTTGAACGTGAGCACGTAGGGGGCAGTTGTGAAGCGCTCGATCGACGGCGGCTTGGTCCACGGCATCTCGCCGAGGTTGAAGAACTTGTCGTATCCGCGCACCACAATGCGATGCTTCTCTGCAGTATCTGAGCCCGTGTCGACGCGTTCTGTAAAGAGGCCTCTTGCGAGCGTGGGCAGCTCCGACCCGACGCCCGTCGCCTTGCGGTAGGCAAACTCGGCGACCTTCCATGAGAGCAGATGGTGGTGGTCCGCGCCGGTGTTCGAGGTCGAACCTGCGGGTATGTCGACTCGATGTCCTGTAGATCTGATCAGCGGCTTGGGCTGCTTGCGCGCCGCATCGAGGGCAGCAACGAGCTTGGTGGCTGCGTCGATCTCGGCGCGATGTGCGGGCGTGAATTGTGTCGAGGAGCTGGAGGGCGCAGCATCGTCGAGGGAGAGTGCGGCGAAGGCGCTCGAGGGGCTGTTGGGCACCTGAACGGCCGCAGCCGGAGCCTGTTCAGGGCTGCTTGCACCGTTGGTGGCCGGTGCAGCGTCTGTTGTAGCCATCGCTCGACGTTGTGGTGAGTGGTGGAGAGGAAAGCCAGTTTCGACTGAGCGCTGAGCCTCCACTTTCTTCTGAAACGCTCAAATTTCGAGCAGCGCCAGAAGAGCACGACAGGGTCTCGCGAATTTTCATCAATGTTAGGCCGTTCCAACTCGGCTGTGTTGGTCTCTCCACCTCGAGGCTCGCGCAACACGCTCTCGCTCACCACCATCCTCGGCATCACACACACACCCACTCACACAACATGGAGGCAGCAGTAACAGAGTACCAGAAGCTTCAATCTTGTAAGCCCTCGTTTCCACACCAGTGTGATTGACCAGCGAGCTGACGATCGGCACGCTTGTGCGCCCGCGACCGCAGCCTTCCAGACCGCCGTCGAGGCGCGCCAACAGCTCGACTCGCAGCTGCGCGAGAACGAACAGGTGGCCAAGGAGTTCAGCAGGCTCACGCAGAACAACGAGGTGTACAAACTCATCGGACCCGTACTCGTCAAGCAGGACCAGGTCGAGGCAAAGACCAACGTCGACAAGCGCATCGAGTTCATCAAGGGCGAGATGTATGTCCCGCACAACCATCTTCCAGCTACCATCTCGGCACTGACAAACTTCATTTTGTGGTGGCGCATACAGCGAGCGCGTAGAGGCTCAGATCAAGGATCTCAACGAAAAGACCGAAAAGAAGAAGATCGAGGTGCGTCTTGCTCTGCAACAGTGTAGGGGGATGCGGTGCTGACTTTGAACTCGGCTTGCAACAGATCGTCGCTCTCCAAACAAAGGCACAGCAGGACGCTTCAGCTGCAGGTGCTGGATCCGCCACCGCCATCTCGGCCTAAATCACCCCCGTCCAGGCATTTGCGTTTGTTTTGGTATTGTACAACAGTGAAGCTCTATGCGAAACATATAAGACTAGCGACTCGTCTCGACCACGTCTACCTCGTCGTCGCTCTCGGCCACCTCGATCGGCGAGACCGCCCTCTTGGTCACCGGCGATGTGACTGCGGCGGGTTTCTGTGCGTCTGCGCTCGTCTCGTCATCCGACACACTGGGGCTGCCGCGCCTCTTGGCGGACTCGGCCACATCGGACCAGCCCAAGCTCTTGGCGAGCATGCGGTAGCGCTTGCGCTCCAACGCACCCACCGCCTTGAGCTCGGTGTCGAGACGGCATTGGTGGTCGCGAGAGAAGCGGCTCAGCAGCTGCTTGGCTTCGGCATCGCCCTGCCATGCGGTGCGTTTGGCGACGAGGAGCGCACGCAGCAGGTACTGCGCCACCGTCGTAGGCTTGATGCTGCTCCCCACAGCCACTTGCACGATCGTCTCGCTCGAGTACAGCCACCGATGCATCGCCCGGTCGTGCGCCAGCAGCACACGCGTCACCGTCACTCCCTCGTCGCTGCTCTCCCCCGCGTCTTGCTTGGCAGGTACCGCGCTGCGTTTCGGCCGCGGCGGTGTGACGGAAGCGGCGGACACGACGGTCGCAGCGGGTTTCGACGATTGAACCGGCTTGCTCTGCTTGATCGGCTCCTTTGGCTGGTCTGGCGCTCGAAGCTCGCGTAAGGCGGTGCGCAGTTGCTGCTTCTGCGTCTCGGCCGCTGTGAGCTGCATGCGCTCCTGCAGCAGATCGTACGCACTCAACCGCAGCGCACTATCCAGATCCAGCGGTGCCCTCGTCGCCTGTCTTTGCGCCGACGCATCAATCTCGTCCAGCCTTGCGAGCATTCCTCCTCTGTCTCGCTCCTTGCTCGGTGGCGTGGGGGTAAAGTACTCTGCAATCGCACGCAGCACCTCCAGGCTGGCAAACGTATCGCTCGCCGCGTACTCGATCTGTTCCTGGTCGAGCGGGAATGTCTCCCAGTCGCTCACGCGCACGTCGCCCTTGCGCAGCCGTCGGCCGAGGTAGATGCGCGTGAGGTCGCGCAGGCTGATGAGCGTCCCCACGCTTGCCCATTGCGCAGGCTGCGCCAGCTTGGCGAGGTTGCTCAGCTCGAGCACGTTGCGCATGTGGATCGCATAGTCGCGTTGCAGCTTGAGCGCGTCGTTCCGGATCGCCACGCCCGTCTTGATGATGCTTGGGTCTTGCAGGATCGTGCGCAGCAGCGGCGGCACGCGGTGCGACATGGCCGACATGTGGATGACCAGGATCATCCTCGGACTGCACAGCTGCAGCAGCGCCGTGCGATTCGCCCCGCCGAAGCGTGTGAAGTTCCATTCCAGGTCCAGGCCCATAGGCCCGGGCCCGAGGCACGAAAGCAGCTCTTCAGCCTCGTCATAGTCGGCCGTGTACGCGAGCAGCGGCGTCTTGAGCCGCGCCGTAGCTGTCAGATCTTGAGGAGCCGCAGCAACGGAGTCGGCTGAAGGCTTGGATCGCGCCAGCAGGAAGTCTACACCTGTCGCCAACTCGGAGCCACAGGGAACAGTGTGGGTGTAGATGTCCAGCCCGCGTTCGAGCTTCTCCTGCTCGGCCTCTTTTGCCGCCTTGGCGGGTGAGATCTTCCACTGATGCGGCCTGTACCTTGATTGCTTGCTGGCCGTCGTGGAGCTGTGGCGCTGCTGCTGCCCCATTGCCCGGGCGTGGTGCGTCGAGGCCCACGTTTTGGGCGGACGATTCTTGGCTCGAGCGCGCGGCGGCATCTCGAACCACCCGTTACCGCCCCGCCGTGTTTGGAGTACGGTAGTTTTGAGGTCGTGGACAGCTTTCTGCTCCAGTATTGATGCGCTGAGCGGCACGAGTCCGAGCCGTGAGCAGCCTGGAATCGAGATGCGTCGCAGCAGCACAGCTAGCGGGAGCTTCATGGCCTGGCCTGGCACGGTAGAAATGCGTGGCTCGTAATCGTGGCCATCTCTAGGTCCCAGGGGACTTGAACATTGCTTTTGGGCGGATACTACGAGGATGTGGTGGTGTCGAGGCGAGGCGGTAGAGTCTCCAGGCAAGACCAAAGCTCCGCGTCGTGAGGCGAGACTTTGGTGTTCAGGGTCCTGCACTCAAAATCACGACCGAGTGATTTCATATCCCGGACGCGCACGCGCTTTTTTCGCACGTTGTTAGGGTAGAATTTCACACACTTGAGTCGGAGGCCCACCGCCGCTGCTCTCATCAACCAGTCTCGTCATTAGGCGATGGAACTTCCACACATCACTCAAACTGCACGCACGATCTCACCGAGTTGAGACACACAAACTGCAACTGACGGAGCCTAAAAGGACCCCTCGTGTGCGAGGAAGCCCGGTTTGATTTTTGGGTCGTGTGCGTTTCCCAACGGTGAGAGGGAAGAGCTGCAATACAACAGTGAAAGGACATGTGTATGTGTGCGTGTGTGTGTGTGTGTGTGCGTATGTAGAAGAGATGAAGCGATCCGACGTCCAAGCCGCAGGTAAACGCAGCCTATACGCGGATCAGAGATGCGGAGGGGGGATGGTGGTACATGACCTCCGAGGAGCTACTGCGAGATGGGGCTGCGTGTGTGCAGCGGTTCACCATCTGGCGCCAGACTCTCAAAGGCAACCGAAGCCGAGCGGAAAGCGCGATCGCAAGAGGCGATGCGCTTATCGGCGGCCGGCACCGGGGACGTGGCGGCCACGGCGCTCGGGGGCCTGGTAGGCAGTGACGGGGGCGGTGACGCTGACGGGGAGGCTGTCGAAGCCGAACGAGCGCAGCATGTCCTTGGTGTCGGGGTCGACCTCGAGCGAGCCGGGGGCCGAGGTGTCGAGGGCCGAGACCTCGGGCACGTACTGGTCCTTGCGCTCGCGCTCCTCCTCCTGCAGCTTGAACGAGATGCCGCGGACGGGGCCACGCTGGATACGCTTCATGAGGTGGGTGGTGAAACCGGCGATCTTGTTGCGCAGACGCTTCGAGGGGATGATGGCGACCTCATCGATGACGCGCTTGTTCTGGTGGAAGTCGACGCTCGACAGACGAGGGTAGTACTTCTCGATGAGCACGCGCGAGGCACGCTTGGTGGTCTTGGTACGAACGCGACCCTACGAGGTGATGATCAAACGCATGACGAGCGCAAAGAGGAAAGTCAGCATTCTGCGTGTGCTTCACGTTGTGTTCGGGTCGAGAGCTTTTGACAGCGAGCGGGCAGAGTGACAATGCACGGTTGGCGAGGCAGCGAGAGCGTCAAGCAGCGCAAATACGATGTGTCGTCGGTTCGAGTTGGTGTTGTTGCATGTCGAGACGTTTGGCGGTGCTGGAGTCGCGCGGTGCTAAAATCGAGACGAGTCGGCTTGTTCACCAGACTGGACGTGTGATACTGCCCATCACTTCAACGGTGTGGTATGAACGCGGTGCGAGTTTCGCTCGTGGTGTGGTTGTGTCTGAATATGCCCTCTGCGAACAGAGGATGACGTTGGTGTAGACGACGTCGGACGATCGAAACTGCCATCGGTTGAATGGCCTGCCGTAGCACTGCGTGGGACTGACGGGTACCTCCTCCCCATCCAGAAGCCCATCATGGAAAGAAACGCCTCCTCGATTGCACGGAACGGCCGTTGCGACCTCGTCCGAGGCTGAAGATACTCCAACATGGGTTGCACTTTGGCCATGCTATCTTCTGCTGACACTCTGTGCACTGGTTGTTGCTGGATAGCGTCTGCAGTTTCCGTAGCATATCCTGGGGTGGGGCGTTTCGCTGAAGATGATGATCGCATGCTGTACTTGGCTGTACTGAAACTCGGAAGCCTACGCGAGCTGAACTGGGTTGCCGAGGTAGTCGTCGATGCTGCTGCTGTGGCCGATGCTGGTGCTGATGCTGTGCGTGGTGTCGTGCTCGCTGTCGTATGCTGGACGACGATGCTTACCATATTGGATGATTCTTGAAGTTAGAGGATGGTGACGGGAAAGTGTGATCGTGAGGAGAAGGATGATGATCCAGAGCGCGACCGAGCGTCACTCGCAGCCAGGCGCAGGCCGGCTGTGGCCCTCCCCAGCCTTGGCCCGGCCTAGCTGCCAGTCCACTATCTGCGATCCAACTGGAGTAGCACTGCGCCCACTCGCCTCGAATCTGGCAGCTCACCGCGACCCGCTGTGGTCTCGACGGCTGGCTCTCACTCCAAGCTAAACCAGCTTGCCCGGCGTGCGAGCTCGAGTCTTCGCGACGTTGGGTAGGAGCACCTCAGAGTCGCAATTTTCTGATCCCAGCAAAGCTCGGCCGAGGTCTACACGTGATTCTAACGAGGCGGTCGAATTTCGAGAGACTCGGATTTGAGACGTAAATTGCTTGGGTTGAACTTGCTGCCTGTCTGCTGCCCTGTTTTTCCGAATCTCTGGGACTGCCTGCGAAAATTGGCTCGCCACGGTGAAGAGTGTGAGAGTGCGTTGCAACAGATGAGCTTCGAAGATCTGCCAAGGGTGCGTGGAGAAGGCCACCGGTGTGGATAGGGCAGCATCCTGCGGAGCGAGAGCGAGGCAGCATGCCCAGCCAGAAGGCCTCTTTGTGGACTCGAGCCAGGACCGCCGTGGTGTGCCGCCAGTCGTGGTGTGTGGGCGCGAGCAGGCTGGTCGTCGTCGTTGGCCCTACCTTCTTGCTCCTGCCTCCATCTTTCATCAACCGGTCACCGTTCACCACCTCGTCAAGGTTAGTAGCAGCATCAACAGCATCCAACGACACTCCCAGCGCAGTATATACACAGGGGTGCTCCTACAGCATCCGTTCAGCCGACAACGGAAGCACATACATCGACACGCAACCACACCCGCAATGATGCCGACGCCAGCATACCCAGCATGCGCGCATATCACCGACTTTGGATGAGACCAGCGGTCGCCTCTCCATCTTATTAAAGTCACCAGCGTCCAAAAGCCAAATTGCTCCATCGACGATCACCGCGTCCAGTCTGCAATCTCCCGACTCGATTCACATTCGAGCACCGGAAGATCCAGCATCGTATCGACCCTCGCCTGCAATAGGCACGACGACGTCTTCAGCACGCCGCTTCACACAGCCTTTGCGTCACTGGCATCGACATCGTGCCACGAGCGCGCCCGAGTGTCATCCGACCTGTACCTCTCCAGATCCAACTTTTGGCAACCCCTGTGTCTTTGGCTCGTCTGGGCACGTCATTGGTAGTCGCGGCTGGTGCAGAACAGGTCATCAACTAACCACCAACACCCACCATCCCTCTGCCAACCTTTGCCTGTACCTGCCCAGCAGATCACATAATCGCCCATCATGGTCCGCATCTCCGTTCTCGTAAGTATCCGTCCCTACCATACGTCGCGTCGCCATCCGACAGCTTGCTGACGTTTCGCACTCACACTCGCACTCCACCCTCCACAGAACGACGCCCTTAACTCCATCGTCAACGCCGAGCGCAAGGGCAAGCGCCAGGTGCTTGTCCGACCCTCGTCCAAGGTCGTCATCAAGTTCCTCTCGGTCATGCAGAAGCACGGTAAGTTTCGATCATCGCCACGCACACACACTTTTCCCTATACCATCCCCAATTCCGCTTGGACGACACATCGACAGACATCAGCAGGAAGGACATCAGCAGCCACCAACATCGGCACCAGGCATAAGGGAGGGGTCGGAGGAGGAGGAGCATCGGCAGGACACAGACGCAGGAGAGCGCGATTCGCAGGAGGAGGACTCCGGAGTTATAACTAATGGGCATCTGGCTGGCGTCTTCGGAGGCCCACACCAGCGTTCATCTTTAAGGCTCCGGGAAAGTAAAGTCGGCAATTGCTATGCTTACCGCGTGGAGAGGCACTACTTCCACCTCATCGGCGCAAATTTTCGGCGTGCCACATGCCCAACCTTTCGCTCTCCCACTCTCGCTCTCGCTCTCGCCCTCATTCGTGGCGCTGCGTTTACGTCGAGAAGACAGTGATACTGATTCGTTTGTCACTTTGTGATTGATGCAAAATCCAGGCTACATCGGCGAGTTCGAGGAGGTCGATGACCACCGCTCGGGCAAGGTCGTGATCCAGCTCAACGGCCGCATCAACAAGTGCGGTGTCATCTCGCCCCGCTTCAACGTGCAGCTCGGCCAGATCGAGAACTGGGTGCAGCAGCTCCTGCCCGCCCGTTCGTTCGGCTACGTCGTGCTCACCACCTCGGCCGGTATCATGGACCACGAGGAGGCCCGTCGCAAGCACGTTGCCGGCAAGATCCTCGGCTACTTCTACTAAGCCAAGTCGCCCGTCGATCTTGTTCCAGCTCCCTGCCCTCCCAACCCCCCAAAAATGATTCCGTGATGGACACATGTCACGAAGAGAACCTCACGCTTTTCCCTGTGCTGGATTCAAGGGTCCAGCCCCGGCGTCGTACTCCCCCGCCGTGCCCATCTGGCACGAATGGTCGCATCCTCCGCAACAGCGCGACGAGATGTCATCACTAGGGATCCATGGAAACGGCCCCGGTCTCCATCATACACTCTTCCCCCAACCAACCTGTCGTTGTACATTATGTCGACTCGTCATTCCCCCCACACGTGCATCCACTTGCATTTTCTCTCTCACAATCCAATCGATATTCTCAGACAGACCATCTTGTTGCGTGTGTGTGTAGGGTGCGGGTTGTAGTGGAAAAGACGAGGGTGGGTTTGTAGCGCGTTCAGAGAGAAGGAGGCGGCGGGTTGGACCCTGAAACCGACCGGCGGTTGGAGCGCGGCGTGGCTGTGCGTGGCAAGAAGATCTAGCTCGGCTGGAGAAGGTGCGTGGAACCAACACTTTTTCACCTGGCCAACTCGCTTCCTCTCGTCGCTCCCACCGTCCTTCCACCACCAGCGCTTCACGATGGAGGCCAAGTATGTTTCGTGGCGGGATACGTACCTGCGCTCATGCGGTGCGGGTGTGTACTGCTACTACAATGCGCGCGGCGACAACGGCAATGCGATCACCTGTTCCGAGGCGCACGGCTATGCGATGCTCATCTCGGTGCTCCACCGCAACCGCGCCGACTTTGACGGCCTCTTGACATTTCTGCTCAACTTTCGCAACGAGCGCGGGCTGATGTGTTGGCAAATCCGCTCCCCGCACCAGCCCTCTGCGGGCCGCGTCGAACCTTTCGTGGAAGAGGACGGGAAAACATCGGCTACGGACGGAGACATTGATATCGCATCATCGCTGTACCTCGCAGCACGAATCTTTGGCGAGGGGAGGTACAGGGTGGAAGCGGATCGGATTGCAAGTGCAGTGTTGCAGTACACGATTCATCCGGAGCTGGGGACGCCGTTGCTGGGGGATTGGGCAAACCGCGATTCGGCAGAGGGCTGTAGGTTGTACGACGCCACACGCACCAGCGACTTTATCCTCTCTGCATTCGCACTCTTCAGTCGCCACCACTCGGACGCCACGCAGCGTCAAAAATGGCAGTGGGTGCTTGAACGCACCAAGCAAACCGCGCTCAGCTGTGGAGGAGCCACAGGCTTCCTGCCGGACTTCCTCGAACAACGTGCAGGACAGTGGCAGCCAGCCAAGGGACAACTGCTCGAATCGGAGCACGATGGCGATCTCAACTGGAACGCATGTCGCACACCGTGGCGTCTTGCACACTACCTCGCTGTGACGGGCGATACATCCATCCTACCCCTGCTGCAACACGCCCACCACTCGGCCCGCTCCATCGCCGCATTCAGCTTCCCCAACATCCCAGCCGGTGTCCAACTCAATGCCAGCCACGGCGTAAAGGCTCTGGTGGACTATTCGGACAAGAGCTTCATCGCCCCAGTTGGATACATGTGCCACGTGCTCGGAGATGCAGATGGCCACCGCCAGTGCATCAGCGCTCTGGAGTTGCAAGGCGAAAGCTACTTTGGCGATACCATCGACCTTCTCATCGCCGAACAGGCAAGTCATGCCCGCGAATGGCTTGGCTGAATCCACACAAACCGCAATAGACTCTTGTGCAAAAATTGCTGTGGATGCATTGGGGACCCCGGATGGAACGACTACATGTATAGAAAAGCGGCTCACTTCTTCTTCTGGCTGGTGGTGTTCTTGGGCAGCTCGCGGAGGTAGGGGAGGAAGTCGCGTCCGCCCATGTAGGGCTGAAGGGGCGGGGGGATCTTGAGGCCGTCTGGTGTCTGCCAGTTTTCGACAACGCAGCAGAGGGCGCGCTCGGTGGCGCAGAGCGTGCCGTTGAGCATGTGCACAAACGTCGGCTTGGTGTCGCCGGGCTTCTTGAAGCCGCAGCGCACGTCGAGGCGTCGCGACTGGTAGTCGGTGCAGTTGGAGCACGAGACGAGCTCCTTGTACTCGCCCTGGAAGGGGAACCACGCCTCGAGGTCGTACTTGGCCGCAGCGGCGTTGTTGAGCGCGCCCGACACGATGGCCACCACGTGGTAGGGCAGCTGGAGCGACTGGTAGAACTCTTCCGAGTTGGCGAGCATCTGCTCGAGCATCTCCCACGACGAGGCCGGGTCGGTGATGCAGAACTGCTCCACCTTCTCGAACTGGTGCACGCGGAAGATGCCCCAGGTATCCTTGCCGTGCGAGCCGGCCTCCTTGCGGAAGCAGGTGGAGTAGCCGGCGTAGCGGATGGGCAGCTGCTTGGCGGGCTCGGTGAAGACCTCGTCCGAGTGGAGCGCCGAGATGGGCTGCTCGGAGGTGGCGATGAGGTACTTGTCGTCCTCGTCGCCGGTTACCTTGTAGAGCTCCTCGTCAAACTGGTCGAGCTGCGCGGTCTTGGCCATGACCTCCTTGCGCATCATGAAGGGCGTCATGATCTTCTTGTAGCTCTTCTTGCGGAGGAAGTCGAGGCCGTAGTTGATGAGCGCCTGGTTGAGGTCGACGCCGTCGCCGGTGAGGAAGAAGCCGCGGTGGCCGGAGATCTTGGTGCCGCGCTCGGTGTCAAAGAGCTCGAGACGGTACATGACCTCGTGGTGGCTGAGGATGCCCTCCTTCTTCTCGACCTGGGCATTGGGGCCGTCCGGATGCCACTTGCGGATCTCGGCGTTGTCGTCCTCGGTGTTGGAGATGGGCACCTTGTCGCCCACGATGTTGCCGATCTGCATCGCCTTGGACTTCATCTCGTTCTCGGCCTGCACCACGCTGGGCTTGAGCTGGTTGACCTTGGCGTCGAGCTCCTTCTTCTTGGCCATCTGCTCGTCTGCGTTCTCCTTGGCCTTGCGCAGCTTGGTGATCTCTGCCTGGACGGCGTTGACGTCGCGGCGCGCCACATCGAGGTCCTTCTGGAGCGTGACCCAGTTCTTGTAGAGAGCGAGCACCTCGTCGACGAGCTCCTCGGAAGCGTTGCGCTTCTTTTGCGAGTCCTTGACGAGCTGAGGGTTTCCGCCCTTGTCGGGCTGGAGGAGGAGAAGATCGATCATGCTGAATATGTGTGGGGGTGGTGGATGCGGGATGAGAATGAGAACGAGAACGAGAGGCGTGTTGGTCTAACGCCTTGATTCCGCTTGTGCGCAGCAGCGTGGGCGCAAAATCGACAATTCGAGTCAAACAGCGCCGCCAATTCTTCCAAAAAATGGCACAGATTGTCTGACCCTTTGACCTAACAAATACTCAAAAATCCCAGCAGCGATTTCGGAAAATTTTACGAAAAAAGCGGGCTGCGCAGTGCCACTTTGGAAGATTCGAACGCTGAAGCGGCAGGCTGAGGATGATGCTGAGGCTGAGACGCAGCGCTGCGTGTGTTGAAAGACGGATCGACTGGTGATCACCCGCTTGCCTTTTCGCCATCATCCATCCTCATACCGGTCGATCGTCACAATGTCTGTCTACGTAGACCTCCCCTTCGAGCTCCAGGCGGCTCCCGCTGGCTTCAAGCCCGGCCAGTCCTCCGCCTCCACCCTCGCCGCTCCCGTCACCCACACCCTCCAGCCCGTTGGCCCCGCCTTCCTCGCCCACAAGCGTCGTGAGCTCAACGGCCTCTCGTTCGCCCAGGACGACAAGACCATCGCAGACTCGCTCGCCGCTGCCGCTGCTGCTGCTGCCGCCAATGGCGACGACGACGCCGGCGTCGGCGAGGAGGACGAGTCCGAGGAGCTCCTCGCCCGCGACCCCAAGGAGTGGAAGACCCAGGACCACTACGCCGTCCTCGGCCTCTCCTCGCTCCGCTGGAACGCCACCCAGGAGCAGATCAAGATCGCCCACCGCAAAAAGGTGCTCAAGCACCACCCGGACAAGAAGGCCGGCTCCTCGGGCCTCACCTCGGACGACTCCTTCTTCAAGTGCATCGCCAAGGCGCACGAGATCCTCAGCAACCCCGAGAAGCGTCGTCAGTTCGACTCGGTCGACGAGAGCGTCGACGACGAGGCCGTCCCCACGGGCAAGGAGCCCGCCGACAAGTTCTACCAGCTCTGGGGTCCCGTGTTTGAGCGCGAGGGCCGCTTCTCCGAGCCCAAGAACGGCGCCGTGCCCAAGCTCGGCGACGCCAACTCGACGCGCGACCAGGTCAACGAGTTCTACGACTTCTTCTACAACTTTGACTCGTGGCGCTCGTTCGAGTACCTCGACAAGGAGATCAACGAGGGCTCCGACAACCGCGACGACAAGCGCTACACCGAAAAGAAGAACCGCAACGAGCGCGCGCGCAGAAAGAAGGAGGACAACGCACGTCTGCGCAACCTCGTCGACAAGGCGCTCTCCGTAGACCCGCGCATCAAGCAGTTCAAGGCCGATGACAAGGCGGCGCGCGAGGCCAAGAAGAACAAGGGCCGTCCCGGCGTCAACGGCGCCGCTGCCGTCGACCCGCGCAAGGCGGCCGAGGACAAGAAGAAGGCCGAGGAGGAGGCCAAGCGCAAGGCCGACGAAGAGGCCAAGGCTGCCGAGCAGGAGAAGTCGGCAAAGGCCGACGCCAAAAAGGCAAAGGAGGCCGCCAAGAAGGCCATCAAGAAGGAGAAGAAGGCGCTCAACAAGCTCATCACCGACAACAACTACTTCCAGTCCGCCGCACCCACCCCGGCCATCATCGAGGCCCAGCTCAACGAGCTCGATGCACTCTGCGAAAAGCTCGAGGCCACCAAGCTCGCCGACTACAGGAAGAAGGCCGAGGCTGCCTCGGGCGCCGACGCCATCAAGGCCGAGTTTGTCAACGCCGCCAAGGACGCTGGCATCGCCACCTCTGCTTTCGCCTGATCCCCTTTCCCCCCTTAGACTTGATTGACTTGCAATCCACACTGTGTGCCTGCATCGCAAATTCTCTCCTCCGCTTGTGACCATGTGAACTCGTGAGCGACTCTTGTCTTCTCATTCGCGACGTCCAGACTGAGGCAAAGCAGATGGGGTTTCGGGAAAGAGATGCTTTATTTTTTGCGTATGTGTGTGGGTGGGTGCATGTGTGGATCACAGCGACAATGCTACATGGCAAAAGATTCGAAGATCGACCTCTTGCAACGCAGTCATTGAGATGAGGGTGGGGTGAGGATGGAAAAAAGTACAGCGTCGAGGTGGCCGCCTGAGCCGGTGGCCATCGACTTAGTTTTTAATGGACAGCATGATGCGGAAAAGAAGCCGAGCAGCGAAGCAACCACACTGCCGAAACCTTTGCTCGAACCAATGCCAATCCAACGACGCGCGAAGAAGGAAAGAACGAGTAGCGGGGACGGTACGAGCTTAGAAGACCAGGGCGGCGTTCTTCTGCTTCTTGTCACCACCGAGCTCGAAGTGCTTGCAACGCTTGAGCGCAACGTGCGAGCGGTACTTGCACTGGGTGCACTCCAGACGCAGAACGACCTTCTTGGTGGTCTTGGCCTTCTTGTGGAAGACGGGCTTGGTCTGACCACCGTAACCCTTCTGCTTCCTGTCGTAACGACGCTTACCCTGAGCGTACAGCGAAGCCTTACCAGTCTTGTACTGGGTGATCTTGTGAGGGCTGTAGAGTTGTTGCGATGGTGATGCAAACGTCAGCATTTGGGCCGAGACATAATGAGCCTGCACGGTAACAGCAGCCGCAGCAACAACAGAACAACAGCCACCGAAGATCGTCTGAATACAGGATCGCATGCTCGCGCCATCGCGAAGCGGTCAGGCCCTGGTGACCCCAGCGGACACATATTCCTGCTTGCAACGATCCATGCCCATCTCCGCAATGCCGTGCCAACCCAGCCTGCGCTCCGATGTCCGTGGCTTGAGTACGTGTCGCAGAAGCGACATCCAGTGCGATTCACCGCTGCCGCTACAGTCTCTTCTGCTGGGGCGAATGCGGGGGTCTGCCTGTGTCCTAGATGTCCGTGCGGAGTGCGCGATTCGAACCTTCCGATGTCCTTGCGCGAAGAGTTTCCAACCATGATGCTGAGGTCCGACTATCCTGTCCTCTTTTCAGCCTCTGTCCATGCGACTCCGACATCACTGCGTGCGTCTGCGGATAGGTGGAACGATGATGTCGCGAAAGGTGGCTCTGCTTCCCACCGTGCGCTGTTCCGTCCCACAAATGTTCCATGTCTGCTTTGTACTCGGCGGCGTGTGCTGTGCTGATGCTGGTGCTGGTGCTGATTGATGTTGGTTGAATACTCACGTGTGCTTCTTGCAGGGCTTGCCCTTGCAGTAAGTCCTGCGCGTCTTAGGAACGTTGACCATTTTTCTGTAGTGACGGAAAGGTGTGATGGATCGAGGTCGAGATGGTGAAGATGGGGAATTAGGATCGCTTGTTCTGAGACGAAATGCTGACGGATGCGAGCTGCTGGACGCAAAGACACCTGATTGTCCAATGCAGGCTTTCGATCCAAGTGCTGGAGGAGCGCGCGTGCGTGCGTGTACGTGTGCGGTTCGGTCGTGCAACGAAAGTGGCCGTCGTATGGTCGCAGAGTGTCGATGGTGCGATAGGCGTCGCGATACTTACGCTATTGGTAGATGGCTTGAGGATTGGTGGGGGAAGAGCAAGCGTGCGGCAGCGGTCACTCGTTCGGTATGATCGCGAGCGCACTGCCTGGCTCACAGAGGCGGGCGGCAGGCAGTCGCAGCTGAGCGCAGTGTCTGCTGCGACTCGCGCGCGACCGCACCTCAACCCGGAATTGGGCCTGCAGGCCAGTCAATGCCATCCAGCCGCACCGCAGACTGGGCTGCTGCTGTCGCTGCCAGCTCGCGGCTAGGATCCTGGCCTTCTCAGCGCAGCCCAGGCCTGCAGTGTGGCCGACTCTGACATGGGCAGCAACGGCACACTGCTCAGCGAATTGAATTTCCGGCGTCTCGATATTCGCCAGGCCAGATCACGTGGTCCTCGGCCGAGCTTTCTTGTCGTGTATCTTCGCCCTCCTCTTGCCCTTATACACTACTTCATCTGCCTCTTTCGAGCTCGTATCGTGTACACCATAGCATCTCGACTCCCATAAGATGCTTCTCATAGGCTTTACATCCGTCGAGCAAGCTCGGGTTGGACGAGAAGAGGGCGAATGATGAGGAATTGATGGGGAAGCGGCGGAAGAAGTCACGTGCGCAGCCATCCAGGTCAGATTTGAGCCAAAATCCAAGCTTGAATTTCTCTGTCATGGCGCTGCAGACTTGCAGCCCCGGTGGGCGGCAGAGTCGACCGCTGCGGATGCTCGAGGCTGGCTGGCGCTGCGCCTGCGAGTGTGTGTGTTGGAGCCAGAAGGAAGGGCCACCCAGTGTCGCCGTGTGCCGCTACTCAAGCCAAGTCCAGAGCGCAAGCCCACCGAGGGCCAGAGGCCAGCTTGATCGTAGCGATTCGCAGCTCCACCCTTGTCACGCCCATCACCATCATCTCAAGATCGTAAGTATATCCTGCCAGCACACTCGCATCGCCATCGCCACCAGCCGTACGTAGGGTCGTATCGATCGTCGCCATCCATCCGCATCGTGGTACAGGTCGCAGCACAGTCCGACAGCAAACCGTCCGAAGGTCCAATTGCCAGCAGCATTCAGCATACGAACAGCACCTCATCTTCAGAACAGCACCAACGCCCGTCACATCCGAATTGGCATACAGTGTCAACTCTGTGGCCTGCCGAACAGAGCATACGGACCGCCACCGTAGCAGGTGTCCACCTCATTTGATCGAGTACTCGGTACAGGCACTCCTACGCGACGCTTTCAGATACAACCCAGCCGCGTCTGCAACCTTCTGATCAACGGCACACTCGATGAAGCATCGCTCAGACGATTCTATGCAACCGTTCGCAACTGCCAAAGAAGCCAATCCTGATTCGTCGACGAAAGGCATTCAGCAGCTTGCACTTCGCAGCGGCATCTGCGACACTTCCCAACACAGGCGATCCATTGGCACGTGTGCGCTCTTTGCACCGACTACGACAGCGGCTCGGATGGCCGATGCGATTGATGCGCTTGCACTAGCACCTTGCCGAGCAACCATCAACTGACCCTTGCGACACTCTTTACTGCCTCGTCCAATCATCACGCATAGATCATACACAATGCCTGCTTCTTTCAAGCGTTACGTCGAGGTTGGCCGTGTCGTCCTCGTTGAGGAGGGCCCGTCCGCCGGCCAGCTCGCCGTCATCGTCGAGGTCATCGACCACAACAGGGTAAGTAGATCCATCTAGCATTCGACATCGCGTCATCATCCACGCAACATCATCAGTTTCGGAACTGGACGGAAAGATATCGGCAGTCTAGCGAAGCAGTCAGGCATGGAGGAAGGGAGCGGAGGCAGTTGGAAATTTGCCATTCCAGACCATTTAAGGGAATAAAGCCGCAGCCAGGATATCGCCAGCAAAGCAACCGGCAAAACCCGCAGTCTCGGAGTAGAGGGATGGCACGTCGGGGCTTTGCAACTCTTAACATGGATGATGACAACAGGATGATTGGATGTCGAACGCCTCGTCGCACGCAAGCATCAAACTGACTCTTTCTGCTCTACGATCCGCTCTTGCACACTCGACAGGCCATCATTGACTCGCCCACCACCGGCGTTGCCCGCCAGGCCTTCCCCTTCAAGCACCTCACCCTGACCAAGCTCACCGTGCCCGGTCTTCCCCGTGGTGCCGGCTCGACCACCGTCAAGAAGTTCTTTGACAAGGCTGGTGTTGCCGAGAAGTGGTCGCAGTCTGGCTGGGCCAAGAAGCGCGCTGCCGTCAAGACTCGCCGCTCGCTCTCGGACTTTGACCGCTTCAACGTTATGCTGCTCAAGAAGCAGCGCCGCAACGTGCTCTCGCCCGCTGTCAAGAAGGCCTCCGCCTAAACGGTGGGATCCAGTCCCTCTTGTCGCGGTCTTGATTCGGTCCCCTTTTCTCAGCAGCATTTCCCCTATACACGCACGCATGCACAGCCGCCACCTTCTCCCCGTGCCCTTCTAGGCGATGATCCGACTCTTCCGGGCATGATTCACGCATCCTCGAAACTGTCTCGTTCCTTCCCCCTCGGTCTCTGGGCAGTCTGGGGATGACACGCTCGGTCGGACGACGTTGCTTTCCGATCTCGCATCGCGCATCGGGAGGAGGACACTACCCCAAAACGGAGATGGCTGGTGGATGTGCACGACGTGCTTCTCATCCTCCGCCCTACCACTGTACTATGCATCTATTTGCTCTTTTCCATACACACACACACACCCTTTTCTCAGAACGGGGGGGAAACCCAAAAATCACAACGAATCCTCTTCTCCCGCACATGTCCGAGTGTGCATTGTTTTCTGTTGTCTGCGTGTGCGAGATGCATGCAGGTGTCCTGAGTCAAGTGGGAGGAAGGAGTTACCGTGTCAGGGGCTGTGATATCGGCGTGACGTTGCGACGTTGCACGGAGGGCAAGCGAGGGTGGCCTTAGAGTTGGGGCTGGGTGGGCGGCTGACTGAGGCTGTTTGGGGGAAAAACCAAGGTGAGCGCGTGGCCTTTTTGGGTTGCGAAATCCAAAATTAAAGCGCGTGCTCAGGCGCTGAGGAGGCGCAGAGGAGACGCCGAGGAAGCGCCCTTTTCGGCTCGCTTGGTCCGACGCTCGGGCTGCTGCTGCTTTGGCCAACTGCCAGAGTGCGCAGTCGAGGCACAGTCGAGGCTTTGCCTTGGCTCGACCGACGCTCGGGCATCCCCGCGCCACGTTCGCCTCTCCGCCTCTGGAATCAGCAGCAGCAAGTTGCATTCGATCCTCTTTCTCTCGCTTGGCTTCCACCAGCTCTAGCTCTCGTGTCGCCGTCGCCGTCTGCGTTGGTTCAACCCCACACGGATCGCACCGCCACCTGGCTCCGCCATCGCCATCATTCCTTGCCCTTCGTCTCGGTTCGTGTCTTCATTCATAGAATAGAGTGCGCGCGCACACATCTCGGACCCATCCTTTGCTACCTCGGACTCGCATCATCACACTCGGACCTCGAAGCTACACCTCCCATCGCCGCCCGCAACGACATGCATCCCTAAAGACTCGCAGACCACACCCAGCCATACAACCGCAGCTTGCTGTCCGACCTCGCTTCTCGTCGCACCGCACTCGTCCTCACCTTCGCTGCTGCTGCTGCTGCTGCTGCTCTGCGCGTTCAACAAGCGCTGAGCTCACTTGGCCGTCGTCGCCATGGCCGATCCGCTCTACCCCGCCGACGCCTCACGCTCCGCCACCGCATCCACCTCCGGCGCGCCCTACACACCTAAACTTCGCGGCGGCTCCTTCTCCTCCTCCTCCGCCTCCAAGCCTTCCAAGCCCTCGGCTTCCGCATACGACCCTTCCTTCCACCCGGGCATCCTCAATCTCGGCAACACCTGCTTCCTCAACTCGGTCATCCAGGCCATCGCCAACACTCGCGACTTTCGCCTCCTCATACAGGGTCCCGACGCCGATCAGCGCCCAGCCTCGCTCGCTCCCACACCACCGCCCTCGAATCGCCACACCCAATGGCCCAACCGTGACCAGAGCCCGGCATTACGCGTCAGCGACACCGAGCACGGCCGTCGCATCGACCACCCGCCCAATCCTAACGGCAGTCTCGATTCCTCCCTCGCCTCCATCGCCACTCTCCCTGCACAAGATCCGGCTGCCACCATCAAGCCACCCAAGCACTCGGCTCCTCTCGACCATGCCGCACCACTATCCACTCGAGCCACCCCCGACTCGTCAGCCGCGCCGCCATACGAGCCCGACGTGCTCGATCTGCCCCTCAACACCGCCTTCCGCCACGTGCTCGAAAAGTTCTGGTCCGACGCCCACAAGTCGCGCAGCTCCATCAACGTGAACCCAAAGCGTTTGCTCACCCAGCTCGGCAAAAAGTACGACCAGTACCTCGAATACGGTCAGCAAGATGGCCACGAGCTCATGCGTCACCTGCTCGACGCCTGCCGCATGGAGGAGCTCGACCTCATCAAAAAGATGCGCCCTCGTCCCGCCAGCTCCGAAGCGCCAAACACGCAGCTCGTCACCCTCCCAGCCGCTACATCCCGCGTCGCACCTGGCGCCCCGCCCACCGACGACGAAGCGCTTCTGCCCTTTCTCGACCTGCTCTTCTGCGGCAAGCTCGCGAGCATGGTCGTCTGCGAAGGCTGCAAAAAGGTCTCTCACACCTACGAAGACTTTTACGACATCAGCCTCAGCTTGCGAGACGACGACGCAAATCCAAAGTCGCGTCGCAGAGACCGTTTGCGTAGCATGGCAGATCGCTGGAGGCGCGCCACGCAGGGTCGAACCATCATGGACCGCAAGTCGGCCGCCGCCGCCACCGCCGCCGCATCCAACTCCGAAACACCCGTCGGAACTCCGCGCTACAGCGAGAACGACACCAGCGACGCCGACTCCACCGCTCTCCAGCGTAAAAAGTCGGCCAACCTCCTTTCGCCCGACGAGCCCGGCCGCGGCCGCTTCCAGCTGCGCACCCGTAGCCTCAGGAAGAGCGCCGGCCGCCACGAGAAGCTTGGCGCCACCTCGGGAAGCGAGATGGAGCCCGACTTTCCCGACATGGCCTCGCTCTCCCTGGCTCCCAGCGGCGTCTCCCGTCCCTACGTCGACTCGGCCCCCGCGTCCGCAGGCGAAGACAATGGCGATGCGCGCACGGGCACCCGTGTCGCTCGCATGCTCGGAAGCGCTCGCCCCGCCGCAGATGCCAGCAGTCGCGAGACCAGCCCCAATCCAGGTGTTGCTCGCTCCGCCGCTCCCACCTTGGCCGCCGGCATGCGTCCCCCGCTCCGTGCCACCAAGTCCTCGTCGCACCAGTCGGCCTACATCTCTCGCATCATGGCCGACGACCCCACCACCCCGGCCAACTCGGCAGCTCCTCGCAAAGCAGGCGCTCCCTCGCCGCTCTTCGACGCCGTGTCGGCCGCGGCTTCCGCCCAGGGCAAGCCCCTTCACGGCCTCTTCCGCTCCGTCGGCGCTCATCCACGCTCCAGAGATCCATGCGCCGACTTTGAGCCCGATCCCCACTCTCGAGGCGCCAAACGCCGCCAAAAGGTGCGCCAAGACCAGGCCGACACAGGGCTCATCGGCTCGCTTCGCCAGTTCACCAGCGTCGAGGTGCTCGACGGCGACAATAGCTTTGCTTGCAAGAACTGCTGGCGACTGGCCAACCCGCCCAACGCCCAGGAGCGCGAGCAGATCCGACGCAGGCGTCGTCGCAAAGGCGCACAAGCCGCCGATGTCGACGATGACGACGCCAGCGAGCCCAGCTCGTCCGACGCCGACTCGGACCTCGACAAGAGCACCAAGACGCCAGTCGGAGACGCCACGCTCACCGCTCCACCCAGTAGCGCCGACATGAATGGCACTCGGATCACCAGCTCGACGAGTCAGAGCACGCTGGCCAACAGCAGTGTTGATTTCATCATGACGAGCTCCAGCGCCTCGCTCTCGTCCCGCCAACGATCCGACATTCCCACCATCTCGATGACATCGGCCGACGCGTCGGCTGACAGCATCGACTTGACTCTACACAACTCCATCGGCGGCGTGGAGAGCGTAGACGGCGTCATCGCCAGAGACTATGCCAAGCCGAGTGGTGCAGCTGCTGCTGCCGCTCCGCCCTCTGGCCCCAACGGCGTCATGATGCATGGCCGCATGGGCTCCGAATCCAGTCTCAGCAGCGTCGAGGCTGCCGCGCAGCGCCAACAGCGGACCGGCCTTGCGCCCAACAATGGCTACGACACCGGCACCGAGACCGACATGTCGGGATTCTCAACCGGCATGGACGAATCGAACGCGTCCACGGGCGAAGGCACCGACACCGACGAGCCAGGTGCGGCTGGCAACGAAGCCAAGCGCGCGCCTGGGCGGGATGGACCCAAGCGCTCGGCGCAGAGCCTGCCTCGGCGTGCGCTCAAGCGCTACCTGATCGCCTCGGCTCCGCCCGTGATGATCTTTCATCTGAAGCGCTTCCAGGCTACTGGCCGCGGCTTTGTCTCTGGCCTGGCGGGCTTCAAGAAGATTGACGACCAGATCACGTTTCCCGAGTACCTCGACATTACGCCGTGGCTTGCGCCGCCCAGGGAGGAGTACGACCGACGCGGCAGGCTCAAGGCCACGAGCGACCCATTGGCCATCCGGAGGCGTGCGGAGGAGGAGGCGACCAACGCGGGCGTGGATGCGCGCAACGTGCGCGTCGAGGTGTCGGGCGTGCACGGCCGCGGCTCGCGCCACGCGCATCACGCGGACAAGAAGGGCAGGAGGCACGGCATGTGGTCGTGGCATCTGCACGACAATGCCAAGCACCCGCGCGGCGCGCACGCAGTCGACGCCAAGGGCGGTGACCTGGACGAGGGACCCAAGGTGCAGTCGTCGACGGGCCACGAGATTGTGCCGTCGATCATCAGGCGACCCAAGACCGAGTATCGCCTGTACGCGGTGATTGTGCATCAGGGCTCGCTCTCGGCTGGCCATTACACGGCGTACGTTCTGTCGGATCGGATCAAGCTCAAGGAGGGTCAGAAGGAGCTCGTGGCCAGGTCGGCACCCACGAGCCGCACCAACACGCCTGCGCCGCCGGGCTCCAGTGCCGCGCCGGCTGGCAGCAGCAAGGACACGGGTGGACTGGGGCAGTTCTTCCTGGGTGGGAGCCGGCCGGCGCGCAACGGCACGTCGTCGCCCGCGCCGGTGCCTGTTCGACCGGCGTCTGCGGCGCCTGCTGCGTCGGTGGCTATGACGAGTGTGGCATCGACAACGTCGCTGGGCAAGAGCAGTGTGTCTGGCGGATCGTCGCACGACATTGCGCCCCAGACATCGATCTCGTCGCTCGAAGACGGCTCGGTTTCGTCGGCGGTGGCTGCGAGTGGCAGTGGAAGCGAGTCGTCGGTGGGGCCCAAGCTTGTGAGGCCACGGCCGCAGCTCAAGCCGATGGCGTCGTGGGATAGCCTGGACGAGCTGGAACAGTCGCATGCCACGGGGGCTGCGACGCCAACATCAGCTACGGTGGTGTCGCCCGCCGCGCTGGAGCCGGCACCGGCTGTACCGACGGTGGCAAGCCAGAACAGCAATGCGCACCGACACGTGGAGACGGCAACGGCGAGCGACGACGACGACGATGTGGACCCGCGCAAACACGACGACGGCCGAAGATGGGTGTATACCTCGGACACGATCGTGCGCGCCGCCACGATCGACGAGGTGCTCAAGGCCAAAGCGTACATGCTGTTTTACGAGCGCATCTAGACGTCACGCATGGTCAACAGGAATGGAAGAATACTATTCTACAGCAACTTGCGAACCGGATGTGAGCGGGGTTTTAGACAAAGTTGTAAGGTCGGTGGGATGAGTCTGGGTCGTCTTGCGGGGGTTGGGAGGGTGATTCGGTGCGTGCGTATTCCTGGCGCCACTTTGAGCTGCCAAGGTAGAGGGATTTCTTGGGCGGGATGGAGGAGGCTTTGGCGTGGGCTTCGAGCATGGCGGCCTGGAGGCTGGCGAGGACGCTGGGGGAACGGTCGCATTCGATCCCTGCGCTGGGCGGCGTGGCATCGATGCAGAGCGTCTTTTCTGCAGGCGGAATGCGCGACGGAGGCGTGAGCATGTCGAATCGCACCGTCTTGAGTGTCGGTGCGGGCGGTTGAGGTAGATCTAGAGTGTACACCGACGCGGTGGATGCCGTGCTGCTCGATAGGCACGAGGATGACCGCGAGCGAGTATGCACGTGCAGCGCTGGTGCCGATGTCGCTGTCGCTGTCGGCGCTGATGCAGGTGGCAGTGCTGGAGCCGGAACTGGAGACGGTGAGAACGCGAATGGCGCCGGCGGAGCAGCTGAGCGTGACATGACCACCGCAGACGGCAGTGGCGGCGTAAAGATTGTCGGTGCAGCTGGCGCAGCTGGTGCAGGTGGCATCAAATTTGCGACTGCCGCTGGTGTTTTCTCCTGCACCGGCTGTGGAGACTCCTTTCCCATGCCCATCATACCAAAGAGCCCTTTCGCATGCCCCTGTGCTGCCTTGGCCACCTTCTCCTTCGCGGTCACTGGCACAGGCAGCGCATCGACCACCTTCTCCGCGTTGGCTTTCGCGTCGGCGAGCTTATCCATCCTCTCGGCGACTTCCGCCTTCCACGCCATGGGGCTGCGCAGCAGCTTGGCTTTGGCTCTCCACACGCAGCCCGTCGCAACATTGACCAGACCAAGTGCGGCTAGCACCCACGCCCTCGCTGCAGCAAAGTTGCCCTGGCCCGGTCGACTGAGCAGGTCGGCGGAGAGGAGCATCATGAGCACGCCCAGAAACGCCGTGCCCCAGTTCGGACCCAGAAACGGCAGCGTATTTTTGAACAGCCGATGCAGGGCAGGCACAGGCAGCGAGAGCTCGGCCAGCACGACCGTACCTAGCACCACGCAAAGACATACGTGGTGGAGTGTTGACCAGAACACGCCCAGGAAGGAGGTCGGAATGTCGGTGCCCAAGTAGTACCCCGATGCGGGGGTGGATGGATAGTGGCTGAAGTTGAGACGCAGCGTGCGGATGTTCGCGGCAATAACGAGCGTGCACGCCACAATGGTGCAGACGCGCACGGCATTGAGCAGGATCCAGCGCTGCAGGAAGAATGGCACCAGCATCGTAGCAGTCGTAGCAATCCGGTGGTGGATGGTGTAGATGGTGGTGGAGTACAGAGCAGCACTTGAAGACTCGCTTCAAGAGCGGTAGCTTGGAGGCGCCGAAGTGAGGGCCGAAAGGGTCCAGCAGGATGAACCGAACAAAGGGACTCGAGACAAAGGATTGTGAAGCGGCGCCGCCATCGCTACGCGTATGCAGGTGGGCGCCGCTGTCAAATACGGCACGCGCCCAGCAGAGCAACAAAGGGCCTGCCAAGCGTCCACTTCGCGGCGCGCAAATTTCAAATTTGTTGGATGATGAGGGGCTAACAGTCTCTGAGATTTTCCCCTTCTCCGGAAATCGGAGGGTGGAGATGGCCGTCGACCTTCTCATCAACGCAGGCACGTTGCGGACCAACACCCGACTTCATTCAGCATCATTTCCACCACCGACACACAAGCCGTCACACTGAACAACCCACTTGGAAGTCACCACCATGGCATCATCCGCAGCGTCCGGGTCGCGGGCGTCGATCCAGCCGCTGTCGTCGGAGCAGCAAGAAGCGGTGATCAAGTCGCGCATGCAGGTGGACGAGCGCACGCTGCGCCGGGTGGTCAAGAAGCTCACTCTCCTCCTCTCCAGCACGGATTCCGAAGTGGTCGCCGCATCACGGCTGTCGTTTCAGTCGGAGCTGGAGGCGTTTCGGCTGCAGCTTGCGCGGCTCTCGTCGATAGCGCGCAACACGAGCGAGGTGGAGATCAGCTCGTACACGCACGAGCTGAGCGAGATCGAGGCGGAGCAAGAGGCGACGCAGGCACGCATCCACGCGCTCAAGCGGCGGCTGGACGAGGTGCGCCGCGAGCGCAAGAACAAGCTCGAGTACGACGTGGTGGCGGGCGAGATCGTCAAGCTGCCCACGCGTGCCGAGCTGGACGAGTCGCTGGCGCGGCTGCGCGAGCAGCTGGATCAGGTGCGCACCGAGCGCGAAAAGTACAGTCACATGTCGCAAGACGCTGCGCAACGCATGCGTGGCGTCATTGATGGTCTCGAGGCGCTGCGCAACGACGTCGGATACGAGGTGGGCGAGCGCGAGCGGCGCGAGGTGGAGCGTGCGGATGGCGACGCAGACGGTGAAGCTGGCGAAGCCGGTGCAGCGGGAGACGAAGGATCCGAACTGGGACGCGGCAAGCGTGCAGGCAAGGCGGGAGACGAGCCAGAGGAGGGCGAGGACGACGAGCGGGAAGAGGGCGAGCAGAGTGCCGCGGTCAGCCGGAGCGGGTCGTCGACGCCACGCAGGACGTTGGGCGACGACGAGGCACGGCCGGCAGCTGGGAGTGCAGCCACGATGAATGCGTCTGCTCCTGCCTTCCGCCCCGGCGGCGCGGGGACAGGCAGCAAACGCGACTCGACCGCCGTTGCGGGCTCGGACGAGGAGGGCGAGCTGGACGACGGCTCGAGTGCAGGAGCCACAGCCGCAGCGGCAGCATCGAACAGCAACACACCGCGCAAGCGGCAGCGCACCGAGGAAGGCGAGGTGGGCACAGCTGGCGACAGCGAGGAAGAGGAAGGAAGCATCCGACCCGCGGCAGCGGCGGCGGAACCCTCGCGTCCAGCCCGTGCGGGCACCAAGCGTCGTCGATAGACGCTCAATACCGAAGACTTGCTCGGAGTGACTTTCGTCTTGTGTGTGGCGCGTGTGCGTGTTTGTGAGCAAGAGCAAGTGGCTCGAGGCCACCTTGACGTTCAACATGAAGGCTGCGACGGGATCGGTCCGATCGGCATAACTATCGAAGATCTCCAACATGAGGCTGAAGGCGGTTCTGAGCCGAAGAAAACGAATGATGGATGTAAAAAGCGATCAAAAAATGTGGCTAACAAAGGCGAGATTTTTTCGAACAGTTCTGCGATGTTAGACCGACGTCAACAGTCAGCTCCGACAGGCGGGCCGTCCCACGTGGCACGGGGCTTCACGTTAGGGGAAGGGGGTTGAAGGTGGTATGCGGACTGGCTAGCTCGTGTGAGTGCATCGCTGACTTCGCGGGGATGCAAGATGCGGTGGGAGTCTTTGGGCATCGATGTCCGAGGGATGACGAATGTGCGGATCGAGGCCGAGCGAGATGCGGGTGCAGGTGCGGGTGCGGGTGCGGGATGCATGCAACTCGGCGATGACCTGCCAAACGCGCTCTTCCGCACCGAAACTCGACCAAAATTCCAAATGTCGGTGCGTGTCCGAGGTCTCCTTTTCCCCCTGAACATCAGTGTATGAGACTCAGCGGCTCAGTCAAGTCATGGCAAGCTCGACGCTACTGTATGCGCTCGAGGAATGAGCCGGCTCAAAGACGCGACGAACAAAGACCAGAGGGAGGACACTACGCGGCCCCTTACATGGCCAGAGGAATTTGCGTGCGGCTGTCAAGGCGCGGTTCAGGGTCCGTCGCGAGGATTTTCGTGCCTGCGCTGCTCGCATTAGGTTATATCTCGAGGTGAAGCCCAGCGCGTCGATGCAGCTAGCATTCACTTTTGGCAAAGAGCCGTTTGCGGAATGGGGGATCCAGTGCCGTGCGTCGCAACTGGCCGGTGCGCATAGAACGATCCGCAAAAACGGTACCAACGGAGCCCGGCTCGAAGCGAGACGCACACTGGGCACGGGTGTCGATCGCGTGTCAAAAGCGAGGCGAGCGTGCAGATTGTCGATCCCTCCTGTCTCGCCTAGCATACGACCAGTGCACAATCCGACGCGAGTCTTTGCCAACGCTCCATTTTTATTGACACTCCGCTCCGCCATCCCGCAACGCCGGTTGGCGTGCACCCCGCCGCCAGCTCGCCAGCACGCCGAGCTGCTGAGCCGCTCAACTGGGTATCGCCGAGCCACAGGTTTGCGAAACCCGCACGGCCGCGCAAGCTAGCATCCAGTCCAGCACCAGGACAGCTTCTCGCGTCCGTCTGCACACGCGATGTCCAGATCCCGTATGCAAACCCACCGGACAGCAATGGTAACGCTACTATATCACCAATCGAGTCCCCGCTGTGTTTGTCGTGTTACCTCGCTTTCCTTCCCTCCCCATGTTGCAAAGGCCTCGCCGAGTGTACAGCGCCACGAACCTCCAAATCTCCGCTGTCCCGTCTGCTGTAGCCGCATAAGCTAGCTACAAAGCTGCTGCCATGTCCCGGCACACACTGGAAGACCATGTCGAGCTCGACGAGCAACGTCCAACGTCGCAAGCCAGCTCCGTCGAGCTTCCCGTCTCGCTCTCTTTCACTTCCGTCGCCTCCAACACCATCCACGCTCCAACCGAGCCACCGACGTACAATGCATACAACGCGCAAGAATCCTTTCTCCCCTATCTAGACGACGACGAGAACGCAACCAAGCCCGCGGGTGCCGCTCGTACTAGCGCGTTGTCTCGCTTGACGCCAAGGCCGCTCGACTCGCCGCAGCTCGCGCATCTCAGTCCAACACCGCACACGCAGCCGCGCAGCTCGACACCGCCATCCGACTCGCCGCGCGACTCGCCCGTCATTGACCGCGGCGCGATCCGATCCGACTCGCCATACAACAGCCCGGATCTCGCTCTCGCCATCCCCGCAGCTGCCGAGCAGCAGCACAACGAGCGCCAGAGCCTCGTAGCACCAGCTGCCGCCACAGACCGCGCGTCCAATCGCTACTCCAAGGTACTCCACGGACTGGGTCTTTTCGGCGCAGTGGCAAAGCGAAAGAGCCGGGCAGACATGTCGGCGCCATCAAACCCCAAGGGACTGCGCATCGAGACGTCCATCGCCATTGACGATGTGGACAGCGCTTCCCAGAGCAGTTCCGGGTTGCGTCCTCCCATTTCAAGGTCGGCAGGCACCAGTCCGCTCGCGTCGCCAGCACTCACGTACAAAGCACCAACCGCGCACCACTTGATCGGCGGGCTGGCAGTCAACCATGCACAGGGTCTCAGCTCGTCGAGCAGCTTCGCGTCGCACGAGGAGAGCAAGTACCCGACCTCGCACAACGACCAATTCTCCACCGGCCTCGTGCCCGTGCTCAACATCGACGATGAAGCCAGCTCGATCTACTCTGCCAACACCCCGCGCAGACCGTACACGCCCGGCAGCTTCACCAACGGCCCGCGCACGCCGCTCTCTGCGACGGCATCGCCGACGTTCGGCTACTTTGACGAAAAGAAGCTCGCTGGCAGTATGGGTGGATCGAGCGTGTCGCTCTCGCTCTCGCCCGCGGGCAAGGCCGACAGCGTGCAGGAGATCAAGATGTGGGGCGACTACGATGCCGAGACCGAACCGGACGACTACCTCCACGAGCCCGATGCCGACGCCGACAAGTCGAGCTCCCAGCACATCTTCTCTCCGCGCGGCATGCTCAACATCGGCACGCTCGCGCTGCTCGGCGTGGCGCTGCTGGCGCTGTTCGGCGGGTATCCCGTGATCGCGTGGCTTTCGAGACCAAAGGCGTCCACCAAGGGCGGCTTCAACCTCGGCGGCATCAACGCTACGGGCCAGGTGGCCGACCTGCACATTGGCCGATCCCTCGTCGATCCTGACACGCCGGACAACGTCCGCACCCGAACTACGCTCGACGGCACAGGCCGAAAGATGAATCTCGTCTTTAGCGACGAATTCAACCGCGACGGGCGCAGCTTCTACCCGGGCGACGATCCCTTTTGGACCGCCATGGATCTGCACTACTGGGGCACGGACAACTACGAGTGGTACGACCCCAGTGCCGTCACCACGGCCAACGGCTCGCTCGTCATCACGCTCGACCAGATCCCCACACACAACCTCAACTTCCGCGGCGGCATGCTCCAGTCCTGGAACCAGTTCTGCTTTACCGGCGGTTACATCGAGGTATCCATGGTCTTGCCCGGTGCACCCGATGTTGCGGGCTTGTGGCCAGCAGCATGGACAATGGGCAACCTCGGACGCGCTGGCTACGGCGCAAGCACCGATGGAATGTGGCCCTACACCTACGATGCATGCGATGTCGGCACACTGCCCAACCAGACGTACGCCAACGGTACCGGTCCGATTGCCGCGCAGACGACGGGTGTGTATGTCGACAAGTACGGTCCCGGTCTGTCGTATCTGCCAGGTCAGAGGCTCAGTCGATGCACGTGCAACGACTCGGACGATCACCCGGGTCCGCGCCATGCCGACGGCTCGTGGGTAGGCCGTTCGGCACCCGAGATCGATATCATCGAAGCGTCTGCCTCCCACATCCGTGGCTCTCGTGGGTATGCTTCCATGTCGGCTCAGATCGCGCCGTACAACAAATTTTACAACCTCAGCGACGCTCCTGGCTCCACCGAGTTCTTCTCAGAAGACGCAAGCCTCAATACCTACACAGGGTCCGTATATCAGCAAGCCGCGTCGGGTCTTGTGTACACCAAGCGCGGCGCGTACCAGGAAACGCTTGGCGAATTCTCTTCGTACGGCTACGAGTACAATCCGGGCTCGGATCCGGACTCGTACATCCTTTGGACTGTCGACGGCAATCCCATGTGGAAGCTCAACTCGAAAGCGCTTGGTCCCGACCCGGCAACCGAGATCAGCCAACGCCCGATCCCGTACGAGCCCATGTACATTCTGCTCAACCTGGGTATCTCCGCCAGCTTTACACAGGTCGATTGGCGTCACTTGAACTGGCCCGCCACAATGCTCGTCGACTACGTCCGCGTGTGGCAGGTGGAAGGCGAGGAAAACGTCGGGTGCGACCCCGAACACGCGCCCACCCAGGCGTATATCGAAAAACACAAAGAGGCCTACTACAACGCCAACCTCACCACCTGGACCGAAACCCGAGAGAGGGGAGGATACAATCAGAAGTTCCCCGGAAACTCGATGCTCGGCCAGTGCTGACATGTTCCCCGACCTGCTAATCGCTCAAGCCTGTAGCCATAGATCATCCCATGCAATTTGCCAATTTCGCAACGTCTTTGACATCGACTTTGCAGAAGCTGACGCCGTCCGACTGCGTTTCGGCCAAAGAAACGCGGCGGTCTCGGTCGAGGTTGCTGGGCAGATACGGGATTTGCGGAGCAGATCGCCATACTTGAGCGTACAGGCAAGGTCGTACACGCGAGCCGCTGTCTTCCCATTCGGGTAGGGCATGTAGTTATGCGCCGTATGGATCAGGAACTTCCTCCCATTCTGTCGAACGCCAAAGTAGCCGCTGCTATTGCCTTTGCGCGCTGTGTTGAAGGTGTTGAAAGAGGGGTTCACCCAGTTCAGGTTGGCGGCCGTGTCGTTACAGCAATCCCCGTCTGCGTGATCCACGTAGATCCTGTCCTTGTCGTCGCTAGTGTTCTCACCAGCGACAATGCGAGCAAGATACTGCCCGCCAACCATGACTCGATGTACACTGCGCGGACCGCCCAAGCACACTCCGGTTCGAAGAATCCATTCGTTGCATGTGTCGATTTTGCATTGAACGGGATTCTCGTCACCAACCTTGAGGACTTCGTAAAATGTCACTCCCTTGACAGTATCACGCTTGGTAATGCGCACTGTCGCAGAGGTCATCATTCTGCGAGGCATCGTGAGCGGCAAATCTCCAGGCAGAGCGCCATGGGGTTACATCCTGATCCACTCTACTGAATGGAATCGAGGACGCAGCGTGGAAGCTACCCAGGAGTGCGACGCACGTGGCTCCTGCTCATACATTGCCCCCTTAGCTACTTCCGGAAGCATCCACGTTGAGACCTGGCCGAAGCGGAGCGCGGAGCCGGACCTCGCTATTCGAAAGCCCTCGAGGATGCCAAACAACGCAATTTGACGAGGCGTAGCCGCCGCCTCCGCCCCCGAGTCGTCGACCTCGACGACGACGGAGTGACTCCCACGGCATCGAGCTGGGAGCGAGCCAACGGAGCGAGCCAACATTTGGCCCCGCTCACGCGCTCGCAGGGCCCTCGCCTCCCCACGCACATGATATGAAGAAGTTTATGGTCACTGCTCGAAAGCATCGGCAAGGCGCTTACTCCAGCACAAAGACAGCGACTCGTGTTTACGATCTTTTCTGTACGCTGGCGTATGGTGACCAGCTCCGCAAATCCCCGCATCTGCTCAACAACCTCGACCGAGACCGCTGCGTTTCTTTGGCCGAGACACAGACGGACGGCGTCAGTGCGCAGAATTGTAGGGGGACTGATCTCAGCATCCCGTCGAAGTAACATGGGGTTCAATAGCAGTGGAAAGCGGGCTGCTGGGTAGTCAAAGCCACAATCGAGGGGTCGGGCAAACGGGTCGGAAGCTGCGTTGAAGATGTGACTGGAGCGCTCAAAATCTACGACCTTCTTGCCAACGCTCATCGATCTTCCGGAAAAGCTTTCCGACTATCTCACAAAGCTGGAAACCGAGGAGACGCTTGCTTGTGTTCGCGACTTTCTCGCAGGCGCAGTGCGGCGAAAACTTTGATTCCTAAGAGCAGCTGAGGACGAGTAGGAAGGTTGTGGAGCCCGCACGTCTTTCTTGAAAGTAAGCAAGCCAAGTTTGAAAAGAAGGTACTTCGCTTTATGTCGTCGTAAACAGAAACGTCGTAAACAGAAACTAAGGGAAGTACTTTCACCATCTCATGAACTCGTGTGGTCGCGACGAGGGATACTCCCAACTCGGAACATAGCTCATATCGACTGTCAATGGCGCCAGATGCTATCAGTGACAGGCTCCAAGATCTGAAAAATCGGGATATAACCGAGTACAGGCTGATCAGACCCAGACGACGTGCCGAACAACACAGCATCCCGTCGTATGACCTGGACCGAGACCCGAGAAAGGGGTGGGTACACCAAAAGTCCCACATGTCCGCCGTTCTGTTAACCTTTGAAGCGTGTAGCCATAGATCATCTCATCCAATTCGCCAATGTCATTCACGATGCCAGGGTCGAAGAGACTGCGGCAACGCTGGAGGACACCGAGGCCGCTGCGAAGCCGCTCCAAGAAAGGCTGCAGCGTGCACAAGAAGAGCAGGACAAGAAATGGAGGGCAACGAATCAGGTCTGCCAATATCTGGTGCAACAAGGGTGGTTCCGCATTTCTCAAGCGCACCATCAAGGCCACATACACCGAAACCTCGAAAGATGTCGAGACCTTTCTGGACGACTAGGACTGGGTCGAAATTCGGGCTCAGTCGCTCAATGTCTACGGTGCGCTGGGAAATCGAGTCCATTGCGTCGACGAAAATCGCAAACACATGCCGCTCTCTCGCTGGCGTGCAAGCCAATCGTGATCGAGAATGTAGATCACATCGGTCGCAGCGTCTATGATCGCAGGCGGTCGAGCTTCGCCAATTGTGATTGGAGTCATTTGACCAATTCGCAAAACTCCCCCGTCTCACACAGACGATCATCACAAGCGCGAGCAGGATTGGGAGCATGCATGTGCTGCTGACATTTTCACGCACCAGTGACGATGAGCGACACAGCCCATCTCGAGTCGTCGCGAGCGACTTGCGACGCAGTCGTTTCGCGCGGAAGCGTCGAGACTAGACTCGGGCCGCGCATTTAGGCGGCGGTGGGGCAGGCAGCCGAGAGGTGGTCCTCGGCACCGCAGCGCTACGTCGTAGTTGGAATCAAGTTGAGGAGCTGGTCAGCCTTGGTCTGTTCCAGGTGAACACCGGTGCGAGAAGTATAGACTTACGTAGCAGCTCTTGGTCTGGGGCTTGGGGCAGTCGCGGCTGAGGTGGCCGGTCTCGTTGCAGTTGTAGCAGCGCTGACCGCCGTAGCCGGCGCCGGAGCCGCCGCTGGGGGCCGAGGTGCAGTCGCGCGAAAGGTGACCGAAGCCGCCGCAGTTGTAGCAGCTGCGGCCGCCGCGCGAGCCACCGAAGGCGCCGCCTGCGTTGCCACCAGTGGGGCAAGCGCGGGCAATGTGGCCGTGCTGGCCGCACTTGTAGCACTCACCACCGGCACCGCCGGAAGAAGGGGCGGGGTTGGAGGGGCAGTCACGGCTCTGCGGTTGATTAGATCGGTGTTCGGGGGCAACGGCGTCAGCAATGTCAGACAGAGATGCAGAGATACACCACCAAACATGCGGTACATACGATGTGGCCGGTCTCGTTGCACTTGTAGCAGGTCTTGGGCTGGGCCTCCATGCCGCACTGCGACGAGATGTGACCCTGCTGGCCGCAGTCTGGAGTTGTGGATGGAGAGAGAGAGAGGAGAGTGATGAGCGAGGCTGAGTCGTGCTGCTGGGATCGGGAGACCCGAAGCCAAGGACTTACTGTAGCTGTCGGTGGGAAAAGTGTCGATTCAAACCGTCGTGGGGAGTCAAGACGTCGAGATCAGAAGGGGCAACGAGAAGCGCTGTGGCGGTAGCGATCCACTGCGGCAAGCGCTGCGGCGACATACCAAGAGGGGTTGCCGGCGGTAGGGCAAGCGGCGGCGTTGTGGCCGGCTGTTGTGCAGGTGCGAGCCGATGCATGGACAAGTGCGCAGGAACGGAGGAAAGCACAGGATGCAATGCGATGCAGTGTGCGAAGAGCAACATGATTTGGTGACAGGAGCGGAAGGCGTAGGGAGGCAAGTCAGGAAGCAGATAGGGGAACGAAGTCGATTCCAAGAATCAGGGTATCAAAGCGAAGGGTATATGACATGGACGTCATCTTCTCGTCGTCAGCTCTCTCGCTCTCTCTTTCGCCTCTATAATCGTCGACGACCATGTCGCTCCATGAGCGCTTCTTCGTCTCTCTCCTCTCCGTAAGCAAAAGTTATGCGGCGGTCACAGCTGCTTGGAAGCAGTGGTGCTTGACGACGGGCGAAAAGTGCTAGCCGGTCCCGTTGGGGCGTAAAGCTTTGACTTGCAGCATCCGTATGAGAGAGAGACGTGGTGAAGCAAAGGCATGTTGACGTGTTCGCCGGCGCCGTCGCGCGAGAGAAGCGGCTGTCGTGTTTGGGATACTAACGCTGGCCGCAGCTGTAGACGTTGAAAGTAAAGAAAGACGATGGTGAGCGACGCTTGCCATGAGTGAGCTGAGGCAGCTGGGCACTTACTTGAAGCAGGTACGGTTGTAGGACATTTTTGGAAAGTGCGGAATGGAAAGAGATGGTGGTGGGCGACGAAGAAGGCGACTTGCAGTATGCAAGTAGGGTCTGCTCGGGCTGAGCGTGGCCCACACCCAGCACTGCGCAGGGCGCGGCCAAATCCTCAGTCAAGTCACAACAGCCTCTCTCGCTCTCTGTCACATTCGGCGCTGCGCCTGGTTGGCCCGCTGTGATGTCGTGTGTGAGCAGCTGCAGAAAAAAATGTGGCCACACCCAAAGCTTCGAAAGAGAGAGTGGCTGCGGACCCCAGGGTTTTTTGTGATGTCGCGTGCCGGACGCGTCTGCTGTGTCATGCTGAGTAATGCATGCAATCATCACAGTCGCACGAGTCACTTGAGCTAGAGCTGCGCCCAAAGTGACACCCTCTGTCTTCCCTCGGCACGCGAGCTCGAAGCGCAGAAAAATGCACCGGTGGGGCCTCGACAGTCGAACACGGCGTCGTGTGCCAGATGTGCTATCAGCACTCTCACCTTTGGGATCATCCACCATCACTCGTTCAGCTCGAGCACACTCACCATGGAGGCCATCTCGTCGGCGCTCTCTGCGCTCTCCATCCAGACCGAAAAGGTGGTCAAGCACGCCGCTGCCAACAGCCCAGAGAGCTGGAGGTCCGCCGTGTCCGAGGTCGCCTCGTCACTCGGCCTCGCATCCCAGAACTACACCAAGACCGTCGTCTTCAAGCCCAAGACCGCCAAGTCCGCCACCCCGACCCCCGTCGTCCTCATCGCAAAGGATGACTCCGAATACAACACCGGCGCCGTTGCGAAGCACATCGGCCAGAAGGAGATGCGTCTCGCCGCCCCCGAGGTGCTCAAGGAGTTCCTCAACGCCACCAAGGACGACGTCTCGGCTCTCTCCATCACCAAGGACAACGCTGCCAGCCTGATCGCCGTGCTCGATGCCAGCCTCGCCACCAGCACCGACCACTTTGCCGTCCACGCCGCCAGCTCCGAGCAGACCCTCTTCATGACCGGCGCAGAGATCGCAAAGTACCTACAGAGCACCGGCGTCAAGCTCGAGGTCGTCGACTTTGCCAAGCTCAAGGCAGAGGCTGCCACCCCGGTCGCAAAGGCCTCCGCCCCTCCGTCCAGCTCCGCCTCCGCCCCCGCCTCCACCCAGGGCCCCACCGCCAACAAGGCAAAGGCAGCAGAGGCCGCCAAGATCCCCGACGCAGAGCAGATCGGCATCACCGTTCGCAAGGCTGGCGACTTCCCAGAGTGGTACACCCAGGTGCTGCGCAAGGGTGACATGCTCGATTACTACGACGTTTCGGGCTGCTACATCCTCAAGCCCTGGTCCTACTTTGTCTGGCAGTCCATCCAGAACTTCTTTGACGCAGAGATCAAGAAGATCGGCGTCGAGAACTGCTACTTCCCCATGTTCGTCTCCGCAGACGTGCTCGAGCGCGAGAAGGATCACATCGAGGGCTTCGCCCCCGAGGTCGCCTGGGTTACCAAGGCCGGCAGCAGCGACCTCGAGCGTCCCGTCGCCATCCGTCCCACCTCCGAGACCGTCATGTACCCCTACTACGCAAAGTGGATCCAGAGCCACCGCGACCTCCCGCTCAAGCTCAACCAGTGGAACAGCGTCGTCCGCTGGGAGTTCAAGCACCCGCAGCCCTTCCTCCGCACGCGCGAGTTCCTCTGGCAGGAGGGCCACACCGCCCACATCTCGCTCGAGGAGGCCGACAAGGAGGTCATGCACATCCTCGACCTCTACCGCCAGGTGTACGAGAAGCTCCTCGCCGTCCCCGTCGTGCCCGGTGTCAAGTCGGAGAAGGAAAAGTTCGCCGGCGGTTACTACACCACCACCGTCGAGGGCTTCGTCCCCACCACCGGCCGTGGTATCCAGGGCGGCACCTCGCACTGCCTCGGTCAGAACTTCTCCAAGATGTTCGACATCACCGTCGAGGACCCCAAGGCTCCCGAGGAGCTGCGCGGCAAGCCCGAGGGCAAGCTGCATGTGTGGCAGAACTCGTGGGGTCTCTCCACGCGTACCATCGGCGTCATGGTCATGGTGCACGGCGACGACAATGGTCTGGTGATGCCGCCACGCGTGGCGCAGGTGCAGGTGGTGATCATTCCCTGCGGTATCGGTGTCAAGACGTCGGCGCAGGAGAAGGAGGCCATCATGGACGCCTGCGACCGCACCGCCAAGGAGCTCCAGGCCGCCGGCATCCGTGCCAAGGCGGATCTGCGCGACAACTACAGCCCGGGCTTCAAGTTCAACGACTGGGAGCTGCGCGGCGTGCCCGTGCGCCTCGAGATCGGACCCAAGGATCTCGAGAAGAAGTCGGTCGTGGCGGTGCGCCGCGACAACAAGGCCAAGACGTCGCTGTCGGCCGAGGGTCTGTCCAGCTCGATCGCCACGCTGCTCGACCAGATCCACGACGACATGTTCGCCAAGGCCGACGCCGAGTACCGCTCGCGCCGCAAGGTGTGCGAGCAGTGGGACGACTTTACGCGCATCCTCAACGACAAGTGCCACGTGGTCATCCCCTGGTGCGAGGTCGAGGCGTGCGAGGACGAGATCAAGAAGCGCTCGGCGCGCCAGGCGGTCGCCGGCGAGGCCGAGGACGAGCGCGCCCCGAGCATGGGCGCAAAGTCGCTCTGCATCCCCTTCGACCAGGCCCAGTTCGGCGACATCACGGGCAAAAAGTGCCCGCAGTGCGCAAAGGACGCAAAGCGCTGGACCATGTTTGGCCGCAGCTACTAAGTGGGCGCCCAAGAGCGCCGCTGCCGTGCGCATCTAGACACCCGTGTCGACTTTTCATTCAATGTCAAAGAGGGTTCAATGTCCTGCGTTTCGGCGTGAGTTCGTGTAAGAATGCAAGTCGGTGAGATTGCGTTGCGTTCCCCGGGGGTGAGGCGTGCGTGAAAGTATTAGAGTACAAGCGAATTGAGGGGCGGGGGGTTTAGGCGCCTAGTGGTGGCCAGCCTTATGACCTGTATGTGTGCAGCCCAGAAAAGGTCAGTTTTCGCCGAACAGAAACGATGAATCGGAGAGGGGGTCACTTACCGTCGACGTACATGTTCCGAGTAGCAGCAGGGAGTTGAACCTTCATGCCATGCTGGTCCTTGGAGACCTTTACCTGGCATCCAAGTCTGCTGGTATCTGTGAGTCCGAAAGCGAGGTCGAGCATGTCGTTTTCGTCGTCGCATGGTTCTTCCAGCGAGTCGTAGACGTCGGGTTCAAGGATGACGTGGCAGGTGGAGCAGGCTATCGAGCCTTCGCAAGCTCCTTCGAGGTCGATATCGTACTCGTGTGCGATGCTGAGCAGATCATCACCCTCGTTTGCCTCAATCGTCTTGATGGGTTCACCCTTTGGGTCGACGAAGTTGATCTGGATGCCAGTGCCTGGTGCGGGCCGTGTGATGCCTCCATGCGAGAGGGCAGAGGTGGTCGACATCATTCGAGGCAGCGAGAGGAGGGGCATTGGTGCCGGTACGGGCATGGCGATGCGTGTGGCTTGACGGGCCATACCCCGCGTGGGTGCGGCAATGCGCATCGCAAACTTCGCAGCAAACATCCTCCCAAGCCACCTTCCGACGGTTGTGTGATGCGTGATCAAAGCAAGAAGATGTGATGGTGAAGCATCGGAAGGTCCGGCGTACAGATCAAGTCGGCGTGATTGGCTCAGCCTCGAATTTCGGCTTCTTGCTCGGGTTTCGGGATCATTCACATTTTTTCGAAAATAAAGTAAGTGTCAGGTTCTACGAAAGCACAAGCGAGCAGGATTTGACTCGGACGAATGGAAGAAAGCTCGGTCTCGGCGTTCAAGCGCTCCGCACTGAAGGGCCGTGCGCGACGGGACCTGGCCGCCACTGATAACGCGCCACCGAACTTTGCATCCGAGCTCTACCCCATGGCGCCGCACACAGCCCCCGCCTGCCCCGCCAGAAGCTATATGACGTGCAAACGATTGCTCGCGCACGGCCATTACGTCGTGCCTCGAAAGTTGACCTCGATCGCTCGCGCGGACAAAGCCTACCCGAACCGAATCTTGCCTGCCGAAGATGCTCGCGCCTCGACGATGCTTCAGACGGGTGCGAATGCGATGGATGATGTGCTTTGCAAAAAGATCAGACTGCTGTAGTATGCCCTAAGTATGTACAAGAAACGCAAGATGCTTGTTTGTTGTCGCGAAGCGTGATAGCCTCACTTGTTAGAGAGCTCGTGGTGCTCCGAATCGATTGTCCGCAGGCCGTGATTGGGTGAATTACCAGATGTTGTGGCCACCCGAGACGATAATGTCCGAGCCGTTGCAGAACGACGAGGCGCTCGAGGCGAGCCAGACGGCGACACCACGGATCTCGTGGGCGCGGCCGAGGCGGCCAAGAGGGTTGGAGCTGGACCACTTGGTGAGCAGGTGGGGGTTGGTGTCGAGGTAGGCGGCAGTCATGCGGGTGCGAATGTGACCGGGCGAGATGCAGTTGACGCGGATGTCCTTGGGACCCCACTCGGCGGCGAGGTTACGGCCCATCTGGAGCACGGCCGACTTGGAGGCGTTGTAGGCGACCCAGTGGTGGTCGCGGTTGACGATCGAGCCGGACATCGAGGCGATCAGGATGATGGAGCCCGAGACGTGCTTCTGCTCGTGCATCTTGCGCGCGGCGGCCTGGGCGGTGAGGAAGACACCGGTGGTGTTGACCTCGAAGACCTTGCGGAACTCGTCTGCGGGGTACGAGAGCGCATCGTAGGTCTGAAGAATACCAGCGGCAGCGACGCAGACGTCGAGCGAGTCGGTGCCCGAGTCCTTCATGACAAAGTCCATGCAGGCGTTGATGTCGTCGTGGTCGGTGACGGTGGCCGAGACGTACTTGAGGTGCTTGCCCATGATGCGGCAGTGGTCTGCGACGATCTTGAACTCCTCCGAAGGCTCCTTGGGCAGGTCGATGGCGTAGACGTGCGCACCGGCCTCGACGTAGGCGAGCGCCATCTCGAGACCCAGACCACCGTTACCACCGGTGATGACGGCGGTCTTGCCCTCGAGCGAGAACTCCTGGAAGATGGTGGTGGTGTGGTTGTCGGGCGAGTTGGGGTTCTGGCGCAGCACGGCGTCCACACCAATGTTCTCGACGGGCGGGGGCGGGCCGGGGTTAGCCTGGACACCGTCAGCAGCGTTGGCGCTGGTAGGGCCCATGCGAGCTGGCGCCCAGACGGAGAAAGTCTTAATGGCCGATGCAGAAGGAGCACGAGCGACTCGAGAGAGCATCGAGGCTGTAACAGGGCAAGAGAGATCGAGCAAGTCAGCATTTGGTCGCTAAGGTATGGGGACAAAGACGCTATGGCGGCGTTTCATCGGCGCATTTCCGAACCGTGCCTTCTTTCCGGTAGCTCAATCATTTGCATGGCCGAGCAAGCCGGGGGAGATGTGAGGGTGAGCCAAAGACTTACGCTGAGCGACGCGAGCCGAGAGGCTGCGGATGGCGCCGGAGCGCAGAGCAGAGTTGAAGGCAGCCATGAGGGGCAAAGGGGTATTAGAGAGGCTGAAGGGACGGAGATGCGATAGAGACGAAAGCGAGGGATCGAAGCAAATCGTCCAACGGGGTATGAATGAGAGAGGGAGCAAAGACGGACACTTGGAGGAAGGGAGGGAGGGATGTAGGCAGGCGGACGAGGCTTATGAGGGAATCCGGGATGGACGGGTGGGCCGCGTCGATACGGCGACGGGTGTGTGAGTCGAGTCGAGCCGCGCTGGGGTGGCGCGGGGCAAGCTGGGCTGGGCTGACCCAGTGCGCGACTTGAGGCGAGGTCAGAGGGGCGGCGAGGAAATTCGCCTTTCGCCGGCCCGCCGACGTTGGGTGGCAGGCAGAGGCCAAGCCGAGAAGCGCCGGGCGCGCCGGCCAAGCGAGCCAGTGTGACAGTGGCAGTGGCAGTGGCAGTAGCCGTGGCCGTGGCCGTGGTTGCGACAGAGTGGCGCGGCTGGCCCGCAATCAAGGCGGTCAAAGTGGGCGTGGACGGCGACATGGAGGCGAAGAGTGGCGCGCGGCTGGCTCGCTCCTCAGTCAGCCCGAATGCTGGGCCGGGCGGGCAGAGTGGTGCGGTGGTTGGGCCGAGGCTGGATTCAATTCAATCCTGCACGGTCTGCAGCTGCGAGACCGCTTGACGCTCGAGCAGCCGTGGGGGCCCCAGGAATTCCTTCTGCAGCGCCGCTGTCTCCTCCAAAAAAAAAAAAGAGACCGAGCCACATCGTGCATCGAGAACAAGATATCCGGAAAGTTGGAGAGCCCTTGGCGCGAGCTTGCCCAACCAAAAAAGAAACCGAAGCCCACAGAGTCACCGCAGTTCGCCGCTCCCGAATGAAAGCGTTGCTTGCCCACCGCTGCCTGTGCCGTCCCGCCCCGCCCCTCGCTGCCATCGACACAACCAACGGCTATGCAAGGAGGCCTCGAACCAGTACAGCCTGAAGACGATCGCAGCAGAGGGAAGAGTGAGGTTCTGGTGGCCAGGCGGCGAAACGAGCGCACCGAGCCAAGACAGGGCGCCGAGCGCCTTGGCACCAGCGTTTACACACCCACGTTGCCACCTTTGCAGAGTTCAGTGGGGATGGCGAGGCGTTCGGGCGAGCCGATGGACGCTTGTGCACTCTCTGCATGTGTTGGCCGCCAACCCTGCGGGCGTGCGGAGACACTTCCGAAGCGTTGCCACTGGCACTGCGAGACGTGATTGGCTCGTGGCTCGTGGCGATTCGGTCGTTGGCCCTGATTGGTCCCGCACCGGCTTTGAAAATGCACCTGGGCGCAGCGGAGCCTCTGGTGCCGACCCGCGGCGATTTTCTTTTTGGTGGGGGATCCAGCTCCGCCCTGGCACCTGCTGAGGTGGCTCGCGGAACAATCAAATTCATGGCCACCCAATTTAAACACGCACTCGCCATGCACGCTCTCGCCGGTTCCCCGGTGGCTCAAAGCCCGCGCCTCTTAGCGATCCACTGCCCAGCTAAATTCACTGTAGTCGCCGTCTGCACTTGGCTGCTGCGCTGGGCAAGGCGACTTGATGTCCAGATTTCTTGGCTCCGCGCAAATCACTTTACCACTCGGCGCTTTCAGCCAGCTGTTTTTGCCTCCTCTCTTCCGACGGTGACGGCCTCGCGCGCGGTAGCAATCCTCGGCCGAAGTGGACAGATGATGGGAGTACCGCTAGACGGGACTCGTAAAATTCCATGAATCAGAGGATCCATGGTACCGCTCAACCTTGAGGATCACTTGGGTTCACTGAGGATCACATGCTAGCCTTCCAGCTCCCTCGTTCGTGTCTACTCGCTCCGGGACCGATTGCCGCGGGGCTGTGGCATCGCTTGAGCCTGTTCATCGTGACACCTTGGCACAGTGCTGAGTGAGCAAACTCGAAGTCCGAGGGGTTCTGACAATCAAGTGGCTCTGCCGACGCGACTTGGACCTCTCCTCGCCAATTAGCGCCGCGTCAGACACTCGCTTTCGAGAGTTTGACGATGCAAAGCTGACCTCTCGCTTGCGGACTATCAACAGGGTGATCACGGCACAAGGGCGAGCTTGACGAGGCAAGCTGCGAGGGAGCTGCTGCGAATACAGTAGCCACTCTGTACACGCGCTTCGGCGACTTTTCGACGCCGAGATGCTCGCAGCCCGGCTCGCAGCTGCCGAGAAATTTAGACTTTCGAAGAGCTTAGACACCGCGAAGCACTGCGGCGCGGCTCGTTTCTGGGTCGAGTCGCTCCCTGACAGCGCAAAAGGGAGAAAATTCCGCCAGCAAAGAAAAGAACGGTACACCGCGGGACAGACGGTCCAGACCGCGCCGCAGATCACGCCACGCTTCGTTGCTCTGGTGCGCCCCCCACGTCTAAATTACAGTATGCATGCCTTTGGCTGCAGTTTCAGAAGGCTCGCCGGGCCCCGGCTATCTCGTCTCCCCGGCTCAGCTCGTATGGTTCGAGCATTGGAGCCAATCGTCGCGCATCCCTGTCACAAGGGAGTTCGGCAGACCCTAGGGTCGCTTTTTTTCTTTTTTTTTTTTTTTTTTTTTTTTTTTTTTTTTGTTTTTTTTTTTTTTTTTTTTTTTTTTTTTTTTTTTTTTTTTTTTTTTTCCCTGGTGCAGAGCGTCGCCATCCGTAGGCGAGCCTGCAATCCTGTGTTCCTGCCGGCGCACTTGGTCCAATCTCGGCTCTCAACAAGTTTCCCTTGAACCCTCGACCCTGTCTCCGCAGTTTCCTATCCAATCAGAGGCTACCTGATCACCAGCCCGGCGCAACCCTGCCAGCGCTAATCCTGCACGCACATGCAGGTGGCCACCGACCAGATTTGAACGTTGAAGTGCAACAACCTGCACGCTCATCTCAGCGTTCGCGAACCGTGCTGCAGCTAGTAGCCTCGCATTCGCCGCTCTTGTGGGGTGTTGCGATGCTGCATACAGTGAGCAGCGAATAGCAGCAGCGAATAGTGGCAGCGAGAAGCCCGGACCGTCGAGGTCCAACTTTGAACACTGCGTACCAGCACGACCAAGGCCCGTGAAGGCCGTCCGACATGCGGCGCCAATCAAAAGATCCGCACCAGCGCAAGCCACACCTCGCTTGGCCTAGCCCGTTCGCCGCGCGGATCTCAGCCTCCCGCATGTGCTGCTCGGTCTGCGACAACCATGGCGCGTCGCTGCTCAGGCACGTGGCATCGAAAGCGAGCGGGCGCCCACCCTGCGCCTCTTTAGCCCGGCTGCCACACGAGCTGGCAGGCGATTGAAGACTCTCACACTTGACAACGTGTAGGGCCCGTTGGCATCGTGGACAGCTGCAATGCATTCAGCAGATCGGGCCGCCCGATCAGACATCCTCCAATTCTCCGAGATGAACGGATCGCCGCCCCGCCCCCGCTCGCGTGCCTTTTTTCGGAACCCCGCGCTCGGGCCAAGGACGGCATTTCTTCCATTTCAGGTACGAGCGAACCACGCCGTCGGATCTACCATCAGCCAACCACCATTCTTGCTCTCAACATGCTTGCGAAACACTCGCCCAAGCCGTCGAAGGATCGTCGTCCAAATCGGTCACATCCCGATCGCAACTCTGCGGCCGAATACGACCCAAATCCTCGCTTTCGACGAGAAAAGTCGACGCTCGACTTGACGGGCGTGTGGGACTTTGCTGCCGACGATGACAACTTTGGACTCCAAGAGCGCTGGTACGAGCCTGGGAGCTTCCCCAGGTCTCAGCAGGAGATCTTTGTGCCGTACACGTGCGAGACAAGTGCATCGCAGCTGTCGGACCGACGCCAGCACAAGATCGTCTGGTACCGACGCGATGTCTTTCTCGCCTCGGACTCGGACACTATCAAGTGGTCCGAAGCGCGAAAGCACCGCTACTTTATCCACTTTGGTGCCGTAGACTACGAGAGCACCGTATGGATCCAAGGCCGTATGGTCGGTAGCCACGTCGGTGGACACACTCCATTTTCGTTCGAGATCACCGAACACGTGTGGCGCCTGCATGACGACAACGCTTCTTCATCTCTCGAGATCGTGGTGCGTGCCAAGGATGCGCCACAAGACATGTCGCAGCCGCGCGGCAAGCAGTACTGGAAGCAGAATCTCAAGGGAGAGTATCAGCCCGAAAGCATCTTCTACACTCCCACCACGGGCATCTGGCAGGACGTCTACCTCGCGCGTCGTCCGCTCAGGCACATCCGAAGCGCGCAGTTTGTGTGTGACATCGACACTGGCACCGTGCGCGCCGAAACCGAGATCGATCTGCTCCACACCGTCGGCACCGAATTAGCAGCGAACTACTGGGTGCAGTTCATCGTCAAGTTGGGTCGAAGGACGATATCCGTATGCAAGACGCGCGTCAGCCGACAGACCGACAGTTGCACGGCTGTGATCAATGTGCGACAGGCGGGCGAGCAGCCCGAGGGCCCGATGCGTACGCGTCTCGTCACACCAGGCGTGCTTCCACCCGAGATGAACCGCGATCGGTGGGACAATGGCCTGGCACTTTGGTCGCCCGAGAGTCCAAGCCTATATACGGTCGAGATGCGGCTGCTTTCCGACGACTCGGAGGAGGACCGGGTGCAGAGCTACTTTGGCATGCGCAAGGTCTCGATCGACGACCAAGGCCGATTCTGCCTCAACAACCGCGTCTACTTTCAGAAGCTCATCCTCAACCAGGGCTACTGGCCCGAAGGTGGCATGACGACGCCCTTCTTCGACGGCTATGCCGACGACATCCGCAAGATCAAGCAGATGGGCTTCAACGGCGTGCGCATGCATCAGAAGGTCGAGTCGCCCGAGTTTCTCTTCGAGGCGGACCGGCTCGGATTGCTGGTGTGGGGCGAGATGGCCAATGCGTACGAGTTCAGCACGACCTATCTGGAACGCTTCACACGAGAGTGGATCGAGGTGGTGCGACGAGACATGTCGCATCCGTGCATCGTGGTGTGGGTACCGATCAACGAGTCGTGGGGTGCTCCTGCGCTCAACACGTCGGCACAGCAGCGTGCGCACCTCGCTTCGCTCTATCACCTCACCAAGGCACTCGATCCAACACGACCCGTCGTCGATAACGACGGCTGGCAACATGTGGCGACCGATCTGATCACCGTGCACGACTACCGCAACGCCAACGAGCTTGCCAAGTCGTTCTCGAGCCGCGAGCAGGCGCTGCAGGAACGCGTCCCTGGCTTTCCCATCCTGCTTGGACCTCTCGCACAGAGCGAGGAGCGCTACCGACTGCCGTTGTTGTGCACCGAGTTCGGCGGCCTGGCACTGCGCGTCGACAACGTCGGCACCACAGCCAAGGGCGTCGACTGGGGCTACGCCAACGCTTCATCACAAGCCGACTTCCTCGAGCAATTTGAAGCTCTCGTACACGCCCTCACACGGCCTTCCTCCGGAACCGAGTCCACTCGCCTCGTCCAGGGATTCTGCTACACCCAATTCGCCGATGTCGAACAAGAAGTCAACGGCCTACTCACCAAAGATCGCGAATTCAAGATCCCACCCGCCAAGATCAAAGCCATCTTAGACGCCATCTAGACGCACGCTGTGTCCGTCACAACTCGGCCAGTCAAGCGGGCGGCGACTGTAACACTGTTGTAAAGAGAAGATTGAAAATATACAGGTGGCGCGTCATGAAACGTGCAATGCGTTAGGCAAAGCCCGCGGTTGGTGTGACCGGATCGAGGTGATGTGTATGTGTGTGCATATAAGGGTGGGCGGTCGGCACTTAGGCGGTGACCTGCTCGGCTTCGGCGGATGGTGCTGATGCCGCGGGGGCGGCGGCGGCGTCGTCGTCGTCCTTGATGCTGCTCTTGGCGAGCATCTTTTCGACCTTTTCGATGTTTTCGCGCGTGACGCGGGCCTGGTTCGAGACAAAGTACTGCTTCTTGAGCTTGAGGTTCTCGACGACGCGGCCAACATCGGCGGCGTTGGCGGGTGGCGGGATGGAGAGCGCCAGGAGCGCCGAGAGCGTGCCGAGCGGCACGTTGAGCTTGTCGCCGCCGGCAGCAGGCGCGCCCGCCGAGGCGTTCTCGTCGGCGAGGTCGAGCGGAGTGCCGCGCTTGCTCCTGCCCTTGGGCTTGCGCGCCTTGGCCGAGTTGCCGGCAAAGTAGGTCTCCTCGTCCTCGTTCTTCTGGCGCAGCACGGCACCCTTGGGCACCATGGAGTCCTGGTTGACCTGGCGCAGGTTGAGTGCCTTGCCGCCGATGGCATTGGCGGCGGCGTTGGCGGCATCGTCCTTCTTGGCGTCTTCGGCGGAGGAAGAGGAGCCCTTGGAGAAGTAGTTGATGAGCACGTCGCAGTCCTCGATCTCCTTGGAGAAGGCGGGGAGGGCGGCATCCTCGCGGAGCTGCTGCTCGTGCTCCTTGCGCTTCTCGGCCTCGTGGGCGGCACGCTCGTCGCGCTGCTTCTGGATGCGGCGCTCGCGCTCCTGGTTGAGCTTTGCGTAGAAGGTGTCGTTGGCGGCGCGGAAGGCGGCCTGGCGGTCGCGGCGCGACTGGTAGAGGGCGTCGAGCTTGGCGGAGAGCTGGGTGCGCTGGTCGAGGAGCTTGCCGCGCGAGCCGGCCTGCTTGTCCTGTTCGGCCTGGATGGCGTCGAGCTCTGCCTTGATCTCGTCGTAGCGCTTGTTGAGCGCCTTTGCCTCGGGGCTGTCGAGGGTGGACTTGAGCTGGTCGACCTTGGTGCGGTCGGCGTCGATCTGGGACTGGATCTGGTCGAAGTTTTCGACGGTCTTGCGGTTCTTCTTGAGCTGGGAGATCTCGCTGAGCGCCTTCTTCTCCTCGACGAGCTTCATGGAGCCGGACTCGACGAGCTGTTCGAGGCGCTGGATGCGGGAGTCGACGTCTGCGGTGCTCTTGTAGGGGGTCTTGGACTTGGCATGCTGGAGGTCCTTGATCTTCTTGGAGATGGAGTCTTGGAGGGTGCGAAGGTCCTCGAGCGTCTTTCCACGAGCGCCCTTGGAGCCGGCCTGCTGGTTACGAAGCTGGTCGAGCTCGCCACGGAGCTCTGCGCGGCGAATGCCTGCGGGCGAGTCCTTGGAGGGGCCTGCGCCGGAAAGGAGCGAGCGCACCTGGTTGAGCTCCTTCTGTACGGCGTCAATGTCCTTTGCGAGCTTGTCGAGCTCTGCGGTGTTGGCGGCGGGGTCTGGCTTTCCTCCAGCCAGCTTGACGATCTCGACGGCGTCAGGGTTGCCTGCGGGGCGGTCGTGGGTCTTCTTTTCGGCACTGGCAGCGGCGGTGTTGCCGTTGCCGTTGGCGGCGGGCTTGGCTGCGGTAGTGTCTGCCATTGCGACGAACCTATTGACGACGAGAGACCTGTGGGCGGGGAAAGGGAGTGATGAGGGTGGAGGGAGTATGTGCGGGTGAGGTGAGGGGCGGAAGGGAGAGCGTGCGGGCGGGCGAGCTGAGAGAGAGGAAGGCGTGCTTGCGCTGCTTGCGTGGAAGCCAAGCCAGAGCGGGGACGCCGAGCCCCAGTAGCCCCAAGAAGAAAGCTCACTCGCCGCACTCACCGACCAACACTGTCGACTGTCGACTCTCGACCCTCCCCTCTCGAGCCAATCGAGGCGCCGCATGGCATCAGCCTCCGGTCTCTCGGTGGGGCCGCCGCGTGACTTTTCCCTCAACGCCTGCCGAACGGCCTGAATGGGTCCACCGCACACCGGCCAGCAGCCGTGCCTGAGTCTCGGCTGGCTGGTTTGGCCGGGCAACGAAAGTCAAGAAATTCCAGATCTGAACCTTGTACACTGTCGCCGATCTGACAAATTCCAATTTTTTCGACGCGGCGTTTCCGCGGATGGCTCGATCGCCAGACTCGGCTTAGCCGCGGCCGGCCCCGGCCCTCGCCCAGCTGATGACAGGTCGGGATGAGCTTGTCAGCCACCACCATCTGTGTCTAGGGACCTCGCATCCATCGCATCCTTCAACTCGTCCCGCAACTGACTCGCCAACAATTCACCATGTCGGAACATCCTGCATTCACCATGGCCGGCCTTTGCTCGGTGGGCGGCCTCATCGGTTTTGCTAGTAAGTATGCGCAGGACGACCCAACGTTGGTTGCCTGGCCCTGCTCGCTTGCTAACTGCGTTCTTGCGCTCGGACTTCAGAAACGAGGTCGATCCCTTCGCTCGTGGCGGGCGTGGGCGTGGGTGCGCTGTACGCACTCGCTGCCACCCGCATCAAGAACGGCGGCGACTACGGCTACGAGGTCGCCGCAGGCGCAAGCGCGTTGCTCCTCAGCAGCTCGGCTCCGCGCTTCCGAAAGGGACCCGTCCCCATGGGCCTCACCATCACCTCTGCCCTCGCTCTCGCCTACTATGGTAAAAAGGTGCGTATTTCAGACCAGCCTCGTGCCGCCGTATGCACATCGGAACCTGCAAAGCTCACCTCGGCCTCGTCTGCTCTTGCATTCCAAAACAGGTGTACGACTTCCGACAGTAGTTTACGCTCCGTCTCAATCATCTCAGCCCGTGTTCTTCTTTACTTAATCGCCAATTCAAGATCCACCGCTTCTCACGCAAAATCGGTGCCGTGCCGCTCGTCTGAAGCACACAGATGTGGTCAAAGTGTCCATATTGCTATTGCCATATTGCTATTGCCGAAGCAATCCTCGTCTGGGCATGGCCGCAACGCGTGTCTAAGAATACAAGGCGGCGTCTCGCGGCGAGCTTCAGCGCGGCGCATATGCATAGTCGCCGGCTACGCGCGCTGAACCAGCGCTGGTCGGTGGAGGCGCATCACCCGAGCCGCTAGCGTTGGCGTTGTTTTGAAGCCAGCCGCCGTACTCTGGCGGAAGCTCGTCGACTACTTCTTCGTCCTCGGTATCGCTCGACGGCTGCGGAAGCGGTCCGCCATCCGAATGCTGCACCACGCGACGCTGCGCTCGATTGTCTCGGCGCTCCTGTTGCGCCGACATTTGCGCTTTGCTCGGCAGCGAACTCACAGAGTGGATCCCCATTCCAGCCCCCGTCGCGTACGGATGCGAGCCGTCGCCACCCGATCCCGACGTTGCGCTGCGCTCGATGCCCGTGGCGCGCGACGAGAACGGATTCTGGCTCGAATGCGAGTGGATTGAAGCATTGCCTGCGCGCGGCGGATAGTCGTCCATCGGCGAAGCCGCGGCAGAAGAGAGCCCAGCGGCACTCAGAAGCTCGCCGTAGCTCGGATTGGCCGACGATGGCGAAGTCATCTCCAGGCTCTGGCCGTAGCGTCCCTCGGATGAGGCGCCATCGTGCCGAGGATCGTAGACAAACGGCGAAACGGTATACGACTGTCCAGCAGGCCTGCCGCCGTCGTTTGAGCGTCCAGCTCGACGAGCTGCGTCACGTCTTGGATCTGCCGATCCCCAAATGTCGTCGTCGTCGTCGCCGTCGAGGTCGACAAACCGAATTTCCTCGCTGCGGGCTGCATCACGCTTCGTCTTCTTCCTCTTGCGGTACAGCAGAAACGCCACCAGCACGCCGATGACCGCACCGAGCGCGATCGCACCTCCGATCGCACCTCCGGCAATCGCGCCAGTCGGATGTCCCGACGACGACTTTTCAGGCGCATCAGTCGGGATGGCTCCGCCCAGGTTGTTGAACATAGCAACGGTCGACGCGATCGGAAGAGGCGTCGAGAGCTGGTTTGGCAGCCGATACTCACTAGCTAGGCAAGCCGGTGTGAAAGTGGAGGGCCCGACGGTAAAGATCTCGGAGGCGCCACCGCTGCCGGGACCCGAGGCATCACCGACCACCGTTTGGAACTGCGTGCCCTGGGCAAAGGGGACGAGCGTCTGGTAGACGAAGCTCGAGATGTTGAGCGTGTAAAGTTGGGGCACCTGGACCGAGACGGGAGCGCCGCCCAGAGGCACGAAGCTGATGGTGAAGGGTCGAGTGCCGCGGTCGCCGATATTGTACACTCTGACAGCGCCGCACTGGATCATGGTTCCGTTGGCGGGATCGGCAGCGTAGGTGAAGGCGGAGCTGCCGGTGTAGGCGCCGCAATTGGACGAGGAACCCGAGGGCGTGGCTATGCCCAGCGTCTGGGTGGTGTTGCCATCGCCACGAGAGTCACCGACGGCGACGGTGTACGAGGTGAAGCCGGCCGAGGGTGGCGGGACGACGTACTGGAAGGTGATGTGGTCTGCGCCGGGCTGGTAGTCGCTGTTGATACTGTAGGTCTGTACAAAGCCATGGTTGGCAAGGATCCAGACGGTGTAGGGAAAGGCCTCTGGGACCGCCTTCCAGGTGACGTTGAGGGGCGTGCACTGCTGCGAGACGGTGTAGTTGAGCGGAAAGGCGAGCGTCGATGCGGGCAGACCCAAGCATGCGGCGACTGCCGCCAGCAACACGGACGCAAGCCACATGTCGAGGCAAGAAGGACTCGCTATACGAGCAATGCGCTATGCGACGACCAGATCGAGGAGCCGGTGCGAGCGGGGTGATCGCAAGACGATTGAGCGTCCTTTCAACCAGATTATGCGGCAACGGTCGGCATGGCAGTAGGGACTGAAAGCGGAGGACTGTCTCGTAGCCGCGCTGCTGTATCGTGTGCGAGCGCTCTAAAGCCCTGGCAGTTGCGAAGACGAAACGATGCGGCGCCCCAGTGAGGCCAGAACGATTGGTCCGGCCAGGCGACTTGGAAGCAGAGGCGGGCGAGAGCCGAAGTGACACTCTGAGCTTGCGAGCCAATCGTTGGGAGTTCCGACTCGCTCGGAGAGGGTGCGAAGCGGTATCGCGTGACCAAAGGTAAAATTGCCCAGGCTCGCTGAATGGTTCGCAAGGGTCACTGTGATGGTGGTTGCGATCAAGGGGAGACTGAGCGGTGCAGAGACGAGACTCTCCTCAGACAACTCCAAAAAGACGCGTCCTGCAACGCGGAGTGCAGCAGCCACTGTAGCGGGTGCAGAGCAGTGCAGCTGGCCGAGCCTCCCTTTTCTGCTGCTCCTGAACCCGACGCCACGTTGCGAAATCTCAGAGGCGAATCGAAGCTCGACTGCCGAGTGTAGCATGAGAAAAGCATCCACATCCGATCCCATGAATCCCCACTGGCTCCTGCCGGGACCGTTGACCAGATCAAAGTTGTCCCACAGCATCCGATCGGCACGTTCATGTCGATCCTGAACCTAGCCCACTTTTGCCAGCAGATTTTGCCATCAGAAAGCCACAAGAATCCCGAAAAGGGGAATCGCAAACGGCGATTGGCAGGAGACGGCGCCATTTTCTTGGCACAGCCGAACCAAGGCTCGGCATCGGCATTGTGATCATCCATCTGGCCTCTCTGAGACACGAGATCCACCTTTTTGGTGCAGCTAGTGCCCCAACGAAGGCGATCAGGCAAGGGTAAAGGTGACCGACAAGGCCGCAAGCATAGCTCGGCCGGGTCATGGCAATCTTCGGGTCAGATTGGTGCTTTTTTGACCATCTGCATGCCGCACGCTGCAGTCCCATCTTGCCCCGATGTGGAGCCGCGGAATACCGCTCCAACGTGCAGGGAACACCATCTGTCATGCACAGCCCTCGTTCTCAGAGCGCTTTCCATGCACAGCGACGGCCCCGACCGCCAGTGCCCCTCCCCATGCTCCCTCTGCTCATCACACCCTCTGACCCAAATCAGCAGCACAATGCAATCGACGACAACTGAATTGACTTGCGATCGGGATGTGGCATCCGACAGGCTCAAGCTGTCGCCGAGGCTGCAGCCGACGCGCTGGCTGAGATCTGGTTGATGCGTTGGCACACGTCCTCGAGCGCGCCTGTGACGCTCGCAATCTGCTGATCCCATCGTCGCGTCCACTTGGTGTCCAAGTCGCTCGTTCCTCCACCGCTGCCAGCTCCCTCAGCGCCGCCCGCGTCGCCAGCGCCACTGCCACTGCCGTCGCCAACGCCGGCGCCTGCGTCTTTGGTAGCGCTGAGCCCACCTGCCGTTGTCTCGCCCTCGCCGCGTCGCTCTTGATCCATGAAGAAGAGCACGCCTCTTCGCATCGCGCTCGCCTCGTCCGTCGACGATCCGACCTGATCGATCCAGCCCTTGAGACGCCCCTGCATGATCATCTTTCGAGCAATCTCCTCGGCCCCTTCGGGGCTCAGGTTGACCAAGGCTCCCAGTCCTGCGAGCGTGATGTTGTCGTACAGGCGCGACGCACTCAGCACATTGTGCTCGATCATGGCCCGGTCCAGCACCGTCGACGGCGCATGCCGCACCGACTCGCCCGTCGACTCGCCCACAGCAATCGGCGCAGACGATGGCGCCAGCTTGGCGATCTGGTGCGGCGAGAGCAGCTTTTCAAAGTCGGCGATCTCGTCCGCACGGATCACCCGATCCAGAAACACCTTGGACAGGATCGTGTACTGAGGCAACGAAGGCGTACGCTCGTCGCGCATCAGCGTCGCCAGCATCCGTGCGCGTTGCGGCCCCGCGGGCGAGAGGATGGACGCCGTCACCGCCGCCGAAAGCATCATGGCACGGTCGTCCTCGTCAATCTCGCCAACGTAGCTCAGCTCGTGGTACCGCACCGCAGCTTCCGCGAATCGACGTTGCGAGTCGTACACGCGCGCCTGCGAGAGCCGGTACTGTAGTCCTAGCACTTTGGGCTCCTCCAGCTTATGTTTTGATCCCGCCGTACCCGAGCTATTGTCGTTGCCACTGCCATCCATCGACCCTGTTTGAGCCGATGTCGTCTGCGCGGAAGCTTCCTCTTCTTGCTGCTGCTGCTGCTGCTGCTGCTGCTGCTGCTGCTGCTGCTGTTGGAAATGCGAAGGTAGCGCGCCGGGTACGTTGTGGATGATCATGCTCGCACGCTTGAGGTACATGTCGGCTGCGACGGGATCATCACCCTCGAGCAGCAGACGTGCGATCCGCACGTAGATCGAAAGCTTGAAGTGGTCCGACACGTTGCGATGACCCGAGTCCAGCGGGATCGCCAGAAGCACGCGCGCCGCCTCGTTCCAGTCTTCGTCCGCCTCGAGCAGGCTGGCGAGCTGCATGCGCAGACTCGACGCCTGTTCCTCGAAGCTCAGCACTCTGGGCTGCAGCTGCTCGAGTGCGTTTTCGAGCACCAGACGTCGCGTGTCGCTGTCGGCGATGGCGGGCATGTTCTCGTCCTCGACATCCTGCATCCTATTCTTGTCGCTCTTCTGCGCCTCGTACTCGGCGGCGATGCGGCCAGAATGATGCTCGAGCGCCGTGAGAGCTTGTCGCCCCACAACCAGGCCGCCTCCAGTTGCGTTCTGCTCGCTGAACACGGCGTGCCGCAAGTATGCCGACGTGGCTTCCAGCAGATCGGCGCGGCTCACCTTGCTCCCCGGCGCCTGCAGCAGATCCGCGATGAGCGCCTCGTACGCTGCAGCTCGTGCATGATTCGGCTGCGCGGATGCGCTCTGAAGGCTCTCTGTGAAAGTTGCAGCCGGCGACGCCATCTTCCCGAGAGGTAGCAGAGCGGGTTCAGCTCTGTGTCGAGCCACCCCGCTTCCTCAAACCTGGAGCCTCGATGTGATCTCCGCTGTCCTTGCGGTAGTACCTTCTGGGCGAGCAAGTATTGTCGTGTAAATCTTGCGACGCCAGTGGCAGTGTGGTAGGGTGTCAGGGATGGTGTCGTAAGTGCATCCTCGAGACGCATGACTGTGCTCAGCCTAAAGTGGAGTTTCCGTTCACATGCACCGTGCGCAATTTTTTCACCTGGTGGCTGTGTGAAACTTTTGATTCAACATTGTCCGTCAAAGCGCCCCCTCATCTTCGACCCTTCGACTCTTCTTGTCTTCGTCTTCATCTGATGCTAGTGCTAGTGCCTGTCCCGACCGGCTGCAATGGTCAGGAACATGTCGAGACGAATCCATCGAGACGTCGTACAAACATGGGTGTTGGAAGCGCATGTCACGGATCAGGTCATTTTAGGTGCGACGTCGGCGATCCCAAAGGCCGCAGTGCGGGGAGCCCAAGCTCCGACGCCGGCACGATGGAATCCGTGGCGTACATGTGCAGAAGCTCGTCAGGCTACAGACGTGGCCGAAGCCACGAGATGGGCTCGTTTGCTCAGCCTCTGGCTAGCTGACAGTGCCCATACGAGCCGAGTGGCCGCTTTCGCTCTCAGATTCGCCGGCAATTTTCGAAGGCCATCTGACGTTCAAACAGCGGGCGGGGCCGTCGTGTTGCCTCGCGCATCCGCCATGGGTTGAGAGTGAATCTCGACCCCACGCACGCCATTGCGAGGTCGGAGGCGCTGCCACGCTTCCCTAGCCGACTCATCTGACGACCGTACTCGACGACTGACGTACGTCGCGCGCTTTCGGGACGCACAAGAAGGCCCGCTGCAACGAAGCGAGCCCGGCGGAGTGCGAATGACGAACTAGCCGATATACAGGAACAGCAATCTATGAATGTCAAGTGGCCGCGCCAGCGTACCGAGGGCATACTCGTGCGACTGCGCCGGGCCTGTTCGCAGAAGGTTGCGGCTCCCAGAGATGGCTTGACCGGAGAGCAGCGGCTTCAATACATCTGTGAGTGCAACCTGTCGAACGCTGTAATTCACACCATACGGCCCTTCATCTGTTCGGGCTTTGTTTAGATCAGACGTTCACAGATCATGTAGCGCTTCCGTCGTTTGGTTTGATCGTGCGCTCCGCGCTGGGCTCGAAGATAGCTGGCTAGGACTATCATCAAAGGAAACTCAGTGCTGCAGTGACAGGAGTCAATACAGTATCTGCTTCGTTTGTTGGCGGACTGTAACTTTCGTTCAATCCCAAGCGCTTCGCCAGGCGAGCCGTAGACAGGGGTCGCGCGGGGTTGGATATCGGTGTCTCGGGCTATGAACTGCGGCTGTGGATCGACGGGCGGCGGCGCATGGCGGTGGAAAGCGGCGTCTGCTTGAGCGTGCAAAGCCCGAATCTTGGCTTCGACAGCACATGCTACTCGCACTCGAGGATGCCCGAGAAACACCGCCTCAGGTGACCTTGGTTTGACGAGCTGCCTCCAGCGTCTCTCATGCTCGATGCCGGACCGACTACGTGGGTCCAATATCTTTTTAGCTCTGTTTCCAATTCCACGCTGAGCCTGTGTGCGCCACCGCCTTGCTCCTGCCCAAGCCACAGCGTGGCGCGTGCAAGCGGCAAGGCGCACATCTTGAGGGCCGTTCGTTGCCAAGGCGTACGGGCTCCGGACCCTGGCGCCGACCCCTGACAGAAGCCCCACTAATTCGTCTTTTCTCCTGTGAGCTCCAAATTCAAGCCATACCACACACGCCGGGATAGGATTCGGGAGCTGTACGCCGGTCAGATCGTCGCTTGCCAGGTATCTTTCCAGGCCGGCGTTCAGGCGTACCTTATCATAAAGGGACAATGGACGCAGTCGAGCAGCTGCAAGGTGTAGTTTTAGGGGTACAGTAAAGAATCTTGTAGCACAATGACCCGGTGCCATTTCGGTTCGAGCTTGGCTAGACGCTTTAGGGATGCCGCGGATGAGGATACAGCGATTTCTCGGGTCGGAAGTTGGGAGCGTGCCAACGTGGCTGCCGAAAGGCAACGACAGCCCAACTAAGTTGGTTTTGAGGTGGACGAGACTGGCGGCTTGTGGCTTGCGGGTTTGCGGCTTGGGACGTGGGGCTTGGGGCTTAGGACTTGCGGCTGTGCGGGAGCGGGCTCGCTAAAGTCCAAGCGACTTCGGTCCACTACATTATCCAGCATGATGTCTTGACCCGGCCAGGGCAGCCTCTTGTCTCGCCGCGTGCAAATATGCTCTTTGGGCGAGGGGCAGAGCGATGCTATACTGTCTCGAAGAATGGGAGACTGACCCGAGCAGCAGATCTGAATTCATGCAGAACCTGAGCTTTAGAGGAGAGGCAGGAGCATGTCGAGCGAACGCAGTGCCACCTTTGGCGGCAGCACTTTCGCTTCCACTTTGGCCCGTTGGCTGCTACCGAGCCAAGATCACGGAAAAAAACGAACCGAAACTGGGGGGAGGCGAGGCAGTTTTTGCGCTTCCGCTGCATTGTTGTCAGACATGCGCTCGTCAAGCCACTCACTTGCAGCGGGTCGCAACGTTGATTCCGATCCGTTGACGCGATGTTGATCAAGCTTACTCAAGCTCACGTTCAGTCAACGGTGGCAGCCGCCACGCTGGCAACCACCCCCCAGATGGCAGTGCCATGGACGCAGCATCCGCGGCCGCCGCCATTTGAGGTCGACACCGGCTGATGACCGCGACGCGTTATCGAGGCTCGTTGGACCATGCTATCACCGTCCGCCACTTCGGCGTGTCGATTTCGGGCACGTGTGCTGCGTAGCGCGGAGGGACATGGGGGGCTGTCGCGAGAGTGGAAGTGGAGAGCGCTGCCAAGACCTGGCGCTGCCGACCGAGGCATTGAAATGCCGGTGTCGACGCGGAAGACGCGGCGGCGCTTTTGATTGATGCAAGCGAGAGGTTCTCGACTCGCTGGCGGCAAGGATATATGGGTGTGCAGACAGAAACCAAAGGGAGGCGTGTGCCGACCATCTAGAACCATGAGCCAGACTGCACAGCGGCTTGCGGAGACAGAGATTTCAGAGCGCATCACAAGGTGAGGGCCCGATGCGCTCGGGACCCACAGTATGGCCGCGATTGACGGCTCGGATAGAAACAAAAGGAATCTCGGCAAGGCAAAGTTTTGTCCGTACTCCCACGCCGCCCACCGAAGCGATCAAGGTAGGGGCGCGCCTCGGCTCCGCGCTCCCGGTCGAAGCACGTCGTTCAGGTTCGAGCGCAGTGAATCTGTCCGCAATCTGTTCCTGACGGACCAGTCCAGAATGACCATGATGCTGTGTCGGTCGTCGAACAACAGCGAAGGGAGGCCCCGCCGCATCGCGTCCGATGTCTCTCGCACGGCAGTGGCGACTAGAACTGGTACATGGTCTTGCTGGTACGCAGCGCACAGCACATACTCTAGCTGCGGAACGCTGTCATGCGGGGGGAAGGCACGAGGCTCGAGCATGATTCGGCCAAGCGACATGCGACGTGACACCAGGCGCCGGCGAGGTCAGGGCTTCGTCTGGTGTAACTCGCTATAATTTTCCCCTCCCACCGACGGCTTGCGCTTGTGATGGCCGGTTTCTTTTTGTTTTTCTTTGTATTTTTATTGTATCTTGTCAGCTGCGGCTAGAGAAATAGGTGTGGCAGGTGTGTTTGCGAGACTCGCCAAACTCGCCAAATCTCACGTCGGTCTGCACCGCATTGCATGTTTCCGAGGCGTGCGACATCGAGTTCCGCTCTACTTTGCATCGCGGGATGCCCAAGAGATGCAGCATCTCGATATGTAACTTGCGGTGCGATATCGATACAGCATGCGACGAGATCAGGCCCTGACCACATGTCAAGGCGTCAAATTGTCGGAGTGGCAAGTTGCTGTCTCTGGAGACACGCAGAGCAGATAAGAACAGGTGCGGTTCGACTGCACCGCTAGCCGTCGTTGCTTGGATCTCCGCCCGCTCAAGCTGCTGTCAGCTTGACCGCGCCCTGTAACCGAGCGCATCTGGTGCGTGGCGCACGCCTTCGTCGGAGGTTGAAGCGCACTGCAAAAATCCACAGACCAAGCAGCTCAATTGTAGTTTTGGGCGTGTGTTGGCGACTTCCGCAGGGCCGCATGTCTCGCCGATCCTTGTCGGCCTGCTTAGCGCCCCGCGCTGCCACTCGACTTGAGACACGAGCGTCAAGTGTTCGGTAAAAGGGATGATGCGCGGACGCCACGAGCACTTTAGCGCCGCAGCAAATTTTGGTCGGCTGCAAACGAGGAGGCGGCTTTCTTGCTGCGTTCGGCTTGGGCTGCCCCTCGCATGCAGGGTTGCCTCGAGGCACGCGCCACCTCATCTCGCTTGCTCCTGTCCGCTCTTCTCGCATCCACGCCCCTTGCCTTGCCTTGCCTTGCCTTGCGCTGTCTTGCCTCGGCTCGGCTCGCTCGCTCTTCTGACAGAGACAGAGACAATGCTCCAGAAGCGCAGGATTCCGCATCTCGGCGACGGATCCACCTCCGACTAAATCGCAGCTCGGATGTCAAGCTCTTTTGTTCGCCCGGGCCGATGATGGACGACACGCATTCACAAACGCAGCCTCGAAGAATCTTCGCACGCTTGTTTAGCAGCTCGTTGCTGCTTGAAAAAAGGACTCCTGATGATCGCTACGGCTGCGATTGTCCATCGTGCCGGTACCACAACTGCCAGGTTTGCCCGGCAAGCTGCACCTCCAACAGGACGCTCCGGATGTTGTCGCCTGACCAAGCATCCGCTTCTCGGACCCCAATTGACTGAATCGACGAGATCACAGCATGCACATGGCCGAGTCCTCGAATATTTTCCGATCTTGCGCCAGCTCAGAAGCTGATCATCAGCAGCAGGGTTGCGATTCGCTGAACTTGCCCTCTTCTTTCACACCTGAACCCCCTATTCTCTGTCGACAAGGCTCCGCGCGGCAATCCTTTCGGAGACACAATAGACTCACCGTAGTGCGGAATGCCACGGCCAGGCAGACCATCTCGACTCAGCATAAGCTGTGGCTGATACAGCCGCAGCTACCGCTGAGCCGCCACTGTCTTTTTCATCTTATTTTATTTTAATATATTACCCTCGGCTTGGGCGCGTGGCTGCACCCCGTTTCTGGGTTGCTTCCGGGAAATAACTTTAACGCAACACATCAACAAGACATCAACGCCGCCACGAGTCTACTGCGGCCACGGCCCAGCCTCGCGTGCATCCGAGTGGCTGGCTTGACGCTTGGCCGGTTCCGCTTCGTCGCCTGCATGCACAGTCGCCGGAATCCTCTGACTTGTCCTGCCAACCGCAACACCTTTGCTGCAGCACAGGGTGGTGCTACAGTATGCTTTTGTCTGGCATGTCTCGCATCCCTGCGACGCTCAAGATCCGTTGCAACGGTGCGTTGTGCTGCCGCTTCAGGCAAACTGCCTTCCGAGCCATATGCCGCATTCTCGAAGCCGCTCGTGTCATCCGGCACTCAGCACGCCGCCTTCTCCGATCCAGGTTGTGGCCTGGGTGCTTGCCTGCCTGGGTGATCCGCTGATGTGGCTCGCAACCTGTCCGGTCACGGCCGTCCTCCCGAACTCTAGTGCCTCCACCCTCCCCCGCCTTACCCTGAGCCAACTGCCCGCCGTCTGAGGCTGCTCTGCTTGCGCTCGCCCGCACTGCACTCGCCCAACACGCCGGCCCGACAGTGGATACTCTTGGCACCGGTGGCGCACTCCTAACCACGAGCACGACGCCCTCCCTCTTGCCTCCGCACCGCCATCCCTGTCCTGACCGATTCATTCCGCTCTCTTCACCTTCTTTCATCCTGCTTTCGCGTGCCAGCAGTCCACGTCGCAGGTCCACTGTCGCAGCAGCAGCAGCAGGAGACCTTCACCTCAGAGCTGCTGTGACCTGCAGCTGTTGCTCAGAATCGTGCCAACTGCGCCTCGGGTTTTTGGGCGTTGGAACGAAGACGATTGCGCAAAGCTCCGTCGCGAGCTTCGTCTTTCGAGATCTAGACGTTGCTTCCGCCGCCAACCCTCAAGACATAACAAGATTGGTAGCACCCGAACCAACCCGCTTCGACCCGCATCAGTGTCACCACGTGGGACGACCGTGCACCTCATATCAAACCTCTGCCACATTGCATCATCTGCACCACTCTGACGAGGGCTCACAAGCGGCCAAGCTGTGGTTCACTAGTGTAACCGCATTTCGGCAACGCTTCACAGTTTGCGACAGCTGCGCAGCCTCTGTCACGCGAGATCTCGCCGCCGGCTTGGTCTCACCCACCGCCGCGTGCACACTTGCCCACCACGTGCGTTCGGAATCTCTGCATTCCAGCACCTGGCCGCGACCTCATCTGTCCGACGTCAGCCTCTGCCCTGTACCCTGGGCGCTGCATCTGCAGTTTGGCGCCGTCCCCTTCATCTAGGACCTCGGGTGGGATCATTCAAGTCATATTCGTCACCCAATCCATAGCGCTTGCTTCATCCGCCCCTTGCCGCTCCAGGCACAGCCGCTGCAGAAGCCAAGTACACCGACGTCACTTCTCATATCTTCACCCGCCTTTTCCGCCAAGACAGGCTGTGGACAGCACCCATTCTTCCACGCGCTAGGCTGCCGGCAACGCCAAAGCTCTTTGATTCAGCCCAGAGACAGCTGCATCACGTAGGCGCGAAGCCGTCGCCCTGCGTCGCCTCATCTCACGCCCCCGCCGACACACTGCACGCTTGGGCGCATCACTTTCGGTACCACCACCTCCGCCTCATTTGCGCGCCTCTGCACCTTTGCGCCACTCTCCGCTCGATTCTCACGTCGATGCCCTTCTATATCCAAGCTCTCGTACCCTGCATCTGCTCGGCGCACGCGTACCTCGCCCTGGGAATATAAAGAGCAAAGGGTTGAGCGATTGCCGCGGCGTTCCCCCACACCATACCCATTCGCCCTCCTCCCCCTTTCCCCCTCCCCTAGGCTATCCTTCTGGCCGTCTTTCCCCTTCCCTTTTACCCCCCTTCCCAGATCGTACCTTCTCATCCTTTTCTTGCATTCGGTTCTCTCCTTCTCTTTCCCTTCGGTATCCCCCTCCGCCCATCTTTCAACCTGGATTCCCCTTCACTACCTCTCCCACTTTTCAGCTTTCCGTTCCACCTTTTCTTGGTCTGCAACCGACTCTTTTCTCCGGTCCAGCATCACCTCGTTCTCCTGCCGAGTCCCCTCTGCTGCCAATCTCGCCGATCTGCCTGGCTCACGCAACTTCTCCGATCTGATCGCGTCTTCCTCAATCGATCAAAGCGACAAGGTATCCTTCGACCTCTTAGCTGCAGCGACGGATTGTATTTCCTTCCCGATCATCGCAGCCACTCCGAAGTTCGATCGACCCGGACGTAGGTGTAACGGCGTCGTGCAGATCCTCGGATCCCTGCGACATCATCAAGCTTGCTGCAGACGGCATCTCAACGCGTCTCCCTGGATCATCGATTCCGGCCATGTCTGGCGTCACCATCGGCGCCTCGCACGAGGCTTCCGACAGAGCGCCACGCGATGTGCATCGACAAACACCTACCTCTACTCCATCAACGACAAATACGGGCCGGGACTCCTCGAAAGCCTCCGATCCGTCACCCACAAAACGCCTGTCTCGGCCATGGGACCGTGCCACTTTTCAACCTGCAGTTGATCAAGGGCAAGATTCGGTCGAAGAAGACGAGCTGAGCGATGATGCATCCCTGTCTGCGTCCGTGAGTCGCAGCTCCTATCGGGCCTCTTCATCTCGCCGACATTTGGCTTCACCAAGACGCAGCGACGATATCAAGATGGTGGATGCACCTAGCTCAAAGCGTCCCAAGCCATCTAACTATGAGGCGTCCCCAACATCCAAGGTGAGCAGGGCATTCTTGCCCGAGATTTGTGCTCCACGTCGAGAAGGCAATGATGCTGACCAATGCTTTTCTTCGCTCCCACGGTGACACTTGTAGCCTGTCGAGACAATGCAGCGACTGTCGACGAGGGAAGATGACCCCAGCGTCAGAATCCCTCACAATCGATCGTCTTCGCCACCCAGGCGGGACGATCCCGGCTTCGATGCCGCTTCGCTGCGCCTGCTCTCGCCAGAGGAGGTTGAAAAATTCCTCGACCTCATCTTCAAACACCATCCCGAGCCCATGACGGCCGAAAGCATGCGTCAAAGCGTCGACGCCCTCTATAGCGATTGGGCCCAGTACTGTGCGCAGCGCCAGGTCCCGGTCAAATTGGCCAAAAAGCCTCTGATGGACGAATATGCCAAGATCTTCAACGGCATCTACGGTCCCTCACTTCAGGACAAAGCTCGGTCGATCGCGCAAGAGCTGTCGAACCGGTCGGCGAATGCGTCCACGTATGGCGACGCCGCGAGCGACAAGAGGGCGCAGCGTGGAGCGAGCTCGAGTCGGCGCAGCCAGACATCCTCATCAATGGACGAGGACAGCGATGAGGACGCCAGCGAAGCAGTCGACGGCCCAGTCGGACGCGATGTGGAAGCATCCGAGGGCGCATCGCCGGAGCGCGCCGGAGGAAAGGGCAAGAAGAACATCGCTCAGGTGGGCCGCAACGGTCTCGCGGTGCTTCCGCCCGGGCTGTTTGACATTCTTCGCAACCATCTGCGCGACGACATTCTGTCGAGCATCATGCCTTCGGTGCGCACCGACCTGACGGAGCAGACGCGCGAGCTATTCCTTCAGAACCAAGATCTCTTTGGGCGTCTCAAGGAAATGGAGGAACGCGTGCGCAACCAAGAGCTGTGGATCCGACATCTACTCGCTCGAGACCCGGCCGACGGAGCGAGTCCGCATGTCGGGCCTGGGCATGGACCTCCTTTGGTCGATGCTGGACTGGCAGGCGCAGACGCTGCTGCAGGTATGGCTGCCAAGCCGAGGCCATTTCCTACCGCGACAAGAGATCCGGCGGGTCTGGTGAGGCATGCTCGTCACGCCGCTTCGTCTTCAGACCACGAGTTTGGTCCATCGACGGGCGACTACTTTGGCGGCAATGCGCCATTGTCTCCGCGCCAAGCTGGTCGCATGGACCCGAGGGCTGCGCATGCTCCCGGCGTGCATTCTTCGCTCGCATGGGAAGGTCGATCGAGTGTCGGCAGCGTCGGACCTGCGGCTGGGATGGTACGCGGGCAGGCGCCTCCTTTCGCCACCGGTCGTCGCGAGCCAGAGGCCCCGCATGTAGGAGGATACCGGGAAGTGACGCCTGCCGAAAGAAGGCTCTCGTACGCCAACGAGGCATATCGGAGACCGAGCTCGTGGCAGAGTGAGCCGCAGGGCGGCAGAGGCTCTATCTCGCACGACCACGGCGGCGGGCATGGCGACTTGGCATTCCAACCTCCTAGCGGACCGAGTCTTGCAGAGACGCGCCGAATGAGCGCCTTCAGTGGCAGCGGCGCGGCGACACGCGGAGGCGCGCCACATCCAGGCGCACCTGGAGCGCACGAAGAGTTCCGTCGACCAGGCCCGTCGATGTATCCGCGAGACTCGGCCATGTCGCCGGGGGAGCCGGCTTACGAGATCCGACGTGCTCCGCCCGGCTTTGGTGCGAGTCAGTCGGAGTCGTACTTTGGTGATGCGGGCGAGGGCGTCAAGGCGCCTCTTCCGCCAAGGGCGAGCATGCCCGACTCGCCCGGGCTGATGCAGCGCAACAAGCGCGGTCGACCCAGCAAGTTTGAGCTGACACAGGCGCGGCCGGATGGCGGCGCTGCTGGTCGCGGCGCTGCGTTTGGTGCCAGCTCGCATCCCTCCTCGACACAGCCCCGACCGTATCTCTCGTAAGGGCGTGTCTTTCCAAAAAAAGATCGCACTATGCCGTATGCACCCTCATGTCGGCGCTGCACACGATTCGTCACCCAGTGAACTTGCTAATCAGTAACTCGATTTAATTTGTACATCTAAACAAGGCGAGTGGGCGTGTGTATGGCGAGCGACGATTGGAGGCGCCGCGTTAGTCTAGCCCGAGCAGACGGGGAGGGAGGTGTTGTTTTCGCGGGTGAAGGCGAGGATGTGATCGTTGATGACGCGATGGGTGAAGCCGACCTCGCAGTAGACAAAGTAGTAGATCCATTTCCTGCGGAAGACGTCGACCTCGTGCTGCTGCTGTTGGGCGGGGAGGTTGCTGATCTCGTCGTGGTCGCGCAGGAGGGCGGGGCGGATGATCTTGTCAAAGTTGGCCTGGAATCGGTTGTTCCACTCGCGCAGCGTGCGCGAGTAGTGCGGGCCGATGCTGACGAGCGTGTCGAGGATGAGGTTGCCCTTGGAGCCGTCGGTGGCGCCGTTGACGAGCGAGGTGACCGAGGGGCACACGCCGCCGGGGAAGATCCATTTGCGGATAAAGTCGACGCCCTTGTAGTAGGCTTCGGCGCGCGATTCGGGCATGGTGATGCACTGGAAGACGGCGACGCCTCCTTGACGCTTGAGCACGCGGTCGACGCAGGAGAAGTAGGTGGGCAGGAACTCGATGCCGACCGCCTCGAGCATCTCGATGGAGCAGACGCGGTCGAAGGAGTCGGTCCAGCTGGCGGGGAAGTCGCGGTAGTCCATGAGGTGGACCTTGATCTTGGATTCGAGGCCAGCCTCGGCGATGCGCTGTTCGGCAAGCGCCTTCTGTTCGACGGAGAGGGTGACGCTGTCGACGGTGCAGCCGGTCATGCGGACGGCCTCCATGGCGAAGGAGCCCCAGCCGGTGCCGATTTCGAGGACGCGATCGCCGGGGCGGATGTTGGCACGACGGATGATGAGGCGGAGCTTGTTCTTCTGCGCCTCTTCGAGCTCGTCGTAGTCGGCTGCAGCCGACTGTGCGCGGGTGTGTGCATCGGCCTCGGAGGGAGGCGTAGGCAGGTCGTCTGTTCTCGGCACGCCTGTGGATGTGCTGTCGGAGTGGGCGGTGGCATCGGAGGTGAATCGAAGAGGCTCAAAGACGCCGGCTGCGGCTGCCGGGTTGGGATGGCCGTTGGTTGCGGTGCCGAGAGCGGCGCGCGTCTGCTGGTTGATCTGGGCGAGCAAGGGCCCCGAGACGTCGGCGTCGAGCGTGTCAAAGACGGCGCAGGAGTAGGTCATGTCTTTGGAGAGGAAGGCCTTGTACATGGTGTTGCTGATGTCGTAGTGTGCGCCGATGTTGCGGAGACTGCCGACCTTTGTATTGGCGTAGCGCTTGTTGAGCATGCCCTGTGCGGAGGCGATGAGGGAGCTTGCGAGGCTGACGTTCTCGAGGTTGTTGAGGCTGGCGCGGTTGAGGATGAAGAGATCGAAGCAGGCGGCGAGGTCGGGGGTGTCTACGTCTCCGATCATGTATGCCTCTGCAAAGCCGAGGTCGGCGCCGAAGAACATGCGCGTCCAGAATGCATCGTTCTTGACGATGAGCACGGCGTGTGGTGCGGTAGCCGAGTTGGGCGCGACGGCAGGTGCAGCGGAGGATGACTTGAGCTTGGCTGCAGCGGTGGAGTCGGGTTCTTCGTGGTTGTGCTGCTTGCTGCGAACGAGCGTGGGGTCACCGAAGCGGTGCACTTGACCGGAGGGGAGTCGTATCTCGAGTTCTCCGACGGTGAGCTTGGAGAAGAGGGCGAGGATGGAGGATCGCGCGATGGCGGCGGTGGGGCGTGCGAGCGTGGAGACGAGCGCCTGAGGCACGGGGATGGAGGGGAAGAGGCCGGTCATCGTAGGCGTAGGGGGCCTTGTTAGGGGGCAAGCTCTACGTGAGGAAAGTCCAATTCCAGGAGGAGGCAAGCGGATGCTGGGATGAAGCCACGTTGAGGCGGCTACGGGCGGCGCGAGGATGGCAAACGAGGTGAATCGCCAAGCGGGTCTCGAGGATGAAGATGGTGGTGATGTCGAGAGGGGCAGGAAGGGGGAGGGAGCAGCCCGAGCAGGTTCTCAGTCAAGGGCGTCGCGGATGGGATTGGGCGTGCGAAATGAAGGGCGAGCTGTCGGCTTAGGCAGCACGAGCGGAACGGATGGACGGACGGAGGAGAATGCCGCGGATGAGAGCGGCGTTGGGACAGAAGGATTGGCGTGACGGCGCACGGGCAGCGCCAGGGTCCGCGAAGCAGAAGGCGATTGGCGAGCCAAGCGAGTGGCCGCAGCGGGCGATCAGGCGATTTTGGGCATTGCGGGCGGATAGGGAAAGCGGCGGATGGACGGAGGGGAGCGGATGCCGCGGATGGAGCTCGGGAGCGTGGCATGCCGTAAACGACAGGGCGGATAGATTGGCGGCTTGTCCTCCACTTTGCTTGCTGTTCTGCGAGGACAACGCCTGGACGGGCCAAAGCGCAGGGGTGGGGAGGGCGAAGCGAGATTGGAGTGTTTCGGAGGGCGAGGCGGAGGCGGCCTAGAACTGTCGGATGAAGATCGACAGGTGTTGAGTCGCGTTGGAGTGAGAGCAGCACCCTGCATACCTCCGTCTGCGACGTTTGGGCGCATGCACGCTTACCTGTGCGATGCAAAGCGATGTTGTGCGAGGCTGTGGGCTCCTGTGGGCTCCTGTGGGCTGCTGCGCGCTCCTGTCACCGCAACGATCGTCGGGCGCGTCGTGAATGCAGCCGAATGCATAACGTGCATCTGCTGTTCCTGCCCGAGAGCCGAGCTTTGGCGTTGAGCTGTTACACCGCCAAAACCTAGCATCCGATCAAAACCACCAGTCTAGTCCAAATCGGGCTGATCGTCAGATTGGCATTTGGCTAAATTTAGGCGAGTCGGCCAAGCCATGCGGGCCATGTGGAAAGAAGGCGCCAAGGCCCCGGCGTCCCGACCGAATCGGTGCAGAAGCGCAGTGTCCCTGCCGCGATCCCACGTTTCCCCCACGCTTTTGGAGCACACGTTTTGCATCTCCGCCTTGGCATTTCGATCCAACTTTGCCCCACCGCAGCTTGAAATCAGCAACACAGTCAAGTGTTCAGGTGGGCGGAGGGCCAAAGCGTCGGGCCAAATGGAGCAGTCGGAGTGTGCGTGGTGCAAGGCCGTGGCGTCATGCGTTGCCAAGCGACCGAAGCTTCTGAGGCGCATGCCGACATTAGCGCCTCTGCCACCGTGGCACTCCGGCACCCCGGCACTCCGGCACGTCCAAACGCTGCCGAGGCGGCCCAGGTTGGGGTGGCGGTGTTGGTCTTTTTTTCGAATCTTGGATTTGAGCCCCACTTTGGCAGCGCGTGCCGACGGCGAAAGAGCGCGTCGCCATTGAATTGCCCACTGTATTGCGCTCTGCCGGCCGCACTTTCGGTGTTGGAATTCTCGCTTCGGCCGCCTTAATTGTGTGACACTTCTCCTGCGCTTCCACCGCCATGCATTCGACGTCCACCACCCTGCCACCCCACCAACACCGGCCAACCTGCACGGCCAAAGCATTCATCACCAACCCTACGTCTGACGCCTGGTGCGTCCAACACGTTGGTGACCGCTTGCCTCTCGACCACATCATGCTTGCCATTCAAGCATAGCCGCGCAACCGTCCTCCTCACCATGTCGCTCTGTCCGCGCGCTGCCGCTCAGGCACTCCACTCGCCGCCAGAGCTTGAGCAGCACGAGTACAAGCAGCACGCAGCCTACTTTGATCCACAAGACCATCCGCACTACACCCTCCATCCATCCTCACGCTTCGGCGCCGACAACGAGCCGCTTCTCGAGTCGAGTGCGCCCTCAGACGACATTCACAATGCAGGCATTCGTTCGTCTCAACCGCTCCATTCGCTCTTGGCGCGCCGTCTCGCTCGTTTCGTCAGCTCAGCCGTCGCAGCTTCATCATCATCATCATCATCAGTATCCACCGGCTCAACAGCACCCTCGCGCCCCTCGCGCAAGCGTTGGCTTCCCGCCCTCCTCCTCTTCAACTTCGCCGTCACCGTAGCTGCATTCATCGCCGCCTGCGTCCACTACAACACCTTCACCACCCTCTTCCTCTATCTCGCCCTCCTCATCGTCGCCTTCCCCATCCTATCGATCACCTTCCTCCTCCTCAACTCCAACTCGGCCAGCTACAAGCTTCGCCTCCCTCAATTCTCCCCCTTCTCCTCACCCGACTTTGAGCAGGCTTCCTTCCGCTTCACGCCAACCTCGTCAGCACCTACCGCTGCAACACCCCCGCGCAGATCATGCCGCTCCTTCCGCCTCGATCGGCTGGCACGCTACGTCCAGTACGTCCTCGCAAGCCTCTGGTTCCTCGCACTCGTAGAGTGGCTCTTCTTCCAGCCCTTCTTCGACACAACCAGCCCCTCGGCCTCGGATGACTTGGCCATCTTCCTCAAATCCTCCCCAGCCGCTCGCATCGCATCGCCTCCACAACCGCTCAAGGTCTTTATCGCATCCAACCTGTACAACAGCCAAGACATCCTTCCCACCTACTCTGCATCCCTCAAGGGCCTCATCCACCAAATCGGCGCGCACAACGTCTACGTCTCCATCTACGAGTCCCACTCCACCGATCAGACCAAGCCCATGCTCGCCCAGCTCGACGCCGACCTCGCACACCTCCACGTCGACCGCCAAATCGTGCGCGACGACGGAGCAGCACGCATGAACAAGTCGTCGCCCGTCCAGGATCGCATCGATTTCCTCGCCAACGTGCGCAACCTCGCCATGCAACCGCTCGTCGAATCCGCCCACGCGCACAACTTCACCCACGTCCTCTGGATCAACGACATCGTCTTCACCCCGCACGACGCGCTGCGCCTTCTCAACACCAACAACGCCCACTACGACCAGGCGTGCGCCATGGATTTCATCGGCAACGGCTTCTACGACACCTGGGTCACCCGCGATGCACAAGGACAAACGCTCAAGCGTCAGTGGCCCTACTTTAAGCAGCCGCACGACATCGACGCAATGCGCCAGGGCACGCCCTTTGTAGTCAACTCGTGCTGGAACGGCATGTCCGCCTTTGATGCAAAGTGGTTTGTTCCGCCCGAATCGCAATCTGCGCATCCGGCACAACCGCCCATCCAGTTCCGATCCTCTTCGACGTGCCTCTCGTCCGAATGCCAACTCGTCTCGTACGACATGCATCGCGCCATGCATCCCAAGCGTCCCATCATTCTCATTAACCCCGCCGTCAAGGTGGCCTACACCCATCGCCACTATCGGCTGTACAACAATATCCTGTCGTGGCCGCTCGTCCGACCATGGCGCATCGTGTGGCGCGACTGGTTTGCCCACCGCCTCTTTGGCTGGCTCACCGAGTCGCGCAGATGGGCCAACGAGTGCGAGCTCAAACAGCCTTGGTGGAGCACCGAACCTGCCAGCTAGCGTAAGGCTCTCTCTGTCACTCAATGCCTCAGTGTAACACTGCAATGCTACAGCACAAACCAAACCCATCTCATGATGCTACCACGTTCCTCTGCAGTGCAGCAGCGGGACTGAATGCGATGTCCGAATATCAAATTGCGCCCGCAGAGTCACTGAGGCGCTGTGGTGAGGCGGTTACCTCGGAGCGAGGCGCGGTTCCTGGTTGGAACGTGCTCCTGCTCGCTTGGCCACTCATGCATCTCGGCGGCAAGAAGATTCGTGCAAAATAGATTTGGGCAGGGCCGTAAGTGAGCCGTCTGATTGACAGGGTCCAAGCCGGCGGGCCGCACCTGTCCACCAAAGAGCCAATGCGCACCCAAACCAACAGAGACGACCACCAGACTACAGCCTCTACAAACTGAACGGCACGTTGCCCATGGACGTGCACGACTTAATCCCTATGCCATACTCAGAGCCGAGCCTTTCTTGAAACCTGGCCGGCACTCTGTCGTTCTGACAAGACTTTGGTCATATATAATCCAGATAACAGCCCAATGAACGCACTTTCCACAGATCCAACGACTTTGTCAAGATCCAATCATGTTGGCTGGTATCCGCTCGCTCTGTGCTGTGCTTGCGGGAGCCTTGACGTTGGGTGGTGTGGGTGTTCTTGCCCTCGTCCCGGCGTTCAAGCCCGCGCTGCCGCCGACGCTGCCACCCGTGCCCGCCAACCTCCCGAGCGCGCCTGCCAACACTGGTGCGCATGGAGCCGTGCCTTCCTTGCCTGCCGGCATCTCCGCGCTCCCTGCGCCGCCCCAGTGGGCGGACGCGAGGCTGGACGACTACCGCCCGTCAAAGGTGCGGCTTGCGTACCGCGGCGATACGGGCATGGCGGTGTCGTGGTCGACGCATCGCCAGCTGCCCGTGCCCGCGGTGCTGTACGGCAAGACACCTGCAGCGCTCACGAGCATCGCGACGTCGACCGACTCGGTGACGTACAATACCAGCTCCTACTACTCGAACCACGTCGTCTTGGACCAACTCGAGCCGGGCACCAAGTACTACTACCTGCCCATCCTTGGCGATCCGCTCCGCGATGTGCGATCCTTCACCACCGCCAAGCCGCGCGGCGATGAGACGCCGTACGCCATCGCAGTCGTCGCCGATCTGGGCACCATGGGCTCGCTGGGCCTGTCGGACCACGTGCCTCCCGGCGCGGCCAACCCGCTGCGTACGGGCGAAGTGACGACGATCCAGCGACTCGGCATGGACAAGAGCCGGTTCGACCACATCTTGCACGTCGGCGACATCGCCTACGCCGACTACTGGCTCAAGGAGGTGGTGCTGGGCTACATCAACGGCACCATCGCCGCCGGCCCCGAGCTGTACGAGCAGATCAACGAGGAGTTCTACGACGAGATGAACGACATCACCTCGTCGCTACCCTACCACGTGGCAGCGGGCAACCATGATAGCAACTGCGATAATTCGGGCTACAAGAACTACACCGAGGCCATCTGTCCGCCTGCGCTGACCGGCTTTATTGGATACAACCAGCACTGGAACATGCCCTCGTCGGTCTCGGGCGGGTTCAAGAACATGTGGTACTCGTACGACGTCGGCATGGTGCACTACGTTGTCTTTGACACCGAGACCGATCTGGGAGAGGGTCTGGTGGGTCCCGAAGACGTGGGAGGTGCTTCTCATGCTACCGACGGCCCGCTGGCGACGCCGTCGAATGCGCAGCTGGATTTCCTCAAAAAGGACCTGGCAGCCGTCGACCGTTCCAAGACTCCGTGGGTCGTTGCTGCGGGTCACAGGCCGTGGTACATGGCTGCCAAAGCCTCGTCGCTGTGCACCGTGTGTCAGACGGCGTTTGAGCAGCTCTTCAACGATGCCGGCGTCGACCTCGTGCTGAGTGGACACCAGCACAATATGCAGCGCTCCGGCCCTCTGGGACCCAAGGGCGCCATCGACGCCAACGGACTTAACAACCCCAAAGCGCCGCTCTACATCACCACGGGCGCCGCTGGCCACTTTGACGGCCTCGACGCCGCCGTGTCGCCGTACCCGGCCTACTCGCACTTTGTCAACGACACCCTCTACGGCTTCTCCACCGTAGCATTCCACAACCGCACCCACCGTAAGTGGAACCTGGCTCGTTGAGCTGCCCGGCGGAATTCGCTGACCACCTTGTTCTCCTTCTTCTTCGGATATACAGTGACGCACGAGTTTGTCAGCTCCGCCACAGGCGCGGTGCTCGACTCGGCTACGCTGTACAAGCAGCATTGATGGGCTCATGACATCAAGTGAAGTCGACACAGACGTTTTGAAGCGAGCACGTGTACTGAAAAAGACTAGATTGCGCTGAATGGTTGAGATGAGTACAAGAGGTGGCGGCGCGTGCACTTAGGACGAGGCCATGATGGGGCGGTCGGCGGCCTTGGGCGCGCCGACGGCCATGTCCTTCTTGATCTGTGCGATGGCCTTGCCTGGGTTGAGGTTCTTGGGGCAGGTCCTGGAGCAGTTCATGATGGTGTGGCAGCGGTAGAGCGAGAAGGTGTTTTCGAGCTTCTGCCTGCGCTCCTCGCCAAAGTCGTCGCGCGAGTCGGCCATCCAGCGGTAGGCCTGCATGAGGACGGCGGGGCCGAGGTACTCGTCCTGGTTCCACCAGTAGCTGGGGCACGAGGTGGAGCAGCACGCGCAGAGGATGCACTCGTAGAGGCCGTCGAGGCGACGACGCTCCTCGGGCGACTGGAGGTGCTCGCCCTCGGCGGGGGTGTTGTTGGACTTGAGGAAAGGCTCGATGGAGCGGTACTGCTTGTAGAACTGCGTGAGGTCGGGCACGAGGTCCTTGACAATGTACATGTGCGGCAGCGGGTAGATCTTGGTGTCGCCGGCCTTGTCGATGCGGCAGAGGCAGGCGAGCGTGTTGACACCGTCAATGTTCATGGCGCACGAGCCGCAGATGCCCTCTCGGCACGAACGACGGAAGGTGAGCGAGGGATCCACCTCGTTTTTGATTTTGATCAAGGCGTCGAGCACCATTGGGCCGGTCTGGTTGAGGTCGAGGGTGTACGACTGCAGACGGGGCTTCTCGGAGGGGGTGTCGGGGTTCCACCTGTAGATCTTGAACTCCTTGAGGTGCTGGGGCTTGCCAGAGCTGCCGACGTTGTCACTGGTGGGGGTGGCGAGACGTGCGGCGGCGGTGGTGGAGAAGGCGGCAGCACGCGACGAGCTGGCGACGGAGGGTCGGAGCGCAGTGCGCAGACTGCTGCTGATGTTGAATAGCGACATTGTGACGGATTGTATGTAGGGTTGCGGAGAGAGGGTGATGATGGTTGTTTGTGGCGAAGGATGAGAGCGAGTGACGATGTCGAACTCATTCACTCTGGCGCGCGCGGCTGTGAGCTGGAGGGCGACGAGCAGCTCTTAGCTTGGGCCACACCTTTGCTCGTGCGGGGGGCGACGGGCGACGGGCGAAGGGCGAAGCGCGCGCTTCCCAGTGGCCACCCGAGCCGGCCAGCGCAGTGTGAATTGTGAGAGAGAGCGGGTGTGCGCGCAGCTGCCGCTGATTACCAAAACACGCGCTGCTGACCCACCGCCGTCACTGCCGTCTGTGTCTTCTGCTGGCTCGGCCTGAAACGGCTTTTTCCTTTTGGCCCGCCACACCGCCTAGCTTCGAGGAATCGCACGCACGCAAGCTCGCTTTCTTTTTTTCGAAAGTGCAGCCAGCAGCCTTTGGCTTTGAAATCCACTCGTCTCTGATTGGGCGTCTTGCCGCGATGGCCGTCTCGAATGCGCTGCTGCCAGGGCGCGCTTGTAATTTTCTTCCGCTTCTCACACTCTCTGGCCCGCTGACATAATGCATCGTCGCACTTGCCCACCGCCGAATTCTGCCGAAGGGCTGCCACGAAGCGTGATCATGTTAAACCCTAGAGCTTAGACTTCCCCGTGATCATCCGCAGGCCTCCTAGTTGTTGCTTTGCTACGATCCAACACTTTTGGACTTTGCCGCGCTCGGATCTCGGCTTGACTCCACACGCCGATCTCCCATCCCGCACCTAGCTCGAGGCCGGCTTTCCTCCACACCACTCCAACTACCTTCAACGCTGCTCGTCATGGCGGACCTCAGCCCAGAGGCTGGATCATCGCGCGACAAAGCTAGCCGCAGCTCCTCTTCAAGGTATGCCAGCAGAAGCGAACGAGAATCACGCGACAGACCCCGCGACCATCGTTCCCACTCACGCCGCGAGCATCGCGACAAGGACAGCCGATCCAGTCGTCACCGAGACCACGAAAGGCCTCGTTCAAGATCGCCTCACCGTCACCGCAGATCTCGCGACGCTGAAGCCTCATTCTCCTCTCGCTCAAGAAGATCACGCGACGACTCTCACCGTTCCAGCCGCAGAGACGACCCACACCGCTCGGACCGACATTCGCAACCTTCCTCCCGCCGATCCAAAGATCATGCCGAGTCCTCTTCGCACCGTAGGCGCTCTCCGTCCGAATCTCGCTCGCATTCGCGCTCGCGCTCGCCACCTCGTCGCTCCGAACCGCTCGATTCAGCGCGCAGCGCGACTTCGCCCTCTGCGCAACCCATGGAGCCCGAGATCGAGGAGGAGGTGGATGACGATGCGCCCAACTTTGCGCCTTCCGGTCTGCTTGCTGCCGAATCCAACATGCTCAACGGCGTGGCGCTCAAGTACCACGAGCCGCCCGAGGCTCGCAAGCCAAAGACGCGCTGGCGTCTCTACTGCTTCAAGGATGGCAAGGAACAGCAGCTCCTCCATCTGGGCTCCCAGTCCGCCTATCTGCTCGGCCGCGACCGCAACGTGGTCGACATCCCGATCGACCACGAGTCGTGCTCCAAACAGCACGCCGTCGTTCAGTTCCGTCAGATCATCACCACCAACGAGTTTGGAGACAAGAAGAAGCGCATCCAGTATGTCCCACTTGCCAACTCCTCAATCCTTCTCCTTTGACCGACTAGCTGACATTTGCATTCCTCCCGTCCTTTGCAGTCCATTCCTCATCGACCTCGAATCCAGCAATGGCTCGTATGTCAACGATACCGAGATCCCCACCTCGCGCTACTACCAACTTCGCACCGGCGACACCCTCACCTTTGGCGCCAGCACCAGGGAGTACGTCCTCCTCGACGAGTCCGCCACCTGAGCCGTCGCTGCCAGCCTCGAATTCAATCATGCTGCTACCGAACTCTATTGCTGCGGGATCGAGACGAATCAAAGTTGCTCGACGTAGTTGGACGGGAAGATGCCCGTGCGCCCATCCTTGACACCTTCGCACCATCTGTCGCGGGCACAGAGAACGAGAAACAGAATGGTCAGCTGAATCAACATTATCTATGGAATTCCTGAAGCTTGGCAACTTACCCATCGGCAAAGCTGAATCCAGTGGTAGTGAGCTCGATCTGTTCGCCTGCCGTCAACGAATGCTCATCCGCCCCTTGCGCCGTGTAGTCAAACACCGCCTTGACAAATTGTCCACAGCCCTGCGCTGCTCCCGTCGTCGCAGTGTGACCTGCATCCTGAGCTGATTCCACGCCCCCAGTCGCGCCTTGAGCGCCGAATTCGCAGTACGTCGTGGGTACGAGGCCTTCCCTCGCTGCGCCAGCGCGCACCTTGATCCATCCCGTTGCATCGACGTCGTCCTCGAGCAGCTCGACCTGCTCGCCCTCGGTCACGCTCAGCTCAAACGGACTGCTCGCCTCGAACGCGTACAGCACGCTTCCCATCGGGCGCTTGGCATCGGCACGCGCGGGTGTTGCGACAGGCTGTGCGGGCGACAGGATGGCGCTGGAGCGATTCGAGCGACTCAGCGACGCCGAGGCGCGCGGAGCATCGCTCGCCGGTGCAGCCTTGCATTCGGCGGGAACCTTGATCTCGCACTTTTGGTGCACCGTGTACCCGCACGGTTTGCACACGGCGCCCTGCTTGGCCAGCCCCCAGATGGTGCCGCCGCAAAAGTGGCATGCGGTCGGGATACCAAACGAAGCGGGCTTGAAGCGATGCGGACGCGCCTCGCCCTGGTTCTGGCCGATGCTCGCCACGATGGTGTCCGCCTCGGCCTCGAGGTTGTGCAATTCGATCTCGAAGCCAAACAGCGCACGCGTGGAGTCGAAGAGCTGATCCATCACCTCGTCCGGATTTCCCAGCTCGGGCTTGTCTTGGTAGGCATCGCGCAGCTTGTGCAGCCCGTCGACCTCCTTGGCCTTGCTTTCCGCCAGAGGCTCAAGCTCGGCCATGCGGTCTCGGCAGCGCAGCAGGCGATTCTGCAGCACTGTCACCGCGGCGGGCTCGGTCGACATCTCGGGAGTGTCAAAGAAGCCGACGCAGGGCTCAAACGACCATCCTGCTGGCTCCTGCCATCGCTGCTGGTTGTGCTGAGCGAAGAGCGTCTGATCTTGGAGCGGGTCGACGTGCGAGGCGTTGGACTCGAGATGGCGGTGCTTTGTGGCGACGAGTTCATGGTGCGCTGCGACGGTCGTCTGCGCCTTGGTCGAGGCGGAGACGAAGCGGTGTGTGGAGAAGCTCCAGAGCGCCTGAAGGCTGTTCTGAATGGCGGGCAGATCGGTGCGATAGAAGCGCTGTTTGGCGGTGTTGGAGACGGCGATGTGGATGAGGTAGTTGTTCTTGGCACTCCACATGTCGAGCTCGGCCGCTTGGAACGCCTTGGCAGCGCGATCTGCGTGCTTGTCGCCTGCTTCGGCCTTTTCGCGCTTCTGACGGTGGGTGTCGAGCTCGTGGCATAGGTCGTCGTACTTTGCCTTTGCCTTGTCCTTGTCCGCATACGTCTTTTCGCGGTCCGAGAGCAGCTTGTTGGCGTAGGCGATGTGCTTCTTGCGCAGCTCGTCGCGTGCCTTGGTACTGGTGGCCATTCTTCCGGCGATAGCATCGAAGCCGGATGCTAGTGTGTTGTGGTCGGCTGCGGTAGCATCGTGAGCTGCGTAGAGATCGGCGATGTGCGTCGAGAGGGTGGAATGGGCGTGCTTCCACTCGATGGTTGGGGAGGGCCCGACGGAGATGTCCTGGTCGCGTTTTGCCTTCTTTTCGCGATACTTGCGTACGAGCGACTGCAGCTTGGCGGCGTAGTCTCGCTCGAGGGCGGCACGTTCGGAGAGGAAGGAGGCGAGGTCGCTTTCGAGCGCGAGCTGTGCCGACAAAGCAGCGGCGATGGTGGGCAGCTGGTCTGGCAGCTCGTGGCCAAAGTCGATGGCGGATGCTGACATGCTGGCGGACTATAGCCGGCGATCCAGCGCGATGCGGTCGGCCACGACGATGGTCAGTCAGAGGGATGATGTGGTGGGCAGCAGAAAGCACAGAGCAACACCCCTCACGTTGTCAACTCTGCTTTCGACGCGGCCAAAGCGGCCAAAGCGCCGAAATCTTGGCACCGGCTCGCAGCAAACAGCTTCATGTGGAGGTTTGGCCTCGGCCCTCGTCGAGGCGGTGCGGATCACATCCGAACAACACGCAGCCTATCACTTCATTCGGCACACTTGTGATGTTATAGTATGGGGGCCGCAGGTGTGACTGCATCGAGGCCGAGCAAGGCACGACTGGGATCTAAGCGGATGCACCTCCGATCATCTTGCCTTCGCCCGATTGCGTGGTCCCGAACGCTTCCGAGCCCGGTTGTTCGTGGAGCCGTGCGGTTCCGTGCGCCTGCTTGCGTGCAGCGGTGAGGCGGTGCAGCACACGCAGCGCCTCCGCCACCCAGAACACTGCATACAGCCCCACCTGCACTCCGACGTCGATCATCTCGTCGCTCAGCAGGTACTCGGTGCCCTTGCGATCCTCGATGCCTTCCAGCTTGCCCATCCCGGCCAGTGCAACCGAGGTAAAGGTGATGAGCAGACTCCAGAACGCCAGGCACACGGCGCTCACAGCCACGCCGTCGGCCGTTCGCAAGTGCATGAGCACCAGCACGATCAGGATGCCCGCCAAGTTGAACGGCAACAGTCCGACTCCGCGGTCCGCCAATGCAAGGCGCACGATCTGCAGGATGTCTGTCGAGTGAAAGCAGAAGTCAGGTGTCAGTATCGGTGCGAGTAAGTCACGAATGCATCCATGCGGTCGGAGTACTTACTCATAAGCAGCGCTGCCACAATCAGAAGCATGTACACCACGTCCAGCGCGCTTCGCAACTTTGGATGCTTGCCGCTAAAGCTGCCATCGCCGCGACGAGCAGAAGCGCGGTAGTGCAGCAGTCTCGATGTCGATGACGAAGACAGCTTGGTATTCAAGTGCCTTTTCTTGAGGGCCACTGCTAGCAACGGCAGCAGCACCAGCAGCAGCACCCACGTCGCCAGGGGCTCCAGCACCACATCGTTGAAGCACGTCGTCGTGATGCCCCGAGGCTCGTGCGATGCGAATCCAAAGGCATTGTCGTAGCGCAAGCCGCACAGCATGCGGTGCACCTTGGGCGGGTCCCGGTTCATTGCAGAGTTGGTGTTGCCCATTGTGTCGTAAAATGCGGATTTCGAAGGCGAGTGTAGTGACAATGGTGGTATAAAGCTAAGGTAGATGGAGCGGATGGACTGTATCATATCCGCCATGGACCAGTGCTCGACCGCAGGCGCATGCTACATCGTACTGCTGAACCAGCTTAAGCACTCACACACACGAACGGCAGCACTATGCAGATCTCAACACCTGCCGGCGACTGGACCCGACTCATGCAACCGAGCTTGTTCGGAGCGAAACAAGCTTTCTCCAACTCCACCCACTCGTAGCCGCATCTCAGGGCCAGCCGGCACAAGGGCTCGAGTGGCATGATTTGCAACATTGAGCTCCTACAAAACATGGCTTCCATACGCGAGCCTCGCCGCCCGCCTCGCTTATGCACTCTCCTGCCGCCCCGCTCGACCCGCCGGCTTTTGAATCGAAAAACAGGCAAAAGTGTTAGACCGTTGGAACGATCAAGACGAAAATCGCCTTTTCTCGGATCTCGGGATCACTAGGTGGCAAGAAGAACATTACGAAGTGTTCCGCGCCGTTGGTTCCGCACTCCCAACACCATCCCTACGCTGAGCGCTGCCCCTCACACCAGTGTAGCCCAACATGCTGGCCACAGTCGCAAGAGCTGCTCGTGCCGACATCAAGTCGAGCCACCTCACGCTAGAGCACTTCCTCATGCGATCCCGCACCCTCTCGCTCTACCGCAAGTACCTTCGAGCTACGCGTGACATCCCCAACCCACTCGCTCGTTGGGAGACCATCCAGTTCTTCCGAGATGACGTGCACCGCTTCCGCCACGAGACCGACCTCGAACGCATCAAAGATCTCCTCATGCAGGGTCACCGCTTCCTAAAGCAAATGCAGGGCCAGATGAGCCTCGCTGGCGCAGCCTCAGACTCGGCCAACAAGCTGCGCGGCACCCGGCAGATCTAGGCACACACCGCCACACGATCTCGATTTCGTTCAACCAGTCCAGCATTAGCATTACTTGCATGCAAATATCTAGACAACAAACGCCAATCGACGCCTCGCTCAAGCCTCTGCGACCTTTTGCACCTCTACTTTCGCCGCTTCGCGCTCCGCAGCGCGCTCCTTGGCAACCTCGTTGACGTTGAGCCATCGGATCAGGAAGAACGGCACGACTGTGGCCAGCGTCAGCGCCAACGCTAGGTACCACACATGGCGCAGTGCCGCATTGAAGATCCTGATCACCTCCTCCAGCACGCCATCGCCCAGGCTTTGCGCCGCACTCCGGATCTGCGACGGTCCAGACTGCGCCAGCTGCACCGATCCATCGCGCAGCTCCGCAACCTGCTGCAGGCCCTTGACAAGCTGCGAAGAGAGCAGGTTCTCGGCCGTCGCCACGAACACCGCGCTGCCCATCTCTCGCGCGAAGAACACCGCTCCAATCGCGATCGGCACCTCGCTATGCGGCAACGCAGCCTGCACTGCGAGCGAAGAGCCCGTCATGGCCGCACCCATCCCGATGCCGTACATCACCTGGTACCCAGCCCACGCTGCTCGACTCGCATTCGGACCCCAGGTACTGATCAGCCCCAAGCCGACCGCTCCCAGCACTGGAGGCAGCAGCATCGGCGGCGTGTAGTATCCGGTCTTCTTGGTGACAACGCCACCCAAGATGCTCGCGACCACAAACGGCACGATGGTTGCCAGTGTGCGGTAGCTGCTCTGGATTGGTGCCACTCCCTGCACCACCTGGAACCAGACGGGCACGTAGTAGAAGATCACCGTCATGGAGCCGGCGAAGAACCACATGTACCAGAACGAGCCCAGCACCGACCTCTCGACAAAGATGCTCGGAGGCAGCAGTGCCCGATCCTGCATGTACATCTGCCACGCCACAAATGCGAGCAAAGTGACTCCAAACACCACGAGTAGTGCGATCACCCGCGGTGTGTTCCACGAGGAGAGATCCGTAGTGGAAGATGCTTGTCCGCCCCATTGCAGTGCAAGCACAAGGCAGACGATACTGCCAAGGATGAGCAGCGCTCCGAGCGGATCGATTTGGCGAATCTGCTCGAGGAAGGGCAGCATCTTCTTGCCCTTGTCCGCCGTCTTGGATCCGTCGAGGAAGAAGATGACCGGAACGAGGGCGACGACCGCGAACGGCAGGTTGATATAGAAACACCATCGCCACGACACATTCTCCGTCAATGCACCGCCAAGCAGAGGTCCCATGGCACTTGCGACACCGAATACCGATCCCATGGCCGCCTGCACCGTCGCGCGCTTCTCGAGCGGAACGACGGCCATGACGATCGAGATGACTCCATTGGTGATGCCTGCCCCTCCAGCGCCCGCGATAGCTCTGCCCACAATGAGCGCCTTGGAATTCGGCGCTGCTCCGCAAATCGCCGATCCCGTCTCGAAGATGACGACGGCAGCAAGAAAGATGGGCTTGACCGGATTGCTCTTGTAGACGCGTCCCCAGACGAGCTGCAGAGCCGCGTTCGTGGCCATGTACGCCGAGCCGTACCAGCCAATGTCCTTTAGCGAATGGAACTCGTTCGAGATCGATGGCAGTGCAACGCCAATGATCGTCTTGTCCAGCGCGACCAAGAACATGAGCAGCCCCATCATGATCAGGATGGATAGGATTTTGAGCTTCGACAGCTCTCCCTCGCCTTGTGCGGTGACCGATGCCGTCTTCTTTTCGACTTCTTTGTTGTCCGAATGCTTGATGCTCGACATGGACGACACTCGTGGGCCGCCATGCTCCGTCGCTTGTACAGAGGTTGGGATCGTCATGCTGGATGTTGGCCGCGGAAGGAGGAAGCACCAAGTAATAAGCTAGCGGTAGGAAGGGCGGGAAGTGCGGAAATTGCGGATGTGGAAGATGGTGAGAGTGGTCGGAAAGCTTCACAACGGGTCTATCTTTATACACACATTTGGGCTGGCATGAGCTCGTTGAGCTGCGTATCGGATCCTTCAGCAGAACATCCATCGACTAGGAGAGTGCCACTACCGAGCTCCGGAGCGCATCGATACGACATGGCGCTGGAGGATTCCAACGCCCGGACGCAACTGGTTCGGGCTGTAGAAGCGTCCGCTGTCAGAGAGTGCATATCAGCACACGTGCGGGACTTGCTGCTGTGCCGCACTCGTCTGGTGGTCCGGAAACTTCTATAACCCGAAGCCATCCGAGAGTAGCTCTGCTGCCTCGAATTTCCAACGGCTCCAAATCGACGGACAAATCTATCCTCCGAAACTGCGGAGCAACAGGGTCCAACCTCCGCCGGAAACTTGAACAGAAGCCACCTCGTCCACCCTCACTATCTTGCGCCTCTGACTCCCACCGTCGCTTGGAGTCCAACGAAGACCATGAGATCATCAGTCACATCAAACCAGCGACCAAGCTCGTGAGGACAAGTCCTTGCGTTTCGCTTCTAATGATGGACCCGGATCCCTCACCGCCTTCCGTTCGGCATCCGCACCGCTCTCGGACAGCCTCAGAGGCTCAGCCGCAAAATCCCGAGGCAGAGAGGGCACAACTTCTATCGTGCAGAGAGTGTCAGAAGCGCAAGACAAAATGCGACAAGCAAGTTCCGTGTGCCTCCTGCACGCTCAGAGGAATCCATTGCCAGCCGGTGGCGGTAGACCCCACCCGTCCGAGGAAGAAGCGCTTTGCCGAAGCCGAGCTGCTCGCACGCTTACGCAGATATGAAGCCTTGCTCAGCTCCGCAAATATCGACTTCTCACAGGCAGAAGAGGACAGAAAGCTGAGCGCGTCTAGCTCATCCCCAACGCCGCACGCAAAAGTATCGGGCGGGAAGCGGCAGAGACGTTCGGGCTCGCACATCTCGCTCTCGTCTCAAGCTGGCATGCAGAGTGTCGCTCAGCCTGTGGATCACGACGCTGGCGCTACGCCTTCGGGATCGACCATTGATCCCGACATCGGCCACATAGAGTCTATCCTTGAGACCGTGGCCCCGTTCCAGTCGGACCCGCATCGATCGACTCCGAGATATCAAACGGCTGGCGAAGCTATGACATCCACAGGTGCCCCCTTGGACACTTCGAACCTCGATCTGATCTCAGAGACCTCGCTCCGTCTGGACCCTGCTCCAGCTCATGCGATCTCGTCTACTTTGGTGACTCACAATCATGCCATCTCGTCTACCTTGGTCATTCACAAGTTCGTCGACCTCATGTTTCCCGATGACGGTGCCAGGAACCTCACCTTCGATGATCACTGCCCAGGAGAGGCTCTCGTTCATCCCGATGCAAGCCTGATGTTTCGCCTGCTGCACATCTACGAGCAAAACATACATCCACTCGTCAAGATCCTCCATATACCCACGGTCCGCGAAAGCTTGTGCGACATTGCTGCTCGCTCTCTCGATATCGCCGCACACAACCACGCCCTCTTCTTTTCCATCTACAGCTTGGTCATTGGCACGCTTCCCGTCCACGAGTCAAAACGGCTGCTCAACACCTCGGATCCTCGATCCATTGCCGAGAACTACCGCCGCAATGCACGGACGGCGCTATGCAGGGCCAGCATCTGGCGCTCGTCGCTTTTGACCACCCTGCAAGCGTACATGATCTATTTGCTCGCCACGAGGATGGACGTCGATCCAAGGACCTATGCAATCTACTCTGGCAACGCTCTCAGAATGGCAGAGCGCCTGCTTCTGGTTTATGGACGACGAAACGCAGTAACCGGCTCTGCAATCGGCAACTCTGATCTTGAACGAGAGATGGTCCGGCGAGTGTGGTGGGAGGCTCTGCTGGCCGACATGCGCGCATCCGAGAAGTCTGGCATCACTTCCAATCCTACACTTGCGACCGCCAGCACTCGCTTGCCCATGGACGCCTCCGATGTCGACCTGAGCCAGCTCGCTGAATCGATGGATTCCAACGCTCAACAGCCTTCAAACGCGGCTTGGACTCGGATAGGATCCCCTGATACCGAATGCCTCTTCCTCTTGATGCGATGCGAATTCGCCCAATTCCAGCTGCATCCGCCATGGTCGCATCAGTACAAGGATCAACAGCTTCAACATCATCCTTTCCGTCGCAGTGGCGCGTACAGGCAGCAGGCGGATCCCCACAACCGGTCTTCCGTGTCGAATCTCACCTGGCGTTTGAGCGCCGTCGATAAGTTTGAGCGCTACATCTTTGCACGCTACTTTGATCGCCCCGAGATCGCCACCAGCATGATATTGCAGTATGCACAACATCATGCCCGCATGAACATTGCAAGGCTTCGACTGATCGTGCATCTCAACGATCGTCGAATCGAGAACGAGGGCGAGATCATCCGGGCCTGCATCATCCAGGTGGAGGAGACTGCAAAGCTGATTGCGGAACGCAAGTTTGTGCGATATCAGTGGTGCACATTCTCATATCTGCCCTTCTTTTCTTTCGTGGTCCTGCTCGACATTCTCAGGCGCCACACCGAGGGTCCTCTGGTGGACAGAGCATGGGATGCCATTGAAAACAGCGCTGTCATCTGGAAGCCAGACTTGCACAACAAAGATAGCAAAGATCAAGGCGCACAAGTTCCAACACACAATGCTACTCCTGACAACGGAAAGAGCACGCGGGACCATTCGACAATCAATCTCTACGCTGACCCAAGCAACGTCAAGGATGGCAAAGAAAAGCTGCGCGTACGAGGAATCATGTTGGCTTCTTTGATGGTCGCGGCCTGGGAGAAGCGCGCACAGGCCCTCATGTCTCGGGCAGCACGGCAGGCTAATGGCGGCGCACCTTTCATCCCAACAGAACCACAGGTCGTCTCTGCAATGCGTTCAGCTGCTGCTCTAAAGCAAGACGTCGCCAAAACAACGGCGAGTCCAGCTTTCCAGGTCGACTCCCTTTCCGATCACGCTCCTCCGTGGCAGGTGGGGTCTGCCGAGGGAAGCCTTGGCAACAAGGAAGCCGAGGGTTTCGCAAGCCATGATGACAGAGCGGCAGGCGAAGCGCATGGCGGCTCGTTCACAGCATTCCTGGAACAACCTCCGGGCAGCTTTGTTTCCACGTTGGACGACATGAACAATCTCAACGCGCTTCTGCAGTCCAGCGTTGATCTGGACTGGAGCACGTGGTTCAGACAGGATTGGGACACGCCCTCGAGCGGCGCGCTGGATGGCATTTCCCCTGTATCGTTCATGCCACCGAGCTGACATCGAACTCGACTTCTCTCGCCAACTCGCCTGCAAGGATAACTCTTTTGCGATTGCACATAGGTGGGTCTCCGTGGGCTTACGTGCCAATGGAGTAGGTGATGTACAGAACGTAGCTGGTCGTCACGAACGCAACGAGAAGCAAGCAGCCAGCTGCGGTCCACTTGGCGATGGGCTTTCGAAGCGCCTCCTTCCTTGCCTCTTCGTCGTCGTTGTGCATCTTGCGCTGGAGCTGCTTCTCGTTGAGTTTGAGCACGCCGCCAAAGTACTTTTTGTCGATCGCGTGGTAGACAAGGCCATAGATGACGTCGATGGACTTGAGTGCGATGAGGAAGGCGAATGCGTTGTTGAACTGGTTGCGTCCTCGCGGGGTCAGGTCTTGAATCGCGCCGAAAGAGACGTCCATGGTGACGGAACCCGCCGAGTTGAAGCACTTCCAGATTCCAAACGCCGTGCCGATCGAGGCCTGGTTCGGGACGAGCAGCGGAATACTTGCGATAAAGGGAAGCGCGTTGAACGAAAGAGCGACGCTACCGAGCACGACGGGGACGTAGGCGTTGACGTCCGAGAAAACAAGCAGGACAAATACGAGCACCCACAGAGCGGCGCAGCCCGACACATAGTACATGCGTCGTCCAAAGAGGTCGAACATGAGGCCAAGCAGCGGCGTCAGGACGATGGGCGGAACCTGGCCCACCGAGGAAGCATAGCCAGCCATGAGCTTGGACTTGCCACGCGTCAGCTCAACCACCTCGGCGAGATTGGCATTGTAAGCGTTGACTGCGCCGGACTGCAGAACTTGGGTCATGGTGATGAGCCAGAAGGAGGCAGGGATCGTGCCAAGGCTCAGTGTGAGCAGCTTCCAGTGGCGGTGGGAGAACGGTCGAAGGGTACGCGGCTTCACGTATGGTTTGCTCTCCTTGGACGGCGTGTCTTTGGTGAGGCTGGAGGCTGAGTTGTTGTTGGAGGCAGCAAGGGAATTTGAAGCCGAACGCGAAGCTTCCTGTGCCGCAAGCTGGCGACCGGTAACAACGCGCATTTGTCTTGGCAGCGAGCGTTCGTACATCACGTAGACGGCGTTGAGCACGAGGGTGACAGCGCACAAGATGGCCGAAAGCCAGAAGGACCAGTACCACTTGCCCGTCGCTTCTCCCACTGGGATGGAGCTCATCTTCCCCATGACGTTGAAGACACGGCCCATGGCGATGTCCAATCCATAGACGAATCCGAGCCAGCCGGCACTGGAGAAGGAGGTGTACCACTTGCTGCTCTTCTTCGAAGCCGTTTCCGGCTTGGGCTCGGCCTGCGCATCTTCGGCTTCCGGCTCGTTGTCGATGAGCTGGTTGCCTCGGCACCAGTGGGTGTAGAGCTTGGACTGACTCGTCTCGATGGTTGTGCTGCCAAAACCGAAGATGATCTGGCCAGCCAGGATGGTTGCGAAGCTGCTGCGATGACCGCCGACGGCTCGAACGATGCTCCCGACGAGGATGGCGGTGCTGGAGAGGAGCGAGGTGATACTGGGACCGTAGTAGTCGATCATGATGCCCGAGAAGAGCGGAAGTACGCCGTTGACCAGCTGTTCGGCTGAAGCGATCGCGCCGTAACGGGCGTTGTTGACCCCGGGGACTTTCTTCTTGAGGGTCGACTTGAGCGGCGAGAGGGACGACTGAGCAAAATTGTTTCCGACTTTGAAGCAAGTAAGGATCGTCGAAGACGTGCAAGAGGGTCAGACACGGATACTGACATGGTCAAAGGGATGGCGAGTGGGACGAGGGACAACATACGCGTGAAAAAGATGATCATAAGCAGAGCTGGAACGCGATGCTTCCAGGTCGCTCCGACGGCACCGGCCTGAGCGTCCAGAATGCCATCTTGGTCATGGACGTTGGCAGGGAGATGAGGAAGGATGGTGGCCGCAGCGACATGCTCGCTTGATTGCGCGTCCTTCTCGGACGGCGGCGAGAGAGACGAGGTGGAGCGGGTGGGTTCAATGTCGGCAGCTCGGACCGTGTCCGGGGCCGCGGCTACTTCACCAGGTTGAGCGGGTTGCGACATCTCTTGCAACTTTTGCAAAGGTGCTGAGGCCTTCAGGTTGTACCTATGGTGAGGCGGAAAGAGTGGACAACAGAAGTCTTTGCACGAGGGGAAATGAAACGCTAACCTTGTTGTCCTTCTTATAAGGGTGGGCGAGGCAGAAGATTTTCACCCGAACCAGAACTGCGATCAGATAAAGCAAGGGCTCAGGAACGGAAGAGTGTCTGGGCAAAGGCAGGGTAGGCGAACCACCAGTGCGAAAACGCTCGTGCAGAGACAGTTTTCTTCTGACCACGGCGGTCTGAGGGAAATAATCCAGACGCGGGAAGAAGCAGAGGGGGACGCTCCAATCACGATCAGATTAGATGCAGCCGAGGGCCTCGCGCTGCGCTGCGCAGCGTCTGGACCCTCTTCGGACAGAATCGGGCGACCGTACGGATCGAAGAGGACAAGGCAGAACGAACCCAGGCTCAAGATGTACCGAGACTCGGCAGGGCTGCAGCCGCTCGCGTTCGGATCAGATAGCGCAGCGTGCATCAGCTGGCTGCATACGCTCAAGGAGGGCAAAATTTGCACAGCGGCCCTACTCTGTCCGGAGCCGAGCTGCCATTCGCCCATGTGGGTTCACCGACGTTGCGTTCCTTGGTGATCAACGCTTTGAACCCTGTCAGCTGGTCCAGGGTCTCTGAAAGTTTTCGCGGTTCCACACTCCGACGGTTCAACGCGACCCTCACACCAGCGGGGCTTGCAACTCCGCGCACAGACATCCGCATAAGTTTCAATGCGCGCGGTCCCACCAAGTCTTGGCGCTTCGCTTCCAGCTTCATCGCGCGGTCCACAATTCGCCGGTCGCTCCGTACAATCCAATCACTCCTATTCACACCATGCGATCGCATGATGCTGTACGGACGGCTCCACTTGGTTTCGGCAATGGTCCAGACTTTTGATGAACCGGACCCTGAACGTAAAGACATGTTGCAGCACGTATAGCAAGACCGAGCGAGAAGACTGTTCTGTTCACCAGCTGAAGCAATCTTCCACCAGCGCAACGTCCGCTCCTATCTTGAGCAGCCTCACCACCTCTGCACGCACAGAATCGCACAGTGGAGCGGGACCGCACGTCGCAAAGACAATCCTGCCTGAATCCCCTTCCGTACCCATGTGGAGATGCCCGTGCACCGCCGCCATTCCCGGTCGGCCCTCGAGTCGCCGAACTTCGACCAGCCCGCCTCGGTTCTCGGCCAAGACGTCCTGGTCCGCTTTCCACCGGTCTTGCACCTCTGCTCCGATTCCGAGGTACCTTACCGGTGGATCGAGCGGCAAATCAGGCACCAACGTGCTGGACATGCATGAAGCGCTCCGGCAGCCCGTGTACCGCGAGCCTACTCTCGACCCCGCGTAAGCCTTGGCATCACCGTTCGTATGATAGCTGAAAAGCACCTTCCCTGCATCTTCTTGCTGAGCATGAGCGAATTTTCGGATGGACGGCGAGGGCAGACGATCGCCGTCGCACCCGTGTGGCCCTCGGTGCAAATTAGGTCGCGGACTCTGAAAGTTGACTTGCGACGAGATCGGAGAGAAGCTCGGATCAAAGGCGGAAAGCGTACTGATGCTCGAAAACGGGGTGCTGCTCCCACTCGTGTGGCGATAGACACCGTCTTGCAAGTAGGCCGGTATCGACAACTGCTGCTCCGAGAGCGTCGGCACGGTGTCCATCTCGTTACTCGCCTCGTACCTCAACCCTCTCCAGCACGGCGACCCGCCACTGGAAAGCTTCCCAGACCCAGGTGTCCTAGCATCTTCTCGGTAGGCGAGGGTGGCTGAAGATGAAGCCGAATCGAGAAGCGAGTAAGACGGCAATCCCTCCCACGTAGGTTTCAGTCTTGACGGAAGCCTGAGCTTGCGTTCAACGGCACCCACCTTTGTTGAACGCTCCGAATGATCCTTGCGCGGCGCAGTAAGATAGATGTCGATGGAAAGCTGGCAAAAGCTGCCTCCTCTCCTTCTAGCCTCTTGCACGAGTTCGGCAAGGTCGGCCCTTAGCACATCGAGGATGGTCTCGTTGCGCACGATCCAAACCAACTTGCACGTTTCCAAGCTGCGGTACTCGCCTCGAGCTGCCTTAGCAAACAGGGGGTAGCAGAATGTGACAGCGATGCCTCCAGCGACCAGCACGGCGTGGCGCGCTCCTTTCAAAGATGGACTTCGGCCAAACGGTCCATCGATCAACACCTTGACTTGCTTCGGCATCGAGCGTACCGCGTCTTGCAAGTATGGGTCTTTCGGCCCCCGATCCTCCGAACCTGACCAAGGCAACTCGTCCTGGGCAAGCTCGGACAGCTTCCGAGTAACGCCAGCCTGACGTTGGATGACGAGGTTAATGTAGCCCATGCCAGGGTCGCCGGATTTGCAGAGCCCGACGGCGAACACCGAAAAGGGATGATCGCCTACCCATTGCAATCTGGGAATCGTGATGCGGATATCGTCTCCAGCACCGATCCTAGCTGCTTCAAACGCTGAACTGCTGCAGAGCGAGCCCAAAGGTCTGCGAGGCTGTCTCCTCTCCAAATCCTCGGGATGAGGACGTGAAGAAAGGGCGGAGTAGCGGGCAGAGTCTGTCAACCTCAGGCGGGAAGCTGGGACCTCGATCCGAACGCCGATGTACGCCCCTTCGCCGTAAGAGGTGAGCACCGCTCTACGCATCGGCCCGGCAGCGTCGCAGTATCTCCACGAAAAGGACATACAGATCCTTCCCACCAGACGGACCGTTCGATCGAACGCCCAAAAAGCTGCCGAAAGCTCTAGGACAAGGACCTGCAATCGAAGCTGCACGCGCAAGTCAACAGCATCCAGGTCAGTCTCAGAACCATGTATTGAGCCGAGTGTCTCTGACAGAGGTCCGAGCTACTCACGCGTCCTTGATGGAGGAGCTTGATATGGAGGTAGGTGGTGACGACCATGAGCAAGGCCATTGCGATGTGCGTGAAGACAAAAACCTCGTAATGCCTCTTGCGAAAGCTTCTGAGCGACAGATTAACGAGACCTGAAAGCATTACAGTGGCGACGATGCCCCACCGTACCGCTGGGACCTTGAGGCTGGCCGTATTGGCAACGGAGAAATGGAAAATGAGGGCATTGCACAGGATGTGAGCCGCGACATGCATGTAGCACATCCTCGCGATCCACCGATGAAAGAGCATCATCGTATTCATCGATAGCTGGCTTACCATCGCCACTGGCGTCCGTTTACTTGCGAGCAGGGTCAGCATGGGTAGCTGCGCGATTCCAAGCATTGCACCTCTGTTGGCCACATGGCGCAGCGTCTGATCACGACGGCTGACACGATCCGACCCGATGAAGTAGGTGTTGTGACCGACGTAAAGCGAGTAGAACGAGACGAGAGGGACGATGTTTGCCGCCAACATGGCCACTAGCAGTAGCATTTCGAGCCGCAGCGGAAGCTGTATTGTGATCCAGCGGAACATCCCCTTGCCACAGGCCAATACCTGAGAGTGATGGGTGGATCCGAGTGGATGCTCAGACAGGTTTGCCTGCCAACATCTGGCGTGTCGAGATAGGGTTCGATGGAAGCGAGGGCTGAGATACTCGATGAGTCTACTTATGCTGCAAGCGAGGACGAGAGCAGCAAAGAGGCTCCATATGATGAACCTAAGCGGGTTCCGGTGGCATCAGACAGCAACGCGTCAGCATATGCAAGCCATTTCTCGCATGTCTGACGACCCTAATGATACCTACGTAGCGACGCAGGGTACTTTGTACGAGTTGTAGTAGTAGTGACGGAACGTCTCCCAGCCAAACTCCCTCTGCTCTTCTGACAGTGAGTTGATGTGGTCGAACGCGAATGAGTCGAGGATCCACGGTGGCGAGATCATTGCGGGCAGACCGGGCTCAGCGATGCTACAAAGTGTCGTATGTGAACAGGATAAGAGGAACCACGTTGAGTGGCAGCGAGTCAGGCTAGGGCGCCGGCTCTGGCTCCAGGATGTTGTAGAAGACTCGACAGTGCAGAGAGGTAGGAGAGAGGCGGCGGTACAGGAAGACCGGTCTGCTCAGGAGCCCCGTAACGACATGTCGTATATAAGTAAGAGGCTTTTAACGGAACTGTTGAAGCTCTGCAGGGATCGGATGCAGGTACCGCAGACAGGAGCATCGAGCCCCACTCTTTGTCAGAGCCCTCACGCACGGTTTTGCTCTGCCCTGACGCCATGTCACTGCCGTCTAAAGTGGCAGTTAAAGGCTGTGTCGCTCTGTGGCGTGCTCAACCCTTTTCCTTAGGCTCGAGGCTCTGACGTATCATTGCAGGCATCCGCCTTCATGGTTCCGGGAAGAATGAAGGAGGAACGGGCGAAATTAGTAACGTGGCAAAGTGCTTGCCTCTGAGGTGGACTTTGTGCATCTCGGCCACTGCACTTAACTGAAGTAGCGGGTGCGAGCAGGATTCTGCCATGCATTCCGGTTCCATTGCCTCGCTGCCGAACAGGTGGTGCGTTCCTCGTTGCGGATCAGCTGATATGCAAATGAGGCGGATCAGCTGACGTGCATATTGAGCCAAGAAAGACATTGCAGAATGCGAAAATAAAAATAAAGCAGGACCGCGCAGCGGAAAGCCCTTATTGAGCGGCAGTCGTAAGGAACGAACAAGATGAACAACAAGTGGACCGAAGCAGCGGACCAGCCGTGTCCTTCATGTGTTCGGGGTCCGAAGAGCTCTTCTCTCGTTGGCCTCACTCAGAAGGGTGTCCAGCCTTTGACGCTGACACTGTTCTCGAGTAAGGCGCACGGTTCGCGGGGTCGGCTTTATATGAAGTCGTGCGGATCTCGATGGTCCGCAGCAGAAGTAGCACACCCAAACGTTCCGCTGGTCCGAGCAATTTGATTTATTATTTATTTTTTTGGCTCTTTTTTCTTCAAATTATGTAAGGGAAGGGCCCGCACATTTTGACGTGGACATGACGGTCACCAAGCAGCTGTCAAGTCATCCTCAGTTCAAGTGCCGAGTGCATCAGCTTGGCGACTCAAAGCGGATCACCAGCAAGACCCTCAAAACCATCACAGTTCGAGCGTGTGCGGAAAGTTGACAAGCTGTCCAAGTCATTGTATTCACTGCACATCCCTCTCGTCGGCGTGCGGAAACAGTTTATACATATCATTTTGATGGCCTCCCGAGACAGGCTCTGAAGGCCGAGCCCGGTCAGATTTGGGTATTACCAAGTGAAGCAGTCTTCGACCAGGTCCACGTGGTAACCCTTCTTGAGCATGTCGACCGTCTCGACCCTAACGTCGTCGCACAGGCTCGGGGGACCGCAAAGACCGACAACCAAGCCCCCTTTCTCTCGGAGCTCATCGCTGTCAAGATGGCCGAACAAGGCCGTGGAAAGAACAGGGGGCCGTCCAAGAGTCCTCTTGATCTTGATGACATCTTCATGGCCTTGAGCAGAGTTGCCACTCTCAGTCTGACGCTGCTTCTCCCCTCCTTTCTGTTCGTCAATCCCGTCGACGAATTCGAAAGAGGGCGTCAAGTCCTTGTGACTCGCGCCATCTGATGAGCACGCCTGCTCCTTGTCTTCGTTCGATGAGAGAGACGTCGATGAGGACAGATGTGCCAATGTGTCCACTCCATCCGAATGCGGCATCTCCTGCACGACTGTCGAAAGAGACGAAGATGCTGCGGTGACGTGCAAGTCGATGGAAAACTTGCAGGTCCTCCAATCATCCTGGCCATGCATCTCCTTGATGAGGCTCTCGAAAGATTCGCTGACGAAGTTGAGTAGCCCTGCATAAGAGAAGCGACGCGTCGTTAATCAGCTCGGTCTTCAGCTTGGGATTCATGTTCGATGCATCGCTGCGCAAGCGTGGGGTTTGATGTAGTGGCACTTACCTTCGTCCCGAACGAGCCAGACAAGCTTGCACGACTTGAGCTTCGCTGATCTGCTGGCTTTGACAGCGGCCACAAACAAGGGCCAGCAGAAAGTGACGGCGATACCACCTGCGACCAGAACCAAGTGCGAGGCTTCGGAAAGATCCGGAATTACTCCGAAAGGCCCTTCGATCAGCACTGCTACTTCGCGACCGGTCTCGCCTGTGCTTGCGGCCTCCATGTCTTTCTCGAGGGTTCCTGTGCTCGCGCGATTGTCTACCAATTGAGACATCTTGCGGGTGATTCCGGCTTCGGTCTTGACGAGAAGGTCAACATAGCCTTGAGCTGGCGAGTCCTTCTGCAGCCCAACGTCATAGACGGTGAAGGGATGCTCGCCGACCCATTGCAGGCGGGGGATGGTGACGCGGATATCATCTCCAGCCGCAATGCCGCCCGGGAGTCTTGACTGGCCTGGAAGTCTCAGCCTAGATGCTGGGATCGTGATTCGCAGCCGAGTGTACTTGCTGCTCGTCGCGTCCAACGAAGACACCAAGGCCGTAGCGCACTTGATGCTCGGGAATTTCCTAGCCGGAGAAGCCTCCGACGAAGTGGAAGAAAAGGACAGGAAGACGCGGCTGGCAAAGCGAACGGCTCGGTCAAATGCCCAGACTCCTGCCGCGATCTCGGTCATCACCACGAAGAGTTGAAACTGCAAAGGTGACAAGAGAAGGACGCATTTTGCAGAAGGTCAGCAGCTTGTTGCAAGTATGTCCGGGGCTTTGCTGAAAACAGAAACGTGAAAGATTCTTACCCTGCTCGAGTGGATCAAAGCGATGTGCAAATACGCTCCCAATACGGCGAAAAAAGCCATCAGAATGTGCAGCATAACGAAGATCTGAAGCAACAGAGAGAATGAGGGAGATACCGTCAGTGTCAAATGCATGACAAGAATGCAATGTTGTGTGGCGATGCGTGTACATACCTCGTAAGACCACTGTCGCAGAGCCCGGAGGGACAAGAAAATAAGACCAAACATCATGCTGAGCGAGACAACGCCCCACTTGACGTAAGCGTCTTCGAGCAAGAGTGCCACACCTGCCGCACCTTCGCTCTGCACGTAGATCGCCGTGAAGGCAGCAGTGTGAAGGAGAATCTGAATCCAGACCCATCTTGAAATCCATCGATGGAAGAGCATGAGTCGATTCATGCCGAGGCCAGCGACGATGGCGAGCGGGGTCCGTTTGCTTGCCATGAGGATGAGAAGAGGCAGCTGGGCAGTGCCAAGGACCGCGGTGCGATCGGCAAGGTGCCTGTACATCTGATCGCGCTTGCTTGTGGGACCGGGATAGAAGGTGTTCTTGTCTCCAACGTAGAGATCGTAGAAAGCGACGAGCGGGAGGAAGTTGGCCAGGGATAGACATAGAAGAATGATGGCTTCTCCGCGAAGGGGCAGCTGGAGGGTCAGCCAACGCAAGCCTGGGACGCTTGCAACGACGGAATGCTTGCGGGCTACGAGTGGATGCTCCGATATGTGTGCACGAAAGAGCCTGAACTTCCTCCTGCATCGATCATGTGCCCCGGGCCAAGCCCAGGCAACGAATTTGTTGGCGCTCGCGGTAAGGATCAGGAGAAGAAAGAGCCCGTAGATGACAAAGCTGAACATCGATAGGGTCGGGTCAGCGTCTGATGATCAGGATGAGGGAGACTTTATTGATGACAACTCACGAGCTGTAGCATGGCACCTTGTATGAGTTGTGATTGAAGTGTTGATACGTGGCGATGCCGTCGAGACGCTGTTCAGGAGGTAGCTTGCTGATACGACGCAAGGCCTTCTTGTCTAGTTCCCAAGGCTTGGCGATCATCTTGTGACTTCAAGACGACAAAGCGGAAGTCAGGTAAAAGGGGCGGGTCGAGTTGCAGAAGAGTATTGAGGAGAAGTGAGAGGGGTTCGAGTCGAAAAGAAGGCTCTTATATCCACGACGAGTGCGGTCTGCAGGCAGTGAGCTGACATAGCCGATTCAAGGGACATGCTCAGTCCCAGTTCACGTGGCTCGGCTCTGAAACGTGGAGAGTGACAGCGACTGCTTCATGGAACGACCCTCCGAACAGGCAAGGCTTTTGCGCAGGAACACAGAGGTGCAAAGGAGGAGTTTTGACTGCCTTTTCCGCATGTTTGTAGCGCGAGCACTATGTGATAGAGCCGACGCTGCTTCCCGAACTTTGAAAAGTAGACGAGAAGCAGTCTGGGAGCCAAGTCGCACAAGAAAGTGAGGGGGAGCGCTCTGATTGGTCGATCTGCTCTTCGAAAAGCGAGTCTGAAGTTCCACTTTGCGCATGAACAGCAAGTGAGTGCGGAAAGCCGATGCCGCAAGAGCCGATGGGTGGGCAGTTGCAACGTGGCACGGAAGCGGCGGTGGTTGGGGCTCAATTCCGCTCATGCCTGCGGTGTGCGGAAGGGGCGCGAATGCATGCCAAGTTTCACGTTGATGTAGTTTTATCAGATGGTAAAAGCGCAATCTGAGATCCCCCTTCGAATGCGGCTCAAGTGCAGGTGCCATTGAAACGGCGCGCGAAAGAATGAAGGACTTGAAAGCACAACGCCGACGTCGCAGCTGCTCAATGCAAGCCGTGGGAACGCACAATTGTTGAGAGTCCCGTCGCTTAAGGTTCGCCACTATTGTGTGGTCGATATGCTTAACTTTGAGCGACTGAACCTCGGAAGCCTTTCACCTGAGCGACCAATCGCAATCCGTGGCGGGACACTGTCTCTGCACTGGCCCGTGCTGCAGCGGAGCCGAAGAGGCGCACTTTTCATTTCAGACGGTCCTTCAATCGTACTTCCGACAGTGACTCACATTGGATTCCAAAGCTGCGGTAGATTCGCGAGGCAGCGGCCTGAACGAGTACAGTAGAGGAGGGGCCAGGTCGTCGGTGTCTCGTGAGTCTGCACTGTCGGACGTCGCTGCATCAAAGCTGCAGACGCGATTTTCTCGCGTTTTTTTTTTTATCAGATGTCGATCCAATCAGATAAGCTCCGGTCGTCAGCGCAGTAACCACCGCTCGTGCCAGGAGTGCTGGTCCGCACACCCCTCTTCGCGGAGCCGCACTTGGCCATCCGGCATCGTCTGTGGGTCCGGTTCGTTCCGCACACAGTCCAGTCCGCTGCACTTTGGTCGGCGCTGGAATCCAGACGCGAATACGCTAATGCACCGCTTGCATACAATGCCACACAACACAGTCGGCTGCATCTCATCCCTCCGCCCACGTCGAGCTTTCAGCCAATGATGTCCTTCTTTGACTTTCATCTCAGATGCAATGCATAATCTGATGGTCACCGCACCTCGCCTCACCTCGCTTTGACTTCGAGGTAGCTCAAGAATGATGTCGAGCGCAGTTTGCCTCGCGACAATCCCGTAAATCCTTTTCACGTCTAGGGCAAGCCTTTGCTTCTTCTTCGGATGTCGTTGTCCCGAATCAAATGGCAATGGCATGAATTCGATTTGAGATCTCATGAGCAAAAGGGAGTTTGATTCGTAGAAAAAGACGAAAGAGCAAAAGCTGTCAAAAATCACGCAAGCGCAAGGTTAAGCACCGTAGCCGAGTAGGCTGGAAGCGTCACTGTCAGAGATCCGTCGCTTGTGAGCTGGGCGCCCTGTGGCAGTCCGCTCGAGCTGCTCTGCGGAACGACAGCCTGCGGGTTGCTGAGCGTGTTGGCGGCCTGCGGGTCGTTGCCCTTCATCTGCCAGCTCTTGGCCCCGTTGGCCGACAACTTGGCACCGCTGCCCAACTGCACCTTGACGTCTCGAGCCGCTGCGTTGGTGTTGATCAGTTTGGCAACGAGATGGCCTTGACCGTCGGAACCGAAGGAATGATAGATGTGCGAAGAGTTTGTGGGCGTCGACAGGCTCGTATCGTGGATCTGCTCGATCGGATAGTTGCCCCAGGCATACTGAATGTAGTACGAAGTCGACTTGACCATTTGGCCGGCGTTGAAACTCAGCAGGTCCGGCGTCCACTGCGTTAGATTGGTGCCTTCATTCTGGAAGAGCGGCGCGTAGGCAGCACTATAGAAGATGTCCCCGTTGCGCTCGGCGCCGGCAAGGAACGTCGCCTCGGCCAAAGCACCGATCAGCGTCGGATGCTTCAAGCGTCCAGGCCCAGAGTAGATGTCCGAGTCATTCGTCAAACCACTATTGATCACCGCATATTCGAGCTCCCAGATAGGAATCGCTCTTGACGTAGCGTCCATGCCCTCTGCAAAGGCGAAGAGCTGGGAAGGCGTGGCGTACAAATGGTCGTCTACAGCCTTGGCGCCCTCGACGCCATTAAGCAGCGTAGATGCGATGAGAGTTAGCTGCGGGAACTCTTTGGCGATGGCATCGCGGAAGGCAGCCCAACGGTATGGTCCGTAGGTCTGTACGGCCGCGCCGAGCCAATCCTCGTTGCCGATCTCGACATGTTGGAACTTGTAAGGAGCTGAGCGGCCGTACGACTTTCGCAGATCCGCCCAGCGACCGGTGGTATCGAGGAGGAAATGGAGCTGGTTGAGCGCCGACTGGATGTAAGGGCCGAGCTGGTTCTGCGGGACCGCCTTGCCATCCAGCGAGTAGCCGGCGTAGATTCCCAAAATCGCCTGGGCTCCCCATTTCTCTGTTAGGTCCATGAGCTCCATTAGCCCGAGGCCCTCTGTGTTCCAGTCCGAAGTCCAGGTCGGGGTTCGGCCGGGGCGGTTCTTGAGATCGCCGACAGCGTTGGTCCAGTTGAACCAAGATGGGATGTTGTTGCCCTCGAGGTCGTTGCCGCCAGGCAAGCGAACATACTTGGGCTTGATGTCGGCAAGCGCCTGCGCCAAGTCTGGCCTCGCCACGGTGCCTTGCCACGTGGGTGGCGTGAGCGAGACGAGGTTGACCTGGAAGCCGTCGTTGCAAGCGCCTTGCGTCTTGATAGCAAAGACGTTGTTGTTGTTGCTGGCCGCCTGTGACGGTGTCAAAGTGGTCTCGAACTTCTGCCATTCTCCTGAAAGCTTCAATGGGAGTGTTTGCTTGGCGAAGGTCTTGGAGGAGTCGCTCGAGTAGAGTCCGACCTCGACTGGGACGGTGGTGGGCTTGCCAGTAGGAGAACGAGCGTAAAAGGCGAGCTTGTAAGGCTGCTTGGTCACACTGAAGCCCTCGAAGCCCGAGTTGGCAATGCCACAAGAGTCGGTCTTCTGGCCTGTTACGATAGCGGACTGGGGCAACGCTGCCGACAGCGAGTTGTCGAGGGAGAGGGTGAGCTCGGTACCCTTTGAGGTACCGGTCCAGTGAAGGAGGGAACCCTTGCCGAGGGCGTTGTTGGTGTTGGCGGCATTGCTGACATTGTCCTGGAAGGCCCTGTTGCGGATCGTCTCGGCGTAAAGGCCGCCATCCGTGCCGCTAAGATGTTTTTTTTTCATTTAGCATTATGTCTACACAACTACAAGAATCTTAGATCTTTACCTGTTTATGTTCGTTTCGATGAAGGCAGCGAGAGCGAACTTGGATTGCCTCGAGGGCTTGGCTGCAACGTTGTAAGTGACTGCAGGAGAGGAAGCCGCAGCAGTGGAGAGAGAAGAGGAGGAAGGAGCTGCGCCGACGGACTCGAATAAGCAAGCGCCCAAGGTCAAGGCCAAAGCGACCCAAGAGAGGCTCAGTGACTTCATCGTGGTCTCGCGGGGCAGGGCAGAGTAGGAGGAGCTGGTGAAATCGGCGTGGGGAATGGCGTTTCTTTCTTTTCACCCAGCGGCTTTATATGGTCGCACCACTGCGTGTGTTTGTGGAGCTCTTCCCCCGCGCGGGGCTCACTGGCAGCGAAGCCAAGTCAGTGTCGTGCATGCGGCTCATCGACCTCTTCACAGTGTTTCGACCGGGCGCCAGGACAGCGGAACGAGGCAGGAGCGGGATCTCGGTCTCCGCATCTGAATATTCGGGAAAAACGCTGATCTTGCTCTGCGGGCAAGGCGAACGCAGATCATCCACAGGGTCTCACGTCTGATACGCACACGATCATGAGCCCCAGGTGGCAATGCAACGCGAGCGGGGCGCAAGAAGAATGCCTCGGAGATCTGTCCAACAGATTGCGGGGGGCGGTAAAGGTGCGGATTTATTTTTATTTCACACACTAACTGACGTGAGGCAAATTGCCGAGCAGAGTCGCGTCCACCGGCGACTTGGTATTTCGTTTCCCTCGCCGCGACTTCAACACGTGCTCGCAGAAGTCGATACCGTAAAGGCTGGCGCTTGCAAGACGAGACGGTCTTCGACGCGCTCAATTGCTTGCGCGTCTGTCATCGACCCAATTTTGCCAGCCTACCGACGACTGTGAGAGGCGAGGCCGATGCGCGACTTCGCCGGTGAAGCTCCACCGAGGCTCGGCTAAGTGACGCGCAAAGAACCCCGTCGTGTGGTGGCCTACGAACAGCGGCCAACCCCGCATTCGTTCCCTGCTGTCGGCGAAGAACAGGAGGGGAGAATTCCGGCATCGCTTGGCGCGCCCCGAGGCGCTGCCCGCAGGACACCTCTATTCCTGCGAACCGGGTCGGAAGCACTCATGACACGTCAAGGTGGTCGTACCTTTCTCTGCGAATCGATGCATATGCGGGGATTACCGCGGCAATCTCTTCTTCGCCGGGCCGTGCGCATGCAGTCAACGAGCCGCTCAACATGTCAAGAAGCTTCTGACGAGCCTTTGGTACGACCACCGCGTGCTCTCACCCCGCAATCGTCGCCGATAGACTTCGGCAAGTCATCTCGCTTAGCGCTCAGCGGTCAATCGCTTCTCTGCCCCGCCTTCTGCATCGGCTTTCTCCCTTCCAGACGCCGGTCGCTCTTCCAAACCTCGACTCGGACCGACGGGCTCTCGAGAGTGAGTCTAACACCTGCAGGTTTTTAAAGTCATGTCCATCGCGTTGCGGTCTCACAATTTGCGGAATTTCGCTCCTCCACTCTTGCGGAAGAGTGCGTGCGAGGCCGAGTGCGGGATCAGAGCTCTCTCGATGCGAAGCTTCTTGTTCTTGCCGCAAGTCTCTACCCTCCCTTCCTACCACCTTACTCAACATTTGCAACATGTCCTTGATATGACCGCAACTCAGAACTCGCTATCGCCTCCGCCTTTGCGCGATGCGAGCTCGGTCGCGGATAATGGCGCCGTACCGCTGCCCCCACGGCCCCACTTCCAAGATGAGACGCAGCGTCTCTTCTCAGCTTGCAAGCAGTTGAGGCTCGGCCAGATGGTCGCCGTGCCCCACTTCACCCTCCTCGACTCAATGGCTGCTGTCAAGATCCTGGACGCACGCATGGACTCGGGCATGCAACTTCCGCAGTCGCAGCTTCCAGAGTCGGATCGTCTCGACCCTTCTCTCCTCTCCCAACCGCAGCTCGACTTTGATCCCCTTCGACCGCTCACACCTGCCGACGTGCTCTGGATCATGGATCGTCTCCTCGCATGCGAAGCGGCCTGGCATCAGGGATCCGCGCTGTCGCAGACCTTGTATACCTGCCTCTACTTTCACGATCTCAAGCTTCTATCGCCCAAACATCCTCGCCTGCAGCAGTCGTCGCCTGAGCTCGCCGCACACCAGCCGCAAGAACCCTTAGAACTGATCTACAAGGTATTGCGCGCATTCATCCTCGCCACCGTCAAAACAATCGACATTGCTTGGTCCGAGCTCACGTCCAGGCAGCATCTTCAAGACGGCGAAGACTACTCCTCCGACAAGAACGGTCTGAGCTTGCTCGAAACCACAGACACTGGCTACGTCATCGCCGAGCTTCAAGACGCCATCGACTGGATCAAGTCCCAATCACGCGTCCTGCAAAAGCACCTTGCCGAGTCGCTCACCACCAGGCTCAACTTTCGCAAGCAGATGCTATATGCTGTACGTCTACTGCAAGCTCCCGCCGAGGCGGCTCCCTTGGACGTGGTCATGCATGCCAAGTTTGCACGACGAAATCTTGCTCTCCTGCAACCTTCCTCCTCGTCCCACGCCTCACTCTCTGCTCATCTCGATGCACAACCAAGCTCGGTCCAGCCTCTCGGTCTCCCCGATCGTTCTTGCGCCCCTTCCTCGGCCGCAATCGCTGCTTTCGATCCCGCCTACAACCGTCGTCTCGCCTGGTGCCAGCCGCTGCGTCCAATCTCGCTCCCCCGTCCGAGCGACACATGTCGCATCTTGGACAACATCCTCCAAGAGCTCCAGCAAGTCGTCCAGGTGCTCCAGCAGCCAGGATTCGCCTCATGGAAGACCTTCTTCACACATCGAGCAATCAGCTATCAGACAGATCAGCCAATGTCCGCCACGCCATACGTGCGCTCGCTCTTTCAAACGGCCGTATGCGATCGTAGCATGATCGCTTGCCGATTGCCTCTCGATTGGATCACCGAGGCGTTCTTCCACGAGGTGGCGCTCGTAGATCCGCTCTTGCTCAGGCGTGCATCCCGCATCGGCCGCGCCAACGTCGAAGGCGGCTCTCACACCCTCTGGAACGCGCCACCGCCCATCGGACAGCGCATCCACTACTTCACCCAGCGCGTCTCGGGCCAACTGGTCCAGTATCTCTCGACTCTCTCCCAGAATCGCGCGCGGTGCAAACGCACAATGGCCTCGAGACTCTACCGAGAGTGGGTCAACATCTCGAGCGAAGCCAGCGACATCGGCCGCCAGCTCGAGGCGTGCCTTGCCCCGGGCGAGCGCTACATCCCCGACTCCCTCTTTGCAGCCACGCAACACCTCGCGCTCGAGATCATGTCGCAAATCACCTTGGCAGGCTTCGAACTCGAGCTCTACGGACGTGGCATGGACCGTCAAAGCATGTGGTGGCTTGCCAGCCGCATACAGATGGAGCAGGGCATCGTCTGCACAGATCTTCGTGACGAGCTGTCAAGGTGCTTTGCGTCCGAATCAACCGACCGCAGACCGCGTCAGTACTCGGCTACCATCTCGTACTTGACGCTCCAGGTGCACCTTGCCCACGCTCTCGAGCACATGGCGGTGAGCGCGGTCTTGCTTGACCAAATCTCCCAGAGGAGTCGACGCGACGACGCTAAACGAACGGGCTGCTGGCCGCTCAGCCCAGAGGACGATGTCGCGCAGCTGGAACTGGCTAGGTCCGTGTTTGCAAGTCGCATCAAGTGGATGCGCTCCAACGGCCCCGGTCTCGGTGGACACGTCGGAGTGCAGTCCGAATTGCAGGCCGAGGACAAGCTTTGGACGGACCACCTTTCGTTCCGCTCGGCATCGGCTGAAGCGGAGAACGGTATGCTTGCATCAAAGGCACAAGAAAACCTCGAGGCCGCCATCACAAATCTGCAACAAGTCAGCGACGAATTGGCCGACCCTGCGAAGCATGACCATATGGCACAAGGACAGGTCCGCTTCGTCTCGTCGCTCTTGGTCACGGCGCGTCACAATCAGGCCACTCTTCAGCACGTCTCGAAGCCTCGAGGGTCCGGAGAATCACCCGTCTCAGGCCTGATCCCGGGCTCCAAGAACGAATGGGTTTTCGAACATCCATGGTTCCCAAAGTGGGTCCTCAGTAATTGAGCGGAACATCAACCAGCGGTCCTTCGGAAATCGTTTCCGTTGGACTGGTGATGTCCGCCGATCTCTCACAAGCTCATCAATATACCATCTTTCTGGACTCGGACTGACTGGCACATTGCCGCGCGTCGTTGTGACTTGGGAGAGAGCGTCCGTGGCGCGCCAGACGCGCGCTCACATTGAATTGAGGAGCACGGAGCTGCTTGACGAGTCCCGTCTTGTCTCACGGAAGCTGGCGCAACGCTGATGATGTCCGTCAAAGCACATCCAGGATTGAGCGCTTCGCAGCTGTGAGGTCCGTCGGCGGCGGAACACGGAACGCGGAATCGGCCATCCGCCCTCCACTCACGGCTAGAAAAAAATAGCTCCAGCAAAACGCTAGCTGGGCATTCTTGTCTGTGCGCCGTTACACCGATTATTCCTTCTTTCCTTCCGACCACAACAGATCCAACAAGGGCAAGCATGGGTCCGAAGCGCATGCCCAAGGTGACGAGCCTCGCCTCGTCGTCAACGTCGGCCACTGCGCCGCAGCAGCGCAGGGCCAATGCATTCGGACCGGTGGACCCGTCAAGCTATCATGACTTTGACGAAGCCATGCAGGACGGCGTGGAGCTCGAGGAGAAAGGTGAACGCTTTCAGTTTGGCTCCAAGGCTCAGCGCTTCTACGATCAAGCTGGCACGCTCTACGCTCGGGCGGCTCGTCTGGCGGCAACGGACCCGACCAGACGTGCGGATGCTCTTTACAATGCCTCGCGCATCCAGTTTCTGCTGGCTACGCAGTTCTCGCTTCCGCCCAACAATCTGAGCCTCCTCGTCGAGGCCGTCAACACGGCCGAACAAGCAGCTCAACTTGCGCCTCCCTTGATCGATGCAGATACAGCTGATGCACCGCTGCCCAACCCCTTCACGCTGGACGCCCTCACTCACCTGGCCACTTGCTTGCAGACTTTGGGTGAAGCGGTCCAGGAGCTCGGCTGGCCACCCCAACTTCGGCCCCCTTCGCTTCTCCAACGGCAGTCTGCGCACTCTACCACTCCGGCATTGCTCTGGCAGGAAGCGTCGGCGCTGTTTCAACGCGTGGCTGACGGACAAGCTGCCATCCTCAAGGATCAAAAGCTTGCCGAAACCGCGTCTGTCGAGCAGGACGAGTCTGATATGCTTGAACCGGAGCCGCAAATTCCACAGCAAGACCAGCTTGGAGCTCCCGAAGAAGATCAAGACGACGTATACGGTTACACGTCTTCGTTGGTCACGCCGCCCTCCCTGGTCGAAACGCTGCTCTCTCTCATGGCTTGCTTCATCTCCTTGGTTGAAGTCGCACCTTCGCTGCCGGAGCTTCAGACTCGCAATGCTGCAGCTGAGCAGGTCGCTGCGAGGGTGCACGAGACCATCTCGGACTCGATGACCTCCACAGGATCCTCGGCTGATGGAGCGCTGCTAGCATCTTCATCCGAAGAGATGCGAGCCAAATCTGGAGAGCTCGAGCGCACCTCGTTGGCGTTGCGAGTGGCACGCATCGCCAGGGCTGTCGAGCTCGGCGCAGAGCCTGCGCAGCTCAGTAACGAGCTAGAGTCTGCTATGCAAGCTGTTCATGACTGGGCAACTCGACTCGTAGCTCCTCTGGCTGCGGACCAAGCAAGTCAAGTGCGTCAAGATCTTGATGTGCCAACCCTGTGCGATGTGGGTGAGGCAGGACAGAATCTTTGCCGCCTTTCTCTTCGCCTCGAGCCTGCGCCGAATGCAGTGGCAGCCATCTGGACATTGGCGACGCTCAGCACCAAGCTCTACTCGCAGGCGCTCTCGGCGCTCGATACTGCTTCGCGCGGTGGAGGCTCGGCCGCCGTGCTGGGTCAGGCCAACACATCGACGCCTACGTCGCGCGCAAGATGCCGAATCCTTCTGGCGCTCTCAAGCTTTTCGCTATTCCGCTCGCATCCGGCCTTTGAGGCGGCTGGCATCCCGGGCGCGATGGGCACGCGCTCCAAGTTGATCGACAATGCGCGACTCTATGCCAGGAAGGCTGCGACTGAGATTGGTCTCGGCTGGATCCTGCGTCCTGCTGCATCTCGTGCCCCGACCACAGCAGTGCAGCCACCACCGGGAGGCTGGGAGAGTCTGTCGCTTGAAGCCGAGGCGAGCATGCATCTGCTCCGAGCGCTGCTATTCCGTGCCAGGTTCAACGCTGCGGGGTTGTCCGACGGTGCTGCGGCTGCCGAGATGCAGAACGAGCTTGTCCAACTCATCCAGCACCTGATTCAGCTCCGCCAACGGCCCATCCAGGCCGACCTTACTGCCTGTGCCAGCTCGACCCAGCTGGCGCAATTCATGTACGGCCAAGGCATCAAAACCTTTATCGATGGCATCGTCGACGACCACGGGAGCAACGTCGTGCAAGACGAGATCCCGTGGTGGACCGAACTTCTCTCTGGGCCGCTCGCCCAGGCGCCCTAGACAGGTGGCTGACCTGAATCGTAGTAATTGCCACGACATTTCACCTTGCCCGTTCCGGACGTGTGATGCGAGAAAGCGGCACTGGAAAAGGGCTGCGATTGCAATAGACGGGATGGTGGTACATGCGGTTTGCGGGAAAGGGTGCGATCATATGAAGAGCTTGTTGACCGAAGTCTCGGACGAGGCTTGTGCGCGGCGGAGGACCTTTGCGATGGCGAGTTCAAAGTCTTCGTGCGAGACGTGCTGGCGGCGTTCCCTCAAGGCGTACATGCCGGCTTCGGTGCAGATGCCGCGCACCTCGGCGCCGGAGCACTGGCCCATCTTTTCGGCGAGCGCGCGGAGGTTGATGCCGCGCTGCAACGACATCTTTCGGCTGTGGATGCGCAGGATCGAGACACGTGCCTCGGGGCCCGGGGGAGGGAACTCGATCTTGCGGTCGATGCGGCCGGGGCGGAGGAGGGCCGAGTCGAGAATGTCGATGCGGTTGGTGGCCATGATGACCTTGATGTTCTTGGTGCCTTCGAAGCCATCGAGCTGGTTGAGCAGCTCGAGCATGGTTCGCTGCACCTCGGAATCGCCGCCTCGCGAGCCGCCGTCGCCTCGGGACGATCCGATGCTGTCGATCTCGTCCATAAAGATGATCGAGGGGGCGTGCTCTCGCGCCATGACAAAGAGCTCTCGCACCATGCGCGAGCCTTCTCCGATGTACTTTTGGACGAGCTCGGAGCCGGATACGCGGATGAAGCGGCAGTCGGTGTGGTGTGCGACGGCACGGGCGAGAAGCGTCTTGCCGGTACCGGGAGGGCCGTAGAGGAGTACACCTTTTGGCTGAGCGATTCCAAGAGCCTCAAAGAGTTCGGGATGCTTGACGGGAAGCTCGATGACCTCCTTGATCTCCTTGATCTGGCGGTCGAGACCGCCGACCATCTCGTATGTAGAGTCGGGCACCTTTTCGACCATCATGAGGGAGACGAGGGGGTCGATCTTGTTGGGGAGCACCTTGTGGAGGGTGTAGGAGTCGGAGCGGAGGGCGACGCGGAGGGTGGGGGTGAGGGTGGAGATGTCGATGTCGGAAGCGATGTCGACGACGTATTTGCCCTCTGGCTGCACCTTGACGAGCACCTTTTTCTTGCCCATGACTTTTACGACTTCGCCGACGTAGGAGCCAGGCTCCTGGAGGAGCTGGAGCTCTTCGCGCAAGAGGCGTACGCGCGCATTGAGGGCGTTTCTTTGTGCTTCAAGACGGCGGAGGTTCTGGGTCTTTTGGTTGATGAGGATCTCGTAGGATCGGATCTTGGATTGGTAGAAGGACTGGATGCCGAGAGCGCTGGCGGAAGCTGCTGCGTTGCCGATGCTGGAGAGGGAGGCGGTGTTGGGCTGGGCGGTGGTTGTGGCCGCGGCGTGGGAGGTGACTGCAGCCGACATGGTGGTTCAAAGTCGATGGATAGACGGTTCTAAGAACGGGTAGAGAGGGTTGCCGACGGTGAAGCGCGGATCGTTCGCAATGGAAGGGACGATTCGAGCGTCGACTCCGGCTGGGTGCGCTGAGAAGCAAACAAGGAGAGGTGCCGGGATGGTGGGGTGGAAGCTGTAGAGACAGATGCTCCGTCTCAGACTTGGCTGCTGCCTGAGCGTGTTGCTCCACTTTGGACGCGCCACCTCGACCTCCGCACGCCTCGATCACACCGCTCACAGGCCGGCGAATTTGTGCGTTATATGAACGTAACACTTGCAATTTGGAGATCGCTGTCGATTCGATCAGCCCGATATCCCGATCTTGACTGACTAATCGCTTTGTGGCCCCGCTGGCATGCCCTCGGCCTCAACCTTTGGAGCAGTGCTACATTGTACCATCCTAGCGGGCTGTCATCGTTGTAACTGCCGGTGCTGGCTTGATCCGTCATCACTCAGGCTGGGGCCAGCAGCAAGCAGGGGCGAGCCAATGGCAAGATGCGCAAATGTCAGGTCGAGTGGCGCTGGCTTGGCTGAGCTCCACTTTGGACTCGCGTTGAATTTTCGACTGCCGGCTGGAGTGGTCGGATTTAGAGGGCTGAGCCCAGCAGCCCAACACTCGCGCTGTGGCGCGTCGCCCGACAAATGACGCTGCAGAGCCGCACAAATGTAGCTCCGGTAGCCACCGAAGACGCCCGTCCTCGGCGTCATTTTTCGTCAGTCCCGAACGGGCTCCTCTCCTCTCCACCATCATCATCGACACCAATCTTCCATCAGTCCACGCACACTCCACAACCATGTCGATAGCACCCGCCTCGACAGCGCTCGCCGCAGCGTCCAGAGCCGCACGCCTCTCTTTCCTGTATCCCGGCGCCTCCTCATGCACCGTCTCAACACTCAGTCGCACCTACGCGACCCGCAGCAGAAGGAGCGCAACGGCTGAACATCTCACACAACCATCCTCATCTCGACATGCCATGTACTCCGCCGCCACCGCCACCGGCCGGAGGCGTCTTTCCACGTCCGCCAGCCCTTCGACGTCCACATTCACCTCCCGCGCACACACAGCATCTACATTCCCTCCTTCCGTTTCGTCGTCCCGACTAAGCGCATCCCGCGCTTTCGGCTCCTCGCCAGCATCCTTTAAGCCTTTGTTGGATCCCGTCCGTCCCTCAAGTAACGACACGGCCGCCGTGGACCCGGCGTGCGCTACTTTGTCTCCCTCCTCGCCTGCCTCGCCAAAGTCGCAAAAGGATCCTCGCGCGCCTACGCCATCGCCCGCCACACCCGCTCCTACCGCCGCAGATCCAGCTCCCACCACCAATCTCACACCCTCCAAAGCCGCCGAGCTAGCCAGCGACCCCAGCGTCGCCGCCACCATGCCGCAAGCAACCGCAGCCGCCACGACTCCTCCCAAAAAGGCGTCCTCAGATCGCGGCACCAAATTCCGCTCGCGCACCGCCGCTCTCAAGCTCACTCCCACCGCCGTGCTTCGATTGCGCGCGCTCATGGACTCCGACTCGGGCCCCAAGATGATCCGTGTCGGCGTCCGCAACAAGGGCTGCGCCGGCATGTCTTACCACCTCGAGTACATCAAGCCGCAGGAGGCAGGTCGCTTCGACGAGCGCGTCAAGCAGGACGGCGTAGAAGTCCTCATCGACAGCAAGGCGCTCTTCAGCATCATCGGCAGCGAGATGGACTGGCAGGAGGACCGCCTCAGCGCAAAGTTTGTCTTCAACAACCCAAACGTAAAAGAGGCCTGCGGCTGTGGCGAGTCCTTCCTCACATAGATCACCATTGCGCCATTGTCACCACTCTTTTCGCGCCACTGCGCAATACCAAATCGTTCTCGCCAAGCCCGCACTCCAATCCGCATGAATGGTGTCTTCCGATCGCATGTCTAGAGTACAAAGTGGATGCGTGAGATTCAAGAATGAGATGAGAGGTGGGATCCCGTCGCTACGAGATCATTGCTGCGGCGACTCGTTTGCCGCGCTTTCGGATGCTTGGTCTTTGGAGGTGGTTCCGTCCGATGCATGCTCCTGAGCCGATGATGCTGCTTCTGGACTCGCCATGACGTCTGCATCCGCTGTCGCAGCTGCTGCCACCGGCGCCGACGCCTCGGCTCCGCGTAGAGTGAGAAGGCCGAGGTCAAACTTGGTCGGCACCACGCCCAATCTCCTGTATACGTTGGCCATCTTGGCTTCCGACGTCGAGATGGCCTTCTTTGGCATCCCGCGTCCGGACTGCTTGCTGCTTGTCTCTGCCTCGGACGGGAGCGGCGTCGCGTGCGGAAGGCCTCGGAGCAGAGTCACCACTTTTCCGGCCACCGGAGCACCCGATTCGCGCCCGATGCGCGCAACACGCCCAGCCGCATGCACGTACTGCACTGCATCGACCACCGATGCGTACCCAACCACAAAGACGTGCGAGAGCCCGGGAATGTCCAGCCCACGCGACGAGGTCGACTGCAGCAAGAAGAGCTCGGATGCCTCTCCCGCAGCATTCTCGCGAGGTGCCTCCGTCGCAGAGGCGTCCGACGCAAGCCGCACCGAGACACCCAGCGCCTCGAGCGCAGCTCGCGTCTTGAGCAAGCTCCAGCGCGCAGGGATCAGGGCCAGGCCACGCTCCACCGCGTCGGATGCAAAGCAAAAGGCCAGCGCCTCGATGAGCGTCTGATCCATATCGTGCTCTTGCGGCTCGTCTTCGGGCTTGATGATCGTGTAGCCCTCTTCCGACAGCGCGCTTCCCGCCGTCTCCGTGGCCGGATTCGAGTCGGCAGAGGCGGCCACAGCCGCACGTGCTTTCTTGCGCGCAAGCTTCGGCTCAAAGTTGCGCAGCGGCACAGCAGACAGCTGCTTGGATAGCGGTGCTTCGTCCACCACCACACACGTATGTGCGATGCACGCTGGCATGGTCGAGGCCGGTTGCTCCAGCGAGCTTTCGATGAGCCCGTTGGCTCGTGCTTGCTCATTGAGCCCAAAGAGTCCGCGAATGCCCTGGTCGATCAGGCTTTTGCCGCTCAGGCCCGTCAGATCGATCCAGCGTCCGACCTGCGGAGCAAAGGCGAGACCGTGTTCCTTGACGCCCGTTCGTAGCCATCCCGTGCGGGCTCCAAAGAAGTGGCGCATGACCGAGTTGGCCGTCGCACTGGTCGCCACCAGTTGGAGCGGCTGGACGCCAGCGGTGCGTGGCTTGGGCAGCGCAAGTCCCGTTTGCGGATTGGCGCGCGTACGCTCGGCCGCTTTGTACGTGTTGCGACGCACGTTCTCCGGCGGTCGTCGTTCGTCGCGTTGCTTGCCTGGCCGGTTCTCCAGACCGGCTGTCAGATGCTTTTCGCCGCCCGAATGTGTGGCTCGGCTCTTCATGATGGTGTCGAGTATGAGCAGCCCGGGTGCTTTGTGCACCTCGTGCCTCCAGCGTTGTTTGTGTGAAGGGAATCTTCCGGGCAGCTGGAGCACGGCATCGGCTTCGTCGAGCACGAGCGTGCGCAAGGTGTCGATGCCCAAGAGGGAAGAGCCGGCAGGTGTGTTGAGAATGTCCATGATGCGACCCGGAGTGCCGATCAAGATGTGGGGCGGGTTGGATTTGAGGCGCTGCAGCTCCTCCTCTGGAGTGCGCGCACCGGACCCTGGCAGGCCGCCGCGAACCAGACACTGGATGACGGGATCCAGGGATGGCAAGCTCGACGGCGGAAAGAGCGAGCGGGCCCATCGAAGATACTGTGAGGCCAGCTCGTTGCTCGGGACTAGGACGATGGACGCGATGCCTGTCTTGGGTCGGCTGCGCTTGCTTCTGGAGCCAGCAGCGCTATCCGCCGCTGTGGATGCGGTATCGCGGAAGACGATGCGGGGCTTGCTGAGCAGCGCGAGGAGAAGACCAAACGACTTTCCCGTGCCCGTGTGTGCGCGCAGAATCACATCGGTAGGTGAGAGGAGAGCGGGTATGAGTGCGGATTGTGCTGGTGTGGGCTGTCGAATGTGCGGATGAGAGGTGGTGAGCTGTCGGCAGACGTTGGCGTTGAGGCCGAGGCGCTGGAAGCGTTCGCTCACGCCTTCTGGACTTGTGAGTTTCGAGCTGTCGGATGGAGCTGGAGGGGTGGAGTCCATCTCGGTTTCTGGTGTCCCTTGGTTGAGACCCGGGCCAGTCTGAGTCGAGTAGGACAAGGACTGCTGAGAGTTGATGAACCTGACGACTGATTGTCGAGAGCATGATGGCCGAGGTGTGCCTACTGGGCGATAGGGCGTATTGGATGGAGTATAAAGTGTCCTTCCGCCGTAGCTTGTGAGCCGGGGCGGGGCATTGGAAGAGCCCGAGGCATGGTGGCGCGACAGTGAGGCAAGCCACTCGACGCGCTTCGAGCCTCCACTCGTTGCTCGCAGCATGATCGTGTCTAGTTCGGCTCAGCCTCTGCTACACGTTCGATGCAGCCTGTCCAAAGGGGTACAGCGTTGCGGATGCTGTGCTTGGCGAAGAGAGTTCGACGGTGATGAAGGTACAGAGTACAGATGTCATAGTAGCGCAAATTTCCAGCGGTGGCTGAGTTGCTGTAACCGCGAGGGGAAAAAAAGAGGGAATTTGCATGTGGAGCGCCCCTTCGGAAATCGGATGTCGGGATTCCTCCCACCCGCCTTCCGCCTTCCGCAAACACGCTCGACTCCCAAACGCCGAAGCAGAGCCACTGCCTTCTGCACCACCTCTTCCCGACCCACCAACGAGGTCACTTGCAAAGAGAACTCAGGCGTACGTTTAGACTTCAAACTTCACCACCTCAAACAAAGGAGCACGGTGATGTATATTCGTATTGTCCTGTATAGCTGCGATATCTGACTTGCACGCTAGTGCGTCTGCCTGAGCCTCGATTGTGTCCTGATCGTTGTTGGCAGCTTGAAAGCTTCCGCGAAGACTGGCTGTGTACAAGATACGGACGCAGTCACTCGCCTCTACATCCTCCACCCGAGTGGTGGCGGCGCCGAGATCGAGCCTGCCAAAGGTGATGGAACAGCGTCCAGCGATTGGTTGAAGCCTAGACTGTTGGCCGCGCCGCCACCCGTGCGATCGCTGATGCTGGTGCTGCCAATGCTGCTGGTGCTGCCCTTGTCGTCGAGCTGGTCGAATCCGTCTAGCTCAACGAGCGGATGCAAGGATGCCTGTGATAGCCACATGTTGGCCCAATCGCACAAGCATGGCTCGAACCCGCACCCGCGGCACGTTTGGATGTTGCGCGTGGGCATCATACCCGGCGCTGGTGTCGGCGCTGCTGATGATCCGACCAAGGGTCTCGTTGGCGTAGTTGTAGCCGTCGGCATCGTCCTGTACTCCGGAAGATGGAGCACGTCCCTCCATGCTTGTCCATCGGTCCGCGACATGCTGGTGGTCAGCGGGCTGGACACGGTCATGTTGCTGGCTCCAGCCACCGGTATGTCGCTGTTGACGAAGCTGCTGATCGCATGGATCAACGTGCTTCTGTCATCTTGCACGCTCAACGTGCTTCTGTCATCTTGCACGCTCAACGTACTCTCGTCCTGGCACAATGGCTGCTGCTGCTGCTGCGGTAGAGGGTCGTCGGTGGGCTGCCAAGCAGACACAAGCGCTCCCGCGAGCTGCATCAACTGATCGAACGCCATCTCGTTGGTCACCATCGCTTTCGCCTGGGCCGGCATGCTTCTGTCATCCGCTTGCCCTCTTTGATCGACAGCGTACCATGGGACTGCTCCGCCACTGAAGCTGCTGTTGCTGCTGCTGCTACTGATGCTGCTGACTACGCTTGCCCTTCGGCTTGTGGGTGAAAGTCCTGCAACATTATCGCTTGACGAGGACAGTGTCGACGCTGCCGAAGACCATGACGATGAAGAGGAACATTCGGCCGCCTCTCGACTGCATACCAACTTGAGCGTCTCGATCTCGGCCTCGTGCCGCTTTTCTGCACTCAGCCGTCGAATGATCCGATGGTACCGGTTGCGGCACTCGGCGTTTGTGAACATCGGCAATCGCAGTCGACGCACTTCCGCCCATCGCTTTCCATATCTGCGTTCAAGCGTTTGCCAGCGGAAACGTGGATCAGCATGTACCGCACCCCTTGCCGGCAACAAGTAGGCTTACCTATTGACATAATCAAGAAGGATCCGATCCCTATCCTCATTCCACTCAGCACCCGCGCTTGAAAGCACGAGATATGAAACCCATCTTGCCTCGTCAGCACATCGCCAAAGCTGCTCGACATGACTCCCAGACGGCGACTTACCTGAGCACGCGCCACCGGCTCGAACACTGGTCGCCCGTTCTGCTGCCCAAGCTCCTAGCAATCTTGGCCCATTGCCCCGGGTAAATCTGCATGGCTTGGCGCAGCAGCTCGTCTTCCCCAGATGTCCAGCTCCCTCGGGAGATGCCCGGGCACAAGCTACTTTTCCATCGCTTGCGACACTATTTCCCGGCCAAGTCACCGCTTTTCAACGTCAGCACAGATCATCGGCAACATCTCGGTGCTACAAACGACACTACTTACTTCTTTGGCGTTCCGGTTCTCAAAGTGCTGCGCGATGCCCACCCAGCTCACGTGACCTGCCTTTGCACCATGTTGCTCGGCCAGGTCACCGTCATAGCCTGTGTGACACCGTTGCAAGCAGTGCGAGCGTTCAAGAACACGTTAGTCAAATGAAAACAGCGATCAAGTAATGGTCACTTGCGAGAGCGCCCAATACCTACTTTGCATCATCTTGGTGAGCAGTGCGTCTTCACTCGGCGTCCAGCTCCCTTTTCGATTCTGCCTGTCCATCGGCGACGAAGCAGAGTGGAGGATGCTCGTCGATCGAACCATGCTCGCTGCGCTGTAGGTCGTATAAAGAAGGACAAGGAGTTGGTAGAAGGCAAACGACTTCAGAGTCTATCGACGTGGAAAAGTGCTACTTGCTGGGGGAGCACTTGCCCGGGGAGCGTTTATAGACCCATCAGGCACTCTGACATGCGCCCCGCTTATCGAGCTCGGTCCTTGCCAGCAAGCGCCGAGGAGGGTGCGTCGGCGTCTCTACACCAGAGTACTTACACTGCACACCAGAGCATTTGCATTGCGACCCTGACCGCTGAACGCAATGCAGCGCAACTGATCCGGTACGAAAAGCCTCCCCGTGTACAGATCACTCGGGTCATCGGCAAAGCTATCAACAGTAGCCGCTCTGTGCATTGCTTTCCGAATCAGAGGCAAGCCTGAACAAGATGCAATCTATGCACAAGGTACAGTCGCTGATAGGCACGCCCAGACTTGGACCTTTCGCTGGTTATTGTTCAAGCAAGGCGCGACAGTAGTCAGGCACGATCAGGAACGTTCCAGCCACACTGTACACACGCAGTTGCAGCAAAATCACTGTGTCTCGTGGGTGACACGTTTCTTTCATTTTCTTGGCAACTTGGTTGCCGCCTAAGCTAGCGATGGTGTCATGTTATAATACTGCGATATGTTGGATACTTCAATGGTCTGGTTGCATTCAAGGCTCACACCCTGCAGCCTTGTGGCGCTTCAGAGCTGACACCGGCTCGATCCCATCATAGGCCTTGCTATTCCGCCGAAAAGGCCGCCGATAACGTGCGCACCTCGAGTTCAGCCGAGCTGACCGTGTGAAAAACGTGAAAGTTCTCATCGAAGAGCAGCTCGACTCTATCTGGTCCTGCTTGCTTCGCAGTGAAATGACACTCTGCTACGAGCTGGCTGAAAGGTGCTTTGCAGGCGGGCTGATCCTTCGCTTGCGATCCAGAGCGAGTGACGATCTCCGAGCCGAAGGTTCAAGACTATGGGAAAGCGTGTGTGCATAAGATACCGACGCTGCATTGTGGAGAGGAGGAGTAGCTGCCTCCGTCGCTCGCTCGTCCACGTTCCGTTGGCGCGGATGTATCCAGACTAAGCGTACAAGCGATCAATTTGCAGACTCGGTAAACAGTTGATGCTTCCGAAACCCGAGGCAACCCAAGGGGGCGGTAAGCGACATGGTGCTCCCGACACCCGGGCCAACCCATCCGAGCTAGTGGTATGCGTGGGCGCGGCGATGCCAAACAAATCCAGAGTCAGGGTGGGGGTTGCTGCGAGACAGGCTTGTGGCGTACGGTCCTGCAGCGACTCTGCAAGGCTGCTTGCTTTTGGGCACCCAGCTGCAGAACAAAGAGGTGGGCGTGGGCGTCAGACGGACTAGCGCACGCTAGCTTCCTTTTTGAAGATCCGAACGGAATCCGAATTCATGCGATGAGTTTGCAGCGGCATGCACGTAGACTTAGCCGTAGGAGCCGCGGACGGATGTAGGCACTTCGGATGTGGAATGACGGCATCGGCAAGGGATCACTTTTGATTTCGATACGGCTGCATCAGAGAGTGATGCTGCTGCACCGCCCGTAGGTCAGAATGGTGCATGTGAAAACACCGCCAGGAATTCCGCGGGTCTGGGCTTCTGGAAGCTGTCCAACACTGCATCGCTTCAACGGAGGCCGTCGCCGGAATTCTCCATCGGGATGTTTCGAGTCAGCCTCCGAGCAGGCTTCCCGTCAAAGCCGTTCCAAGGGAGAAACAAGGAGACTACTCAGGAGAAGAGGGGTGTGCTCAATTTGCCCTCAGCGTAAGGGGAAGTCGATCGCCACAAGAGAGCCCTTGACCGGCATCACCGAGTCTGTGCACTTTGAATCTCGCACTAGCGAACGCAAGCAAACGAAGAGCTTGGATGGCAGTGAATCACGTCTTGCTGACACCTAGTTTGCATCACATCTGTTCATTTCGGCGATTCGTCTGTCATATTGAACACATGAGACATTGTATGTACAGTGAACGGAGAGGGGAGGGCTTCAACAGGGAGCAGCTGCCAATCTTAGACGTCGACCACCTTAGTTGTAGGTGGCGATCGCTAGCCCGCTCACATGCGAGAGACTCCGCCAAAGCCCGGGTTCCCCTGAATCTTTTCCTGGGCAAAGATCTCGAGACAGAAGCCGACGACATCGCGTGTGGATCGCGGATCGATGATACCGTCGTCGAGTACGCGGCTGGAGGAATAGTACGAGTCGGATTCGGTCGAGACCTTTGCGTGCATGGCATCGCGGCGCTTTTGCTGGCGCGTTTCATCGACCGGCCGACCGCTTCGGTTCAGGATCTCCCGCTCCACCATATCCACAACGCCAGCGAGTGCGTCGGGTCCCATGACCGAGGTGCGCCCCTGCGGCCAGGTAAACAGGAAGCGCGGGTCATACGCACGCCCACACATGGCGCAGTTGCCCGCGCCGTAGCTTGAGCCGACAATGATGGAGATGTGTGGGACGCGCGAGTTTGCCACGGCATTGATGAGTAGCGAGCCGTACTTGATGCTGCCAGCCGCTTCAAACTCGCGTCCCACCATGAAACCCGAGATGTTGTGCAGGAAGAGTAGAGGGACATTGTTGTTATTGGCCAGCCGGATGAACTGCGTCGTCTTTTGCGCGTCCGAGGGATTCAGCACGCCGTTGTTGCCAATGATGCCTACCGGGTGGCCCGCGACAAAGGCAAAGCCCGTCACGGTGTTGGCACCATACAGAGGCTTGAAAGCGTTGAAACGGCTGCCGTCGGTGATGCGTGCGATCAATTGTTCGATGCGCCACGGCTTCTTGATGTTGGCTTGGGCAACATCCAGCAACGAATCCATCGAGTACAGCGGCTCCAGACTCTCCCACTTTGGAAGGCGCAGAGCCTCGGGACGCGAAATGCGCTCGTCCCAGTTGAGCGAGGCGACCCAGTAGCGCGCCTCGGTGATCGCCTCCACTTCGTTATTGACCAGGCAATCCGCAACACCCGATACGGTGGCGTGCTTTTCAGCACCACCGAGCTGCTCGGCAGTCGTCTCCTCGCCCGTTGCCATCTTGACCAGAGGGGGCCCGCCGAGGAAGAGCTGCGCCTGCTCGCGAATCATGATCGTCATGTCCGACATTCCGGGCGTGTAAGCTCCCGCTGCGGGACACTGGCCAAAAACGACCGAGCACGTAGGAATGCCGTCCTGGGAGCGCGTCGCCAGATCATAGAACTGACGCGCACCATAGTGGAACTCGAATTGCTGTTGCAGACTTGCCCCCGCGCTGTGCACCAGGAACACGATCGGCAGGCGGTTCTCGTGTGCGATCTGACCCAGTCGCTGAATCTTTGCAATCTGCGCGCGGTTCGCCGATGCGCCTTGTAGGGTCGGGATGTGGGCGATGCACATGGTCAGCGTGTTGCTGATGAGGGGAACGAGACGCACGCCGAGATGAAGATGGATCACGAAATGTGGCAATCGCACGTCAGTCTGCGTATACCTCTACTGCGGTCCCGCCAGCCTGTATGCACAACAAGGAAAGCTCACCTGACGAGGCCGATACCTCCGACTACGCTGCCGGAGGGGGTACAGTCCTTCTGGTTATAGCCAGCAAACGTGCAGAGCTGCAGGAAGGGGGAATCCTGGTCCAAGAGCAGCGCAATGCGGTCGCGCGCCAAAAGCATGCCACGGCTGAGGTGCAGCAGCTGCGTTTTCCCACTCCCCTGGTTGAGCACGCTCTGCGTGCGCTCATTGAGCTCTTGGATCAAAGCCTCGTTGGCTGTGCGATTCGCCTCTACTTCTGGGTCCCGTACCAACGGCGGTAGTTCCAGCACTGGTAGCCTCAGAGCCGGATGCGCTGGCTTGAGCGGCGTTTCGGGTGTCTGAAGCGCGTTGAACGACATGATGGTGCGGTGGTCGGCACAGTGAGATTAAATTAAGGGGAGAAAATTGATGGTTGGGAGAACACCTTGGCTGGCGCGGAGACTCGGTGTCGCAAGAGATGTGAGAGAAAGCGGAAAGAGCAAGATATGGTCGAATAGAGAGCTAGGCCAGACTGCGACGCCTTCGGGACGAAGTGGACCTTGGATATATCAGTCTTCCGTCCCGCTTCTAGACTTCACATAAAGCTTGGATGACGAGCAGCCGGATGCACGACTCCTGAACCTCCCCTGCCTCATCTGAGCGGCGACAGGCTGGCCTTCAGCAGAGGCTGTGGCACGGAGACGCCGTCCGCATGTTGTCCTGGTCTGTCGCTGCATGCGTTTCTCTGCCTCTCGCTTGTGAAAGGGATTCGAGGGCATGTGCAAGCAGAAGAATGTCGCCTTTCTTGCCGTCCCAAAGCATCCGTAACACATCTGACACTGCGTCATGTGGGACCTTCGCGTCATCGCACGTGCATCTGAAGCAGCAGCGAAAGCAAGGCAGAAGCTGTCCCGTGAGTTCATCAGCAACGACCGATTCGGATCCATTTTGGGTCCACCAGTATCAGCAGGCGACATGTCTGATCTCTCTGCCTTCTGTATGCCATCAGACGACGGTCGACCTCGCTAAGGCTTGGGCTGAATGATAGAGAAAGAGATTGGAACAACAAGGCGAACCACGCTCTCAATCACGCTTAAAGGCGTAACCGCATTGACGGTTCAGCTGCGCATCACACGGCGTTGAGACCTCCTTATCTCTAGCCGAAGCTTGAGCATCGCGCGAGGCAAGCCGCGCTGGCTTAGGAGGAGCCGATATCGGGGTGGGGGAGGGATGCGGAGGAGAAAGAGGGGGGAGGGGGGCGGCTATCAATCTACTTGACTGTCACGCGTATCAGACAATGCTGCACAGGCCAGGCACCTCCACGAGCTCGAAGCGCAAAAGAGCGAATGTGAGAGGTGGACCGTATCAGTGGGGCTGATGGCTGCGCGGATCCGCCTTAGCGCGGCAGCTTGCAGCTCGCGAGGCGTGGTCGCGCTAAAGGAGGCAGTGATGCAGGCGCAAGTTCAGGTACAGGCGCAGGCAGAGTCGCAAGCCGACGGCGGAAAGCACACGGCGTCACCCGCAACAGCGCCGCTGCGTGACGCGGTTCCCGCTCTGCACGTGTTGCTGGCATGGCGGGCAGCAGGTGGCACCTCGTCCAAAGCTGCTGATATCCGGCGAGCTGGAAAATCTCCGCGGCTTCGGTTAATTGCGAGGATCGGCTGGAATTTAGCCTGAGCTCGGCTAGCGCCCTCTGCTATCCGAAATTGCGGAAGCAAGCGAGTTTGCTACTCGCCCCATTCACGCCTAGATGGTGGCGCACTGCGTAGCAACGTAGCATTATTGACTGGCACACTGTAGTATTGCGGCAGCCATAGCGTGTGCAGCGGCGGCGGAGACGACGTCAAGCCTCTGAATAGGCGAGCACCGTGGCTGCACAGCGCAATGTTAACTGCCCGAAACGTGCTCGGATCACCACCATCAGACGAATCGGGTGATGCTGTCATACTGTCTTGTGGAATGCGGCGGCCCGATTCGGCCTCTTGATTCGAGAATACATCGATCCTGAGGCTTTAGAAAGGCCTGTCAGTCTGGACTTTGCGTTCTACCCAGCAAGGTGGCAAGCGTTTTCCTGCGCTAGCAGCGCTTCCACAGCCACAATCTCTCTACTGTGAGACTATACCGGCCTATATACATCCAGGGACGCGCCGTGCCGATATGCTAAGTCTCTGTACAGACTCTCTTAGTCCTCTCTCTTCTGCACAAGCTTACGCCTGGCCTCGCGCTACGAGGATGCATACTACGGATACTCAGACACATACCTCGGCGCATCCACCCGCAACGGCGGCGCACAGCGGGCCTCAGGCCGTAGAGGAGGAGGGCATATCGTCATATGCCTCATCGCAGACAGGCGTTGCTCCCGACATGCATAGCTACACGCCTTTCGCATCGGAAAACTCAAAGACCAGCACCTCGCCTTTGGATCACAGGGAACCGGACCTGGGACACCATTGCGGCACGATCACCGACAACGACGACGATAAGCCTAGCGCCGCTGGCGCATTGCCCATGGACCTTGAGGCGGCCAAGCAGCAGCAAGATGCGTCCAAGACAGACAGTGTGACGAGTCATAACGAAAAGATACGCCTAGTCGGCTGGGAAGGGTCGGACGACCCCAATCATCCGCACAACTGGTCGGTGGCGCGACGAATCTACCTCACCTCGCTCGCCTGCGTGGTGGTACTGGCGTCCACATTTACCTCCTCCATCTCCTCTGGCGTTTCAAAGAGCCTGATGGAACATTACGGCTTCGGCGAAGAGGTCGCCGCACTCACCATCTCGATCTTTGTGGCGGGCTACATCCTTGGACCTTGGCTTTGGGGTCCGCTCTCGGAGCGCATCGGCCGGCGCAAGGTGTTCTCTGCCTCCTTGCTCATTTACACTTGCTGGAATGTCGGCTGTGCGCTAGCGCCAAACACAGGCGCTCTTTTGGCGTTTCGCCTCCTCGCCGGCACCGCCGCCGCCGCGCCGCTCAGCAATTCGGGTGGTCTGATCGCAGACCTGTGGAAGACGCGCGTCCGGGGCATCGCTACGGGTCTCTACGCTTGCGCCCCATTCACGGGCCCCGCGCTGGGCCCCATCGTCAGCGGCTTCATCCAGGACTCGGGCGTCAACTTCCGCTGGGCGTTCTGGGTCTGTGCCATCTTTTCCGGAGTCTGTTGGTCGTTGGTTGTGCTGACGCTGCCAGAAACATACGCGCCCGTGCTTCTCAAGCACAAAGCCCAGCATCTGCGCCGCGAGACCGGAAGCGATCTCTACCGTGCACCGCTCGAGCAGCATGCAAAACTGACACCATCGACGTTGGTGCGTACTGTGCTCATCAAGCCATTCATCATGTCGGTGCAAGAGCCCATGCTGCTGGCTTCGATCTTGTTCATGGCATTCTTGTACGGCGTCGTATACCTGCTCTTTGAAGCTGTGCCCATCGTCTTTGGCCAGGGCTACGGCTTTAGTGCGGGCATCGTGGGCCTCATGTTTATCCCCTTTGCCGTGGGTGCATTCGGCGGTGTGTTGTTCTACATCGCCGTCTTGTTTCCGCGCTATGCGCGCATGATTGACCGTGCTCCTGACAGCCAGGTCGCCCCCGAAGAGCGCCTTCCGATGGCCATGCTGGGAGCGCCTGTGCTCACCATCGGGTTTTTCTGGTTCGCCTGGACCAGCGATCCGAACATCAATTTTTGGGCGCCCATGCTCTCTACCGCTTTGCTAGGTTTCGGCATCTTTTTCGTCTTTCAAGGTCTCTTCAACTTTATCATCGACGCCTACACCGTCAATGCGGCCTCGGCGTTGGCAGCTGGCGTCATCGTACGCAGCTGCTTTGGCGCAGCCTTCCCGTTGTTCGCGAGACAAATGTACTCTCGACTAGGTACCAAGTGGGGGTCGAGTTTACTGGGCTTCCTGGCATTGGCCATGACACCAATTCCGTTTCTGTTGCATCGTTATGGAGCTCGCCTCCGTGCCATGTCGCGCAATGCTAAGTAGGCCGAGCCACGCTGGACTGCTCATAACGCCTCGAGCCTTTGTTTCGCACACGCACAGACTTGACAGGAAGGAATCCTCTTTGATAGATCGAATCTAGCTCAGTAATAAGACATTGCGAGTGTCACTGCTCGTGAAAGTCACTCTTCCGAATGCCGAGATCACGAGACACTGGTTCTGATTTGATCGAAGGTCAGAGCGAGATGCTAGTTCTCCTTGCTAGGTTGAGAGATCGCCGTGTGTAAGTCATCCAAATCAAGCACTACTGAACTGAGACCATGAAAGAGGACTGGCACCGGCAGGCTGGGCGCCGCGCTTGAAGTGGGGCTTGATGTGTTCAAATCCGATACGAACACCGAGGTACGTGGAGTTGCCGTTCGGGCCCCACACCGAGTCGAGCTTGTCCGCGGCCACGTTGTGGTCGATAGGTGAGAGGTGCTCGACATCTCTGGGTTCAAACGAGCCAAGATCCTGAACCCACATGACGACGCTGGCGAGGTTCAGGCTGACGACGTAGCTGCCACCTTCTTGAGCGCGGCGAAGAAGGGCGCTCAGCGCCCCAGCAAAGCCCAAGATCCCCGCCAGGTAGTCGTTGAGCAGATAGGTAGGCGGCAGTCGCGGGGCGGAAAAGCCACCTTCCTCGGCCGAAAAGCCAGTGGCGGTGCAGGCGAGCTGATCAAACCCTCCGCGGGTTGCCCACGGTCCTGTGCGTCCCCATCCGGTGATGTCGACAAAGATGATTCCGGGCTTGAGTTTGGCTAGCTCGTCGGCAGAGTAGCCTTTCCGCTCGAGGGAGCGGTAGTTGCACACGTAGATGTCGGCTTCAGAGATGATGTCGGCGAATCCACGGCGCCCGCTTTCCTCATTGAGGTCGCAGAAAGCATTCAGCTTGCCGAGGCCCGTCTCGTTGAGCATAGCAGCAGAGTCTGGGTGGTCGGGAGACGAGATGTGGAGCACGTCGGCACCAAATTCAGCTGCCAGACGACTGACAATGGGAGCGGCAATCACATGGCCGTTGTCCAGCAAGCGGATGCCTTCGAGCGGTAGCGAAGCGTTCCCTTTCGTCGTATCCGGCTGCGACAATGGAGAGAGAGGGAAAGGATCGCTCTCGCCGATCTTGATGACCGATACGAGGTCCTGCTGCAATAGCTCCTTGCCTTGCGGGTGCTCTCGCCACTCTTGGCGGGTGCGCAGCGCAATAGCACAGCCGTGGGACTGGTTGATTGCCTCTTCGAGCTCGAACGCGTTCCACTGTGCAATGCTCTCGGCGAAATCCTTCTTCTCCGGCGGGCATCGAAGCACTTGACACGCGGCATCGCGGAGGCGCGGATAGGTGAGAAGCAGAAAGACGTGCCTGCCGTCGTTTGTGGGATAGAAGTCACTGTTGTGGAAAAGCTTGGGATCTTCGAAGAGGCGAAGCAGTGCCACGCCGTTGAGCTTGGTGTAGAAGGCGGCCGTGAGCTGCATGATGGCCTCGTCGACCGAGATGCTGATCTTTTCCAGGGCCGAGCCGCGCGCATGGCCTACCTGTGAGACTGCGGTGCCGGCCAGAGCAAGCGCAGCTGCGCAGGCGTCGCCAATTCGGTGCGTTGAAGGGACCACCGGATCCTGTCCCGTGATCGTAGCATTGTGCGCCGAGAGGTCAAGCCCAATCTGCTTTCCCAGGTCCTGGAAGATGCTTTCCGTGCTGGGAGAGCTCGCAGAGACAGTCGGCGCCCCCGTGGAAGTGCTCATGCTGAACAGATACGGAAGCGCTAGTCCCGAGAGGCTTCTTCAGGCGCAAGGCAAAGACGTCGAGGATGACCGACTGCAAAGCTGACCAGTCACTGTGCGCACTGACTTGGACTGCGAAAGGAAGCTGGGCGGGATGAGGGGTGGGGAAGGCAGAAGAATCCCATTACGCTTTCGTTATATAAGTAGGCATGCCGAACTGCTTGTTTCGGCCCCTTCCCTTGGTTGACGCAATGCTCGGGAGCGGGGTCGACGAGAGAGCAAGGTCGGAAGGTTCGGCCGATTGGTTCCGATCGTAGCTAGGCACTGTCACCAGGCATTCTTGCATTTCTGCGACGGGAGACGCAACGGCAAGTGGGGAAAGGAACCATGCGCCCTTTCAGCTTTGTCAAGGTCCTGATCGCCTCGCTCTTTGCCAGCTAATGTCTGTTCCGGCAAGCTAATCGACAGAATTGCGCGTAGCCGAGCGAGGCGGGCACCCGGACGTGCCAAGCCACGGCCGCCTGTCCGCCGGCTGAGGATCACGTCACAACTGGAATATAGGCTAGCTGCCCCTTGCATTTCCCGAGTCCGGCTTCTCCACCGCCACTGATCTTACGGATAAGCCCCGAGAGGTCGGTCATAGTCACGATCCGGCACCAGGAGACAGCTGAATCCGTCCCGACGCCGACGCTCGTTGCACAACACGACAGATAAGGGACAATCAAACGTGAAAACCGCATGGTTTATCAAAAAAAGTCTCGAAAAATAAAAATAAAAATTGCCTCACTTTAGCGGCCCGAACGTGCATCGATGACGCTTTCTGGTTTACCATAAGTAAACACTGTCTCGCTCGGCTCGTCCTCGTATGCACGAGGTCTTTGCCAAAAGCTGAGTGGTCTACAAAGGGCATCAGATCTAAAATTCGATGTAGATACATAGAGGGGAAGCTAGCTTGATCCTGCGCGTGTACTGCCGTCGCCTGCCCGACGTATAGCCAAGCAACGTGTCTGGTTTGATCGGACGCCGGCAGGCCCAGCCGGTTTCACAGCTGGTCTTCTACTTTACTACAGCGTCGAGGTACAGCAGGATTTATCAGGATGCAACGCGGACCCTGCACCCGCGAGCCGTGTCGCTTTACTATTGTTGCTGCTGCTCTTCGGCTCCGACCTGACAGAGCAGCTTGCCCTCTGGCACCGTGTCGCCGTTCTGGACATGCAGGTGAAGCCTGCCTGCGACCTGAGCTCGAATGGTCGTTTCGATCTTCATTGACTCGCAGATGAGCAAAGCTCTGTTTGTCGGAAAAGAGAAGGAGAGTCAGCTATCCATCAGAGAACGGGAGACGCCGAAGCGTTGTGCCTTATACCCACTGTCCAGCTTCAACATCGGCGTTGTCTTCGACTAGGATCTTGAGGATCTTGGCAGGCATGGGCGTGACGTAGGCTGCCTTGCTCGCCGCGGAGTCATCCGAAGACTGGTTTGCCAGCGCGTAGGTGCGCATTCCGTGTCGCACCACCTTGATAGGACCGCAAAGCCTAGACGACCAGACCCATGCGGTCTGTGCGCTGGTTTCGTGGTCCTGGAACGAGTGGTCGGTCGCCAAAACGTGGGTCGAGGTGATGCCATCGATTTCAAGCGAGAGAGTGGCCGTGGCCCAGCGCGCGCGGCCCGTCGCCAAATGAGCGCCCGTCGTCGCGGGCAGCGACGAGAGCTGCACCTGCGACGACGTGAGCAGCGTGGAACGCACTTGATGCACTTCGCTCTGCTGTACGCCCAGCTGCCAATCGCCCGCTACACGGCCCTCGAGCCCGTCGCGCGTAGGTAGCGAGCCGTAGAACTTGGCTGTAGCGCGGCTCGCCTTGAGCTGTGCCGCCAGCGCCTTGGCCTTGGACTTGCTGCCGCCATACTTTTCCTTGACGCGATGCTCGGCCTCCTGAACGGCCGAACTCGACTCATTAGTCCAGATCTTGAGGTTATAGTCGCCGTTACTGCCTTCGTATTCCACCATGACATCCCACTCCTGCCCACCGTCCGGCAGAGAAATGACAAAGTTTTCCGTCTTGGACACGCTGCGGTCGCATCCGTTTACCAGGCCAAAACTGGCGGGCAAGCCGCTGCGTGCTGGATACAGCTTGCTACGCAGCTCTTTGAAGAGGTGGAACGCAGGTACGATCGTGGCAAGCGGGAGGCCTGTCTCCTTGGGCCCTGTCGAGAGAGCCGATGGCGCAAGCTCCACTGGCAGGTTGAGCAGCCAGTCGAGGTTGTTCGGGATTAGCGACGTGTTGTAGCTGCCATCTACAAAGCTTGAATGGCGCAGACAGGAGCTCATAAAAGTCATGTTGGTAGGCAGCCCGATCAGCACCGAGGTTTGTAGCACCTGGAGCATCTTTTCGATGGCAGCGAGCCTGGTGGCTGCGTGCACGATTAGCTTGCCTAGCATGGCATCGAAAAAGATAGAGACTGTTGTGCCCACCCGGATGCTGGTGTCGAAGCGCACTCCCGGTTGACCCAGACAGAGAACCTCGAGCATCCTCACAACGCCCGTCCGCGGCGTAAAGTCCTGTCAAGAGAGAGAATCGATCATGGAAGGAATATGAACACTGTCAACATCCACTCGGTGGGCTGCTACGTGCCGATCAATGACAAACTTACAGCGCCGGGCTCCTCGGCACAGACACGGCACTCGATCGAGTGTCCGAAGGGTGTAAGATTGGCGACAGGCGCCAGCTTGGAGAGATCTCCGTCGCCACCGACATAGATGCCGAGGCTGACCAGGTCGAGCCCGCTGCACATCTCGGTCACGGGGTGCTCCACCTGCAGACGTGTGTTGACTTCGAGAAAAAAGAACTCTTTGGTCTTGGTGTCGAAGATGTACTCGACCGTGCCCGCACCTTGATAGGAGAGAAGCGATCCGATGGTGATGGCCGACTGGTGGATGCGCTTACGCAGCTCCGGGTCCTGCTCGCAGTCGACCGCAGGTGACTCCTCGATGATTTTCTGGTGTCGGCGCTGAACGGAACAGTCACGCTCGCCGAGGGCGTACACGTTGCCATGGTTGTCGCCAAAGATCTGCACCTCGATGTGCTTTCCGCCCTCGATGTAGCGTTCGAACAGCAGCTCGTCCGAGTTGAAGTTGCGCAGGGCTTCCGAGCGTGCACGTGCGATCTCCGAAGCGAGCTGGCTTGGCTCGCGCACGATGCGCATGCCTCGCCCACCGCCTCCGGACGAAGCTTTGATCATGAGTGGGTAGCCGATCTTGCTCGCCGTCTCGAGGTCGATGTCAGCGGTGCCGTGGTATCCGGGAACAAGGTGCGCTTGGTCACCCAGCTTTTCATGCAGCAGGCGCTTCGAGCGGCTTTTCTCACCGATGGAGCGCATCACGTCTCCGCGCGGGCCCAGGAACCTGATTTGTCCTGTGGCGGCTACGGCATCGGCGAAATCTGCGTTTTCTGAGAGATAGCCGTAGCCGGGATGGAGCGCATCGCACTGGTGCGAAAGCGCCACGTCGATGAGCTTCTTGATGTTGAGGTAGGGATTGTTGTCCGTGGCCATGGGACCCACGTTGACTGCGATAGTAGCGTGGGCCACAAATTCGGCCGAAGCGTCGACTTCGGTGTAGACCACGACGGTCTCGACGTTCATCTGCTGGCAGGTGCGCACGATTCGCAGTGCAATTTCGCCGCGATTGGCGATCATGACCCTGCGGACTGGCTTGGGGCCATTGGGTGCGAGGAAGAGCGGCTTACCTTGCACCGTGTGCGGGTTGGGGGGTAGTAGCTTGGACATGGCTGCTGTTGCGGCTGTGGCCGTTGTTACGGATCCGTGCTCTGTGTCGTCAGCTTGGTGTTGCTTCTCCCTTGTCAGTCGCGATGACAGGGGTCCTTATGGAGGCTGAGTGGCCGTGCTAGGGTGCGGAGGTGACGTCGTATCAGCAGCCGGTGAATGTCGATGGTATACGGGGTGCTAAGGGTGTAGACGAGCTGGCGGTGGAATCGGTGGCTCCTGAGGAGTACGTTACGTTAGGGATCTAGTAATCCATTGCACCGAGGAGTCGATGATATATATCGACGGCGTCTTTGGGGTCCAATGCCGTCATGCTCCACGCGCTCAGCTTCCGCTGCCAGCGCTTGCCTTTCTCAGGCGCGATTGCCGTCTTGTTCCGAGCACGTCAAGCACAACGGCACACGCAGCCCAGACTGGTATGAAACTGATGCGATCAGTCTCAGCCTGCAGGCGAACTCTTCTTGTGCTGCCTCGACGTCGCAGCTCGCTCTCTCACATGCTGTTGCGGATCCCCCATTCTGAGATAGTGGGGGGCACGTCTGAGATAGTAGAGACAACGATTGTTAACCACATTGCGTCGGCGCTAGTCTCTCTGGATAGCGAAGCATGACCAGGTTGCATCCGATGCAATAGATTGACTCCAAGAGACATGCATGGGGACTAGCCGGCACTGCGTGTCAGGAAACACATGGCTCCCTCGCGAGCCAGCGTGAAAGCGGTACAGGTGAGCGACACGCGAATTGGCACAACATGACAGAAGCCATTGGTCAACGGGCAGCGCCAAGCGCAGCACGTGAGACTAGGACGACTTGCTCCTCGCGACGGTGTTGCGTGACGCAGTACCAGGATTGGTGCAGGACAAAGTACCAAGAGCCCACCTGAGGAACAGCGTAGCGCGGCACCTCACGACGCACAGCCGACGCAGGTCGGTTGCCCGTACCGAATGTCATGCTCGACGGGCTTCGGGCGGCTCGGCACTTTGCGAAGATGCAGTGATCATACTGTACAGCGGTCGATCTGCAAACCTACAGTCGCCGCGGTGAACTATATTTCCACTCTAGGGGCCTCACCCTCTTCTTCACCTTGCTTCAGATGAGGGAGGCAGCAACAGCATAGCAGACAAAGCATAGCAAAGACGTGTTGCCGCCGTCGCCATTGGCGTGGCTCGTATAAAGGAGGCGTGGAGCGAGTCGCCGGCTTTTCCCGGTTTCATGCCGCCGTGCCTGCTGATAAGATCCGAACCTCCGGTACACGGATTTGGCCCTCCTGCAAAACAAGAATCTAGCATTGTATCGCAGCAGCAGGTCGGCAAGCCGGATTTTTAGTTCCCGAATTCGGGAAGATCGGCAAGCTCGCAGGGATCTGCGTGACGCGGTGCCAGCAGCCGAGGGCGTTGAGCGGCAATGCACAGTTCAGCCGAAATGCACTGGACGTCGATGTGCAGATTGCTGCAGCCACATTGTCGCTTTCGCTGCGCCAGAGAGCCGACAAATAGGCGCCAATTGGCCGGGTTGACGCCCCAGCCATCGTTTCAGTGTAGCCTCGATGTCAGCACGGCCGTCCACGTGTGCGCTTGCTCGCCTGTCACTGCTGCACGTTCTGGTACTCATCGACACTGCTCCGTCCCAACGACGCCGAGGAAGCACGGCCGGAGCACCACACGCAAATGTTGTAGCATCGTCACGTCATTCCAGTGTCAAGATAGCCACAGAATCTCGAAGCATCGGTGTGCCTGATGCAATAAGCTCAGAGGCGGGCCTGCGCGGGAGCCGTAGCCCTGGCCGCCTTGCGCTGGTGGTACCAGCCGAGGATGCGCTCGACTACATCGTGTGTGTAGCCCTTGTACATGTGGTCCGAGCCTTGGATGAGCTGGATCTGCTGTGAGTCACGCGATCGGCGTGGATTACTAGAGAGCTCTTTCAGATAGCTGCCTGCGTCTTGCACCGGGACCGTGCGGTCCTCCGTACCGTGGACAAGGAGTCTGGCGGGCGGCGGTGAATTGCGAGAAGGGGGGAGACAGTGTCAGTCGTGGTTTTGGGACAAGGAAAGAGGGAAATGCAGACTTACACGTCGGTGTCCAAAGGCAGGCGCTTTACGATGCTACGGATGGGAAACCTCGCCATGCGCGAGAGATCCGAGGGATACACCGGATACTCTCGCTGCACGCCGGCGCTCTTCGTGCGCCAGCGGAAGACGCCTTCCTTTTCGAAGCCAGGCTTGTACATGTCGTATCTGTCCAGCACCCGGGGCATATCCCACCGGCCGGACACAGCGACGAGGTAGGGCACGTCCGTGGCGTCGTCCCAGCGAAGGCGCTCATCGCGGCCGAGATACGCCCAGGCATCCAGCGAGCCGCGCGAGTGGCCGACTATGAGCTCGATGCGGTAGCCCAGCTGGCTGCGCAGGTGGTGCACCACCGCTTGCAGGTCCTCGATGTCATGCGCGATGTTGCACATTCCCCACGCACCGCCCGTCTCGCCATTGCCTCGAAAGTCGAAGCGAAAGCTGTCCATCGGGAGTGCGGCGGCAAGCTCGCGGTGATAGCTTTGGTTCTTGTGCGCCATGAGGCCGTGAAGGATGAGCGCTACATTGCTGCTTTGCTGCTGCGTCGAATGGTGATGATGCAGAATGCCGACAATGTCTACACCCGTCTGCGCAGAGGGAATGCGCAACGTCACCTCGTGCTCGGTGCTCGGGGTTTCTCTGGCAGCTTGCATCCTGTACAGCACGCTTGATGAAGGTCGAAGTAGTGGGGATGACGGAAGTATTGGGAGCAGTGGTGATGGTATTGGCGCTTTCGGAATAAGAGGGTTCCATGTAATATAGAGGGACGGTCTGAAGAAAAGACGAAGGCCTTGGACGTGGAGGACGTCGGCAAGGGAGTGAGGCTGCGCAGAGCCGTCAGCTGGCGTCGGCGTCGGCATTGGCGTCCCCTCGCGAAACACTTTGGCTGCTCTGTCTGGATTGCCGAGCCGCGATTGAAACTGCCGCGACACCGCGTCACGCATGGTCGAGCGCACAGGGCGGCCTGGTGCACTGCGCAGCGTAGCGCTCCCGGTAACGTCCAAGAGCTTTTCGTCCTTGCCACGTGTGTCGGCCGTTCACAGTTGACTGTCTTCCCGGCCCAGTGCTGCTCCCACCCCCGATGCCAACGCAAGCTCGACTGCGAACACATCACGCTCGCCGCCCAAGCGCGTGCTCGGCATAGCATCCGAACGAGCAGGCAAGTCGACGTCAGGCAAGTCGACGTCGGCGCAACATTGTTGTGAGTTGCGATGGTGGTAGAAGGGACTCGAATAGGGGTTTGCGCGCTCCTAGCCGCTAAGCAAGCAGAGCGTGGCTGTTGGCCGACTTCGGGCTCGAAGAAGCAGGGTGGTTGATGATGACCAAGTCGCCGCCCTCACTGATCGACAGGTTAGCAGCCCGGTTGGTGAGGATTCTCAATTTCACACGCGTCAAAATGCAAACACGCAAAGAGGATTAGGGTTAGGCGGCCAGAAAATCGACATTGCTCAAAGATCAAAATTACAAGGCAAACCCCGGGTAGGGGCAACTGTCAAACATGCCACTTTCTATGCATAATATGATAGTACAAGATGCGTATAGCAATAGTCATTAAG